CTTTAATTAATAAAGGCCTAGAAAAAGATAAATATAAAATAATAAGATAATATTATAATTATTTAAGTAATAATAATATTATTATACTACTTTATAGCTATAAAAGATTTACTTAGAAATATTATATATAATTAAAAATATTATTTTTTATTATAACTTAGATATTAATAAATTAATTTATAAGTAAGATATTAAAATAAATATAAGGATAATAAATTATTATATCTTTTTATTTAAGATTTAACTTAATAATAATATTAGGAGATATATAATAATATACCTTAATAGAGATATTATAATACCTAAGACTTTATTATATTAATTTATAAAAATTAATAAGGATATTATAATACCTAAGATATAATTTTATTAAATAGTCTCTTTTTTAGGAATAAATACTCTCTAGGACGCTTAGGCTAACCTATTATTATTATTAACCTTAGATTTTATATCTTTAATTAATAATTAAAATATATTTTAATACTAAGTAAATAAAGGAGATACTATAATATAAAAGTCTAAGTATATTTATTAAATAATTAAATAAAAGAGTTAATTTTTATAGTAGTATATTTAACCCTAATTATTTAGAAATAACTTTATTCTTAACCCTAGACTTTATAATTATACTTATTTTATCTTTAGGGTTAATTATTAAGAGTAAAGTATTATTTATATTTAGATATAATTATATTAGTTATTATTAAAAGCTATTAATAAGGGTATAATAATATTTTATAAGTAATATTTAATTAGGTTTAGCCTTTAATTAGAATTAATTATTAAATATATAATAAAAATAATAAAAAGAGGCCTAAATAGAGATAATTATATTCTTTTTATTAATAATCTAACTAATATTATTTTCTTTTATTCTTTAATTTAATTTTTACTTATTTATTAATAGTAATAAAACTTTTAAGAGTTTTAATTATATTCTTTAGCTAATACTTAAATTTTTACTAAGACTTTTATAATAGTCTTAGCCCTAGCTTTATAACTAATATTAATATTTTAATAATTAAGGAATTTTAATATAATATTAATTATTTTTATTACCTTATTAAAGTTTTTTTTTAGTTTTTTTTTAAAATTTAATTATTAATTTTTAAAAAAAAATAATATAAAAAGAAAGGTATAAATTTTAAAATTCTTATAGCTTAAAGCTATATATATCTCTTTTATAAAGTCTTAGCCTTAATAAAATCTTATATTTTAAAAACTATTAATTAATTAAAAAAAAAACTATTAATTACTTTATAGTTTATTAATATAAAAAAATTCTTTTATAAAAAAAAAACTATTAATAGCTTAATTAATAGTTTTTATAAGTAATAAAGAATTTATAAAAAATAAGAAAATATATAATAAAAGATATATTAGGCTATAATAAGTAAAGTCTCTTATAATTAATACTTTTAAAAAGAAATTTATAAGAAATAAAATAATATATAATAAGAAATATATTAAGCTATAATCTAAAGGGAGTTTATATAACTTATTTATTTATATTTAGTATTTAATAAGCTTGCTATTATACTTTCTAAAATAAACAAAACCTTAAGATTAAAGTATACTAGCTATAAATAACTATAGGTATATTATTCTTAGTATATAATTAATAAAGGTAGTCTATAGCTTAATCGCTGCTATGTTTCTAAGAGATTCTTTTATACTAGGCTTATATTAGAATACGCAGATAACTTTAAGATCATAAGGGCAAATCAGCATGTTATTTCAAGACAGCAACATTGGGACACTTTTGGGGTTAGCCTCTGTCGTCACCCTCGTACTATAAATGGGGCTGCCATCATGCCATCAGCGAACGCCACATCGACCCTCAACTCCTACATCGTCGTACGAGACAACGCCATATTACGCAGCTTGGCAACATGTGATAAAGGGTACCTCTGCCACAGAGAGCTTAACTGTTAGTCGGTAGGTAGTCTCTTCTGCACTGAGCCACTAGCGTACTTGCGGTACTTATCAGGCTTCTATATGATCCGTTGCCCTTCTTACCATTCCAGACGATGCTGTCTCGTCTTCTTTTGATGATCGGAATATCATGCTGAATAATAATACACCTTTGATCTTTCCTTATCTACTATCGCACCTAAGCTAAACCTGCCTCCACTAGGCTATCATCATCTCACAAATGGCCAATCACCCTTCCACCAACGATCATCTCGATAGCCAGACGTCTAACCCAGTTGCCAAAACACATTCAGGCTACATCCAGGGTAAGACTGCTAACGGCATCCACATCTTCAAAGGCGTGCCATTCGCAGCGCCGCCTTTTGCGTCTAATCACCTTCGTCCTCCACAGCCACCACACCCATGGCAAGGTGTACGTGATGCGCTAGTCTTCGGGCCAAAATCACCTCAGACTGCCTATCCTCCCGGTATCGCTGAAGCTCTAGCAGAGTTGGTCGATTCAGGCAAGGACTGTCTGACGCTCAACGTCTGGACGCCTAATCTGGAGGCGGCTAGGCTACCAGTCATGGTTTGGATCCCAGGTGGCATGTTCGAGTTCCATGCCACAGGCGGTGCAGCGCCTTACGATGGTAGTAGGTTCGCTCGAGATGGTGTTGTGTGCGTCACTATCAGTTACCGAGTTGGCGTCGAAGGTTTCCTCTACCTGCCTAGTGATGGGGTCTCCAACCTCGGTCTCCTCGACCAGATTGCCGCTCTCGACTGGGTACAGAAAAACATAGCCAGCTTTGGCGGCGACCCAGACAAAGTCACCATCTTTGGGCAGTCGGCAGGCGGAATGAGCGTCGCTACTCTGTTGGCAGTCCCGCGGGCAAAAGGCCTTTTCCGCCGTGCCATAATCCAAAGTGGCAACAGTCCAAAGGTCAACTCAGCCGCCGTAGCAGAGCGCATCGGGCGTCGATTTGCGGAGATCCTGGGAATCGAGGCCACAAGGGAGGCTATCGCTGCAACATCGTCTGATAATATTCTGGAGGCGCAGGCGAAGCTGCGAGAGGAACTCCAGGCACAGCCCAATCCTGCCTTTTGGGGCGAGGTTGCCCTCAGCTATCTTCCGTGGGCGCCTGTGGTGGATGGGGATATTCTTCCGAAGCACCCGCTAGATGCTGTGACTGCGGGAGTTGCGGCTGGCGTTGATCTCATGGTTGGGTCTAATACCGATGAGACTCGGATTTTCTTTGTGTCTGACGGTTCTATCGACCGCATCACTGAAGAAGTATTGCCGATGATGACTGGCGTGTATGGTGTGTCACCTGAAGGTCTCAACACATATCGTTCATGGTATCCAGGAGCCAGTGCTGGCGAGTTGTTCTCAGCAGTCCAGACAGACTGGTACTGGAGGATTCCAGCCGTTCGTTTCGCTGATGCTCATTCAAAAGTCTCCCAGGCCTCTACTTATATGTACGAGTTCGCATGGCCTTCGCCACAGATGGAAGGTCGTCTTGGCGCTGCGCATGCTGTTGAGATGGCTTTTGTCTTCGACACGCTCGGGCTGGGAACAGAGGTTCTTCTTGGACCGAGTCCGCCTCAAGCACTCGCCAATGAGATGCATAGAGCTTGGGTAGCGTTTGCGTCGACGGGAGACCCCAACTGGCCTAAATATGACGCCACGCGGAGGGCCACGATGCATTTCGACTCCGAGTCGCGAGTGATTGGTGACCCTCTCAAGAGGGAACTTGAGCTTTGGGAGGGTGTGATCTAGCCACCATATGTATACAGAACCGAAACATCTCTCTACTCTGATAGACGCCCTAAAACCCTTTATCCACAGGTTAAAGGACGGCATTTCAAATGCTATTCGGGAGGCTCAGAATGGGGCTAAGAGAACAAAGGGGATAAAGCCGGCTTTTGGTAGGGCTGTATATGTTAATAAGGATGGTTGGGATTAGGTCCCAGACCCGGGAGCGATGGGTGTCGTCGCGATTGTAGAAGGTCTAGGCAAGGTATTAATAAGTAAGGGTATTAGCTAAAGGAATATAAATTTACTATATATATTTCAAATAAGTTACTCTTAGCTCGCCAAAAAGCTTAATATGCCCTTTATATGACGACTTTCCCTATTATAGTAGTGTTAACTAAACAAGAGATAAGCCCATATCCACTAATCGACGAAGAACGAGCCCTCTAAGGGCTATATTAGTCTTAGATACCTTGATCCTTGACAAAATGTACCACTGATATCAAGAACTAACCCGAACTGTGATCTGAAATGACGCTCCTCGGAGCCAGGTTTGAGCCAAGTGAGTTGATACCACATAGTTAAGCCGCTGATCTTTGTGTTTAATAATTGCGCTGCTCTTTTCCTGATTACCAGGACTCATTAATGAGAGGGTAAAGGAATCCCCTAGACGACCATAGCGCCTGATATCCTTGAGCGGGTCAATGAATTCCTCTTCCTTCGCGATGCCGCTGATGTTTAGCAGGCCGGTCTCTGTGTAGAGGCTCATGCGCAGCCGAGTCTCTCCGGCTAAGTTGCAGACTAGAATGAGCTTCGTACTCGCCCCATTGGCGGTGCTATATCCTGCAGTTCGGAGCGCTGCTTCCGGAGTGATACAGAAACGCAACGAGCAGGAGAATCGATTAAGGCCTAAGACGGAGAAATACTGTTCGTCGGCTTGCCAATACCTTTCGGGAATGGCTCTAAAGTCGCTGACCCGATATCTTTGCAAGCCCTTGGAGATATCGATATAAATTCGGTAACCCGAGTTTTCAGCGTCAATGGCAGCCATCAGCTGTTGGTCTGTGGTCAGAGCCAAATATATGGGCCTGGGAAAGCGCCCAGGCACGACGGGAGCCGATGCTCTTATATGCGGCAGACATCGGGAGTAAGTATCGAGTGCTCGTTGCAGGTAAATTCCCACTCCCACCAACGGCCCGTCTACCTCCTCATAGCAGTGCAAATCGAACACATAAAGTCCGCCGAGCACGTGCTGAAGCGCCGCATTGATCTTGATACCTTTGTTAGTTGGGACAATTTTATCCCTGAAGCGGAATTGGTCATCGCTCAACGTGATGTTTCCACATTCAGGAAACTCGCAAGGGGATTCGGCTAGAATGCCTCGGTATTCCGTGGTAGGTGTGTTGGTTGTCACCCAGGCGAAGAGCGAGAGGTCCGTGGTCTTTCTGAGAATTTCCTCCTGCAGTCGAACAAAAGCTTTGGAACCTTCACCGTAGATCATGGATATGTTGACGTCAAAGATTCCAAGCAGACAGTATGCCAAGTCTTCGGCGCGAGTCGTCTGTCGTCCAGCCGCCCAGGACATGCGCCTGGCAAGAGGGATTGTCGAAAGCGGAACTTGGTTGCCCAAAACCGTTTCGCTAATTCCGGTAATCTTAGAAACCTCCGAGCAGAGTGTCTTCTTTGTCCCCCTAGGAGACCATGCTTGATCGAAGAACCGGACGTCCGCAGGGGCGATGAGTTCCTGTAAGGTCCAGCCTCTCGTGAACCACCGACACTTTCCAAAACTATCAGACCCCCGAATTTCGCCGCTCACCGGTAGGTCGGAGAGAAAAGCGTAGCATACGGCAGCCTGCCTATACCACTGAATCATGGAGTTCATGGCCTCTGAGAGCTCAGCGCTAGAAGACTTATCGATGCAGCAGGTGTCAACCCAGGCATATCTTAGGCCATGGCTGATTGCCATCCTACAAGGCTCCTCAGTTTTTGAAAAGCCTTTCTTTGATCTCGCTACCGCTAGGTCCCGCATGTCATTGAAGTCGACTTCGTCAGCCCTCCATGTATGCGATAGAATGGCGTACGGAATCCTCGAGAGTGCCAGATCGGGGAACAGCTCCAGCTCGAGAGTGTAGACGTTAATTAGCCTCATATTCCTGACATAGAATGAGAGGACACATAGATGTGTATTGGCGCTGGTCGCAGATTGAGCAAAAGCTCCAAGTCTTAGGATGTGGTAGGTTTTGAGGCCTCTGCTGACCAAGGGTCGGTACAGCCACAGGTGGCGGCCATGACATGTGTTTTGGATGCCTAAATGAAACCGCCCACTGTCTAACGCTAGGTGCCCAATCGTGTCGTGGTTTCTCGCCCTGATTGGCTTGACCGAGGTGCCAGACCAACACTGGACCGAGACGACCTGCGCTCGACATGGCAAAGCCACTAGAACTGGCAGCATCGGGGAGGCTGCTTTTTCCATCACGCCCCGCCCTCTTAGCTAATATTGTTATGAAATGGCTTGGGTCCTTGACAGACGGGATTTGAACAGTCGAGATGGGCAAGCAAACCTCGTCCTAGTGGGGAAGAAACGCCTCGAATTTAGCAAGGCCGCGTCACCGCGCACAGATTGTTCAGGGCCCAACAGCGCGCAGTAGCGTGCTCTCATTGCCCTTGATCGTCCTCTTGTACATCAACATAGAGACCTCTTTCCTATCTCCTCTGTTCCCTGACCTCAGTTCCACCACGCCAATGTCTAAAAGCTTGCATAAATTCTTCTGTACACACACGCGCCTGGCATCAGCTAACTTAGGGCTTGCGTCTGCTCTTCCAGCGCGAGCAAAATGTGCAGTTATCACAGCAATTATTGGCCATAGCGGAGTTATGCCTTTCCATTCTCCAAACATGCAGCAAGAACGAGCCAGCATTTGAATCCCCGGAGCTTGAACCCCACGACACGATTGACCAGAGCTACGTCACATCGGCGAGATTGGGGCTGTGGTTCAGGCATGAATAGCACGAGCTGTGCCGGAAGAAATGGTTGTCGGGGCTCGTGTTTCAATTACTCGATAACATCAGACATATTTGCACAATATGCCTGCACGGTACCTCCGATACTGGGTGTCAGTCCGCGTGATTCTGAACATGAAAAACCCTCCGAGGTTGGTCCAACGATTGCACCGTCGCCGGCTGCCTACGACTTTCACAGCGACAAAGTCATTGCTACCGTTGGATGTGAGCTGTTCATTCCATTGACAGAAGCCTGGCAGAAAACAGATGCGGCCCTCGACTTCGATGACAGCGGGTATGTCAATCCAACTACCATTGAAATCTTTTCGTGGGGTTAAGTTAGAAAGATGGGCGACCTGTCCGACACACTAGATCTTTTTGGCCATTGCTTCCGCAACAGGGGGCGACGCACGCGAACTTAAATCGCTCAGACAGGACCTTAGTAGACCCTTTGCCACATTTTTACTCCCCATTCCCCCCAAACGCAACAGCATGGTTCGACCGCGTCAGCAATCAAGGTCGTTTTGATTGACGGTGGGGGTAAGGTCAGCTCCACGTGGCGCAACAGCTCATTTGCAATGCTGGCATGTATGCTTAATTCAACGTCGCTCCCCAACCCTAAGAATAGACCTCACTTTCGCAAGGAAGCTCTCGTAATATCATTTGCTTAAAACCGACATCACACTGAAACACGCACGCAAAGGACCTCACCATGGGAAAAGTTGCCCCCTATCCCAATCCCAAGTGAAAGATATCTAAGGAGCATATCCCTTCCAAGCGCCGTTACAACTTCAAGAGACATCGAGAGATCCGTCGATTCCACAAGAGGAGCGGGGATCTACACCATCAACCTCAACGTCGGCGTTGGCGTCACTTGGCGAAGTACATTGTCCGGCAGCACTTGCAGTGGAGGCGGCCGAACGGAAGAAGAGATTGTAAAAACCGAGGTTAGCAGTTGATGACAGCAAGCCAAGTAATGAGGCGCTTGTGAGGGGTATGATAAAGATGTATAAGAGGATTCCTAAAGGGGTTAAGGATCAAGGGAGGCGAATGTCTACACACAATCTTTAGTTCGATAAGAGAGAGCTGCTAGCAGTGACAACCCAGGTGCTGCAAAACAAAAAGAAAAGCCACCCATGGTTGACTATCAAGATCGAATAATTCATGTTTATTGATCCGTTGTTGAATATCTGTAGTCTCGGGCAACGTGGCAGCGATACCGTCGCCCTGACAGGGCGCGTTGACAGCAAGGCAACAACGAGCGTGAGGGGAAGTGAAAGTGCCACGTGGTGCATACTGTGCAATCTCTCCTCTCCAACAGTTTAAGGTTGCAACCCTTACTAGTTTTCTCCACGATAAGAGGCACAGTTGTGAGACAATTAACTAGGGGGGGAACATATATTGTACTTCGCCGCAGAGCAAATGGACTGTCTAACCCATACAGGAAAACATTCCATTTGTCCGGGTTGTGATCCAAGGAAAATGTCATCATTCGGCTCTCAACTACCAGTGATATCTCTTGTGTGTTAGTTGCCAAGATTGCGATCGCTGATTACGAGTTTCGCATGTAAGCTGCCAAGTGTTGCCAAGCCGGGGATCTTGCTCTCCTAGGCCTTTGATGGAAGCCAAGAAATAGGACAATGAACATGTTGACAACTCATTGGGGGTAATCCCCACCCACCGGGTGAGGGAGATTGGCTTGGCGAATTCTTGGTGTTCCCGTTGAGACGCACGCACATGGCTTTTCTCCGCAAAGCACAAACCCCAAACCCCAGAGATTTCTCGTCAAGGGGCCTGACCTTGTTTCCCCAGCTCTCCCCCAAAGCACGCTCCCTCTTGGCGTCTGGGGCATGACTCTTTCCCACTCGCCACCCAATGGGACTTCGTGACACCTTGACGATAATGTCTGGGCATTAGTACCCCGCGCGTCCTTAATTGTAACCCTGACGAAAACGAGTGAGGGATCGGCTTCGAGTATAAAGAAGGAGGTTTCTGACCCCCGACCTTGTCTCACCCAGGCTCTGCTCTCTTCCATTCAACACCCTTCTTTTCTATCTCTCTCCATTTTGGGCCACTCTTTGTGCCTACACCTGTCGATTTGTCTTACAAGTCATCCATATCTTCACCATGGCTCTCGGCTCTGAGATCAGAGACGACCAGGCTTCAGTCAGCAAGGAGGAGGAAGCCATTGCTACTAGCGATGGCCCCACCGCCACCACCGAGTCTGCCCCCTTCGTCGATGACGCGACTGAGAAGAGGATCTTGACGAAGCTCGATCGTCGCATTATTCCTTGTGTCTGTTGGATTTACCTGATGAACTTCATGGACCGAGGTAAGTCTGCCCGCGCGAAAGCCAACATGAGAACGATATTGACCTTTTGGTGATAGTTGGCATTGGCAATGCGCGTCTTTACGGACTTGAGAAGGAGCTTGGCCTGACTGGCGACCAATATCAACTCGCCGTGTCCATTCTCTTTGTCACCTATTGTGTAAGTAGGAGATTACTCTTCCCTGGACTTGAAGCCTCACCCAGCACATGATCTCTGCAACGTATACAACGACGTATAGATACAGGACTAACTCCAATCGTCCTAGTTGTTCGAAACACCCTCCAACCTGATCATCAAGAAGATGCAACCTGCCAGATACATTGCTGGCCTCCTCTTCTTTTGGGGTATCGTCGCCTGCTTCACTGGCTTCGTCAACAACTTTGCTGCCCTCGTCGCTTGCCGTCTCCTCTTGGGCTTCTTTGAAGCTGGACTGTTTCCTGGTATTATGTTGTATCTCACAATGTTCTACTCGAAGCGTCACATCTCTCTGCGCAACGCCTACTTTTACTCCATCTCGGCCATCTCAGGAGCCATCGGCGGTCTTGTCGCCCTTGGTATTGGTGAGCTGGATAACTGGGACGGACCGGAGCAGGGTGCTGGTGGATGGCGGGCTTGGCGATGGATCATCACCATCAATGGAATCCCCACGGTGTTGACTGCCTTCGTCGTTCCTTTCATCCTGCCCAACTCTCCCGAGACGGCAAAGTTCTTGTCCGACGACGAGCGCAATGCTCTTACGGCCCTCCGAGCAGCTGAGATTGGGCAAACGAAGTCCGGTCAAGAGCTACACAAGGAAGATGTCATGGCTGGAGTCAAGGATTGGACTATCTGGGCCCTGTCCATCGCCCAGTACTGCAGTCACTCGGTCCTCTACAGCTTCAGCGTCTTCTTGCCAACCATCATCAAGCAGATGGGTACCTGGAGCGCCAAGCAAGTACAAGGTCTCACGGTGCCCGTGTACGTTCTTGGTTTCGCCGTCTACCTGATCTGCGCAAATATCAGTGATCGCACGCAGCAAAGAGGCCTTTTCTGCATGGGAGGTGGAGTTGTAATGATCATAGGCTACTGCCTCTTGATTGCAAATTACAGCGTCGCCATGAGTTTTGCAGGTTGCTTTTTTGTTGCCATGGGATTATGGACGGGCTCGGGTTCTGGAATGGCCTGGATCACTGTCAACCAGCCGCGCTATGGTAAGCGTGCGTTTGCTAGTGGTATCTTTATTACCATTGGCAACTCGGCTGGTGTTGCGGCGCCATTCCTCTTCAGTAACGATTATGAGCCTCACTACCGCCCTGGCTATGCCGCGACAATTGGTATGCTCGTCCTCGCCATTGTCATTCACGGCTGTGTCTACCTGCACTTTAGGCGTCTTAACAACAGAAAGCTGTCTGGAAAGGAAGATTGGAGAATGGAGGGCAAGACGGAAGAGGAGATCAATGAGTTGGGAGAGCACAACCCCCGATACCTGTACACCCTGTAGAGCTCTACAGCTCTGCGCACTTTGGACAACGTCAGCAGTTGCATGTCATTATTAGCTAGTAGTTTGATATTCCAAATGGCATGTGATTTGTTTTATCTTCATGTACTTTCTACGAAAGGAGTCGTGGCATGTCCTAGCGCATTAGACCTCGCACCTCGGACAACTACAGGCTGCGAAACTTGGCTCAAAAAACAGGGATGGATGTGCGTAATAAAGCTTAATTATCGGGTCTTGCATGTCACAGACATGGATTCGTGGACTCGGCAGGTTTGCAGGTTGTGGGGAGAGGGTTCGCGCTTGGGCTTTCCGGGTCGGAGTCCGTGATCTCCGGGACCCGGAGCTTCAGGGTGGGTTCCTCAGCTCAACAGCCGTTCCTATGTCACGATCACCAACAGTTTCTATCCGGAATGTTGAGCGAAATATGGTGATATGAAGAAGCTAGGAGCATAGGAATTCAGACTAGAATAAGCTCAAAACGCACCGCCAATGAATGACAAAACAGCCTGATCTAGACCAAGGTGCTTGTATCTGTGTGGCTGGTACGGAGTAGTGCTGACACATGTCCCGATTAACTAGTTTTTAAGGTTTGTACCCCTGACGCCCTAGACCAGGCATGAAAACAGGACGCGAGAGCTTAAACTATCCGAGACAGCTTTGGCACAGGGCGTCAAAGATTCTGGGCGACGAGCACTTGACATCCTCACTCCCCAACAAGGGTGCCGTTTGCTAGCCCCCCGATCATCAACACGGATGTACAATTCTTCATGGCCAGGGTGTATGGATCTAAATTGCGATAGCTGGGCCTGCCACCACTGAACTTTGCAGCGCCCACAAAATGCCGGGCTTCGTAAGGAATGGATGTTTGCCGAGTCTAGAACCAGCCCCTATTCCAAAACTCCGAGCCGAGACGATCTCCGGGGAACTTGCGACGCCGCTTTTTAATATCGTCGAGGGATTGTGATTCGACCTCATCAATTTGCCATCACTCGACTTGTTGGGAGCCGTACAAGTTATAGCTCAAGAGCTACTTAGAGACTTATTAATGGCCGTTAGGTTATCAGTTAGGTCACTCAGTATTGTTACTCTGGTTATCTCGGCGATGAAGAATTTAGTGGTGAAGAACTTGGCGCAGGAAGACTCCAGCGCGTTCAAAATCCTCACTTATGCAACGTAGAAAGATGGCGAGCCTGTGTTCAGGCAGTACAGCGGTTGTTGTTATGAACGGGTTCATTCTTGCTTGACTACGTAGGTAGTTGGGAAGGATGGTAAATTGTCTCAGTCACTTCATCCCACCCGGACACTATGACTTGATAATATTTCTCTAAATGATAAAGGTCCGACTCCGAGCAAGGAAATCTTGTGGTTGCCACTCAGGATGTCCTACAACTCCAGCTCCTCATCCCACAATCACCAATCCATTTTCAGCTTCTGACATTTCACTGCTTACACGCAGCAATCAGACCTGCCAAGGCCGCCAATGTCGATAGAAAAGTTCGTTTGAGGTCAGCAACCTTCCATGCAGCGGCTAGTCTCCGAATTTCGTCCGTAGTCTGATGATCATCATCGGATCTTTTAGAGCTGATCAACTTTGCATGGGCATCTAGCAATTTGTCGTTGATAGGGAACACAACCAAAACGGTGTAAACGACAACGAAACCCATAGAGAGTGAAGCGACAATGTTAGGGCCGAAAGTAGGGCTGTTCATGCCGTCTGGGAAATATTATTATTGTTTTCAATGAAGCCGGAAGATTCTTGATGCACAAGTTACGTTACCTACCTAGTAAAGCAGCCCCGAGGAAGCCCATGCCGGAGCCGGTCACCACAAAAGGCCCGTACTTCCGCCCAAAATCCCAGGCGCGGAACCACTGCCGAGTTATTGTGTCGTGGTCTAACAAGAGCAAGGCATTGTGTACAGCCACTCTATCGGAGCAAAGTCCGTACCCTATGAGTTCTAAGTTTTGATGAAACCAAGCAGTCAAGGAAACCCCTACCAGAAGAGTGTGTAGCTGCAACCAAGCTTGCGAGCTGGACAACCTGAGCCCAGTTAATGGCCATTGGGGAAATGTGGACCAAGGTGCGATGGATGACTCGAAGGCTTTGCGTTGGAAGGATGACCCCCGCCAGGTTTTATGATGTTCATCACTTGGATGAAACGCGCGGGCTGCGGGGCATAGGATTGTTTATCAAGCCATCGCAAAGCTCGGAATTCTAAGATGTCCGAGTTGTGTGTTAAAGCTGGTAAAGCTGGAATAGGTTTCGGCCTTCGCACCGGCTCGGAGTCCGGAGGTGGGCGGAGTTGTCTCCTAGCCAGGTAACTACGCCTTCAGCCAATGGCCTGGTAAAGGCAAAGAAAATATTTGACAAGGTATATATACCGAGTATTTTGCGGTCTGTGGTACTCATATTCAATCACCTCCTGGCCATTCAATCTTCATCCAACCTCATCAGATATAATGGTCAACGCTGCCGTCTTGGGTGGCTCAGGCCATGTGGGCAAAACCATCGTAGACGCTCTCAAAGAGCATCCCAACCACACGGTGATTATTCTAGGTCGACAGGTTCGAGACCCCCACCACTTCATCCTTGGATCTTCATCTGCTGACGAGACGCATGTTTCAGGCGCCATCCACGGTTGACCCAGACGCACCCACCGTTCTAGTCCAGTATGACGATGATGAATCATTGAAATCAGCCTTGGAGACGCACGAGATCGATACCGTTATTTCTTGCCTCGGTGTTCACAATGACAAGTTGGCTGAAGTGGAAGCCGCCGTAGTTCGTGCGTCAGATCGATCCAAGCACACCAAGCGTTTCATTCCTAGTAACCGGAGCCTTCCCAATGCCGACTCGTAAGTTCGCTTCTTATCGAAATCCACATAAATACCCTTTGCTTGTTCTGTTCAATGACACTAATTTACAATCAATTTATTAGGTCCAAGGAACCTCTCAATCCATGGGCTGTGTTTCAACGAAAGACGTTGGACCTTCTCCGAACCACTGACTTGCAATGGACTGAGATTGCGCCGGGTTATTTCCTCGACTACTGGGGAATGCCTTACATGAAAACACACCTGACTACAACGGTCCCGGTCATCGACATTGGCAACGCTGTTGCTGCCATTCCGGGTACTGGCGATGAGCCTGTTGCTTTCTCTTATTCGCTGGACGTCGCAAAGGTCGTTGCGAGGTTACTCGAAATTCCCGAGTGGCAAGAAACAACGTATATTATGGGCGACAAACTTTCTTGGAACCAACTTCTGGAACTCGCCCAAGAGGCGCGAGGTCAGTGTGAAAGCCCGGTAGTCAAAGTCGTAAACTAACCGAGTTCGATAAACTAGGCACTGAGTTCAAAGTCTATCATGATGATCTGGAAAAGCTCAAAAACGGGCAGATCACCGAACTGCCCTGCCACGTTCCTGCATACCCCTTCTTTCCTAAGGAGCACCTCCAGGGACTGTATGCAATCTTGGAGATGCTGATGGTCTTGGGAGAGTTCAATTTGCCATCTGATAAGGCCATCAACAGTCAGCTATCGGATATTAAAATGCTGACTGCTAAAGAGATGCTGGATCAGACCTGGAAAGCGCACAATGGACAGTAGAATCCAATCTTTAACTGACAGCTTCTTGTTTGATATATATTAGATTAAATACCTATTGTATCAGACATGGGCTGAATAACCAGCATTCATGCCCCATGCTCACTATGCTTGGTATCACCGAGTTTACTATTCCATAGGAATTATTGGTAGTCAAGGGTATGTGCTATCTCCTCTCGGCTCATTCAACTTTCTCTATCCCACACACAGTACAGCACTATAGCTCATCCCCCCCTTTACGCCCAGTGACCCGCTAGCCATGATGCACTGACAGCTGCTTGAACGCCGGACCTCTTAGCACCCCTCAACATTTTCTTATAATCCTCGATCTGAGAAATCCCAACGACCACAAGCTCCTCCACCGTCTCCGGATCAAGGCCATCCTTCCAGAGGCCAATAATCCCATTTACCTGGTGGTCGTCGATCGTTACCGACATCACCAATTCCGACTCGTCCCTCAGTTCCCATGAAGCCCTGCCGTAGGCAACCATGCCTGTTCCTTTCCAATGCAAACGACCGAGCCCGCCACTAGACTCGTAGAACCCCTCGGTTGCCTTAATGATGACTTCATGGTTTCGGGGCGGAAATTGGATTTCGGTCTTTGGCGGAAATGCGTGGAAGTCGATCATGGCCACCTCCCTGTCTCCATCGGCTGGTGAGGTGACGTAGCACTTGTCCCCCCAGGCAGCGAGGATAGCTTTTCGCTTTACTTCGTAGCGTGGTATCGTATCGCCTTCGACGCCCAAGATCCGGCGATGGCCCATAAGGGCGGTGTAGTGTATTTCCAAAGCCGGCTGTTCCTTGGCGCGTCGCGGATCCGGGGTCGGGTCTGCACGCACAATGTATTTTTCAAGCCAAGCAGGGGCCATGTTGATGTTTGTAGAATGGGCGAAATGTTGATGAGTGTGGAAGCTATTCGCATTCTTCGGAGAGAAGAATCAAGAAACGCCGTGGAGTTCTCAATAATAGAGGAGAGGATGGGAGCGAGGATATAGTTGTCACAGTTGTCATTTACAATACACCTTTGACAGAAATCTATCTCTTTATATCGAACTATGCCAAGAACAAGAGTGGGCGCAAAAGGGGGATCAGAGCTATCACGGGCAGAGTTAATTGCCAGGGGTAGCATCTATGCTGCAGGCTGCCTCGCCTATAGGGGGCGGGGGAGCGGGTTAGGAACAAGCGAACAAATACCATAATATCGGGCTCCACTAGCACCGTCGGGCTTCATTAAAACTCTCGGGCTTCATTAAAATCGGGTTTCATCAGAATCGGGCTTCATTATATCGGGCTCCACCCGCACTGTCTAACTGCTATTTATAGATGCCTATTCTAAACAGTGATCCAGCGAGCCATCCATGTATCAACAACCTGCTTGGCCTCGTCGACAAGGCCAAGGTCCAGTAGGAGCTGTGTGGTTCCACGCACGGCAGACTCAAGGGCAGAGAAAATCCAGGCGTGGGTGATGCTTGTGTGCTCACCAACAAAGATGGTGTTGAGCTCTGTCTTGTGGTACGCGGGGATGAAGACCTCTTGCTGGCCAACAGTGGGAGATGCCCAAGCACCGGCCTGATGCTCATCAACCTCCCAGCATTGACGGTCATAGTTTCCAGTCCACTGCTCGTTGGCAATCTCACCGTGGACCTCCACCATGGCCCGCTGGATGAGAGCGACGTGGTCTTCCTCGCTCAACGCGGCGACGGATCTTGCCGGAACTCCGGAAGTGTAGGATCCCAGGATGACACCAGGACCCGTCGAGTTGATCTTGTAAGCGGGATAGCAAACAGAGCCGACACCGGGGATGTCAACTGATCCGCAACCTCCGAAGATGGGGTTCTCCTGATGCTCCCAGAAACGGGTCTTGTAGTGGAGAGCAACCTTGCAGGACTGAGCGTAGTTCAGTGTGGAGATAGCCCTTGATAGGAGGCTAGAATAGGCGGGAGTCCTCCAAAGCCTGACCTTGGAGAAGGGGACGGCTACAACAGCATAGTCATACTCTTCAGACTTCGCAGTCATGTCCAAGGGGTCATCCCTCCAGATCAGAGACACCTTCGAGGTTTCATTGTTGTGCTCAAGACCAGTAATCTTTCTACCGTAAGTAATCTTGTCCTTGATGTGAGGCGCAAAGGCACGAGGCAGAGAGTCGAGGCCCTTGTCGATAGTACGCCAGTTCATGGCCGAGAAGTAGACGTTGTCATACCATTCACCCCACAGGGGAGAGCTACCGGAGCCGGCGAGAAAGTCCACAGTGTCTGCATCCAGGCCTAGCTGGTACTTGAGGTAGCCGGCTTCGGACCAGTGGAACAGGCCGCGGTCGATGGCCTCGCGGTGAGCCGCGAAGATGTTGGTGGAGATGTTGCGCATGCGCTCAGGTGTCAGGTCAACGAGGCGGTCCACGAAACCCTCACCGAGCTCGGCGCCCTCGGGGTCAGAGGCGTTTGCAGAGGGTGGCAGCATGCTGGAATCGGCGGCGATCTGAGAACTGCTGGGAATTCGCCCGTTGGGCAGACGATAACCTCGCGAGTTGGCCGGAGTGTTGGGGCTGCTCTGAATCCAAGGGATGAAGTTGACCGCCAGCTCAGAGGTGTTGCCACCATTCATCTCGTTGAGAACGTCTGCAAGTTGGAAGACCATCTTATGATCCTGGATGTCCAAAGTCTCGTTCGTGTCTGGGTATTTGACCGAAACGGGGAATCGCATGGGACCCATCTCTTGATACTGGTATTCGTCTGGGCTAGTGCCGTTGAGGTACTTGGTGCGAACGCGGCCACCGACGCGTTGGGTCGACTCGACAATGTGCCAGTTGGTCATTCCGACAGATGTCAACAGCAAGCTGGTCATAAGTCCAGACATTCCGCCGCCGATAATGGCGATCTTCTTGCTCTTGGCCTCTTTGACCGAGACAGTAGATGTCTTGTTCTTCGCCTGCAGGTACTTCACACCATTGAACCAGAGACCATTCGAGTCGCTAATCTCGTAGAGAGACTGGCGCTTGCGAAGGGGCTTCGAGAAGCTAACGGGCTCAGATCGACCGACAAGAATCCCATCTGAGTATGCGTGGAGACAGCCACGTTGGATGACATCCTCTGGCACAATCCAAACCAGGCGGTCTGGAGTAGACTCAGGCTCCGTGAATAGGTAGGCGACTTCATGGTGATGCTGGCCAGGGCTCTTGAGGGCACAGTCCCCAAAGACAACGCGGACGCTGCCATGAGGGAAGCCATCACCGTAGGTAAGGTGAACATTGTGGGCCGATTCGGAAGAAACGCTGTCCAGGCCATGAAAGAAGATGGAGTCTTGAGCGGGAGTCGGGCTGGACAGAGTGCCGCGGCCGAGAACGAGGAGAGAAAACCAAGCTGCCTTGGAAGTGAACATCTTGAGAATTGTATGAAGGTTCACTGACGTCCAAAGTTGAGGATCTTGTCGATCTGCTTGGATATCCTTGAAAGAGCAGCTGCATGATTGTCTTATAAGCTTGCTCTTGGCTCCAGTGTCTCGATGTAACTCTGCGCCTTTTCGTCAAAAGATAGGACATCCCGCGCATTCTCTTCCGATTCTTTACGCTTGTATCTAGAAGATCGATGCTACGTAACAGAAAAGATGATAACGGTCAGCGCAGGAAAGCGACGTCGGAAGGGCAGCCCGGCCGCGTGTCGGTAACGCTTAACATACCTGTATGCACTACCCAAAACGGGTCGTAAGTGATACTCTGACATCACCAGATCTGCGTTGCAATGTCTTTACAAATGACGTTTACCACGAGGTTGGTTACTGTTGTTTCCGTACTTTGTTAGCTTCGGTTGAGCTTATCGCTGCACAAACCCTTGACCTTGATCGGCGAACTCGAAGGATTTTCTTCCCACGATAACAACACGGGGTAGTTCCGCCGATAAAGATTTACCAACATCCACCGCTCTGGATCTGTCACTAGACTCTTGGCACGCGGGGTAACAGATTTCCAACGAACTTGTCGTAGAATTTTCCCAGATTAGGAAAAAGACGAGAAGAGTTGAGAACTTAGCTTTCCATCTGTTTGGGATGTGAAGCTTCGGCTTCTCACTTGTCTGCATCTACTCCCAGCGGCTGCTACTGGGCCAATGCTTGAATATTATGTGCTATGTGTAGCTGCTTTGGTAATTGTCAATTAACCTTATTTGTAAGCGCCATTGACATACGGCAACTTAAACCTTAACCATTATGGTCATGGTCCGGCAACACCGGACTTGAGTCACCCACAGCAGAAGCATCAACCAACAGTTCGGAGAACCCGTGGAACGCGTGGCACTATTTATCAAGAGTATCTTTTAGTCATTGATATTCAGGAACATTATCCTCGTAAAACAGATAAACAGAAACAGGAACGATAGTGACAGAGCTGGGGAAGCTCGAAACGAGGCGGGGATAGCACGCTAAACTTATTACCGGTTTAATTTCTAACTCCGATTCCCGCGTGGAGTCATAACCAGGGCCTGTCATTAGGGAAAAGTCTCCGGAAGTCGGGCTTCAATTCAATTGACCGAAGAGATAAGGGACCTGAGGTGTCTGTCCGACATAACGTTTCTCACCGACGGAACAAGGTCGGTTGCAAAAGTCCCCAGGCTTGCAAGTTAAGTTAGCCGAGAAAAGATACTGAAGGCGATAAGGGCCAACCGTTATGTCATGAAGAGGCACCAACATGTTCAGTCCCTTGCAGTGCCTCGTAATCAACCATATCGGGTCCATTGAGCCATTAATGCACAGAAGTGGGAACCTTGGCCTTGGCCTTGACCACAGGGCGTGGTGACATTCCGCTGATGCGGTCAAGTGTGGAGTGCACCCTAGGCTACAGCGAGGGCCCGAAGTGGTAGGGCGAAGAACGACAAGCATAGTCTTGGCAGCACTGATAAGGGTGAACCACCAACACAGCCTAACCTAATTTACCACTGCAACTACTCCAGCCAACCGGGCCGCTGAATAACGTTTCCGACCGGAGGGTTGGGACATTGAGAGTCGTCTTGGCAGAACGTGCTTGAGATGGTATTTAAGTCATCATCTGGCGGATTGTATGAATAGATTCAGCCCATTCTTGAAGTCTCAGCTCCTCACCAATTAGCCAATTGCACTCTACGTCCTTCGATCTCTCAATTTTTCTCCTTCAATTGAATCAAAATGATTGGAATGACTCTCCTCAAGACCACCACTCTGGTGCTTGCTGCCGTTGGAGCCGTGTTTGCTGCTCCCTCTCCTGCCCTTCAAGCACGGTCCAAGTCGCCAATCACCCATCTCGGCAACAAAGGCCCGATTCTATGTAAGTCTTAAGAACATGTCTCTTATATAGAAGACTCCAATGCTAATACTACCCAGCCGGTGGCGTGGCTACCAAGGATCTGGTTTATACAAGCGGCACTGTTCCTTCCGTCAACGGAACCATCCCTGAAGGAATCGAGGCTCAGGTGGTGAGTTATGATTGAAATCTGACCCTGTAATAACCTCGCTAAACAAAGCCGCAGGCCGCTGTTATTGATAACATTTCTCTTATCCTTGAAGAGGCTGGTACATCGTGGGAGTATGCAATCAAGACCACGGTGTTCCTCGCCAACATGGATGACTTTGCTGCCATGAATGCCGTGTACGGTCGTATGCTGCCCGACCCTAAGCCGGCCCGGACCACGATTCAGGCTGGGAAGCTGCCTGGTGATTTCTTGGTCGAGATTGAAGCTATCGTTGCTCAGCCACACTGCTGAGGTGGAGTTTAAACATCAACGGGTGAAGCTGGGTATGAATGCGTAAGATAAGATTCTTTTGGTAGCATCCAAGGCTCTGCGGAGACTAGAGATATTTCCTGAAATGTCCCGTAAGAGACTGGGAGAACGTATGGTACTATCAGACATTAGTCAAGGTTAGAATACGGACGTTTGCTTCAATCAATTGACATCATAAAATGCGTGCACGCAGGGCAAGCCATGTGTCGTATATGATGTTATATGAATGTACCTATATGCTTATGATGACAATATATTCAGCAGTATAAATGGCCCAACTGCCTCTATGCCTGTTAGAAGGTTTCTCACTTTTGCCTTTAGCAATGGTGGTAAATTGTGTTCCACACAATAGCTCCTCAAGACAATGAACCCCATCGCTCATACTTTCCCTAAAGATCTTTGATATGCAAGAACACTTACTACATCTAAGGTAACATGTAGTCAGGGTCACGACGGAAAAGCATGCCCGTAAGGTTTCTATTTAAGAGCTCACAGAACCCTACAATGCATGTATTTTCGCCAAAGGAAAAAAGTATCTACTTGCCATAGAACAATAATTCACTTTATAGACGCCTGGGCAAGGTTCTTGCAAGTATTTGCAACTCAATCACTCCCAATCTTCTTTCTATAGGAACTCGCTGGCAATACCTCCCAGGTTCTCAACCCTCGAGGCAATGGCAAGACAGGTAACGACAGAGTTCCAAAATATCTCGGTTTTGAGTCTCCACACCCATTTGACAACGCCCGGAGCGCGCGGGTAGGGTAATAAGACTCGGTCTTGGGAGAGATCTGCATGCGGTGCTGGTATCTCCCACAGTCTTGATGGAGCTGGGCGCCCTGCTGTGGTCAGCTTTAAGCACTTTAAAGATAAAGAATATTTTACTCAAAAAATGCCAAGCTTAAAGGGAGCGAATAATTTACTTTAATGCTAGGTAATAGCCCTACTTTTAGGCTGCTTTCCCCACTCAGAGTCAAGCCACTATAAGGGGAGGGAAACAATATTGGATGGTATCGCGGGCAAACCTGCAATATCGTCCAATGGTGACGTGTGACAACCTCCGAGTGGTGGCAGACAGTCCCTGGATTTTACTTTATCTCCTTAGCTGCAGCTTTAAAAGGAAATTTGCTTACAGGATGTCTCTCTGTCTGTCGTTCTAGATTCACCTTTCTCGCAAATTGGTTACTAAATTAGCTGCATGCTAACCATCAATTTCCAGCTAAACCCGCATAGAGGCCCTAGCTTCACGCCGCTCGCAACTCGACTACCACATTAAGACCATGCTGAACTTACTGGCTAGTTTCAGCACCACCTGCCAGTAAAGAGTTGAGAAATGCATAAGGTCTATCAATGTGATATCAATAAACTCTAATATACAAGCATAGTAACTCCCGCGGAGACTCTGAAACTTTAGATCTCAATATCACCACTCGCTCAATCCTTTTACCCCTCCCACCAACATCCAGTCACCCTTGTCCTATCATTAAGGATGCGCGTTACCTTTTTTGCCCTCTCCATAGTGGCTCTCACTCTCGGAGCCCCATCCCCCGAAATTTATGGCGAAGCGGAGTTTGAGTCAGGCTTCGTGATCCCAGCAAACAATGCGCTCGAGGATTATGACAAATCTACTCAGTTCATGACCCCTGTCGGTGAGCTTGACTGGGACAACAACTACGATCTTGAGACCATCCGCGCCGATGGACAGTCTGCAGACCATTATGGGAATTCAGCAGTTGTTTCTCGGGCGGCCAAGAAGCAGACCAAGGTCTTTCTGGGAAAGACCCAAGTCGACTACGGTTGCGAGGCCTCTATTCGCAAGACTCTGGGGGAGGCCATCCACTCTCTTTGCAGAGGAGGCTTTTGCGATGGAGGTTCCAAGTACACGCGCAAGGTTGACCACATGGACAACAGCAGACGCAGGAAGGCTTGGGTTCAGGTCGAGATCACCGGAACTTACAGAGGAAAACACACCAGAGGACACATCGCCGAGAGCGTCAAGCTCACCGTCACTCCCGAGACGGCCAAGCCAGCTGTCAGAACCTATTACGGCCAATCTTTCAATCCCATTCTCCAGAAATGCAAGATGTCCAAGTTTACCAACTACATCCATGTATACAAGAACTTCGGCGACGACGTGAATGTTCAAATCCGAGTCTCGCTCAAAACGACAAATTGTAAGCACTATTGCTGTCCCCCTCACGTGTTTTGTGCACTTTTTATTGTCCTGAACACTATACATACAGTGCTAACTTATATGCGTTTAGCGTTTTGCCCTGCCATCAAGGTCTTGGAGAGCGTATCTGGAGCAATCAATGGTGCTCCTGGAGGCTTCTGGGGTTTGGTTCCCCTCTCGTGTACTTAGTGACTCGTGAAAGAGTACAGATGCATCGCTGTTGCAGCTAGCTACCTGGTCTCTTCATCACCACAACACATCACCTTCTTGTCCTTGAGTATCTTTCCCGCACTATGCGACTAAGCAGTTGGGATATGCTTGGATTTCTTTCTTCATGGCCTCCAGAGTTGGTGCACCCTTGGTTATGGTATCAAGTCAAGGAGTCACTACCACTGTTAACTAGAGTACATCGATCTTTCCACGTAGTCATTCTCATATACTCTACGCTTCTTTCGCTTAGGTAGTTGAGCTTGCTTAGGGTTCTCTTATACAATAGTGCCGACCATCATCTGCGCCCTCTAGATCTCGGCTTCTCCATAAAGTCAAGCTTTCTTTTGAAATCACAAAATGGTCCCCATGTCATGGCACATGGCTCTTGGTCTTCAAAAAGAAATGAGTCAAGCATTTCAGCTGTGCAACCCTCCCCCGCCCCCAATGGGGTTACATTTCGAAAGAGTCGCACCCCTCCCATTGGGGCGCAGTCCATCGGTGCAGGCTCCAGTTCCGAGACGACTCCCAAGGTGCCAAGAAAGCCCTCTGAAAAGTGCAAAAGACATGTAGACCAGGCTGTGAGTCCTGGAATCAAGATTGGACAATATTGCACCGCAACCGCCGTGGCGTTTACTCCGTCAGCACCACGGCATAACATTAGAGCTACCCAACACCAGCCCAACCTTTCCTTCCGCCTCCCTTTCGTCAAGTATTTATATAGAAGCTGCAAGGCTCTGTATTCTTTTCTGACTTGCCCAGACAAAATTTCCACAGAATGGACGGCTTCCCACTTCGCAGTATGACTGGCAGGGATCATGGTGGCTATCATCATTTTGAGCGTCACGCCAACGCCAGCCAAGTCCCCGAGGACGCTAATGAGCGCTTGATCAATGCCCAAGACAATGCAACTCTATCTTCTGAACAGCCTTGTGGCTTATCAGCAGACTGTGGTAAGCCCTAACTGCCAAATCTTTGAATGAGGACTAACAATCCAGGTACCTCGACACCTTTCATCCCCATCACCGAGGAAGAGGCCCGACGAACCACCAGCCTCCCCGAGCTAAACTTCCGTCCTACAGTGCTGAATACATGGTACTTATCTACACTCATGCTGTGGCAATTTCTGTGCATGGGCGGCGTTATAGCTCTCATGGTCTTGGGCGAAATACAACCTCCTTGGTTCCGCTTTGGGACCCGCTCCAGCTTTTGGATGTGGCTCTACATGCCTGGATTGGTCGGCTTTCTCACTACTGTATCCTGGAGAGGTACAGCGCAGTGGTATAACCGTATCATTCCTTACGTGCGCTTGGCAAATATTCCTATATCCTCCTCGTGGCAAGATGGTGACCACCCGCCGAAGAATTTGCTGAATATGTCACTAAACGGAGTGCCTAGCGGAAATTTGAATCCTGAGCAGATCATCTCACTCTTCAAAAGTGGTGACTATCTGAGCGCAGTGGTTAACCTTACCATCCTGGGCACATGGCTTCTGACACCTCTGAAGTCCAGTTTGTTTCAGCTTGTTGAGGACGGTCGAGGCTGGCAGATCCATGTCTCTAAATTATTTGGGTTCGTGGGCCTGACCATCAACCTCTGGCTTCTTTCAACCACTTTCTGGATTTTCTTTCATCTACGCAGCCGACAGACCGGTCTGAAGTGGAATCCTGCTCCCCTTGCCTCGCAGCTTTGCCTTCTTCAGGGCCCCAACGTATTCGATAGCTTTGAGGGGATAGACTACTCCGATCTCAGACCACTCAAGAATGCTGTGAGAACATGGTCAAGAAATGGCCTTGTTCTTCGTCTTGGGTACTGGAAGCAAGAAGATACCAACATTATCACTCACGGCGTGAGATTCCTCCCCAGAAACGGCCCATTCAGATCTGAGGAGCAACTCACTCGACGGGAAGCTCACTATTCCTCTGATTTCGAACTGGAGTCTTACGGAACGGATATTGATCGAATCTGGAATTTGTACTTATTCGACTGGTATCTCATCTTCACCACAGCCATGGGCCTTATTCTTCTAGCTGTCGCGGCCTATGCTTGGGCCAAGGGCCTGATATTCCGACCATTCAGTCTCACCTCAATACTCTCGGGCACTTTACAGCGCGCCATTGTCTTTTCACTTCTTCCCGCGTTGGCGTACGGATTGTTCCATCAGACATTTCTATCTTCAGACGTTTACATGCGCACGGTGATGCCAATCCAGAACATGGCAAGTCCTCTACCTAATGAGGATCTTCATCGGATATTCGGGCCAGGACACGAGATTTTGAAGGGTGCCACCGCGGCGAATAGCATGCTCCTGGATTACCTCTCTCCCAGCGTTTTTGGGTGCATAGCTCAGGCCATCGAACTTGGCCACTACAAGATCATTCTTGGTGTTGTCTTGGCCACACTTAGCAACTCTGTTTACCTTGTAGTGGCCCGGATCTTCGACTTTAGCGAGGCCAAAAATGGCAATTACAACGTTCACATTCACGCCAGAAGCTTTTACGCATCATTCGGCATCATGATTATATACTGCCTCAGCAATTGGATATTGAGACCTCGTGGGCCTGTCAGGACTTGCAGACCTGTATATGGCCTTGTGGACTTTGCGTCTCTTGTTTATCGGAGCGATGTCTTGCTATGCCCTGAATTTTGGCTGCAAGATTCTGCAGATACAGAAGAGCATATGAAGGCGCAGGTGACGCTGGCTAATAGGCTCTATCAGTATGGCATCTACCACGGAATAGATGGACATGGGCACGTCGGTATCGGCGTCGAATATGCACCACCAACGCGGTTGCTAGACGATGACAATATCGTGTGTCTTGAGCGATCTGTGAATTTAGCGAGAGCGGCGATCGCGTCCGGTATATATAGCGAGGCTTCCCTTGTGAGTGCTGAGAGTTTCATCACCAATGAACCTCAAAGGCGATCCTCCCTTCGGAGGGTTCGGACGAATCAATACCGGAGCTGGCGCAGGAGAGCAAAGAAAATAGCGAGTCTTAGATCTTAAGGTAGTAAAGAGATCAGCCTATTTGGGAGTCGACTTCATTTCAACTCTTAATCTCGAAGAGAGAGCAGCGATGCATGTTAGCATAACAATTCAGTTGTTAATATGCTGGCAGTGTGTTGGCGTCTCGGAGCAACATCGCCGTACCCGATCCAATCAACTTAGATCTATGTCCGACGAGCAGGAGTAAGGATGAGATTGCCTGCAAGCCAAGTGAATCTGCAGGCTCTCTTCCCCGCTCTCGAAATTACAGCCACCAGCCACTCGCAAGAAATCTACCTGATGAGGGGGCCTGCAGGGGGGGCGACCAACACAAATCCCGAAGCTGTGTCTCAGCGGGCCTCCGAGAACTACGATTACAATTCTTATGTCAGATACAACAGTCTGGACAACAAATATGGAATAATGGTTGCGAAAGACGGATATACGATTTGTATCACGACCCAACGTATCTCTTTAGACCAAGAAAAAGGGCAACCGTCAGGTCTAGCTTTAAGGTGTTATCCAGATCAGGCTGTGCTAGCACACACCGCTACTACCAGGGTTATCTGCAGTCTGACAGCCAAGCCTCCGCCCCCTTTCATCCCGTTGTCTCGACTGCGCGAATGAGGCTCTGTTGCTATCCACCAAAAGCTGTGTACTGGTTGCTTTCCGTCTCTTTCTCGCCAGCCGCAGTTTCACCAACACCATCATTTCCCGTCTTGCATGGGCCCAGAGCCAGTTTTCTCGCCTCCCATAGCCTTGTTTTGCTTGGCAACTGACAATGCACAGGGTCTCGACCAAGCCATGGCCCAGCCATCACATCTCGTATCCGCGACCAAGTCATCCCGATCTCGAGAAGCAAGTCTTATGGGTAGAATCTGGTGGACTTGGTCAGTGACACTTCTATTACTAGGATGCACCATTATCTAGCCTCGAGGCCAAAGGCAGGCTGTCTCTTAGCTGCATAAGCTGAATATTGGAGGCGTTTTTGATGCCACATGCGAGCAGGTAGAACTGTCACTTTCTGCTCCATATCATCACCTAGGTTCGTTTCAAGTCAGTCAGCTTGGGGGCTCTTTTGAAGTTTTCGTTGGATCTTCCACTTGCCTCAAACAACATCGATCGGGACATCATACTGGCCGCGTCTCGATATCGACTCAAGATGGGACCCGAGAATCACCAACAGTTGGCGGGCGGACCGCCAGGCGACCGGCAGGAGCAGGCCTTCTCACACCAGGCCTACCCCCTTCAGGCTTTCCCTCAACAAACCTACACGACCCAAGACTACCCTCCGCAAAGCTTCTCACAGCAAGACCACTCACAGCAAGACTTCTCGCACCATCCGGCTTCTCAGCAAGCCTACCAACCTCAACTTTATCCCACACAGTCATTCTCTCATCAATCCATCTCCCCGCCACCTGGGCAAGCCGTCTCCCCGCAAACTTACCCAGCTCAACCGTACCCGGGCCAGGCCCATCCGCCGCATCCCGTCTCGCCGCATGCCGTTTCACCGCAGTCGCCGACTAGTCCTCCCCAACCTTTCGAAGCAATCTCGCAACAACATGGTCCTTGGGTTGACCCATTAAGCCCCGATCTGCGAGACTCTCCTGACTTCGATCGCAATAATGACAATCAAAGGGGCCTCATTGGCAACACTCCCGTCCATGTCGTCGATCCCAAGTCCCCCAACGTGGGTGTATTCCGTCGCTCAACCACCACTGCCCTCCCCGAGTCAACATCATGGTGGCTCAGAGTTCTCAAGAGCAAATGGTCCATGATTGCCTGCCTCATAATCGGAGTTGTGGGTGCCCTTGGTCATCATTTCCTATACTATCATCTCCACGGCCGTTTGGCCACCAATCAACAGTGGTGGCTCCGTCTAGGTCAACTCATCTCGTTCATTGCCAAGGCCAACTTCGTCGTTGCTGCCATCATGGCCCACCAACAGATCGCTTGGAGAGCAGTCGGGCAAAAAGGCTTTTCAGTTGAGGCTGTGGACTCTCTGTTTGGATCCGCTCACAATGTCATGGAACTCTTCAACAGAGAGGCATGGATCAAGTCCTGGTTCGTCATGTTTCTTGCTCTTTATATGTGGGCCAGTCCTTTCGTCGTCATCTTCACGTCAGCAACCCTCGACGTTGTGCTGAAACAAAAAGAAGAGTCTCTCCTTTGCCCCTCAGTCCGGACTCTGAACTTTGAGGGGGAAGTTAAAACGAGCTATCAGGAACCAAAAAAAGCCGCCGGCGAGATCCTGAATGGTCGTTCCCTTTCTTCCTACAATTGGACTTATGAAAAGGGGAACTGGGCAACACAGGACAAGGAGGAGTTCGACATCTTCGAGTATTTCATTGGCCCCGCGCCTTCCTTTGAGCGTATCGTGTCTGGCGTCTTCTCCAGCGGGCAACCAATTCAGAGAAAGAGTGTGGCACAGGAAATTTGCGGCAAAGGCTGGGATTGTTCAACCCAGATCCAATTCATCGGGCCGGGATACAGATGCGAGGAGCTGGCCAAGGGAGTCGAATCCGAACCGAAGAAATTCGGCAACTCTATCCGTCCTGAGAACTTCACCACGGATCTTTTTGTTCCTCGAGGGAACTATACCTACTTCGCAGACGTATTCCGCGGAGAGTACGTTAACCCCCAAATGGAAAATTTGACGGACAAAGGTGTCCCTTCGGCTGAGCCTCCATTCCCTCAGAATCTCGGCGCCATCAGAACTGAACCAATCATCTGGATTGGATACTCTGCTGTGAAGGACTTGAGCGTTCCGCATGCTCGTAACAAGAGTGCAAAGGGGTGGACTAGCGAATATGAGCCGACCATATTTGCTTGCGAGCATTGGGAGGTCAACTACACAGTCAAGTTAGACTATACGGACGGGGTTCAGACATACAAGGTGCTCAACCGAGATTACAAGAACAAGATTATCGACACGGTTTTCGAAAAGGAGGAGAAAGAGCCTACCGACGGAACCTTGGATAAAAACGTCATCACACCGAATGCCAGCTATGTCAGACCGCGAAGAGACTATCCCAGGTATCGTGAGATTGCCGCATATCACAGCATCGGGAATATGTTTCGCAAGCAGCTAGAAGGCAACGTCATGTTGCCGGACACAGGGCCCACCGCAAACGGCGGCATCACAAAGACAACGCTCCTCGGCAAATTTGAAAGCCTCCTCCTCCCAAACTTCCACGACGAGGTACGTCGAGCCTATGAGGATCTTCTCATATCTCTTCTTTCAGATGGTCAACTCCTTGCGGTGGCGTGGGCAGCCGACCCCTCCAAGCTTTCAGGCACCAACGTCGGCGGCGAGGACACAGGATACGAGTGTGTACGTCGTCATGTAGCAAACTACTTTGACTACGAATGGAGGATTCTCGTAGCTGTCTACGCCGTCTCATTCGTTATCGCTAGCATCGGAGTGTACCATGGCATTTCGGCGATGCAGAGCGACGGCACCAGTACACAGCGCGAGATGACTTTCTCCTCTATTGCAGGGGCGACCAAGAGAGTCAGCGTGGATGAGAATGAGAAGAGAGAGACCAAAATCAGATGCTTCCCAGTCGACGAGCGCTCGGGAGGTCGGCTTTACGAGTTCAGGGCAGAGTTGCAGGGTTGACAGAATGGGCTCAATTGAGGGGCAGCGTTGCGGGAGGGCTTGTCTGAGGTTGCAATGAGAGTCATGGATTTTCAGGCTAGTATTTGTTTTCTAATTCCCTTCTCAGTACATAATGACATACAGCTTTTGCCCATAATTCATCTTCATCTATGTTTGAGTTATGCTATCGGTATAGCACTCTTTTGCGCTGTGACTGGCGCCACAATTGGTAGCGCGACTGGTGCATCGATGAGGCTATCACGTGCGCCTTCGGGTACTACTATAATCCGCTCCGGCCAGTCAGATCAATCGTCACTCAGGAGCGCGACTAAGCAACATAGCTCAACATCCAAGCTCTTTCTAGATGGTCTAAGTCGTTAATCATCCTACTATAAGCCAAGGCCCTGACGGCCATCATTGACCAACATGCCGCGAATGAATCTTGGCCTTCCCTTCCAGACCTGCAATGTCTACCCAAACCCTTGCAAGTCCACTGTGCAGGGGGCCAAGCTCTTCCGTTGCAGCGCTTGCCACGTCGTGAACTACTGTGGCGTTGAACATCAAAGAGCTGATCGACCCAGGCATAAGGTCCAATGCGTTCCGATCAAGCAGACCAAGACCAAGCTCGAAAGGGAAGAGGCCGCTCTACGGGCCAACCCTGGCGATGCCAACACCCCACCAGACGCATTCGAAAACGCCATGGGCAATTTCTGGACTTTTCAAGGAACTCGTCCATATATGAGAGCTCGGCACGAATATGTAACAGCTCTTCTCAACGTCCGCACGGGCGAGGCCGTCCAAGCAGCACTCGACCATTCTCTTGCTCTGCTTCAACTCTCTCGGGGCGACAACATGGGCGTCCGATCCTCGATTCCAGGGCTGTTTCTCCGTCTAGGAAGGGATCAAGACGCGTACGACTTCATCAAATGGTATGCTGTCAAGGCGACCTCGACTTACGAATGGGGAAACATGGAACTGCCTTTTCTCGATTTGAAGGGGGAGAACGCGCTCGAGCCTGTGGATGAGAAGCCCCTGCACATTGATCTCTCCTTCTTTGTAGCCTTGACACTTATCAAGGTTCGCTTGATGAAGGACTTGATGGGACTGCAGGCATTCGTGAAGAAGAAGCCCAACGCGACAATCGCCGCTCGGATGGAATATTTGAAGGAGGAAGCTATGAGTGATGTGCTTCTGTCGCGCGAGGACATCGTTGGAGGTGACCTTGGGGAGGCAGTTGCCGAAATGCGGCGTCAGGCGATGCAACTGTACGAGAAGGTCAAGACGATGAACCCACACTTCTGGCCAGGTGTGCTTAACCCAGAGATTTACGCCTATAGTGTGCCGGGGATGTACACTATGGGCTCGCCAGAGGAGGCGGTACTCGTTTTTAGGCAGTCCTGGTACTCGTGGTCGGAAACTGAAGCAGCAATCCAGTGGATCAGAGGAATCATAAGGAACGACACGTCATAGGAACTGCAATGCCAAGGGTCGAGGGAAGCGGTGTTGGGAGATGAGCGTCAGTGACAGAAATCGGATCGGAGTTGGCACCTGTATTTACGAAGAATGCAAGATTCTTGCGACACGTTGTATTAAAATTCGTTTTCTGAAATCTGCCATTGAAGCCCAAATATAGCGATGTGTTATTCCTAGAATACACAGCATCACCTCTTTCTACCCCAAGGCAGAGGGCGTAATGATTGGCTCCTTCGCCCGAACCGCCCACGCAGTACGCAGTCTTTCCCCGATGTAGGTGTCGGTCGTTTAGTTTGTCTCGCTACATGAAACTCAACTCGCGTTATGTAAGACGTAGAACTCGACCTATAACACTCTGTCAGAAGCTACGAGAAATGGAAAGATACGACTAGAGTTTATCTGTGTATCTTTCCTCTCTTGGCATCGCAGCAGCCGGATATACGTTGACTACTGATACTTCTTGACCTCTTCAACAAACCTCCGAGTAGGCACACGGTTCCTAAAGAGGTGATCCAGAGTCTCGGGAGTCATTCCCTTTGTCTCAGGAAGTCGGAAGAACGCCTATATCCACATGCATGCCGTCAGTGCTCCCGGCAGGAACGCAGCATTACCCTTCAAATTGGCATTGGCCGGGTTGAGCATGTACGGAGCTACAACAGTGTTGACGATGTTGAGCAGATAGTCAGTGTTCCAGCCAAGGGCGATTGTCCTTGTGCGTAGGCGAGATGCCCCGACTTCGGTGCCAATGGCGAACGATACAGGGCCGATGGAGGCTGTAGACAAAGAACCAGATGAGCAGCATTGACGCCTGTGCCCATCGAACGCGAGATGCATCCGGCGCGAGATCGAGGAACCCGATGGTGAACATGATGGGGAGGATAGCTGTGAGACCGGCGATGTAGATAGTTCGGCGGCCGTATCGTGATATCATCAGCCATGAGAGGACGGTGCCGACGAATGCAATAGAGTAGTTGCCTGTTGAACAAATGGATGTAAGCGGCTGGAGGTTGGTTTGAAGGAAAGAAAACATCAACTTACCAACAGACATCTTGAAGGCGTTCCCAGCAGGCAACCCAGCAAGAGTAAAGAAATACGTGCTGTAGTTCTGAATGACGAAGCCAGGAAGAATTTGGCACCCCCAACTAACCATGGCGATTTCCGTCCTGCGGAGGTTAGTTCCCTTGAAGCAATCAAGGTAACCCCCTGGATTCTCAAAGTCTCCTTCTCCAGTCTCAGCGTCGCATTGATCATGGCTAGCATCTGACGCGGGTCAATAACATCCTCGGGCGCGGAACAAAGTCTTCACAGTGACGCCTCAGCCTCAACCGGTCGGTCCTTTCGAGCCAGCCACCATGGAGACTCTGGGGCAAATATGCACGCCACTGCGAGGGGGAGCGGCCATATCCACTGGATGGCGAACGGGATGCGATAGGACCATTGGTTGTTCATGTTGACCATGCCTGCAAGGACACCGGCGGCGACCAAGTGACCGATGACCCAGCAGAGGTTGATGTAGGTTGTGAAGTAAGGCTTCAGGGCTGTGGGGGAGACTTCAGAGACGTAGCTTGAGGCTGAGGTGATGAAGAAGCTACAGGGGATGGAGCTGAGCAAAAATTAGCAACCTGATGGCAGACTTTAGTGAAATAACGAACAAGTTACAGCAGTAGAATTCCCACTAGCAGCACCTCGACACTGGTTGCGAATGCACAGCATTGATGAAAACGTTGGCCGTATGCCAGACTGGCTAGACGAGCAGGGCCTCGCAGAAAACACCATCGTGGTCTACACTTCGGACCAAGGATTCTTCCTCGGTGAACACGGCTGGTGCGACAAGAGGTTCATGTACGAGGAGAGCTTTCAAATGCCTTTCTTAATCCGCCACCCAAAGGAGATCCAGCCTGGGTTTATGTGCGATGATATTATCTGCAATGTCGATTTTGCCCCAACCTTTTGCGATCTCGCTGGCTTGCAGGTCCCGAGCTACATGCAGGGTGTTTCATTCCGAGAGCTTTTGAACGGTCGGCGGCCGGGGGATTGGCAGCAGGTTGCCTTTCATAGGTACTGGATGCATAATGATGCGGTGCACCATGCCTGTGCGCATTATGGCGTGCGTGATCATTGGTACAAGCTTATTTATTGGTATAATGAGGACCTTGGCATTGAGGGGTCGAGACCAGGCAGAAAGTCAGAGAAAGAGTGGGAGTTATTTGATTGTGAGGAGGACCCGCTCGAACTACTCAATGTCTATAATGATTTGCGGTATAAGGAGACGGTGAAGCAGATGACGCTCCTGCTAGAGAAGAAGATGGAGCAGATTGGGGATATTCCCCTACATCCAAGGCTCGGCGCTTAAGCTCCCATTGACGGATCGAAGGTGGTCGTTCCAGGGGCCACTGCGTCAAATGCCCGTAGCTCTTCCAATCACACACATACAAGCTTACACCCAACAAGGCTGAAGCATTTCAACAATTTAAACCCCGCATTTTCATCAACACATCTTCCATGGCAAAATGAAACTCATACCTATTACACTTGACGAGGTCGCAGCTCTCACGCCTGTTACTCAGGATGAGGCAGAGCATATCTACATCTTTGATCAATTCGGTACACAAGACTGTCTTCTCGATTGTGAAGCATGGAAAACCAGACAAGATGTGACTGGGCGGCGTACGACAACCCCAGCCGAGAAACGACAGAAGAGAAAAGACATCAAAAAACTCGGCAAGTCATCGATATTGAAGCAGCGCCAGACTATAAAGAACGACACGAGAATTGCCAATAGCTCCCTCAAGTTCAAACGAGAAGCTTTCACGTTGAAAGACGTAGAGAATTCTGGCGAGAACGGCTGTGGCTGTTGTCAATTCTTCCACGCCTTGCTGAAGACTCTCCTGCCAAGTCGTGAAAACACGGATGTCGATCATCTAGTATTCGAATGGATTCGTTATGGCTTTCTCCTTAAAGTTCAGGACAAACAAAAAACATTCTCTTTTCAGCTCTTCTCGCCGTCAGGTATGTAAAATGCTCGACGTGATGATCAAGGGCTCACCCAGTGATGATCTAGGAGCCAAATCTGTCATCCATGGTTTGAAGTCGGCAAGAGTTCTCACAGGAGATACATCCACCCCCACTTCATTGAATCTCGCACAAAGCTGGATACAAGATTGTGAGACAACACATGGACAGTGTGGTTCCGGTCGAGACGTTTCCCTTCCGAAGCGATGCCTGGACCTCAAGCCGACGAGCATCTCCGATGATTCTGCCATCCAACTTGTTGAAACACGCGGTAGCACTGGTACCTATGCATGCCTTTCTCATTGCTGGGGCAAGGATAAACTCATAACAACCACATCGCAAACAATCGCCAGTCATCTCAACAGCATCCCCTTTGCGGTCCTTCCTAAGACGTTCGGAGACGCTGTGACATTGACAAGGAGTCTTGGAATTCGATATCTCTGGATTGATTCCCTATGCATCATCCAAGACTCACCCGAAGACTGGCAAATCGAGTCTAGCAAGATGGCAGACATTTATCACAACAGTTTCCTCACCATAGCTGCAATATCATCGCCCGACTCCCGCGGTGGTTGCTTCTGTCCAGAAAAGCTAAGCGACACGTGCTTTCGTGTCCAATCAGATGGACTGGATACCCTAATTGCTGCACGTTATTGTAATGGCGAGGGTGCAGTGGCGGATACCCAAACGTTCATGGAAGCCTTTCCCGCCCTGACTCGAGCCTGGATTTACCAAGAGCGGATGTTGTCTCGGAGAATTCTCTACTGTACATATCGAGAGTTCCAATTTGAATGTCGTCAGAACGAGACTTGCGAGTGCGGCAGCCGCTTTATGCCTCCACACCCAGAACCAGGGACTCCCGCAAGCAAGGCGATGATGCAAGGAAAGAACCAATATGGTGAACTTGAGAAGCTCTACAGTATCAAAGGACAGTACTCGGCAAAGCAGTTGTGTCAGCATTGGCAGAAGACGGTCATGCAGTATACCAAGCTTCGGATCACCCATTTGAGTGACAAATTACCCGCTCTATCGGGATGTGCCAAGGACATTGGCCGCATCACAGGAGATGACTTTCTTGCTGGGCTTTGGAGAGCAAATTTCGCGGAGGGGCTACTCTGGGTCGTCAATGTACCTGTGGATCAGCCTCGGGCGTCTGTTTGGAGAGCACCCAGCTGGTCGTGGGCAAGTATCGACAGTACCATGGGGATAGATTACATCTACACAATGAGGACACGCCACAGACAAGACTTTGAAGACAAGATACAGGAGGTTGAGTGCGAGCCCGCCGGGGTTGATAGAACCGGAGCTGTCAAGTCCGCACACGTATGGATACGAGCATCTCTCTGCCCAGTATACCTCCGCCGGATCTGTCGACGCTGTACGACCTCGAGAAGTCGAATCCCGTACAGTATCGAAAATGACCAGTGGATGAGTACACGAAGCCCGAAGATAACACCCTGCCCTGTGACACCGGGCAGCGACATCAAAGGCCTTGTGCTCAAGGGCGCCGAACCGAGCTTCTTTCCTGATTACAAGTATGATGACCGAGTCGACTTTGAATTTCTTGACAGGAATGACGGATTTGCTTGTCGACATGCACGCGTATTTCTTCTTCATCTCTACGATAACCAATCTTTCGCAACGGATGTGATTACTGACTATTTCCTTGTTCTGAGAAAGGTGACTGAGGCAAGTAGTGGCAGTTCGTTCGAGAGAGTTGCTCTTATTACTCTTGCCTTTAAGGACTGGGCAGCGAGAGATGATTGGTTCCGGACTGAGTTTGACTTGGTAGTTGAACAGGAGACTGCACTGAAGATAGTCTAGGTAATGGGAAGGGCGCGAGGATAGACAGAAGGCCGAGTGTTTAGCTGCCAAGATGAGTTTCAAGGGGAAGCAAGCCTTGTTTATATCGGAGATGTTTGGAAAACGTTTCACACCGTGATCATCCATTAGGTACTCAAACAGTAACTAAATGAGACATCTCTGAACTAATACAGTCTCCCAACCTCGGGCGGCTCTACGGGCCAGCTCGTCACGCAAAGCTTGTTCGTTCCTCCCACTGCCCCCCATCGTACCAACTTCAGAGCAGCATCCTCGTCCCCTTCAGGTGCATGGCATGCAGCGCTAATGACGGCAGAGCATGGTCCACCTACAGGTATGGCCGTCGTCATCGGTCTGAGGCTCATCCCGACAGTAATTAGCAGAATCAGCGCGCCGAGAATTATCGTAAACACGATGGCTATAGGGGAGTATCCGCAGGTGGTCTCCCTAAAGTCATAACTGACCAGTGCTTGCCCCTGGACATCCGTTTTTGTTCCGTCCTCGTAGATGACCAGTCTCACAAAGAAGATAGATTGAGAGATGAGCCAGTGCAATGCTGCAGACCCGGCAAGAAGAGGCAGTCCGTATCTCTATTGGCCCAAGCCATGCAGTGATCAGCCCTCAGTACAAACTCTGGCAAAAAGGAAGGACTTACCAAAGGAAGCGACAGCCAGTAAGTCCTACGCTGATTTCCGGCCGGGGAGCTCGTACGAAGACCTTTGTGTTCTTGACCATAGGTATTCCATTCTACTCCAACGAGCATGGCAGTCCACATTCCATTCAGTGCAGTGTAAAGCAGGGAAAGAATCAGCTGCGGAAGATTGGCAACGAGCACCATCACCACAGGTCCCTCCAAAGTCATGATTTCTGTAAAATCGATGAGAGTGTCAACGCTGACCTGCCCAAAGCCTCGGTTCCACAGGGCGGCCAAACTGGGCGTTTCGTATACAGACACGTGCTCAACCCCCAGATATAAGAGGTAAGAGGTCAAAGAGAGAGCGCCAGCACAACTGTTGTTTGTTAGCTTGCCATCAGGACATGGGCCGAAACGGGTCTCTACAGGACTACAGTTACCCCATATCGAAGGACTGAGACGGATGCAGCCCAACGGTGTTTCCCCGGGAGCCATTCCCGTAACTCGGGCCCCCAGTACAGTCGGTGACCAGAAGACTTTGACATGAGGCTGCGGCTTTTAGTGCCTGGGTCTGGGTCTTGGAGAAACGAGGCCATGACATCTGCTGAAAAGTAAGCACATGGTGAACAAATTGGGCTGTTTGAACGAACCTCCAAGAGTCAGGAGCGGCTGCTGCTTCAAGCACAACCAAGTCAAGCCCAGCCCGATAAGCTTGACCACGTTGCATCCCACAACAATAGCAAGAAGGTATATGTTGAGGGCCAGTTTGCAGTACTCAGGAGTTTGTTTGCTGAGGCAATATTCCACCCGTGGGGAGGTCTTATTCACCCATTTGTCGTCGGAATAAAGCGGCCAGTTGTCTACGTCTAGAGAAGACACATCGCACTGCTCATCCGCCCAGGCTTTTCTGCCGCACATCCAGTCATACGGCTCTGACCCACGTCTGTTAGGGTCTCCGGACCACCGTACCGTGTACCTGAACTTAGTGTCGACTGTTGAGGGATCGAGGATGAGGATGACATCAGATCGACCGGATACGAGCTTTTGGCCATATGCAGCCATGCACTCGCTATTAGTGAGCCTTTCAAACTCGTTTAGTGACGTCTTGAGGGCATCAAATTCTTCGTTTCTATACGGGTAACTTGAGTTGACGAGATTTCTGTGCGTGGTAGGGTATACCCAGTACTTGTTGGCGCTGGTTTCGAAATACACAACCGAGTTGTAGCTATCAAACGTCAGCATCCGTTTACTCATATTTCACTAGAATTATCCTACAGCAAGTGGATAGGAAGCGAGCTAATGGCTAATACCGTCCATGCCGCCACTCTTTTGAAAGAGATTTTGCCAAGGTTCCGGATTGAGGAAACACCGACGTCTAGCCACGTCTGTTTGGCATGAGCTCTGTCAAGCTCGGGTCTCGTAGGTCCAGTCAAAACCTGTTGAGTGTAGTTTCCAGCGCCGAGCAGCAGGGTGGCCAAGATGTTGATGGCAAGATGAATCCATATGCTGAATTGCTTGGCAGTTTTGCAGTTCCCTGTGTAAAGATAGCCCTCGCCGTTGCTGGACATGTCAACAATCGGAAGGGCGACGAGGAGACAAACCAGGTTGGTGAGTGTAACCAGGCCTGCCACTGAAGTGGCGAAGGCAAGGCCAGACCGCCACCCACCGATATTTTGCTTGGGCATGGCTATAAAATGCCTAAATGCCTTCCGCGTTGGTCTGTAAACTTGAACACGAAACGCTCTCTTAATCAAGAAGACTTGTTAGGTCGACGAGACGCCTCTTCTTGTATTCAGCCTGCTGCTGCCAACACTGAGCATCCGCCATCTCCAGCTGGCGCCAAGACAGCCACAGAGCTCTAGAACGCCTCGTCACGCTCGCCATTGTGACAAGGCACAGAACCAGTTTTGCCCGACACACGAGTGGGAATCTGTAAAATCCATGCTGTTATCGGTTGGATATGGGTGGTTACTGCAAGAGACCGGCTGATGCGGTGTTCATAATGCCCCTAGTTTTTAAAGAAATGGCGATGCTGCTCTATCGCTGCAAATGGCATCATCCCTTCCTCACGATGCGTGCGCGTGGAAGCGACCGTGGTGGCCTACCGAGACGTCTTGGCTAGGCGTTTTTCATCAGCCACACCTCACCCTAATGCGGGATAACTCGAAGTTTTCAGCCTCCACGGCACAACGGGGATGTAGCGGAAAGGGAAGAAATTGGGGGAGAAGAAGTCCCGACAAAGGCAATCAATCTTATTAATGCCATACGCTCTGTCTTCGTACTTCTTCCAGGCTAGTAACAGTAGCAAGAAGCACAACCTTATCCCCATAAAGGTGAGATCTGGTTTTGACTAACGTCTAAGCATAACCGGAGGGGTGTCGATCCGCTGATTGATGAAACAGGCAGACAGGCTAACAGGCTGAGAGCCCTGGCGGTGCTGGGCTGAAAAAAAGGGGCAGTGGCTGCTAACCCTTGCGAGACACATGAGCAGGCGTACCACTAGCTTATAGAATGTCTCGCACTAATCAACAGCCACCTCACCCTTCGGCGCATTTTTCAGAAGTAAGGGGTTAGCTTCTGCGCCCTTATCGTCCACCACGAATGGCGGACACATTCCATACTGTTCAAACCTTTCAGCCCGGAGCCGTTATCGCCATATTGCCCCCATAGCCACCGAGTATTTCTGTCAGCAACTCTCTTTCTGCAGCAGCAGTTTTCTTTTCTTTCTAAAGCAGACTTGCCGGCTTGGACCTTGGACCTGTCGAAACTTGTACACCCGGCCAAGCGGATACTTCTGGAGGCGTATACGCCATCTTACCCTATGTTTTGCGTCCACATATCAATGGACAAGGGCGATGTCGTGTGTGTGTGGCTATGATATCACCATTCATTGTTCAGTAAAGGTTGCGACGACTTATTAAAAGATTGATGTAATTCCTCCCTTTCGGGTTCTATTATTGGGATCGCCAACCCAATTTCATCTTAGATCTGGCGGGAGATAAGCAACATGGGGGCGAAGGTAACCTTAACCGCACGTCCCTCGGTGGTTATGTTGATCCATGTCTCGCGTGAACGCTCATTCGTCACGACTCTGACCAACCTGACGACGGACTCTTGGCAGTCTCGTTAGGAAAGCTCACCTGTTTCTCCTAGTTAACTATCTGCTTCGTATTGCTTTGAACCCATGTCCAAAGGACCATGATTTCCAGGGGAAACGTACTAAACTAGGTAGTAAAAGACACTGGGAACCGGGTGCGTCCCCTGTTTTCTGGGCGAAAGAGTATATCTCTCTCGAGAATTGTCGAGTCAGGACGCGATTCAGCAGGAGAAAATCTTCGTCTTGTTAAGGAAAGCTGCTGCGGGTCACATCCGACGTCCCGACATGGCTCATGTCTATCCCTCATGTCAATCATCCTGAAGCGCCCTTAAGACACGCGGCCAGTCTTACCTGGGTGTTTATTAAGCAACGCCAATACCTCTCTTCCTTGTCCCCCATACTCCTACCCCAGCTACTCTCTTCATAGTCTTATTCTTATTATCCATTCCACCTTCTTATTACCATAGACCACGTCTTGACTTGTTGACGCATGGTATCCTTTTGTTAATTAATTCAGGATGCCTGTTCTTAATGTTAGCGAACTCAACATCGTCCTTGGCGTCCTTGGTCCGTACTTGACTTCCTCTCTAGTTCCTCTTGGCTCTCATCGTTGATCGTTTGCTCACGTCTTCCTAGGCGCCTTCACTGTTCTCTATGGCATCATATCCGTTAAGATAAAGCAAGCTTGGTACTTGGGCGAAGCTCGTCAGTTCCCACCACCCGTTTCTTGGCCTCTTTGCCCCTTCAGCACCACATGATCGCACATGGCCATAGTGCTCCAGCTCACCTTCTTAATTTCTAGTACCTGCTGTCATCTTCGGAATCGCTCTTGGACCCTTATCTGCAAAATTCATCGAGAGTGAGAAATGGGGGTTTGCCACCCCAGGTCAGACAAATGCTATCACACTGGTTTGTCCCTACAGTCCCATCTTGACGTCGACGGCGCTCCTGCAGTGCTAACATGTGAAATTCAGGGCACCATGCGTGTCATGATCGGTGTTCAACTGGTCATCGCAGGATACCAGCTTCCGGCCAAATACAATTACACGCGATGGAAAGAAATGGCCCTGTGCCTTCTACCGGTCATGACTATAATGTGGCTATGCACAACGGCTTGCATCATGGTCACTATACCCAAAGTCACCTTCTTGGCGGCTCTCGTTATCGGTTCTTGCGTAACATGCACCGACCCTATCCTCTCGCAAGCCATCGCCAAGGGGCCATTTGCCGATAAATACGTCCCACGACCGCTACGTGACCTCATTTCCTCCGAGGCTGGCGCCAACGACGGCTTTGGCTTTCCCTTTTTGATGCTCGCCACTTATCTGATCCGACATGCAGACATCCAAGGAGCCAATAAACATGGTAGAGACAGCCTGGAGACTGGTGAGTTTACAAATGCCATGATGGTACGATCTGAGGATGTCGGTCGTCTGGGAGGGGGTGTTGGGGAGGCCATGAAAAACTGGGTCGTCGAGACATGGCTCTATATGATCCTCCTGTCGGTTGCGTATGGGGCTCTGATAGGGTATGGATCATGCAAAGGAATACGCTTTGCACTCAGGAGGTGAGTTATTGTGCAACTATCGCATCCTGCAGCTCCTCACTTGGCTACTCTGTACTTTGCTATCAAGTGTTCTCTCAAGTCTAACTGATCTTTTAGGAAAAGGGTTGACAACGAATCTTATCTGCTGTTTCCGACTGCCCTGGCGTTATTCATCATTGGCACTTGCGGTGCTATAGGCACTGATGACCTGTTGGCCTGCTTCGTTGCGGGTAGTGCGCTGAACTGGGATGGCCATTACCTGCGGGAGACTGAGGTCCGCCACGATGAAGTCAACTCCTGCGTTGATGTCTTACTCAACTTTGGCGGTTTCATGTACATTGGGACTATCTTGCCATGGTCTGACTTTAACGACCCTACCGGTACCGGCATCACCTGGAGCCGCCTATTCGCGTTGGGCTTTCTCGTTCTCATCTTCCGACGGCTGCCTGCGATCTTTGCCTTCTACAAACTGATGCCGGCAGCTTGTTCCAACTGGAAAGACGCACTTTTCATGGGTTATTTCGGTCCCATTGGTGCCGGAGCTGTCTTTTATGTTGAGCATGCCCGCCATCTCTTTCCCAGCGATGGAGATGGTGATGAAGAAGAAACGGACCTTGTTAGAGCGATGGCACCGACCGTCTACTGGCTTGTCTTCTTCTCCATTGTCGCCCACGGACTGTCAATCCCTGCCCTCAATATCTTCTATCACTATATCCGAAAGGCGCCTGTAAAGAGAGACGATGTCGAGCTTCGGTGCATATCTCTTGATGCACTACCAACTAGCTCCGTGGTAGTCAACCAGGATGCCTTATCGACGGACTGTCTTCATCAGCCAGTCAGCCTTGGCACCAGCCGGCCGGTTTCGGGAGGCCCATCCTCTCTCGTTTCTATGGAATTCTCTGACGACAACGACAGCCTTAACAAGTGTCGACAAATCAAGACAAATAATGGAAATTCGGCGTGGGTATGAGACCTGCCTTTCAAGTTTCAAATAACTATTTTAATCTTGTTCCCATTCAAATCTCTGCCATGCACGTAGTGAACCCCACAAAGCCCATATTTCATGTTCATTTGGTCTATGCCGTTGCGTCATAGAACCGAATCTCCGGTCTGAGAGTCCTGCTCTGCTGTTTCACCAGTGACATAATTTTGTAAAGTTAGGAGATCACCACTGTTGCCCCAGACTGCATGCGATTTTCCAAGACAATTCACATCGTGATAGGTAGAATCTCCAGGAACACACACCACATGATCAGCATTTCCTGCTTCCTTTGCTCATTCCTCAGTGTTAACGGACTCGCTGACGCGATCCAATTCGTTCTCGCTATACCAAGCCCTTTTTCTTTCAACACATTTGCCCCCTTTCCTTCCATGAGTCCGATTTCATCGCGGCCCTATTTTTGTGACGCTCATTCCTAGTGAGTTGGTTGTCCATGGAAGAAATTCCTCAGGCCATTATCCTAAAGACCCATAAGCATTCCAGCCTTGATCAGACGGTGGTAAAACATTCAGGGTTTGTGGCAACACATTTGCCATTCCCCATGAGAAGGAGTCGGGGTGAAATCCAGCACCAGTGTCGAGCCCTGTGTATCCTGTTTGGTCCCACCATGAACAGTCTTGACCTATGACGAAACTCGAAATGTCCTCCGAGGTGTTGGAAGTATCGCCAGCAGAGGGTTGGGGGGCGTCTGGTCCCGAATGTGCTCTTGTTCGGGAGAGTCCATCAGACTCGCCATCCGCTGCAGTATGTAGCTGTCTGTGAACAGCACTGCTAGATCTACTGGCCCTATCGCCACTGCAGAGAGGTTGCGCTAAACCAGCATTGAGCATTCGTCGAATTGTATCCAGACTCCTGCCACTGCCTGGTGTATGGGCTGCTTCATTTTGAAGTACTCGGATGGCACACGCCAGCCTCTCTGCTGCATCCCCCCGCTCTGCCTGGCTTGTTGCCGTTTTTAGTATCTGTGCTTCGACTGTAGCAGCCGAGAAGATGCAATAGCTTATTTGATAGGTCATGAGCCGATGAGGAAAGGTACGGGCATATAGACTGTACATGGCATGTATCTTTTTCGAATGTGAAACGCATACGGCTGTGCTCGAAGCTCTGAGCGAAGAGTCACGAGAGCTCAAGAACGGCCGGCGCAGAAGGATATGTAATGCGTGATACAGGAGACTATGATTGTCAGGTGGATAGAACATGAACAAGAGGTGCATCAAAAACCTTACTTGAGTGATATGATGTGGGGCGGAGGGCTTTGCTGAAGATTCTCGACATCGCTGATCTTAAGAGATGGTGGCATCTCATCGTGCCAAGCCCGAAATCTGGCGTCAAGATCGTTGATGTTTGTTGCAAAGTCTTCAGTGCTTGGGGTATTCGAGAACAGCAACATCATTTCTGTTGTGAGTCCGTGAAGTTGACAAAAGGTGCAAAATGTTGTACTATTCCATGATGGTGTTGGCGTGTACATATTGCTAACCTCTACAGCGTGGATAGGTTCCCAATCCCGAGTGTCGTCGAATTTGTCCAGAATGTCGGTGCTGGGGTATGGGCGTCGGATCAACGAGGGAGGGCGCCCAAGAGCAAGGCTCAAGGTCTTATCCCATATGTATGCCGAGTTGTACAACCGCTTCCGGGTCTCTGTTTCTGCAGGCGTCCAGCGCTGCAGCTCGGCGAGTTTAGGGGTATCGAGATGAAGCCCAATGTCGATCATCATCCGAATTGCCATGCCCGTGTAGAGCCAACCTTCGGAACTCTTTCCTACGGCGCATTGACGTCCTCCGAGGATAAGGAGGCCTTGGATTGTCGGTATGGTAGGCTTTTCTGCTGCCATTTCCTGTAAAAGAAGTTCCTTGGCTCGTTTAACAAAGTCTTCTCCCTTCCCGATATCCGGACAGGACAAGTCCTGTTCGGGGAGATGTCTCGCTGCCAGCGCAAAGATGCACATGAGAAGAAAGTTGGAACAGTATTGCCCACCTAGAGCAAGATCCATGACGAGACACGGGCGGTAAACACAGTTGTGGAGGGGATGTAGCCACGTCCAGTATATGTCTAGGAGGGCCATGCCAACCTTGGTCTCGACGCCTGTCCCATTCATCAAGGGCTTTGCTTGAATTAAAGGAACCCAGGCAGAGTCCATCAAAGACCACTGAGATCGCAAAGTCTCAACTTGTGCGGCTCTCTTTGGTTCCGAAACGGAGAGGGTTGAGACATTACTAGTTTCAGAGGTAGGCACAATGCTGCTCTCCTCCAATGCACCAGCATGGAACCGGCTAGTTGGGCCGTTATAGACAACGCCTCCATCTTCTCCAATACCAACTTGGAACCAAATCTCGGTCGCGGAAGATGGATACGCGACGTCAGCTGCTGTGGAGGACGTAGTGGTGCTCACCGCTGGACTCGTGTCTGTATTGGCCACCGTGCAAGTCGATTGCCGGGGAGATGCTCTGGTAGGCTGAGCATCGCCCGGCAAGTCAATCTGGGGGGAGCGTGACCTCCTGAGGAGAGAAGCTTCCAGCCATCGGATACGAGCATTGGCGTGTCTAAGTCGTAACTCGTTCGAGTCTTGAGATGGCCAAACGCAATCCTCGCCATTCTTCTGACAGGCCTTGCACACCGGCTGGTCCCCACTGCACTTGATTTTGCGGGACTTGCACCTTGCACAGGCAAAGCCGTACCTCCTGGCTCCACGACTGGTTTGTCTCGGGCCAGAAGCCGAAGAAGCGGACATCTCGACATCGGGGGTGGGACCTGAGCTCGGACTTGACGGCATTGCGGTTTGCCAAGCCGGATATAGGGGTAGGAGTTCGGCTTCCAAGATTGAGAGGATATCGAAGAGCAGCCGGGGAAATATTTGATCATTTGCGAAGGAGGAAGTCAGTTCGAGCCCTCGGCATCTTTCCGTCGGTGTTGAAGGATGGGTACGGCACGTGATGCCCCAACCAAAGTGCGGGGGAATTTGCGGGGAACCACCGATTGGAAAGTAGACTTGGGGAAACGGTTCTCATGATGGAGACATCGTCTGCGAAATCCTGCCGTATTCCTACAGCAACCCACTGAGATTTATCAAGTGTGAGTTCTGAAAAACCAAGTGGCTTAATACATGGTGGTAAATAGCTTAGTTCCTTAGCCTTTTATAAAAGCAATACGAAGTACATCTAACGATTTACATCCTAGAACTTTGCAGTGTATGGATGGATATGAGAACCAAGTCCAATTAAACAAGCTGAAGGATTAAGACGAAATTCTTTTCGTGATTAGGCTCAAATCAGTGCACTACCTAGTCAGCTATGACTTCAGACCTGCACATCTGCGCTGCTTACAAGTCGAAGAGATGGCACCCCCCCGATGATCGTTGCCGTGCCAAATGGCTTTCTGGCACGTAGTTTAATACATCTGAGAGCCTGTAGTGTTGAGGTTCACTCTGTACAGGTGCCCTCTTCCCACGATATAAAGTGTATCCTCCACCCATTGCATATTGACAGCAACGTCTCCCGTCTTTACCCGGATGATACCCAGGAAAGTGCCATCCGCATCAAATACATGGACGCCACCTGTGACTGCTCCGTAGATCCTTCCTTCACTGTCGGCCTTGATGCCATCGGGAAAGCCAGCATCCACGTAGGTAAAAACACGATCGTCCGAAAGTCCCGTATCCGTAGGAGAAATGCTATACTGGTAGATGGTCCGCCCTCCGGCTGGGTTGTCTGAAGTGTTGCCACGATTAGTGATGAAGAGCTTGTCTTCATCCAGGTTCAGAGCCACCCCGTTGGGGTTCGTGAATGGTCCACCACCTGCCCCGAGCACCACCCGGAGGCTACCAGTATGCATGTCCCACCGCCATACGCCGTTTGCTAGCTCTGGTTTGAGCGTATCGTTGAAGTTATCATAGCCATAGTATCCATCGGTGAAGAATGCAACACCATTGCGCTTGATGATGATATCATTTGGGCTGTTGAAACGGTGACCAAAGAAGTTGTTCAGAACTACCTCAGTCTCGAGGGTTAGGGGATTCATGCGGACGATGCCTCCGGGCACAGTCCAGTTCCCTTCCTGTGCCCAATAGACGCTACCATTATGGTAATACGCCCCGTTGGCCATCGTCAAGGGTGGGGAAGGGTAGACCTTTTCTGTGACCGGGGGCGTGTGATTCAGATTCGTCCGCCACACCCAAGGCATTGCATCTGCCGAGTAGCCCTCCTTGGGAGGATGTAGCTCTGCAAAAAAGATGCAGTTGCACTCGGGTGAGTAGACTGTTCCATCATGCACGATTCGCTTGGCGAAAAATGGTCCCTCTGGGAAGTTGAAGATGACCTCAACGTTTTTCTGCGACTGATAGTCTTTTACACCGAGCAACTGATAAAAACGTCAGCATTAATGTTGAAACTAGTCACTTGTTTTTGTTTCGTGTAAGCTTTACCTTGTAAAATCTCTCATCAAGCGTAATGAAGTTCGCCTGTTCGAGACTGCTCAAGAGTTTTAATGCCGAGGAATTTGGTGGGCCATCAACAACATCGGTGTCCCACCAGCTTGTAGTGACATTGCGATTAAAATTCTCGGCCGGAAATATGTTCTGGAGAGCTGGGTCGATTTGGACGATAGAGGGTCCGACCAGCAAACCAGAGATGTGGGATGGCAACACCGCAGCGCTGCATGGTCCACCAAAGGCAGAAACCAAGGTCAAGATGTTTGTAATTCTGGCTGACATGATGGATAAGGTAAGAAGAAATAGTGTATCAAACGAGATGGTGATGACACAAGTGGTGTCTCATTCATGATGTTTTTCTTGGGCATTTATGAGAAATCCGACAAGAGTTTGCTCTCCAGCTGCTTGACAAGAATGGAGGAATTTCCCCGGAAACACCTCCGCCCTACGCGAGTCGTAACCCCAGATGGATGACCCCAGATTTTCCTCAAGATGGAGAAAGAGCACTCGGAATCTGATGCCGAAAAACCGAAGCGTTCGCCAACAAGCCCTCGTCAAGTTCGGCCCCGAATGCGCCAAGCAAAGGTATTGGCGATGCGAATAGAATGCAACACAACTTGTGTTCATCAAATCACTGCTATTCTAACTTGGAGTGGGGAAAGCGACAGGCTTTAGGGATTGCTGATATTCTAGAGTGTTTTGCTACTACTCTTCCTACCTCCATGAGTCAGGGAGGATAATATGTCAAGCAAAATTCTGTCCTGAGGCGACTGATTGTGCTCATTCACGATGGCGGGCTTCTGAGATAAGCATGGTAAACGAGCTACCCTCCTCAATATCCTATACATCGAATTCGGCCACTGTTAGGCCTTCATATAGCCAATTCTTCGTACCGTATCTCCTTGCTGCGCCATAGAACTTTGAAATCCAAAATTACTTTACATGGATTTGTCTGCAGTCACAGGTCTTTCAACATCAGCGGTGCTAGATTCCTTCTGACATCATAGGTAACAGCAGAATCAGGGAGAATGAGCCAAGAGGAAAAGATTCGATGAATGAAAGTACCTTGATATTTGTTTTCTAGCTTAGCTATCATAGGGATACAAGACATCCAACCATTCCACGTCTAGGTGGTTACTGGCACAACGCAGACGCTCCACTACAGCTCAGTCACACTATGTGAAGCTGCCGCGTTACTCCGTTCCCTTAAAGAACGTAGCGATACATAGGATGGGCATCACCAATATCCGCAATGTCCTCGGGGATGTGGTCAATATCGCTCTTGCCATGCTTTTCGTCTCGCTGGCGATTCTGCCAGCGCAGGCTCAGGCTCAGAGTGATGGCAACGAAAGAGGCAAAAAGCAAAACACCACAGCAGATCCACATGCCCTTCTCATAATATGGACCCTGTGACTTGGGAAAGATCCTTGCTCCAAGGATAGGTCCGCACTGGCCGACCATTCCAAAGATGGTCAAGCCAGCTCCTCGCTTGGATGAAGATCCTTGGTTGTCAGTAACCCAGGTGAAGGTCAGGGCGACAGCTGGAAATACACCAGCGCAAACAAGGAACGTTGCAAAGTAGCGAATCCCAGTAGTGTGAATCGTGGCGAGAAGGATGTAACCAACGGCGCCAATCGTAGAGAAAATGATGACAAAGATACCGCGTGTTCGCACACGGTCAGAGAAGAAGCTAGCCAAGACGCAGACAAAGTAGGCAGAGAGATATGGGCAAGCCGAGAGTCCCTGGGCGCGAAGGGAGGTGTACCCCATGGACGTCAGGATGGTGGGTAGGTAGGCCGGTAGCGAGCCAAAGGCTGTGTTTAGGCAGAAGATTATGGCGGCTTGCAAGTAGTTCTTGTAGTCGTAAAATGCTGCAAAGACTTGTCGGAGGTTGAGTTTTCCCTGTTGGTCCTGACCACGACCTTTGATAGCTCGAGCACCGATGATCTGGTTCTGTCGAGCATCGAGGAATCTGCAGGTGCTTGGAGAAGCCGGAAGATAAAAGTAGGCTAGGATAGCGAGAAAGAGAGTAGGGATGCCTTCGACGATAAAGAGCAACTGCCAATTCTCAATGGCGCTTCTAGCGTGAACAATACCGTATGCCAGGGCTGAGGCGAAGCAGTTCGCTAGGGGCGAGAATGAAATGAACAAGCCATATCGGAGGCCCATTTCGGATCGGTGGTAGAAAAAGGTCATGTAAAGCGCCACGGCGGGTACAAATCCAGCCTCGAATGCTCCAATGAGGAAACGAAGAGCCATCATGCCGGCAAAGGTGCTGGTGCCGGCCTGGATCATGCTCATGCTTCCCCATCCAAAGGCCATCATGGCAGTCCACAGACGGAGAGGGACAAACTTCCAGAGAAGGATGAGCTGCGGCGATGAATCAGCAACTGAATCGCTTGAAGCCCAAGGTGATGAGAATGGATACATACCCAGTGAAAGAGAATGTAGCCGATATAGTAACTTGTCACGATCCACGAGTATTCGCCGGAAGTGATTCCCCAAGCCTCTCCCATTCCGGCCGTATACGCATTACCGATGTTGCCGCGATCGATGTAGGAGACGAGGTAGAGGAATCCGAGCCTGTCGTATTGTCAATGAGTGAGCCGCGGTGATGGGAGGTATGAGATACTCACAGTGGGATCAAGCACCAGTCCAACTTGCGGACAGCTGTACGCTCCTCCTCTCGGGTCCATGATAGCTCCTCATTCTCACCCTTCTCAAGCCCGTCTTCAAGATGGTTGGCTCCCATGTCAGACTTGGTGGGATCAACTTCTGCGTGCGGAGCTGGGTTTGGCTGATGCATACTGAGTCTGGATGAGTATATAGAGGATGTTGGTTTCAAGCTAGAGCCGAGAAAAACTCTGAGGATCCGTGAAGATGTTTGAACTCTTGAAGTTGCTTGATGGGCCTTTTAACATGAACCACCCCGCGCCCCAGACTTCCCAGAGATGAGTTGATATTGAACGAACATGGGGAACATGGGGAAATGTGGAAAGGAGCAGATTGGTCGAGGCAGGTACTGACCAACAGCCGAAAAAACTAAACTACCGGCTCCTTCGTTGGCGGAGAAGGCCGATCAGCAGGGCTCGGCATGATGCCGTACGCGATCCTTGGCAATGTCACTTGACTCTGGTTGGTCGGTCGGGGTTCGCGCCACCCGGAGCAGATACCGAGATGCCGCACATCCTACGGCATGAATTGCGAAGAGTGATGACGGAATTTGCCAAGTCCTCCGCTTTCTATTTGTACCAAGGTAATTCACGCGTCCAGTCCGCTGTCAACATACATAGCGTCTTTGCCCACCACTTTGGGCTATCTTATGCTGCTACACGCTTGCCCTTTGTCATTAGTTGTTCGCAGGCCACTCCGTTAGTTGGCACTCACCATCCACCATGTGCCCGTCAAGACTAGAGCCAGATGGCCTTCCAGCCAATGAGTTCTCCATCTTGACGCCCAATGCTATGCTTGGCTACGGGTACAACTCAGATCATTTTTGGTATGGTATCAAAAAGTATAGGCCCGCAGCTATCATCGTGGATAGTGGCTCTACCGACGGCGGACCATACAAGCTTGGAATGGGCAAGATGACTTGTGGTCGAGGATCGTACATCCGCGACCTGGAGCCCATTCTGGCCGCATGTTTCCACCACAAGATCAAGGTGCTCATAGGCTCTGTGGGCGGCGATGGCAGCAACAAGCATGTCGCTGAAATGCTTGCCATCGTTTCCGAGATCGCCGATCGAGAGGGTTACTCATTTAAGATTGCAACTATCGAGGCGGGGATAGACCGAGAACTCATCAAAGGACGTCTAGCCGATGGTCGTGTTGGCCCGTGTGGTCCTGTAGATCCCTTGACTCAAGAAGATGTGGAATCGGCCGTCGACGTCGTCGCCCAGATGGGGGCGGAGCCGTGAGTTCAACGACAAACCCTTTGTTACACGAGCACTATACTGACTATAAGTGACAGGTTTATCGAGGCTCTTCGCAGTGATCCAGACATTATTCTTGGAGGCCGATGTTACGATCCAGCTCCATTTGCCGCCTTCTCCATCTCCAAGCGCGTTCTGCCCGATATTGCATGGCATATGGGCAAGATCATGGAGTGCGGCGGCATCTGTGCCGTTCCCAAAGGGCGGTCTATGATTGCCACCATGCGCAAGGACTCGTTTGATCTCACGCCTCTGTCGCCAGCAGAACGATGTACTCCCCTGTCAGTTGCTGCACATACGCTATACGAAAAGACAAGACCCGACCGCCTCCCTGGTCCTGGGGGTGTGCTTGATCTCGACAATGCATCGTACGAACAGGTCACAGAAAAGACCTGTCGAGTTTCTGGGGCAAAGTTCATCACGACTCCGTACCAGGTGAAGCTCGAGGGCGTTACTCACTTGGGTTACCGGACCATCTTCATTGGCGGCATCAGAGACCCAATTCTGATCGGCCAGATCAACGACTTTTTGGAGAGGGTCCGTCAGTACTCACAGAATCTCTTCCCTGAACTCGACCAGTCTGAGAAGTGCCGGCTCATCTACCATGTTTACGGACAGAACGGCGTCATGGGTCCACTAGAGTCTGAGAAGTCCACACCTCATGAGATAGCCGTCATGGGTGAGGTCGTTGCGCCAACATCGGAGCTGTCCCACACCATTGCGAACAACGTCAGGGCATCCATCTTGCACTTCCCATATCCAGGTCAAGTGGCTACCACAGGCAACTTCGCGAGCCCTCTTTCACCGCACGAGCAGGATGCTGGCGGTGTCTTCAAGTTCAGCCTATACCATCTGGTAGACCTCAACGAGGGAGAGGAGACGTCGTTGTTTCCTATCACAAGCCATCAAGTCGGTTCTACGCAAGCTTCCCCTACACCTCTACCGATCTTGGCAGATAAGACATTCAAAGAACTTGACAATGGCGAACTCGCACCCCTCACTACCAAAGATGTCCCCAACCACAACACCGAGCTCAAGAATCTGGCACGCATCATCCGTTCAAAGAACTCTGGGCCGTTTGAGATGACTTTCGACGTCATGTTTGACCAGAAGCACGTTTACGATCGTGTCAAAGCCTCCAATGTCTTGACTAACAAAACCATCAAGAAGCTCTACCAAGTCAAGGACGATGATATCCTTACCAACATGTACTTTGAGCCTGCACTGGCCTGGAAGTGTACCATCAAGCGACCATGGGCCCAGGGAAGTGTAGGCGAGTTGGATACTCTTGGCACGCAGCAGCATGGTCCACTTCTGAACATTATGGTGCCTGCCTTCAAGCCCGAGAGCAATGGTGCGGTGGACGGCATTACCAGGACCAACGGCATCTCCAAGGCCAACGGATACGGGCGAAGCTCATTCACAGCCAAGCACGTAGTCGAGGAAATTTGGCAGGGTCTGGGCCTCCCTACCGAAGCGCTCAGCTCACTCGATCTCCCCGGGGACGATGGAAAGCCTCAACTTCCTTCCTCGTACAAGATCGGTATCCTGGCCCAGAGCTCAATTGCTTTGTCTGCGCTGGCAGCGGCTCAGATTGAAGCCTTACGCGCCGACTCATCGGTTCCTCATGTTCAAGTGCCTGCTGAGCATGCAACCGTCGAGTTCAAGTCCGAGAGGCTTTACATCCTCGATGGAAAGTCTACTCCTTCTCCCTGGGGCCCGATTGGCGGACTTCACAAGACCTCGGATGGTCACGTTCGCGTCCACGACTCATTTCCCAACCACCGACATGGCATACTCGAACTGATGGGGTTGCCATTGAATGCAACTCGTGATCAGCTTTCTCAGAAGATTTCCTCTTGGGCTGCCGTTGATCTTGAGAATGTTGCCATCGACAGCAAGCTTGCTACATACGCACTGAGATCCTATCAGCAGTGGGACTCGTTACCACAGTCTAAAGCCCTCATCGATTTCCCCATCTCCCTCAAACAGCTCACCAAGGGAGACAACACGGGTCTCCCGAATCGACTGTTGACCGCTCAAGGCTCAGGATGCCTTCGTGGTCTCCGGGTATTGGACATGAGTCGTGTCATTGCTGCTCCTCTGTGTGGCAAGACGCTCGCTGCTCATGGCGCAGATGTTATCTGGGTTACATCACCCAACCTGCCTGACCTTCCCACCATGGACAGAGACCTTGGCCGGGGCAAGCGCACTGTTCAATTGGACATTAAAAGGCCCGAGGACAAGGAACATCTTCTGCAACTGATCAAAGATTGCGATGTATTCCTGCAGGGTTTCCGACCCGGCAGTCTGGCCTCCTATGGACTATCCCCAGAGCAGCTCCTCAAGGTCAACCCAAATCTGATCTTTGCCAACATGTCTGCATTTGGACCCGAGGGCCCATGGTCTGGCAGGCGTGGATATGACTCACTTGTTCAGACTTGCTCAGGTATGAATATTTCAGAGGCTGAACACGCGGGCGAGGGCGAAGCAGCGCGCCCAACTCCGTGCCAGGCTCTCGATCACGCTGGCGGCTACTTTCTTGCCACAGGCGTTATTGCAGCTCTTTATCGACAGGCCATAGAAGGAGGCTCTTGGAAGGTAGACGCCTCTCTCGCTGGAACGATGAAGTATCTACGCAGCTTGGGGCAATACCCTGGGGCCACTGGATTCGAGGCCAAGGATTTTCAGAAGCCCGATGATGTACCACAACACTACTACGAGACCAAGGATACTGGTTTTGGGGCCATGCAGGCCATTAGGCACAGTGCTACCGTCAAGGGTCATCAAGTTGGATGGGATGTAATGCCAAAGCCATTGGGCTCGGACAAGGCAGAGTGGCTGTAGATTAGATTAGATGCGTCATGTATTTGATAGAACGTTTTCTCTGATAGTTTTTATGCAAGAGGATATCGTGCAATGACGCCTCTGCCGTTTTCGATCCGTCTATTGCTGAAATTCCAATGACGGCCGTGTGCTTAGCGCCAGCTATGGGAGGTTTTCTATTTCCCTGACATAAGTCACTACCGCGAATAGGTCAAAATATGGAAGATAGTTGGAAAGATGGTGTGCATTGTTCAAAAAAAGCTCATGTTCACTCCCAAGTCCATTCAAGCCACATCTAGAAAATAGCCACCGCGGAAGGGGGTGATGCTACTCCTCCAGGAATGTCCAATGGCACACTAACAAACATAAAAGTCCATCTCTTCTCCTTGTTGCACTTTTCTGCCAGCGCTTCTAAATCGAAACTCTCGCCGATAGGCATCCCCCATCCACTCAAAAACACCTCATGCATTGCCACGCCACATGGTCGAGGGCTAGGCCAAGCCTCGTAGGCCACAGTGTCACTTGCAACAGCTGCAAACGCATTCTCCCAATGCCATCGAATAGCTTCTTCACTCGCCTCGAGGCCACAAGAAGCTCGTACTTGACGATGAGGTAGACGCTCTTGCTCGTTGACAGGAAGGGTTCGGTAAGCGGAGAGCCAGCCTGTGCGGATGAGAAGAATGTCGCCAGGGACAAATGTGACGCTTTGAGACTGCGCTACAGCCTGAAGCTGAGAAAGGGGGATTTCCTCGGCAGCAAATGGGTTGATGCGGATGTCATGTTGCTGAGACCAGCCAAACCAGTCGAGTAATACACCTCGCCCTGTGATAGTAGACCGGGCCAGGTTATGCACTCCTATCTTCAGGTTTGTCGCTTCTCCAGATATGTCTGCTTGCGTGACACCATTATAGTACTCCAAAGTTGACTGATAAGGGAAGTGCCGTAGCCCATCCCAATGACTTGAACCTTGGGTGTTGATGTCCAGCTTAGGGAGTGAGGATGTCAGTGATACCTTATGACATAGAAGACAAGATAAACACAAACCTCGTCGTCGTTGGCGTGGCCTTTGGCGATGATTCTGTGGGAACAAGGATTGCGCACTGGGTTCATGGGCTGCACAAAGGCATCTAATGGGAGGCTGTTATGTGTCAGGCAATTCTGATGCAAGAAATCTCATGGAAGTTAGGAGGCAAGATGTACGAACCTGAGGGGGATTGTGTCGCCCGTTTGGATCTCCTGCGCGGCGTTCTTTCTCACTTCAGGCGTCAGCAAATTCAATGTGCCGAGCTCATCGTCTTTGCCCCAGAGGCCCCAAGCAGAAAACTGAGGGTGGCCCTGTTGTAGAGGGAGGTCTTCAAAGGCCGGACGAGGCATGGCGGATCTAGCAAATTCGATGTTATCGGTGCTTGGTTTCAGAGCCAGAAGCCGGTTCCTCCAATAAACACCAGATAAATGCTCTTTTGAGCTCATATTTGCAACAAGACTTGACCGTGAGGTGGAGTGGAGCTCGGTATCTTGCCGGCGAAGGCGGTATCATGCCGAAGTCAAAAGTGGGCATGACGGGGATAGAAATCTGCTCCGTGCGGAGTCCTTCGATGATCATCTAAGATATCGAGGCCGGTCCTACTTCAATTGAGATTGGTGTTTACTCTAATAGCGTTACTTTGACAATCCCTGGAACATTTGGCGCGTGACAAGTTAGAGGTCATTCCATCCTTCTCGCACACATGGAGGGAGTTTAGAGAGCCGGCGTAAGATTTGACTTACTTTGCCAAAACCCTGAGTAAGAAACGGGATGCACAATCGCAGATAGAGACACTACTCCATTGTTGACGAGGTACAATAAGCCCCTGCACAGCGTCCTTGGCGGATTATTTGGTGCTGACCTTGCCCTAGATCATTCTTGCGCGGCTTGGGTTGTTGCAACGTATCCTAAGATACCTTGTCCACTAAGAAAACTCACGGGCATTCCTTCTAAGGGAAGCGGGTGCGGAGTTCCTCATTTTTGGTCTGAATGACGTCTCTGGAAGTGGCAATCAACCACAACAACAACAACAACAACAGACACAAAACCCAACACTGGGAGGCATAACAACCTGATAGAAATGTCTTATTAACGCCAAATACGACTATTCGGCTACTGTGATAAGGTTCTCATCGAAATGAGTTATGGCATTGCTGGGAAGGAGAGAAAAATGCTTTGGCCTCGATATAAGTCAGGTCGACTACACTAGAGACGCACGATCATCACAGGGATAAGGTCTGGCGTTTCATTACTTCTGGAGATCCGGAACCCTCGGGTACCATCACCACGTGTGGCCCGCACTCTCTTTACCGAGCTCCGAGTTTCCTGCGAGAAGCTCCTCCTCTCCACTTGGAAGGGCGAGCGTACCATCAATGCCACCTCTCGTCGCCACCGTCAGCTCCATAGCTTTGGCTAACAACAACACGGGGTAGCCATTGCTGAGGTCTGTCGACACAAGGAGGACCCCCAAGCTCTTCGTGACACAATAGATTGTGGTCAACAAAGTTTGAGCATAAAACGCATGTTAAAACTGCTGATTCTCTGGTGAGGAAGGCAATTTGTAATGTGGACAATGTACACAAGGCAATGGGAGGTAAAGATCGAGATGGCGACATGGACCAAGACTTACCTGACGAATTGCGCGATTAAGGGGCCGTATATGGGATGAAAGCAGCTAGTATTATGAGGTTTAAGGGCCCTTTGTTCCCCAGGTTGCTAAACGAGGTAACACTCTACCCTTTGTTTAATGGTGGAAACAGTAGGCTCCGCCTCGTGATGGAAGACTGCAACCATAAGTGGTAGCATATAAGCCCAGGGCAGCAAGAAAGGATACAAGTAGTAAAAACCTGCAGCAAAGATTATCTCTGTAGATCAGATAAATGCCTCCACTTCTGCAGTGGCCTCGTGCCCCCCTTGTCCCTGCACAGTTACAAAGCTACCATGGATTATTTGTCATGGCTTGGCATCGTCTGATTGATAAGGCGCAGCTCCATCGGGCATAACGGTTGCATGAGAAAGCATACAGATGAAGCTTAAATAGTGGATTCCTTCATCCGTTCTAATGAACGGGTTCATCTACTCGACACCCCAGTCACATCCCTCGTAGCAAACAGAGTGGGCGGAGCGCGGGTAAGACGTCATGTAACGTAAAGGATCCAGATGATCAATAATGATTAGGGTTCGGTTCCGCGGCCAAGTCAGATTAATTACTCAGTCATGCTGGTTCGGAACCGCATCGGCCTTGGGGAGCGCATCGTCACAAGATCCCGAAACCACGGATCGATATATTAAGGTACCCGAACACCCAAACCAACAAGATCTTTCTGCAGCCAACACACCATTTCCGGTACCGGCCTCTGCAACTGTCACTCCTTTCTCGAATCACGGCTTCAATATGCGTTCCTTCTTGATCACTTCCACTCTCGCCGCGGGTGCTCTGGCAGCCCGTCCATTCCTCAATGAGCCCGATACCGGCCTCGAAGAGGTCATTGGAGACACTGCTCAGGGCACCCTACCCAAGTTGACCTCTATGGTCGGCCTGCCTGATTTTGACTGGGCGGCGAGGAACTATCTTCCGCTGCAGAACTACACCTACTACCGGAATGGTGCTGCCGGTGAATGGTCCTACCGAAACAACATGGAAGTGTTTAATCGGTACACCTTCAACCCTAGTGTCATGAATGATGTGACCAACATCGAGGAGTCCCTTCCGTAAGCCTCCCATTAGCTCGTCAAGGCCACGTAAGCTCATACTCTTGTCCAGTACCACAATCCTCGGCCACAACTTCTCGGCTCCCTTCTACATTAGCCCCTGTGCTAGTGGTATCTACGGCCACCCCAACGCAGAGCTTAACTTTGTCAAGGGAGCTGCTGAGGGAAACATTCTTTACATTGTAACGGAAAGGACACTCCAGCAAACTTCGAATTATGTGCTCACATGAAACAGCCCTCCGGTTATGCCACCCTTTCGATCGAACAGATCCACGCCGCCAAGGCCAAGGGCCAGGTTGTCTTCCAGCAGGTAAGCATTCCCGATGGCTGACCTTGGTGGCTCATTCGCTTATCCTACAGCTTTACCTGACTTCAAACGACACCGAGACCCAAGATCTCTTTGACCGAAGCAAGAAGGCTGGAGCTGATGCTCTCGTTTTCACTGTCGATGCTCCTACCTTCGGAACTCGACAGCGTGCTGCTCGCCTTGACGTGAGCTTGTCGTGAGTAGACCTCTCCTCATTGATAAACCCTGCTAACTTGGTATCCCTAGGTCCTCTACCTACCGTTACATCACCGTGAGTTCGCTCCCAATCAAGAAGCTTTGCCATTCTAGTTTCCGCTACTGACTTCCTTCTAGTGGGACTACTACAAGAAGCTCCAGACCATGACTGATCTTCCCATCATTGTCAAGGGCATTATGAGTGTTAGGGATGCCAAGCTCGCCGTGAAGCACAAGGTGCCTGCTATCGTCCTCTCCAACCACGGCGGCCGTCAGCTCGACGGTGCTCCCTCTGCCCTTGAGGTCGCCCTGGACATCTATAAGAAGGCACCCGAGGTCTTTGAAAAGACCGAGGTTTTCGCTGATGGCGGTGTCCGCTATGGCACTCACGTGCTTAAGCTGCTGGCGCTCGGAGTGAAGGCTGTCGGTGTTGGCCGCCCCTTCATGTACTCGAACATTTTCGGCCAAGAGGGTGTCGAGCGAACTATTGAGCTTTTGAAGAGGGAAATCGCTGTTGACGGAGCCAATCTCGGATTGGGCAGCCTGAAGGAGATTGATGCCGACTATGTGAGCGCCCTCCTCGATTGTGACTGTTATTATTCCTGTCAGCTAACTTGGTAAATAGGTTCACTGGTCGGTTAACAACTGGTCTGGATAAGGCCAAGTTGGCTTCTTAGGATAGGACTTCGTCTCTTGTATGTTAAGCGTCACATAAGATGAAACTCCGCAGAGGGATGCAATGATCATCACCTTCGACCAAAATTAATTTGCTCTATCTTGTCTTGTGTTTAGTTTTTACACGTGATGGCTGTCTTGACAAGTAATTGGCTTCCGTTTGGCAACCTTGACTTTGGTTTCTATGACTACTACCACGAGTCATTGAACTTTCAGGCCTAAGTATTCTTCTTCTCGATGACAGAATCTCAGCACCTCTAACTTGACTTTTCAAGAAGCGCTTCAGCAATGCTTGGACTTGACGTGGCGATACGCAGGAATTTCATCGTCATCATCGACGGATCTATCGTCGATACCAACAAAGCCAAGATATCTAACACTGCTTGCTTAGAGGAATACGACAGGCGTGGCTTCCGAAGGTTCTATTTCTGTCCCAACGTTGAGAATTACTTTTTTGCCACCATACCCAGTTGTTCTTCTCTCCTCCGTCAGAGCATTAAACAAGGCAGCTATCACTAACCATCACGGCAAATGATAGGGAACAACTATCCCAAGCCCCAGCAGTAATATTACTGCCTACATGTATAAAAGACTATGAAACAAACATTGAGTAGGGGCAAATCACTTCAAGTTCGAGCCCAGATGGATTACAAAAAATAGCGAGAGTTGGGTATCTTTCATTAACTAGCAAGCCTATAGTTTCGGGTCCAACCGTTTAACAGCACCTTGCAGTAGGCCGGATGGTCCTATGAACATATCAGTTAGACTAAGCTCTCATGATGGGAAAAAGGCCTTACCAGAGCGCCCCTTCATTTGCAAGGAAGACACGCCATCCTGGACGGAACATACGCAGCCTTCCAGTCCCAAACGTTATGCCCCATTGTTCCAGGAAGCGATGAGCAGACTCAATAGCCTATAAGACGAGTACTAAACAGGGAAAGAAAGGCAAGGGCATTCGTGAGATAGCGATAGGAAGTATGCTCGTCATGCTCTCGAGTCCACTCAAGAATGTTGGAGATAAAGAAGAGGAGTGGGATAAAGTATCCACTTGCCGCCATGATCCTTTGCGCCCAATTCTTTTCGACTGGGCGCTGTCGAGTCTTCTCCATGTCGAATTCTTGCATTGTGGGCTTGTGAATCAGTTGTTGGTGTCAAGTAAAGGGTCTCTGGTGCGAATGATAGCTGAAAGACAGAAGCAGTGCCGAGAGAAGAAGCATGCCTCTATTTGTACATTGAATGGTATCGAGCAGTGGCTGTGTCGAGCCGTGTTACCCGGGGCCGAGTATCCGGAATGGCGCAACACTTTCTCATCTGGGTTAGAAGGAGACGCTTGACCACTCATATCGCGCAACCTTGCGGGGATAGGCAGGTCTAGATCCTGAGGGCAGACTGCATTCACAACCAACAACCAATTTTTGACTGCCAAAGTATGCCTGCTGCGCCTTGTTGGTTGCTGCCTACGACTTCGAGGAATGTTTGGCCCATCAAATTGCCATGAGCAACGATGCACGTTGCGTCATCCCAATGCAGGTTTTATTGATCAGGTTGGACTTTCTGCATGACACTCCTGGTAGCCTAGCAGGCTGTACTTGACACAAGGAAGACGGTTTCTTTTTTTCTTGGGACAGTTTTCAACATCAATTGGAAATCCTCTCGATGTAGCATTGGCGTTTCAAGACCAGTGCAGCCCAAGCTTTGAGGATCAGGAAGAATGCCCAACATAATTGGCCAACCGCACCTGCGAGTTGATATCGACTTCCATAAGAATAATACTATTCAACTGCCTAACTAATGAACTTGAAGTACAGTCATGGGCCAAGAGTTTGCACGTGCCATGAGTTGAATCAGGGATCAGATCATACACAAAAGAAGTGCGATGTCGATAGCATTACTAACACGGCACCACTTGAGATGACGGGCAAAAAGAATGTAATATTCATAATTCGTTAGATAATTTATAATCCTAAGTCCCCTCTATTCAAGGCTCCTATATGATAAATAACGCCTCCTTACTGATCAAGTCTGGTAATCGCCATGCCCACAATTATGTTCTCTCTGGTACCAAATGATGGTATTCAGTTGGCTCCTGGGGGTGCTTAGGATAAGTCTCAACGGGCCCGGACTCAATGTTAATGCCAATACGATTATATCGGCGCTGGCGGAAAGTCATAATACCATGGAAGATGAGGAAAACGCAGGAAAATATGCTGCAGTCGGTTAGTATCAGTGCAATCCATGACGACCCAAGTTGTCAGAAAGACTCACAATTCGATGCCTCCCAGTCCAACAGTGGCAGCAAAAATATATCCAGAGAATTGTGTAGCGTCTTTGAATGCGTCCGGGCAGTCTTGTTCCCGACAGATGTCATTGCTTGCCCCCCACAGAAAGGCCGTCTGGCTTGCAAGTACCGCCACTGAGATGATCCAAAACACCAGAAGGAAAATGTCGAGCGACAGGCCAGCCCAGTAGTTGTATAGATGGGCTAATGAAATATGGGCCATGATCATCCAGAGGGAGATGGCCAGGGTGGCAGAACTCTATGTCACAAATTAGCATGTCTCGCGCTCAATATTGTGGAAGTCCAAATTCTTGTTGGAGTTCTCCTGGTAGGACGTTGCAGCGAATACGTACGGTAAAAAGCATGAGGCCATTTCCTGCAAAGATACCAGCGCTAACAGTGAAGGATACAACAATGATGATGATGACACTCAAGATGGCCTGGAAGATGCGGAGCACTGTTGTCCCAGTGGGGTATTCAAGGACATCGGGACGACGATTGGCCATTTTGAACGGTGTCAGCCCTATAAATATGCTCGGCCTGGTTGTAGTGGATGTTTCGTCTTTAAGGACGCGTCCTTCCGAGCTCAGGAGCTGCTTTGAAGACGTGAAATGAACTGAGCCAACGCGAGGAAGATGGGCATCAAGATACAGGAAAGAAAACGGAGCACATGAGTGCTTAAATCCTACGAAATCCTACAGTTGTCGCTTACAATAATTAATTCAAGATGACAATAAGCGCAGAGCATGCCTCGTTCGGGTAGCGAAGGACCACATTTGTCTCACGCGATGCTACCAGGGGGCTATGCTGTTCGGCTGCGCAGTGATGGCTGCGGATGAGGCTGGGCAGCTATGGTGGGCCTTTTGTTCGCCAGCCGCATCCAGCAAGATAAGAGTGATGTGAAGCTATGAAGGGCGAGTACAAATATTTAGAGCTCTGACAGAAACATCACAGCAACTATGTAAGGTTTCTCTACAACAAACAGTATGGATTGATCGTTTTTGCAGCCTCGTCCAACTGTCGCGACCAACTTGAGAACACTAAAGGCATGGGACCCTTGTCCAAGGTCAGCTCTCGACGGTGCGGCGGAGTCCAACGGCGCAGAATCTTTGCCTAGGCAAATATAGCTGGCGAATCAGACGCGAAATCATTGTCGCCGGATCATTGCACCAATGGCGTGAGGGTGAGCTGGCAAGGGTCTTGCTGATTGGATTTGCCCTGAAACGCATGGCTGGCACTTCATCTCAACCGATCCCCAGCTCAGCCCTACTAGAACCTCCAGCTCCACCTTGGCAAGGTAAAGATGTTGCCTAAGACGGCATCTTTGTGTTTTCGTGTCCAGGATTGTTCATTGTGGTAGTCCCTAATCAGTTAAGCGATTTACGACCTACATACCGAAGAATGAGGCGGTAAGCAATGAGTGTGGCATATGATCTGGGGTTGGATTGCGGTGTGTTCCTCTCAGAAACACCCCAACACGGGTTGAACTTGGATCAATACGATTAGATAACTGTTTAGTAAGATCTATAGTCCATAGAGGTCATATCCAACAACATCAGGCTGTCGGGTTGAGTATTTGTTGACAAATTTACGCGTCACTCTACTACCCTGCACCTAAACCGCGACTATTCTTGTGACACCATATTCAACGCGTTTCGACTGCTTATGGCGTTAAAAGCTGCAGTTACATATCTTTTTAATCTGACTGACTGTTAAAGATGCATGTGGAAACTCTTTTTTTGGTTCTACGTGAGAGTTATGCCCCTTCTCCCCCAGTCTGCTAATCCAGCATGATGGATGTGATGGATGAGCAACCCACGCACAGTCATCGCTTGATATTATGAATTGTTCATGCTAGCATAAGAGCAGAAACGAGAAATGCATAAGATAGCCGACTTTTAACCAAGGTGAGCCACGAATCACGTTCGACACGGTTGAATCCTCCTTCACTCTGTCCCCGGAGGATTTACCCGCGGCGTTGCTTTCGCACTGGGGCGGTATTTTCTCGTACAATTTTTGACCAAGTGCTCCCATTCGCCATCTTAGATCGGCATTGCGTGCTGCATTAGCCCAGGGGCGAGGACATGAGTGAAAAGCAACAAGACTGCACAAATCTGCCAAGAATGACTGCCATTCTTCAAATAGCCTTTGCCAAGCTGTCAGGGCAAGCCACAAAACATGGCCACCATGCCGATTGAGAAAGCGCCGCACCATGCACTCACAACTGGCGAATCGGAGAAAACAGCAGCTCATACCGCTGCGCAGCCTGTGCCCCTCCAAGAACTTGCGCCCACCGTCACGCCACGGCAGAAGTGGTACCAATGGTTTGCCCCAAGCGACACTCCTGAGGAGCGGCGACTGATCATGAAACTCGATGGCCTCATCATGGTATTCGTTTTTCTTGCGTATTGGGCCAAGGTTCTTGATTCCTCTGCGACGAGTGCGGCATATGTGAGTGGGATGAAGGAGGATCTGAAGCTTTATGGCAACGAGTTGAACTACTTGAACACCACCTACATGTAAGATAGTGGCCAACGTTCCTTGGCTCCAGCGTGCTTACCGATATCTTCCAGGGTTGGCTTTATCACGCTTCAAATTCCCCTCACAGTTTTGGTATGGCTGGCCACACATATGTCTAAATGATCATTCTAACACACTCTGTAGATGACGCGCTTTTCAGCTACCTACTTTATCCCTGGCGCAGATCTCATCTGGGGTGTTCTCACACTCGTGCAATACAAAGTCACCAACGTGCAACAACTCTACGTGATCAGATTCTTTGTGGGCGCTGCTGGCAGTCTCTTTTTCCCTGCCGTTCAGTGGTACCTAGGATGCTGGTACAAGAGATCAGAGCTGAGCCGTCGAGGTGCTCTATTCTTTATTGCTAGCCAAGTGGGAAGCATGAGCTCGGGGTACATTCAGAGCGGCGCTTATTCAAGCTTGAATGGACGGCACGGCATCGAAGGCTGGCGATGGCTCTACATCATCTGTGAGTTGGCCGTTGAGGGTTGGTTTGCGCCTGAAGCTAATGTCCAGTAGGTTTCGCGTGCACAGTCCCTGTCGCCGTCCTTGGCTTTGTCGCACTTCCCAGCCATCCGAACAAGTGTAAGCCAGGACTCTTGACAGAACGTGAAATTCAGTTGGCTCGTGAGCGCATGGCCTCGGAGCACAGAGAACCCCCGAAACCTCTCACTATCCCTGTTATCCGTAATGTCTTGTCTGGGTGGCACTTTTGGGTGCTTGTGTCCTTTGCATTCTTCTTCTCCCAAGCTGACGGCGTCTCAAGCCAGAGTGGACTGGCACTATGGCTCAAAGCCGAAGGCTACGGCGTCGAGTCAATCAACACTATCACGACGGTTTCGCCGGCCGTTACCATCATCTCATCCATTATCTGTGGCATTCTTTCTGATGCCTATGATGCAAAAGTTTCACTTATTGCTGGTACTGCGTTTCTCAATATCTTTGCGAGCATCGTCCTTGCGATTTGGCATGTGCCCACAGGGCTGAAGTTCTTTGCCTTCTTCCTTGCAGGGTCCGCAGACGGCATTGCTGCTGTGATATATGCATGGGCGAATGAAATTTGCGCTGGAAATGCCGAGGAACGTGCCATCGTCATTAGCAGCATGAATACTATTGGAAACACGTTTGGAGCCTGGCTGCCACTATTGTAAGTCGCCATCCCCATCTCTGTTCGTCTCTAGGATGCTACTACCATGCACAACCACTCTTTCGCCAACCCCACTCTTTCGCCACGCAAAAAAAAAAAAGCACCACCAAAAATCAACAACTTTACTTACACAGAACTTGACCAAAATGATAGATATGCGCAAAAATTTTCGTTTTATAAATAATAAATGCACATATCTATTGAATCCTGGGTCTTTTGATAACCCGCCCTGATCGCGTGGTTGGTTGATGGGGTATGGTTTCCTCTCTGACTTCAATGACCGAGCCAGCCTCCGATTCTGACTCCGGCTCGCTTGAGCTGCCACATTCCACCACAACAGGCATAATTTAAGTCTCCTCTTCGGCTATGGCCTCTCCAGCAGCTAGAGTCTCGCCAAGAGTCATAAAACGCTTGTTAGGATTCGGCACCGCCTTCCTCTTCTTCCCTCTCTTTAGGCGAGCCAATTCCTCCTCTAGGCTAGCAATCCTCGCAGTATGCGCCGCTACTGTCTGCTGTTGAGCCTCAAACCCCTTGGCTATTACGTTGTACCGTCTTTGTGTCTTTGGCGTTTTATTTAGCCCAAGATCGCGAATTTGGCGGCTCGTCTGTGGTGTATCGTCCGAGTCAAAATACGGCCTGGGTTCGGGAGTCGCTCTTGGGCTGCCATTTGGCCTATCCTGTTGGATTTCTGGATGCCGCAGCGCTTTGGCACGTGAGATCGGCCAATTCCCAGTAACCCTCCAGCCGGAGAGTATATTCTTCTTAGTCATTCCAACTCGACGCGCCTTGGCGTAGGCCCTGATGAAATTAACCTTATCCATTGGAGTGGAATCAGTCAATGAAGCGAACTTTTCCAACTCTCGTCGATATGCGGCTTTAGAGGCATTGAATACTCCATTGTCCAACGGCTAGAGCCCATGAGAGCAGTGTGCTGGCAGATAGCAATAGTAAACGTTGTTTAGAAAGCACGTGGCCATCCATTCATCCTTCCGTCGCTTAGTAGTGATCTTGGGCTGAAGAGAATAAAGAATATACCGTTATATGACTCCCATGACCATCTAAAATGATCAGTCTCGCGTCGGAGTCGTCGGCAGGCGTGGTCTGGGGCAGATAGACTCTTTCAAGCCATTCAACGCCAATATAATCGTCAGTCCACCCGTTAGGCGAAGTTATATAATACTAGTCTGCTATCGTCTTGAATTCCTCAAGAAACCACTATTTCTAGAGTTCCTTCCCCTTGAAGATTATGCCAGGGATTAAAGCGCGGCCGTCAGCAGTAATAGCCTCGATAAATGAAGTCCAATTCCGAGTCTATGGTCCCTTGAGAAATGCCTTCCGCTTTGGGTCCGCGCTTCTAACAACCAGGCCATCTAAGCCTAAATAAAAAGGATTAGTCGGTCAGATTTCAAGCACTAACAAGGTATATAGATAGATACTTGCCGAAACCAGTTATAATACCCCCTTCATCAACGTTGACGGTGTTTTCAGGCTTAATCCAGCCATACTAGCCCTCCCTGATATCAAAGTACCAGTGAACTGCCTTGGGCGTGAAAGCGTCGAACCTTTTAGCTTCCTGGCGTCTACCCATCTTGGTCTTGAGGTCTGTGCGGCGATTGATAAATCTGGCCACCCAATTGCGTCCTAACTCGGGATGTTCGCCCTGCCGTCTCAACAAGCCCATGACGCAAGCGCGGATCTGATCGTGGGACGGAGCATAGCCCAAGGATTCCTGACGGAGTATCCAGAAAGCCAATCTGTCCTCTTGATCCTTGGATAAACGTCGGCGAGGGTGAATCTGCTCTTTCATGGCTCCCCGGCCGTTAAGTCTATCGATTAGAGTCCTTCGGGGCACTCCCCGTCTCTCAGCCGCTTGAGAGGGTAAAAAGCCATTATCAGTAATATCCAATATAGCCTCAGCCATATCGTCCTCTGTATATTCCCATCGAAGTCGCGAGATAGGCATTTTTTTGTCGCTGTCAAAGATAAAGACTAAAAAACACGAGAAGGAGCGGTGAGCGGCTTGGTGATCGGACTAACAATATTTCAATAGCACGGCCTGCATATATCGCGTACCCCACACAATATTACGGAGTCAAAACAATCACCTCCAATCATTTCTATAATTAATAGAGGTAACTTCTTTTACGTAGCTATTTATTTTGGCCAACTTTCGTGTAAGTGAAGTTGACGAGTTTTGGTGGTGCTTTTTTTTTTTTGCCTGGCGAAAGAGTGGGGTTGGCGAAAGAGTGGTTGTGCATGGTAATCTTCACTAGTGTTTGGAAGACAGTCGATGCACCGCGATATCTCATCGGATATAATTGGACTATTGCCCTCGACGTGTGTATGGTGGCCATGTTGTTTGTTTTGAGGTCCTTCTGGAACCGCGAGCGCAAGGCTCTGCCCACAGCCTAAGTCAAACAGGAAATGCCAAAGTACCAGGCAGAAGCATGGAATCAACGATTGGGGGACTTACAGAAACACTTCAGCTGCCTGAAAGGGCCGGGTTGATCCGGAACCGTTGTCTGTTATATGTGTTTGAGGAGCGAATTTGAGTTTGTTGAGATTATGAGAGAGTCTGAATGAGTTCGTTTATCGCCATTTGAGTAGATTGCTCCATGTTTGACATGAACTAGTCTGTCCTACTTCATCTCGAGATGACAGAATACTATGAAATGATCTTCTTTATGTAGAGCGGAAATACCTCCTCGTGACGACTAAGATAGTGGCTAACAAGTCGCTCAACAATACAAGCAGTTCTGGAGTAGTTGACGTCGAATCAGGCCACACAACTTTGATTACTCATTTAACTTATGATCGTTAATAAGAAAATACCTCATATGAGCGTTTGAGGCTTGTCGTCATCACAATCCCACTATAGTATAGTCACTCGACCTTATTTCCTTTCCTAGCCTCACCTAGGGCCACTCTCTGTCTGTATGGGAGAAGAGATCTTATCCCACTGTTTTGAAGAAAGGCGTGATTCAGTCCCACATTCCTCGGCTTATTTTGTTCTTATCGCTTGCAGCGACTGACAGGTTTGAGTCACTCTGTCACGTGCTATGCGTAAGACGAGAGGGGAAGACATTACTCACGCATTACCCTCACTTCTGGAACAACCATACCTCTTTCACGTTCCGCCTGAAGCTCACAACTTGCGAAACCATGGAAGCCAGTCTGTTACCAATCAATGAACAGATTTCGCGATTCCGCGAAGCCTTGGAACGCAACAAGACACTCATGACTGTCCTTGAACGCGCTGCTTCGATGAAACTTCCTGGATGGTACCTCGCCGCTGGTGCCCTCACACAGACCGTGTGGAATGTCATGACGAATCGTGACCCTGAAAACGGCATTGACGACTATGACTTGATCTATTTTGACGCATCTGATCTGTCATGGGAGGCCGAGAACACCATCATCAAGGCCGGCGAGAAACTTTTTGCCGACATTCCGGTCGAGGTTGAAATCCGCAATCAAGCTCGAGTGCATCTCTGGTACGAAAAGAAGTTTGGTGCCCCATGTCCACAGCACAAATCCTCAGAGGCCTCAATCAGCACATGGGGCACCAACTCAGCCCTCATTGCCGTTCGGTTGAGGGATGACGGAGAGTGGGACATTTTCGCGCCGTGGGGATTCTCAGACATGTTCAACCTCACTGTCCGACCGAACCAGCAGATAATGACGGGGGCAGTATACGAAAAGAAGGTGGCACGCTGGAAAGGGTTCTGGCCTGAGTTGACCGTCGTTCCATGGAATGATCGCAAGACTTGACTTGAAAAACGATCTTAATATCCCGTGAAGTATAGAAAGGGAGTTGTTATCAGTGCACGTACATGAGAGTAGTTCAATATTTGGAATACTTGGGGGATTATGTTTGGTTTTGCAATGTGATTGACCTAGCCCTCCACTCTCGCGGGATTGAGAAACACATCCTGTATAGGATCTTTGGGCGCAAAAGATAGATTGGCTGGATGGTAGAGAACATAAGCGAACTAGGAGGGCATGATCTGGACTATAAAAAGAGCGAACAGAACCAAGGCTTTATTAACCCTCTTTACTCCCTCGCGACTGTTATCCGAACACGGACGGGGGCAATGAGTTTTAGATTTCCTCCTAGGTCTAGTAACCAATAAAAATGGCTCATTACGCCGAGGAAAACTTGCACAGACTTATAAGAGATAGATATAAGGAGAGCGGATCTATTTTCTGGCTAACTATGTACTAATTGTGTCAAGCCAGTTGCCTTTGTCTGACCCAATATTCATCATCTGGAGACTGGCAATTTTCCCAAGATAGAGCAAGCTATCAGAACCCAGCTTGCATCTCGAAACACACCAAGCATCCAACGGCTCTGTCTCAAATTTAAGCACCGTTGCCGTTGTAGGCAACAAGGTTGGGGCTGCCATTGAGAGTGCCGGTGATACGGCCGGAAGTGCCGAGAGCCTTGATTCGGTTGGTAACGGCCGCAGGAGTGCTGAGGCCCTCGAGAACCTGGAGGTAAAGAGCGAGACCCGCAACGTGGGGGCAAGCCATGGAAGTACCACTCAGGCTGCGGGTGGCAGTGTTGGAGCCAATGTAGGAGGACAGGACACTGACACCAGGGGCATGGATATCCACACCGGCACCTGTTGACACAAGTAAGCACATAGTCAAGTGATGAAGGCTGAAAAGGAGGACAAACCGTAGTTGGTGAAGGAGGCGGGGCGCCAGCTGGAGTCAATAGCACCAACAGTCAGGGCGTTAGGGGCGTTGGCGGGAGACTGGCTGGAAACTGGGAGAGGGTTGCCGTTTATATCACCATTACCAGCAGCAACAACGGAGAGAACACCGGAGTTGTAGGCAGCGTTGATGGCAGAGATCCAGGTCTGAGAGGACTCGCCTCCTATTTGGGTATTAGCGTTGATGCCAATTGCTGTCAAGGGAGAGATAGACACGTACCGAGAGACAGGTTAATGACGGAGCGACCCTGGCGGCCCTTAGAGGTGATGTCGTTCACAGCCCAGTTGAAGCCAGATAGAATAGTGGAGGTAGATCCCTGGTTGCCCTGGAAGACCTTGACAGAGATAATGTTGGCCTAAGGAGAGTGTCAGTTATGCAACTGTATATGGGATGTAGGATTAACTGACCTGCTTGGCAACACCATAGGTGGAACCGGCGATAGTACCAGCGACGTGGGTGCCGTGGCCAAGGGTATCGGTGTGGGCACCGGAGAAGGCGTTGAAACCAAGAGAGGCGCGGGTGCCGAACTGGGAGTGTCCAACCTGGACACCACTGTCGACAACATAGGCATAAGAGCCAGAACCAGCAGAAGTGTCATAGATGTAGCTGGTAGAGCCGGAGGTGCGGTGAGAGATCGTACCAAGACCCCAGGTGGCACCAGTCTGAGTGGTAAGAGCACGGTCAGACAGCTCACTGGACTCTTCGACCCAGAGATAGGCTTCAAAGTCGGGTTCAACAAAGGCAACCTGATTTTGTTAGCTTGAGATGATGATGTCATGGGTAGTTATGAGATTACCTCAGGGCTGCTCTTGATCTCTTCAATGGTGGCTTCGTCAAACTCGCCAGCATAGGCGTTCCAGTTGCTGATGTTGTAGGTCTCCTCAACACCAGCAGTGTCACGCTTGGACAGGCTGCGGCGGTGGACATCTCCAACCCAGTCAAGATGAGCAGAGATCTTGCTGTCGGAAGCCTCAGGCTTGAGAGTAATGATGTACTTGTTGGGGATGGCGGTTTCCTGGCGTCTAACTGGACCGTCAACAGGTGCAGCTAGGGCAGCGGGGAGCAGAGCTCCGAGGAAAAGCGCGAGACGACGAATGCTAGCCATGATGAAGATTGAAGAGCAGAGAGGATGATGATGCGATGGACTGAGAGCCTGGAGAGGATTGAATCAAAGAAACTGGGTGTTTACCACCATATTTATACTTGATAAATCCAACCTTCTTGGCAGCTTGAGAACGTCGTAAGACTAAATTCATCCGTATCTTGAGCAATATCTTGCGTGATGCTGCAATAGCATTGCAGCTTGTTATCCTGCTTCACTCAGCTTCCTAAACGGTGTATGGCCGGCATATCCAAGTAGGGAAGGTAATAGTGCAGCATAGAATCATCACAGTAGTAAATGCCAAGAGATGATGAAATCGTGCCCGGCGTTCCATCCTGTTACATAGGTCTAATCCATGAAGAATGCCGGGGCCTTTTCCGAGTCACATTTTCTCGGCTGAATGTCCCTTTCCACCAGTCACGGCTTATCAAATCGCAGGTCACGGGGAACGTATAATAAATCAAGAAACGAAAGTCAAAGGAAAAGGTTCCTTTGTCGGCGGACTCCTCCGCCACTACAGGGGAAATGCCCTTAATGCCTATGCTAATACTAAAGCCCCGCGAGTGAAAGTCAAAAGCCAAGCGATATGGTTCCTTTCCCTCCATACTAAGCTCCTTCTCGTTTTGACTAGCGAACACGGGAAGCCCCGCCCCTGGGCCCTTTTGTTCACGCCTAGAACGGAGGATTACTCGCAAGGGGAAAAGCCGCCGATCACCTCAACGGGAGGGTCCCATTCTGGGAAAAGCCATTGTCGATCTGGCAAGTGGGTGATCAGTCGCATGATTGCCGAAAGATTTCACCTACCGTACCTACCGATTAGTTGATCTAATAAAGAACACCTCTCTCGAGCGTTATCGCGTGCTTCGGGCGCATTGTCCATATCGGGGCTACACACTATTCTTGAGTATCCTTGCTGGAGCAAATTCACATGCAAGGCGCTTTAAACTTCCACTGGGTTTCGGTTTCTAGTGGGCATACGAATTGGCCTGCCGTCTTGGGTCACGTCGACGTCGGTTATTGCAAGCAGCTATCCCTTGACCCGTACATCCTGGTGCCGAGCCGGATACTGCCAAGGGATGCCATGACGCCGGCGCTTAAGCTATTGGGTAGCTCTGGCGCTAAGCTTACAAATGCTACATAGAACCTTGATGTCTGCCACCTTGTCTTGGTTGATGAGACCCCCGCGCCATTGCTTGGGAGAAAGGGGGCTGCGGAGGTCCCCTCACTCGCCACCTGTTGTTCGTCTTCCAAACACGCCTGCTAATACCGGTCTAGTAAAGAAAGAAAAACAGCCATTGATCAAATGTGGATTGCAATTGGGTTGGTTGAAATGGCGAGCAAGAATTAAGAGGGTATGGGTTAGAGAAAAGACTAATAACCGTGGGTATGGTGCTCGAAGTGCATCCTGGCATTATTTATTCTGCCAACTCTGTTTAACCCTGTTGCTGAGTTATTGCTTCTGTAAATTCTCTTATAGGTTGGTTTAACGTTGGTAGTGAAGTTCTTCGGAAGATTAAACGTACTGCCACAACGGCACAGTCGTGCCTTCCGGATTCGCAGACTGCATGACGTGCTCTTACCCTACCCAGAACCTACATACTAACCTTAAATTTAAAGTGAAAACGGCGGGCGTCATCAGCCCGTGCGTAGTCCAGAACAGGAAAAGACTCTAAAAAGGTAAAACTATAACTTAACCTAGATGAAAGAATACACGTCTTGTTGATGCGCAGCTCCCTAACGGTCGGTCCAATTCTATATCATGTTTCAATTTGATAATTGAGATTGTAGATTGGGCTGACTCTGCAGTAGATGAAATTGATCTTTTCGGCTGATATAACTCTATTTCTTGGTGTTGCATCCCGTAATTCCCATCACCCGAAAAACGTGAATGTTTCTCTTATTCCAAGTCCACCACCATTTTTGAAGCTTGAGTTTGCGTGATCGTTTTCTCTTAGCAATTAAACGTATACTATTTATTACCTGCCAGTCAATAACATCAGTTGCATGCTCGCCTGGTCCCAAGACGCAAAGGCGAGCTTCATATTTGTCGCTATGCATTATGCAGCCAAGTGTTCATCTGACCTTGATGATCCGCTCAATCTTCAAGCCAGGAATATGTTTCGAAAAAGAGTAGCAAGCTGTCGAGTGACACTAATGGTAACCGTAAAGAGCATATCTCAACCTGTCAGTTTAGCAGTTGAAGTGATTTGTGTATTTCTTTACTTTATCGCCTCCGCCCGAAAGATCATATGTCTTCTAAGTGTCCAACTAGATATCTAGAATTCTGCGCAATCAAACACTGCCGTTCGTAGGGTCGTTGACCAAGCCATCTTCCTTGAACTTGTATCTGTCCTCCAAATCCCAGTACTTGTTGAAACCGACACCCTCACAAACCTCGCTGTAGGATAGAATCATTGGCGGCTTTCCGACAGTCATACTCTTCTTCAGGTCCTCCAGTGTTTCGCGAATACTCTTGAGCTTGGCAGCAACGAGCGTCCAGGGGTAAGCGACAGCGCAGAAACCCAGCTCGGCAAGATCCTTTGCTGACAGATTCTCGGTCTTGCCACCCTCAATGACTGGAGGTTTGAAGTCAGCTATCAGAGATTACTTTGGAAGTTATGTAGATAGCTACTCACTGTTCGCAAAGGTTGGGATGCCAACTTCCTCGACACAACGACGCATGGATTCGCGGTCGGGGAGGGCTTCGACGAACACAGCATCAACGCCGATCCGCTTGAACTCCTTGGCACGGCTGAGAGCTTCCTCCCATCCATGAATCAAGGCATCTGTTCGCGCAAGAACAAAGATATCCCTGCCTTGGTCACGGGCGTCGCAAGCTGCTTGGATGCGAGCATATGCCTCGCCTCGGGACACAACAGACTTTCCCTTGGTGTGGCCACAGCCTGTGCAAATTAGCTTCGGGAGGTTAAATTGGAGTCAAGAATTGTACTCACGCTTTGGCCACGTCTGGTCCTCAATCATGACTCCGGCGGCGCCGGCAAGGGCGTAGCTCTCCACAGTCCTCTTGACGTTGAGAGGGCTGCCGTAACCGGTGTCTCCATCAGCCATGACAGGAACGGAAACCTGTCGGACAGCCTCCTGGATCTTGTCGCACATCTCTGCCATTGCAATGTAGCCAGTGTCAGGAAGACCGTAGGCGCTCGACACGGGATATCCGGCGAGGAACACCATTGGGAAACCTGCCTCTTCGACTAGGCGCGAAGAGAGGCCATCATAGCTGCAGCAGTGGGCGAGAATCTTGGTCGGATCTCGGTGGGCTTCAAGCATCATGGTGCGAAGGGCCGAAGCTTGAATGGATGGAATCTTGCCTCGGACATTCTTCAATGTACCAGACACATCCTCAATTTGGCCAGGCTTGCCAGGCTTCTCCAGAGCCGGAGCGGAGAACTGGAAGGGGTAAGGGGTAGTGTTGACGATGGACTTGGACATTGTGACTTTGAGTGATGAATGAGGTCAATTGATGATGTGATGTTGAGCTGGTTGATGATAAGAAACCTGGAAATGATGCCTAAGAACAGGTTATATACCTGACGTTCGATAGAACCTGTAAAGGTGCCTCCTCCGCGATGTTTCGGATAACGATGGAGCTCTCGGATAGTACTGGAAAGTGCCGGATACCGACGCGCTCGGGAATGGCGTCGCCGCTCGGAGATGCGGAGCCATCCCCCCTAAGAAAATCCTGGGGTATGCGGGGTCCCCGCGTTCAGCAAGGATGGACCGAGATGAGATCAAGGGGGTTGGGCCACGAACCATTCTCGGAGAGTGACGGCTTCTATCAGCAGTCAAATCGAAACACCTAAACATATCACTCGACCTGATATCTACTAAAACCCCCCTTGGTCCTCCTCACTATCCATCTTGTAATCTCATCATCACCAAGTCCGAAAGTTTCCTCTTCATTTCACCTTGCTGCTGCCCAAGCAGTCCACTACTACAATGGACCAGTCATCTGTTGATCGAAAGATGTCCCTGAACGCGGAGGAGCTCGAACATGGAGCACGCGAAGAGCTGCCCCATGTTGAAGTTCCCGAGGAAGCGAACGCGAGAATTCGGCGGACGGTATGTTACAAAAAATGCCCTAGGACAACATTCTGCTAACTATCTGCATAGTTCGATCGCCGCCTCCTTCCCATCGTTTGTTGCCTTTACGTTCTGTCCTATCTCGATCGAGGAAATATCGGAAACGCCAAAGCTGCTGGAGCCAAGGAGGATCTTGGACTCAGTGACTCGGATTGGTCCTGGGTTCTCAACGCGTTTTACATCTGCTATGTCGCGTTTGAGTGGACGAACTTGTTCTGGAAGATCCTGCCTGCCAGCAAATACGTCGCTGTACTCTGTGTTCTGTGAGTAAAGCCCCTTCAGTCTGGCCATAGTAAGAATCTGGGCACTGACCATTCGCCATCTAGTTGGGGAACTGCTGCCATGTGCTCTGGTGCTTCTCAGAACCTTGGTGGCCTCATTGCTACTCGTGCCCTCCTTGGCGTCTTTGAGGCGGCGTTTGGTGCTGGTGCCCCTTATTTCCTGTCACTGTTCTACAAGCGCAAGGAACTTGGCTTTCGCGTTTCCCTGCTTCTGGGCATGTCACCTTTGGCCAACTGCTTTGCATCTGCTTTGGCCTACGGAATTACCCACATTAACGGTTCTTTGGAACCTTGGAGGTACCTCTTCATCATTGGTATGTTTGCAATCACCTCACTGCAGACTGCATAGCTAACTTGCACATTGCAGAGGGTGCTCCTACTGTCCTCTTCTCCGTAGTCACCTGGTTCTTCCTGGCAGACTCTCCCGCCAAGGCCAAATACCTGTCCGAACAGGATGCCACATATGCCGTTGAGCGTCTCCAAGTCCGAGATCGAACGAAGAAGACTCAAGTTCGCTGGGACCAGATTTTCGCTGGCCTGACTGACTATCAGAACTATGTCCACACTATTATCCATTTCTGCTGCAACTACTCTTTTGCGGGTCTCTCCAATTTTCTTCCCACCATCGTTCGCGACATGGGGTACTCTTCCGTTACGGCGCAGGGTCTTACGGCACCCCCTTACTTCTTGGCCTTCCTTTGCTGCGTTGCCGCTGCCTTTGTTAGCGACAAATTTGGAAAGAGAGGATTCATCGTGAGCGGGAGCTCCATCATTGGCTTCGCTGGTTATCTCATCCTGGTCCTTGTTCAGGACGAGTCGAAGAAAGCTGCCCGCTATGCTGGCGTCTTTCTTGCTTCCTGTGGCGTGTTCCCTGCGCTTTGTATCAACATCACCTGGCTGCTGAATAACCAAGGAGGCGACTCAAAGAAGGGAGCAGGACTTGCAATCCTGGCCACGTTTGGCCAATGCTCTTCTTTCGTCAGCAGTGTTGTTTTCCCCAGCACCGATGGGTAAGTTCCCCCCCGTCTCCGAATCGCATAGTGTTGGTCTCGCATAGAATACCTTACTAACGATGCTTTGTCATTTCTAGGCCTCTCTACACTCGTGGCACGGCGATCGGCTGCGGTCTTACCGGTCTCATTAGTATCTTGTCCCTTGGTCTGCACTTTGCTTTGGAGCGCGAGAACAACAGACGTGACCGCGAATATGGACTCGTCGATGCGACTGCTTCTGTTGATGTGACGGAACTTGGTGACAAGAACAAGAACTTCCGCTACCTGACTTAGGTGCGGGTAGAGGCGTCTGAGTAGTCCGGAAGATGGAATCTGGCACGTTCGGGCATTCAACTTCTTAGGTAGTTTGGAACTAGTTTCTCACTCTACATACGTGATTTTACGTATTCTACAAGCTAGTCTCTTATATCAGGAGGATAATTCGCTGTACTTCTTAAGCAAAGTGTGTGCCGCGTTCTGTGATGTCCGTCCTCTACATCGCTAAGTGTCATATTGCCGTAATATGGGGACCATGCCTCGACTCCGTCTACTTTTTTGGCCTCTGATATTGTATTCCTGTACTGTCCCATGCTTGTAGACCATCTGATCCCCGGGCCTGTCCTGTACAGCCTCCCCGTGCTAGAGCCAAGCCTAACCCCAGAGCATCTCCACACACACACCTGCTCTACCCCGCGCGAACAGACGCTAATCTGAAGAGACGGCAGCGATCCAACCACTCAGGTTTGCGGTATTAAATCAGTTTTGATCATCGTTGCGCTAGCTCAAAGCGTGCTCGACAGAGTTTCGTTTGGAGGTGATACACGTCACGGTGAGAAGCATTTAAGTCCGTCACCATCCGCCACTTTCCGATTCCTGACCGGCCGAGGGCCTCATCCAAGCGACTCCCTTGCAACACCCTGCTCAGATCAGGACATGCCCATTCCCTCCGCTTTGGATGGATAACGATACCCAAACCCAGCCCACTCTGCCTCGAGCCGATGGGCCCACCCGCGGACGACGCGTGCGGGACTTCCGACGGGGCTATCAGGCATGCGAGCTATGCCGAAGGAAGAAGATCCGCTGTGTCGTTGATACGCCTGGCGCCTCCTGCTTGAGGTGTCAACGAGAACTGAAAGAATGCATCTTTAGCCACGAACGTTCACATAGAAAACGGGACGCGGCTGGTGGGAGAGGTTCATCAAAAGAGGGTATGCCAAACATGCCCATGAATCGCTATCGGACAAGGAGATGGAGGTTACTGACACTTAGACAGAAGGCAGCTCTACACGCGAGAGCACATCACCTGATCGAGCGTCAACATTTCCTCGCGAGGTGCCTGGTACATACACCGAAGAGCCCTCGCAGCTCCTAAGCGATGCCAACGGTGCTGTCCTTCCCGCACAAGATTACCAAGATCTTCCATTAGCAGTGGGCAACATCTTGGCCCAAGACCTCCCCCAATCACGTCAAGAGGGCGCCGACACCTCTCCCTCTCTTGGCTCGACGGGGCCAACCGGAGACCTCACTGACAGTGTTATGAGAACATTGGTCTCCAATGGCAAAGACGCCCTCCGGCTATTATTCCAAGCTGCCATCGAACATGTCAAACAAGACGGAACGACGCCCAGCAATCCCCCTTCAGTTTCACGACACCCGCTCCACCCAGGCGCCGAGATAGTGACCCCACAGACAACTGCATCTATGAGAACTTCAAGACCGATCTATCTATCGCCAGCATCACCCGATGCATTAACAGTTTGGCGAGCTTTCCGGTTCGTCAAGATGGGATGGTTCACAGCTGAAGAGGCAGTTACGTACATGGAATTGTAAGTTGTGCCTACATGTCGACAGATCCGTGGCTAACCATGGTGGACCATGTCCCTCTTAACAGGTTCCAACACAACCTGGCACCTCTTTCCTTGGTATCCAAAGGACTTGACTTGAACCAAGACAATCACTACAAGATCATCACTCAAGAGCCTCTTCTCTGTTGTGTGATTCTTATGATTTCCTCCAGATATCACATCCTGCAGGGTGCTAGTGGCATTACTCGGAGTACTCTCGTGCACCACCGGCTATGGGAGCACTGTCAGTACCTTGTGATGAGGATCATCTTTGGGCAAGAAAAGCGATCCAAAGCCAAGACAAGGACGAGAGGATCAATCGAGGCTCTGCTACTCATTATTGAATGGCACCCGCAAGCAATTCACTTGCCACCTGCCGCAGATGGCTGGGACTCTTCCCTTCTCCTCTCATTTCCGGATCCTCGAGATGATCAGTTCGGGAATCAAGCAGATGCCACTGACGACAACGATGCTTTATGGCTTCGTGACGTTATTCTCCCTGCAAAGACCTCGGACCGTATGTCTTGGATGCTTCTAGGATGCGCACAATCCTTGGCCCTCGAGTTGGGGGTTTGCGATACAAGCGACTCAGGATCCATCCAGCCTCCAGGCCTTCAAGCCCAACAGACACGCCTGCGCGACCTTCTTTACATCTTTTTGGAACAGCAGTCTAGTAGACTGGGATGTCCTTCCATGATGCCTACGTCTATCTCCCGCTTCATGTCGGAGCGCTCACAGGGGGGGCAAGATGACTCGGCTAGCGTCAATGCCTGGCTCAACCTTACCAGCCTCTCAAGAACTATCATCGACGTGCTCTGTCCGTCAGCAACGGCCATTCGGGAGATCTTGAGCAGTGGCAGATACGTAAACATCATCAAGCACTTCCAGCAACAGTTGGCGGCGTGGAAAGCCACTCACCTTCGTCGAGAAAGTATGTATTCCCCTCTCTGTCTCGTCAAACCTGCTGACTTCTGCTCGTCTAGACCTATCAGCACATGCATACGAAGACCTCTCAATCGAGTTCAACTACCACCGCGCTTTCATGAACTCACTGGGGATACAAGCCGTCGTTGATCGCGTCCTCGGCGGGAGACCTCCCAGTTCCATCAATACCGACATTTTCCAATCTTCCATCACAGCGACCGACTATTCTTTCATCAGAGAGGTGATTGACGGCTCTTGCCAGGCTCTTGAGTCGATCAATCGGCTTTCAGAGGCTGGCACACTCCGATACTGCCCTGTCAGGGTTTTTCTACGCATCATTATGGCTTCCATCTTTTTATTGAAGGCTCTTGGTCTGGGAAGCCGCACGGCGGACCTGGAGGCTTCCCTGAACGTTTTGGAGAGAAGTATTGAGGCACTAAAAGCGAGTAATCTGGACGAGATGCACCTCGCCTCCCGTTACGGAGAGTTACTTGAGATGCATCTGGAGAGATTTAGGCAGGGAATGGTCCCAACATCTATCCCAAGAGGCATCCCTCTGGTTGATGAAAGCACTCAGTGGACTTTCGACAACGGTGTCCCGCAAGGAGACAGCTTGGGAGACGTGCCAATGCCTGCCGTCGATGACTGGTTGGCGCTCCCTTTTGATCCAAGCATTGCGCCGTTTGGGTTTTCTAATGATACACCTGAGCTTGCCGAACAAGAGGACAGGTCTTGGGATTTTCTATGGAGTTTGCCAAACGTGTGAGGCTCAGTCGAATTGCTCTGCATCAGACATTCACTGCCTCTGTGTTCTATTATACTCACATCATGAAAAGTTTGGACCACCTTGTGTAAATAGTCATACAACTATTACGCCAAATGAATGAGAGACGTGAAGAGTCCAGTGACTGACATATTGTTTGCTTCTTTCAGCTGATGGCATCGCCTGTTCCACAGCAGGCACAATGGGTCACATCGATGTACGACAGGATGAAGATTTTGCCAGAGTACCATGAGCTGTGACGAAAGTCAATGTCAGTGATGTTTGTGAACAGTAACGATAAACATGCGGATGATAAAGGTGACTGATACCCTGCTTGATCGAGCAGAGAATCATCATCAACAAGTTCGAAAGGAATTCGTCGGTAAGTTATGAGCCATCGGTCCAATACATAACTACAAAGAATTAAACTGCATTATTTCATCAATATCTCTCCAGAGTCTTGAAAGTAAGCCAACCAGAACCCTGATGCGTTTGGAGAGTACCGCTTTTCCACGTCAGCAGGACCTATCCATAGCCTAGCACCTATAGGGGAACACTAAACTATAGCTTACATCAGACCTTCATCCAAAGTCAAACATGAGTCAAGGTATAAATATTGGAATGCCTATTGTGCTAATCACGGTCTGTATAAATCAGGGGTTGAGTCATGTTTGATCTGGATGAGTCGCTCATCGAACAAACCTGCCAGATGGCCTCATGGTGGGGAATAAGAGACCCTCATGGCGCATGCACTGTCCCGTGGATTAGCTTGGCAGTGATTAGGTATCTCATTCATTAGATATATAATATCCCCGAACGGGGGGGTCAGAACTCAAGTCACCAAGTCGATAAGACACACCTGTCCCAAGCACCGACAAGTTACTAATATCGACTGACACCCATCTGGACCTCGTGCTCCGAGACCCTCCGAGTTCACATCAAAATGGAGGCTGGCTTGCGCCTTCTTCTCCTTTCCTGGCTCTTGGCCTTCGTTTTAGCCGAGCGGGTTTCCTACGATGGGTACAAGGCCTTTCGGGTCGCAGCTGGTGAGAACATCGAGCAAATCAGGGATCAGCTATCAATATCATCCTTTGACTCTGTCTCTCTCGGGTGCGACGAAGGTCATTCCGATCACCTGAATATTGCTATCCCTCCTCAAAGAATCTCGGATTTTGAGGCCCTGGGTCTCCAAGCGACAGTAATCAGTGACGATCTGGGCGCTGACTTTGACGTTGAAGGCGCCTTTGAGCCTTATATCAGCAGTACGCTAGTTCGAACGGTTAAAATGACTGAATACTAATTCTTGACAATCATAGAGCATAGCGCGTTACTCAAGCCGGGAGAATTTACGACTCCACTGCCTGACCTCTCATGGTTCAACACTTACCATAACTACACGGATCACCGCGGATTCTTCGAGGACCTCCACGCCGCACTCCCTACCAACTCGGAAATCTTCGTCACCGGCAAGTCATACCAAGGCCGAGATATCTACGGTATTCACTTCTGGGGCAAAGGCGGCAAGGGGAAGAAGCCCGCCATCTACTTTCACGCCACAGTCCATGCGCGTGAGTGGATTGCAGCTCCTGTGAGTGAAGTCACTTGGCTACGATTCTTGGGCTGGATGACTAACAATAACACAGGTCCAAGAATACCTTGCATGGCAGCTCATCAGTGGTTATTTGAGTGACTATGACATTAGGGAAATTGTCGACGAATACGACTTCTATATGATCCCTTTTGTCAACCCCGACGGTGAGTTTATAACCAACTAGGCGTCGCATGTGCTAACCCAAACTCAGGGTTTGTCTACACCCAGTCCAAAGATCGTCTATGGTGGAAGAACCGTCAGCCTCGCAAGGGAACCTCTTGTGTGGGAACGGATGGAAACCGGAACTGGCCTTACAAGTGGGAACTTGAGGGCGGCGCATCCACCGAGCCATGCTCAGAGATCTATAAGGGCAAAGCACCAGGGGATACGCCTGAGATCAGCGCCATTGTCGATTTCACCAACAACCTAACCCAGTCCAGCAACATCAAGCTATTCATCGACTTCCACAGCTATGGTCAGTATATTCTCCTACCGTATGGCTACGATTGTGATATTGTTGCCGAGAACAACAAGACCCAGATGAAGCTGGCTGGCGAGATGGCACACCAGATTTACAAGGTCAACGGCACGCAATACACTTACGGCCCAAGCTGTTCCACTCTATATCCGACCACCGGCACCTCGCCCGATTACATGACGGGAAAGGTCGGGGCAGAGTTTGCATGGACGATCGAGCTACGACCAGGTTGGAACGGGGCCAGTGGGTTTGTTCTGCCTCCGCAGGAAATCCTGTCTACCGCCCAAGAAGTGTGGGAAGGGATCAGGTACGTCTTGGAAACGATGTGAGTCGGCTTGGCGTCGTTACGGACGAGCACCGCCTTGTTGCGGTGAGGTATAGATTAAACTCGCCAGTCGAGTTTAGGGAGCCAGTAGCATAGCCTAGAGACCAATTGAATCATTACTTAAAGACTCTGTAAATTTTGCAGAAACCGCCAAAACCTGGGGCTCCATCCACCGCTCGTGGCAGGAGTCGCTGCGAAGGGGAGGCAATGAATGAGTCTACGTTGGGGAATGAGATTAAATCGTCAGAAACCTAACTTCGCTAACCTATCAATCATAGTCAATTCATATGAGATATGAAGATCAAAGTGCTTGCTGATAGGAGTAGTCAATCTTTTGCAGTGAACAGGACCGCAAGGATGCATTTTAAAATGTTGAGAAGTGAGCCAAGTCGCTGCAGATGTCCCTCCCCTAGCTGTCTCATTCGTTTTGGTAGCGACTTCGGCGCTTGGGGTTTGCCACTGGGAAAGGCATGCCATGATTCGTCATGAAAGACCAAGCCTAGATATCATGAAATCTTCCTGCCTAAACAGAACATAGGGCCTCTTATCTTGACGCGTTGAACCCACTGTTCACTATCTCGCCTCCGATAATCTCATCCCCAAAGTCCCTCGCCGGCGGCCGGATATCGGCCCCGCTCCATACACTTGTCACACGGACAGTCACTTTGAGCAAGGATGCGGGGTAGTGAGACAGTCGGAGTCCACCGCTCGGAGTCCACCGCCTCTTTGTCACATCAGGAAGGTTTCCGCTACTCCGTGCAGCGCGGCTCTTGATTGAACTCTGCTCTTGACACCTCTCATTTTACAACTTATTACCTTTTCTGCTGAAACTATGGCTGAGTCCAACTCTATTTTCAAGTCCTTTGCGTATCCTGGCAATCATGAGAAGCTTGCCAGCTTGCCGCCAACGCAAAACTTCATTGACAATGAGCTCGTGACATCCAACGCGACACAATGGATCGACGTGCACGATCCTGCAACAAACGAACTCTTGACACGGGTCCCTGAGAGCACCAACGATGAGTTGAAGGAGGCAGTTCGGTCTGCCAAGGCCGCATTTCCTGGTTGGAAGAAGACCAGCATCATCAAGAGACAGCAGATTATGTTTCGACTCACCCACCTGGTCCGGAAGCACATGGATGACCTTGCCACCAGTATTGTGACGGAGCAAGGAAAGACGTTTGCCGATGCGAAAGGCGATGTTCTGCGTGGTCTCCAGGTGTGCGAAACAGCCTGTGGAATCACCACGCAGCTGACGGGCGAAGTGCTCGAGGTGGCAAAGGACATGGAGACTCGCTCTTATCGCCAGCCATTGGGAGTTGTTGCAGCCATCTGCCCATTCAACTTTCCTGCCATGATTCCTCTGTGGAGTCTGCCAGTTGCCACTGTCACCGGAAACTGCATTATTGTCAAGCCCTCTGAGCGTGACCCAGGGGCTGCCATGATGATTGCAGAGCTTTGCAGAGAAGCCGGCTTCCCGCCTGGTGTGGTCAATGTTATCCACGGTGCCAAGGATGCAGTCAATTTCCTTCTTGATGAGCCCGAGATCCAGGCCATTTCCTTTGTCGGCTCCAACAAAGCCGGTGAATACATCTATGAGAGGGGAAGCGCCAACGGCAAGCGTGTGCAAGCCAACTTGGGCGCCAAAAACCATGCGCTTCTAAGCCCTGACGCCAACAAGAATCATGCTTTAGACGCCATCGCAGGAGCTGCTTTTGGAGCTGCTGGGCAGCGATGCATGGCCTTGAGCGTGTTGGTCATGCTTGGAGATGCCAAGGAATGGTTGCCAGATCTTGTCAACAAAGCCAAGACCTACGTCGCCGGAAGTGGCTTCGACCCCAAGTCTGACTTTGGTCCTGTTATCACTCCCCAAAGCCGAGAGCGATGCGAGGCTCTTATCACAAGTGCCGAGAAGGAGGGGGCAAGAATCGTCCTGGATGGACGTGGATACAAGCCCGAGGGCTTCCCCAACGGCAACTGGGTAAGTCTTGATGATACAAGAGTATGACAGCACACTAACTTGCTCAATTCAGGTCGGACCAACCATCATTGCTGGCGTTCGTCCAGACATGGAGTGCTATAAGGAAGAGATCTTTGGCCCTGTCCTACTGTGCATGGAAGAGGAAAGTCTCAAAGACGGCATTTCCTTGGTCAATTCCAACGCCTGGGGCAACGGAGCCGTCATCTTCACCAACTCTGGTGCAAAGGCCTCCTTGTTCCAGCAAGAGATTGATGCTGGTCAAGTCGGAATCAACGTACCGATCCCTGTGCCGCTGCCTATGTTTTCCTTCACTGGAAACAAGCGAAGTGTGGCTGGAACTGGTCTTGCCAACTTTTATGGCAAGGATGGGTTGAGATTTTACACCCAGTGGAAGACTGTCACTTCATTGTGGCGATCCGAGGAAGCGAGTACCGGAGAGAAGTTCACTACCATCACCGCAGCGGAATGAGGGCTGGAATTTCGCTAGTATGTAACAATGAAGATTAAAGGTAGTAATTGATGGTTTTAAAGATAACAATAACCCCCAAGTTGTTTAGGAGTCGACAAACAGCACACGCTTTTTTCTCAACCACCCGTTTTCCTCCTTGTTTACAACAATGACTCTTCGTATTCAACAAAGGGCACTAATAATAGTATCAGAAACACGTTTATCAATGAAGAACAATACTAATGGCGAACACAATGAGACACGAACAAATGTGTGTCTGGCTGTGAGACGACAAAGTATGCGTTCGTCCCAAGGCTACATAAGAGAGCCGTCAGTGATTACTTTCACATACTCAGACATGACAACCACTCAGCAGTCTTCTCCAAAGCAAGCATCGGAATCGTCGACTCAAAATGTGCTGACCAACTTCCAAGATACCCCTCTCCTAGGAGTCTTGCAAGCTGTCAACATCAGAATCTGATGGAGGTACCCTGGAGTTGAGTTTGGAGGGGCGCACGTGACAGCACGTGATGCCCACCCAGGTGCATTCTCCACCTCTCAAAACACCCTTGCAACGCGTCTCAACCTTGTTCTTCAATCGAAATGGAGCGACACAACATCTACCTCGAATATAAGAGAGATACAAAGTATCTTCTCTACTGGTTGATTAATGTATCCAATCGGATTATCAAATCATCCAAAGATGAAGCTGTCACCGAGCTCAATACGACAGGCCAAACAACCGTGGCCGGCCTCATAACGATGGCCAAACTCGTCGCACAACATGGCGAACCCGTCCCCGGCGCTATTTATCGACTGTTTGGATCAATCATTGCAGCGAGAACCACAATAAACAGCGCCTTTCACCAGCTCGTTGGCTCGAATGAGGACGAGGATTTGAAGCGCAGTAATGCAACCCACAAGCATTTTATCGACACGCTCCAGCAAGCGTTTATTATTCTTGGAGGCGACTCATGGAAACAGAGCCAGAGCCAGAGCCAGAGCCAGAGCAAGCAGGACTCTGAAGAAGACGAGGATGTTGAACATGCCATTTTCACCAACACGTTCAGAAACTTGACTGTCGAGGCTGAGGACGAAGCCTCGAGCGAAGAAGATGAAGAGGCTCAAACCCCATCGGTCCCGCGGAAGATGTCAAGAAAACCCGGAAAGGCCAAGAAAAGCAAAAAGGGCAAGAAATCGAAGAAGCAGAAGAAGACCAAGAAGACACCCACCACTGGGGACGCTGACAAGGACGAAATTCCGATGGAAAGCGTCCGGATAATTGAGGACGCCGACGGGATCATGACGGACTATCTGATGGCTGTGTACACGGCCGTGAACGAGTGGGCTGATCTAAGGGCGTACAACCAAGCTCTCTGGAGGGAGGTTGCGTACCAAGGCATCAACGGTGCCGTGGCTGGGGCAGTCGCCAACATGGCCGTCTCCATGATCAAACAGACAAGTTCGGCAATCTTTGTCGATTTCCCAGGTCATGACTCGTACGAAACGATCATGAAAACGATCACTCGAGGCGACCCGGACAAGGCACAAGGCAAATTTACCATCGCAAAGTACGCCATTGACTCTCATGGCAGACTACACAGCAAGCCCGAAGAGACTGCTGTTGACGTCAAGGAGCAGTTCCTCATCTACGCCTACCATGATCTTGTGGACTTTGTGATCGACTTCCAGCTCAACCGAAGCGGAAAGCCCACCAAAGCGATGCAGGCGAAAATTGGGAACTGGAACCCAAACTTGGACTTGCGCAAAGCGACAAAGCAGCAGCGACTTGAGTGGCGTCGCCAATATACAATCAAGTGGCTGTACGACCTCGTCAACGTGTACTCGGCGATTGTTGTGCAACGCAATACGATGAAGGGGGAGAAGCATGTCTATGAGAGAGTCGACTGGTCCGCTACTGGCCCTTGGGCAGTTCACCGCAGATTATACGGATTGAACGAATTTGCCGCCGAGATCACCACTATGGCCATGAAAAGGCCTGGGGCGGACCCCCGAAAGATGATTCAGCCTCACCATGTCTTTCACTTACAGTGCATCGTGGATGCCATGACAGTCTCCCGTGGCTGGCAGCTCGATACTTTGCGAGGCCACGTCTTGGAAGCACCAGCTCCTGGATTTCGACCCAGACGCGATGTCGACCTCTTTCTAGACCGCGAAAGCAAAAGATTTGCAAGAGGCTATTGCGCATCGGTGGGCATGGTGAAGTCGGCCCTTACAAAGGACGGCGACCACCCCGAATTGAAGAACATCTTTACACTTCTCCAGATGGAACTGGAGGATTTCGTCAACTGGCTTGGAGAGAGCAAGTACATGTCCGGACTTACTACTATACCCCCATCACGCTTCTCTGGCCACAACTCCAACGGACTTTGGGAGTACTCCCCTTTCCTTTGCGGTGTTGGTCTCATGGAAGGTCTTGAACTCGCATACATCATGGGTATATCGCTTTGGGACAAGATTCCAGAGCCGATGTTGCTCATTCACCTGCACAACATGCTCGTCCAGAAAGGTTACTTGACACGCCCTGTCGGATTATTCCAGACACTCCACGACTTAATGACAGAGTCGTTCTTTGCGAATGGGCGTGCTCCAACCTCGGATTTCAGCCAAGCGCTTCTCAGAAAGGTCGGAGAAAAGGGCTCTGGGCTTTCGAGAGGCAAGCGACAAACCACGAAAGATCATGGCCTTACCAACGACATGCATAAACACCTCGGTCCAAGTGTGAACCGGTTCTTCCAGCAAAAGCCGACCTTGTTGCTCTGTCGAAAGGCGGATTGGAATCCAGACGCGATCCCTGACGAGGAGCTTCACTTTGGCAGTGTCATGTTTCTTCGTCGACTCGCTTCTTTGAAAAAGTCTCAGCTCAAAGATTCACCAATCTTTCTCCGAGCAAAGGCAGCTGGCATTGATGAAAATGTGATCCTGGAGATGGCCGATAAGCTGGCGAATATCAAGAAGACCGAGGCAAGCCTGCCACAATCCCTCATTGATTCAATCACCGAACAAGGGTACCAGAGCGTGGCGCCTGGCAGCCTGGACATGGCTACTGGAGCAGCACGCAAGACGGCATCTCAAGTCACCGGCCGTGATCTCTTGGAATTCGCCAGAGCCGACATTCTGAGCGATGTTGCAGGCATGCGGCCACTCCTCAGCTTCAACTATCTGTCTTCGATTGTCGTCTTTTTGTGGGTGTTTTCCCAGATCGAGGATCGCCTCAGCAAAGCAAGAAATCGATCGTACATCGATGCGTACGAGAGGTCTGCACCAGCTGACAAGCGAATCACGCTCGTTCTGCTGGCGTTGGCGGAGCAGGACCAGCAATGCTTGAAGATCATGGGCGAAGCATTCGAGGCCTGCCGTACGGGTTTCATGGACTACATTTACTGGGACGATTTGGATACGGAGCCAGCATTGAGGGAGAGACCTGGTAATTCGAGTCCAGAAGCATGTGTTGTTATGTAGGGGAATAGAGTCGACTGGGGGTCTCACAAGACCACATCAGATTGCTGTATCAGCTTGGAGTGTACGAGTACGCGTATAGTAACGTTAGTGAATGGTGGGTTGCGGCAGGGTAAAATAGTTATAGTTGCGCCACGAAGCCGTCTGTTAGAGCTGTCATCTGCATTCCCGCCCTGTGAAGCTGACGTGGAATGGACCAACATGAGGCCCTGGCAATCCCGGTTTCGCTCTCGGGCTTTCGGGGCCTAGCAGCAACCCGGCGAGCTTAGCGATGGAGGGAGTTTTGTTCCCGTCGCGGCACGGCCCTCTAGTACAGCCAAGTAACTGAGGCACGGTACTAACAGGCGCATGGAGATTTGAGCCTAGTAAGGGCGCTTACTGTTAGTGTCTGACCAATAGTACATGTCTTTACCCGTCCAATAACCTTGACCTGCCCACCGGAAGTACCGGGGCTTTCGCTTGTCATCCTGCTTCTGACCCTCTGTCGAGAAGAATTACCAGTGAGAATCATGGGCAACTCTAAAATGGATGCTCACTGCAGGCAATCTGATCTTAAAAAACCATCTGAGGGAATCTCGGTAACAAGACGTGGACTCATACGACGAGTGACGGAGTGGACCACGCGCCAAGGGCCCTGGTCAGGGTAAAGAGGCCTACTTAAGATTCGTCCCCCCCGAACCCGGTCGTATTAACCTACGGAATGCGAAAGCGATTTCCGAGCCTAAAGCTGACACTCACTCACCATACGAAGCCAAGAGGATCTCGCGCCATTCTTGCCCTCACCGTTCAAGGGAGACGACATCTCTCACATCGCTTGGAGAATGCGACCCCCATCAAAGCGGCTCGGCCACAAAAAGTCCCGGACGGGTTGCCTCCGATGCAAGGCACGGCATGTCAAGGTGAATCTCCCCACCGCTGGTCGCTGAATCTCACTGAGAGAGGCTAGTGCGACGAGCAGCGCCCTTGTCGCAACTGCGTCCGGTTCGACGTTGTTTGCAGCTTAACCCAAGGTCCCCAGCAGAGTTCTGCGACCGCGACGTCTCCAATAGACCAGGTAAGGTCGCCGCCTACATCGCTTGACTCTCCTTCTCTGCTTTCAACCCAGCCCGGCCTGTCGACTGCATCCCCCGGGACGTCTTCCGAAAATGAATCATGCCACCCTTCCCCAACATGGATGCAAAGCTTGAGATTACTCCATCATTACGACACTGTCGTTTGTAGCATCCTCACACAGGAGCCAGCCACTGAGGATGTCTGGAGGAAGGTCGTACCAGAGATAGCATTCTCTCATGTATGATGCCCTTTCTGGTATGCAACGTCAGTCATGCTAACAAATAGTATTAGGACTTTCTCATGCATGGTATGCTTGGGCTGTCGGCAATGCACTATGCTCAAAGTCATCCAGATCAACGCAGGGAATACACATTAATCTCGTCGCATTACCAGAGCCTTGCAGTGCAAAATTTTGCGACCAAGCTTCAAGACATCAACGAGGATAACTTTGAACCCTACTTCTTCCTTGCTACATTCGTCTTCATTCTCAGCATGTGCTCCATCGCCGACCGTCAGGATTCTGGACTACCAGCTCCGAGAGACATTGCGCAGTCATTCATCCTACTCCAAGGAATCAAGAGCATTTGCGAGTTTAAGCCCATGGAGACATGGAGCCGCGACGGGCCACTGGCTCCGCTTCTCGAACAACATGAACCATTGCCAGTCAAGCGTACTGGGGCCTTTCAGAACCGCATGGAGAAGCTCTATGGCCTTGCCAGGGAACTGAGTCCCACATTCAGCGTCATCAATGTTCAGTCTTCCTGTCTCTTAGCTATTGAATCGTTAAGGACCACTCACACGGCCTGCACCACGGATACCATGTCAGCTCGTGCCCGCCGTATCTGGTTGTGGCCCATGTCCTTGACCCAGGTATTCATCGAGCTCATCAGCAACAACCACCACGTTGCTCTCATTATCCTGGCTCATTATGCAGCACTGACAAGACCATTTGAGCATCCCCATTGGATGAATCGAGAATGGAGTGGTAATGTCATGGCTGCTGTCGAATGTGCATTAGATGAAAGATGGCATGAATGGATCGCGTGGCCTAAAAAGGCTCTACTGGAACAGATTGATGTGGATGAGATGGACCCATAGATGAATGAATAGAAGCAATATATACTTATTAATTCTTGAAAGAAATATGTCCAACGCCTTCTAAAAGCCCAATTTTTTCGGGAGGGGAGTAATTCTATAGGATGCGAGGAGATGGTGATGTTTAGAGGTTGCTGATCTCGTACTTCTTCCTCAGCATCTCTCCGTATCTCAGGATAAGGAATGGAATAGGGATAAGAGCGACAGCAATGAACCCAAGCATGCTGTTTCCCCAGCCAAGTCCAATCGCATTGTACATCTTCATGCCGCACAGGGGGAGCGTAGCGCCGGCAATTGATCTCATGATGGTGTTGGCTGCGAGTGCCGAGGCGGCGTACATTTCGTATGCGTCGACGAGATAGACGCAGATGGCCATGAAGCAGACAAGGTTGCCTAACCGGTTAGCTGTGGTCCTAAAATGAGGAAGAGGGAACTTACCAATGCCGATGATGGCCAGTCCAATGATGGGAGCCATCCAGTGAGTCTTAAAGTCCACAGTCCAGCCGTAGATAAAAAAGCCGATGGGGAAGATGATGGCAGCGGCGGGAAGCAGCTTCAGTCGAGACTCGGGCTTGAAATTGTCGACAGCCATTTGCTTCTTAACTTCCTTGTTGCTGTCAAACGCGAACCAACCCATACCCACGAAGCTACCAATACCAAGACCAAGATAAACCAGGCCAACCGTCTTGGTTGAGAAGCCGTACGCCTCCTCAAACACATAAGGAACTGAGGTAAAGAGAAGATAGAGGTATCCGTAAATGATTGCCAGGTACACGGCAAAGATGGTACAGATGGGGGAAAAGACCAGTAGCTTGGCGGGTCTCACGATGCATCGTTTGAGTAGCTCGTTCTTGGTGAGTCCAGTGTCCAACTTTGAGCGTAAATGGTCATTGCCAGTTTCCTTGCGAAGCCGAATCGTCTTTCGTTCCAAGATGATAGGGGCATAACTCTCTTTCATAGTGACAAACATGCCGAGCATGATGGCACCGCTGACCATAGCGATCACCCAAAAGTCCCATCGCCAACCTTTGGCATCTGTCAAGAAGCCGCCAATGACTGGGCCGATAATGGGACCGATCAGGGGGCCAACACTGAAGACTGCCATGACTCCTGCTCTTTCTTCAGCTGGGAACATGTCGGCGATACTGCCGCCTCCGTTGGTCATGGGAGCAGCTCCAAATGTTCCAGCAAGGAAGCGGAAGACAATAAGGGTATCCAAAGAGGGTGCAACAGCACAAGCAATAGTAAAGGCCAGGAAGAAGACGTTGCAAATGTGGTACACAGGCACACGTCCCCACATCTCAGACAACGGAGCTAGAATCATCGGACCAAAGGCGAAGCCCAGCACGTATACCGACATGACAAAGGCTCCCAACTCTGAGTTGTCGCTTTTAAAGTCTCTCATCAGCTCTGGGATGCCGGGTGCGAAGATGGACGACGCCAGAGGCTCGATGAGGGTGAGCAAACTGATGAGACCGCAGTTGGTTAACTTTCTCCATTTTGGCCAGTGATATGGGTTCTCGGGGTCTGTATCGCTGTCCCACCACACGATGTTGGGGTCATTCGGTGATGAGTCGTCTCGGCTGTCGGATTGCCTGCTCTCCTTCTCCTGGTTGTCGTTGTCTGAAGGAGAATCTGACTGACAGGCAGCCCCGCCCATCTCCAAATCTTGTTCTCGTCCATTAAGTTGCTTTGAGTCGGTTGAAGTCCGTGAAGCCTTTGTCTCTAGGTTAAGAGTTGCTTCATCGTCGGAGGTTGGTGTAGCTATAGATCTAGTTAGTGATGCCCCTGCAAAGATCGACCGAAGATCTTTCCGTAGCCTTGTGGTGCATCCACTACACCATCACAATGCATAAGCTCAAACAACCAACAAGAAACAAGACATCAACTTACAGTGGCGTGACAGGTTGCCATCAACCTTGCTCGAGGAACTTGGAGACGCCATTTGGAAAGTGAAATGATTGTCAAAGAGGCACAGAGCGCTTGGAGTGCAAGTCAGGAGACAGCAGCCACATCCGTTAAGAATGTATTTAAACCCCAAATTGCCCCTTAACGGCCTTTTGGCAGTCCCCCGAGACTCACTGGGATCATGACAGCGAACCCGACTCCGCGGTCAGTAGGCGAGCTGTGTTAGCCCAACATGAGGCCACCAGGGCAGGGTTGCCACATCGCACGTCGGATTCGCACGTCGTATTTAGTCGACCCCAGCTTGAGCCCCTGCTCGGGTAGAATTAAGCATATAAAAATAACCCCAGTACCCGCTCTGGATTTCTGCACATCGAACGATCTTCGGGCTCAGTGAACCCATCAAGGGCCAGGCTTCAACTATAATGAAGAGCACATTGATGCATACCGACCATAGAACTCTCTACGTACACCATGTCGTGTTGGCCAAATGCCAAACCTTCTAGATGGGGCATTGACCAGAACACCTGCTAGAGACAGGACGGGACAAGGCAAAGGCATATGAAGGGTGTCTTTTTGAACTCGGCTGTGGCTATCTGTTTCTGTTCTTCGTCCCTGCCCATCTGGCGGCTACATAGAAGAAGAATATATGAACAGCGGAAGTAGGGCTGCCTCTGAATTTGGGGGGGGCGGGGGGGTTTCTCGGTTGTCCGATCGTTGTCTATGCTCATGTTTAATATCCACATGCCGCTCCGAGCAGTGCCCGAAGCATCAAGGCTACGAGATGTTTCTAGTTGTTTATGCGTACCCTGCTCAAATGTGGCCACGGTATATGCGGTATATCACGTTAATAGACATCCTACATCCTAGCGAATGGTGTTATTTGAAGTAAGCTGTCCTTGCTAGTGATTTTCGTCGAAATATTAACATGGTATAGCTTGCTAGAGAAAACCCTCTAAAAAACTGGCACTGAGAATTGAGAACATATTTCGGATGTTGCAGGACAGAGGCTTGCACTAGAAAGTAGACCATAGATGATGAGCAGCATGCATTGAATTTTCATTAATCAACATCAGGAACCAACACCCCGTTAATGATTACCATCCCAGTAGCCCCTTGCTTCTCCATCGCCTCCATCGCCTTCTGATCCCGAAGGTCGCTCGCTTCCTTGTCTGTGACAAGTACAAAGTCGTACTTCATCAGCTTAGTAGAGGGATCCACGCCATGCTTCTCTACTAGCCCTTCCACGTCCGACACATTCTTCAGCGCTATAATGAGCGACTCCTTGACTCCAAACACGGCGTCAGACCTCTCGTATGGATCTCCTCGGAGATACAGTGCTCTATGAATTGTCAGGAAAGGCCAGAAAGATGAGCTGAAGAAAACCTACGTGATGAGACGATCGTATCCCGGCTTATCAAAGAGAAAATGGAAATGACTGGGCCGGTATGGATGCCGATGCAGCTTCTTCAGCAGCTTCCCAACGGGCCCATCGCTAGGAATAGGATACGGCACCGGCACAATAGCCTTGAAGAAGAACGCGCCGTCCTCATCGCTACGCACCACTGCCCGACCATCTGGACCATCGTGGTCCGGATACTGAACGTCATAGAAACCCTTCGAGTCCGTCTCCCACACATCAACCTTCACGTTGGGGATCGGATTTCCGTTGGTATCCTTGACCGTGCATGCCACGAGCATCGGCTCGCCGTCTGGGTCGTGCGAGATCGCCGACCCGTTCTGTAAGTCCTCGGCCTCGTGGGTGTGAAACGGCCCAAGGACGGTGCCTTCAGTGGACGATTCGGGTTTCGGGTGGTCAATCGAGTCTACTAGTAGGGAGAGCCCGATGATGTCGGATAGGAGGATGAACTCCTGCCGGACGTCGGTGCAGATCTGGCCGACCTGAGTGAGGAACTTAATAGCTGCCTCCCACTCGGAGGTGGTGAGGCGCGTCTCGCGGGCAAAGTCGTGGACGTGGGAGACGAGCTTCTCGAAAAGGAACCTCATGCGGGGGTCATCGCATCTTGAGTTAATGGCGTGGACGTTTTCTGTGATGTTATCGATTGTGAGGTCCTTGAGCGGAGGGAGGTCTACGGATGAGGGGTCCATAGTGGTGTTGCTGGCTGTGGTTGACTGAGCTAGGCTGTGTTTCCTTGAAGGTCAATATATTGGTATGGACCACTAGAAGTATTCAGATTGTCATCAATGGTGCTTTCGAAATTGTGTAATTCCCGATGCCTTCGGATCCGTCAGACTCAGATCGGAAAGTGGCTTGCATCCGAAGTGACTTGAATCCGAAGCGGCTAAGACATCTGCCGTTCAACGTGGGGTTGATGTCATGGGGGGTGATCCGATGGGGGAATGGAGGAGAGTTCTGCCCCGGCAAATGTCCCGGGAGTTAGCAGACCATCGGAGATATAGCAGCCGATGGAGTGCTTTTAGAGGAACAGCTGAAAGCCATGCTGTGAAAACCCATAAGATTTGATCATGGCTGCTGGTGGTCTTCGCTAGTGATCTTCGCTGGTGATCTAACAAGACACTGCATCTCTCTAACTCAGCGACTGAAATGGACTTCGAGTACAACGCCAATCCTGCCCGTGTCATCTTTGGCTCAGGCACCATCCAGAAGCTCCCATCGGAGCTCTCCAAGCTCGGCGCATCCCGCCCCCTCCTCCTCTCAACCCCACATCAGACCGCCCAAGCCCAAGATGTCTCGAATATCCTCCAAGGGAAAATCGCCGCGGTCTTCAGCGAAGCTCGCATGCACACCCCCACCGACGTGACACAGCGCGCCTGCGACCTCGCGACCTCGTCCAAAGCCGACGCTCTGATCAGCATTGGCGGCGGGAGCACTATCGGGCTGGGTAAAGCCATCAGCATCCGAACGGGGCTGCCTCACATCGCTATTCCCACGACCTACGCTGGCAGCGAGGTTACTCCCATTCTGGGAGAGACAGCGGACGGTCGGAAGGAGACTAGATCAGACCCCAAGATTCTTCCTAGGGTTGTCATTTACGATGTCGACTTGACGCTGACTCTGCCTGTTGGGCTTACAGCCACGAGCGGCGTCAACGCCATAGCCCACGCAGTCGAAGCACTCTACGCCCGCAATAGCAACCCCATCATCAGTCTCTTGGCAGTAGAGGGTGTGAAAGCGCTGGCAACTTCCTTACCAGAGCTGATCCGTGACCCGACATCCAAGTCTGCTCGTTCCTCCGCCCTCTATGGTGCCTGGCTGTGCGGCACATGCCTCGGAAGCGTGGGCATGTCGCTACACCACAAGCTATGCCACACTCTAGGCGGGAGCTTCGACTTGCCCCATGCAGAGACTCACACCATCGTGCTGCCTCATGCACTTTCCTACAATGCGCCCAAGGTGCCGGAGGCGATGAAGCTTCTCGCCGAGGCGCTGCCGGAGAGCAACGGGGATGCTATCAAAGGATTGAACGTGCTGCTTGGGAAGATCAAGGTTGAGAGGAGTTTGAAGGCATTAGGGATGAAAGCGAGTGACGTGGAAAAGGCTGCGGATATCGCTATCTCGAAGCCGTATTGGAATCCGAGGGAGGTTGAGCGGATGGCTATCAGGGAGGTGATCCGGAGGGCGTGGGCAGGGGAGGATGCAAGGGCTGATTTGTAGGCCTTGTCATTATTGGTTCAATGAAGAACACCGAAATTTCTGGGGTCTTGGCTGGAATGCCTGTCTGAAGTTCCCTCCCATGCGTGATGCGCCGATTCATTGTTAACCGCTAACGAAGGTAGTGATGCGTTTGGTGAAATATGGTCTTTTGAAGTTGGGAGATTCGGGCTCCTACATGTCTCAGTGGATCGGCGGTCATCTCTCCGGGTCTGTCCAACGCATCTTGTGGCGGCAAAGGAATAGTCCGCCTGCTGCAAGCTACGGCTCATCTCATATAACCATGCCTTTCAGATGACATCCTTGGCCACACAACACCTATTGCCATCCACCCTCAACAATCTCACCATGGCTCCTGAACAACGCACACTGCACCTCGTCGGCATCGGGGTGGGCCATTCCATCGCCCCTCCCATGCACAACCACATCGCACACTCCCTCGGCCTCCCCTGGACCTTTTACGCTACAGAGTGCATCACCCTCGACGCCCTCATCAAGCTCGCCCGGTCAGACACCACAGCCGGCCTCGTCGTCACAATGCCATACAAGAACACCGTCATCCCTCGCCTCGATGTCCTTGACGAGCTGGCTGCCACCATCGGCGCCTGCAATAACGTCTATCGCGACTGGGAGGAACCGCGGAAGCTGCGTGGCACAAACACCGACTGGTTGGGCATAAAGGGCTGCCTGCTCGAGAAGGGGGATGAGCCGGGGACGCCGGTCGTGAATAAACCGGCGTTAATAGTGGGAGCTGGCGGCGCGAGCCGGGCAGCTGTGTATGCGCTTAGCTCATATTTCAAGTCGTCTGTGATTTACGTACTGAACCGAGACGATCAAGAGGTCGTGGATCTGGTGAGGGATTCGAAGAGGATATCGCCTGCTCCCAAGATCATTCACGTGAAGGCGGGAGAGGCGAAGAACCTCGAGACGCCGTACTATGTTGTTGGTACGGTGCCGGATCTAGAGCCAAGGACACCAGACGAGTTGGATGTGAAGGCGTCGTTGGTGGAATTTCTGTCGCGGCCCGAAAAGGGCATATTGTTGGACATGTGCTTTAAGCCGAGGCGGACGAGGATGATCAAGCTCGCCGAAGAAAAGGGATGGCCGGCTGTGGAGGGGACGCATGTCATCGGGTATCAGATTGAAGAGCAGTGGAGGCTGTGGGCTGGGAATGAGAGGGTTGAGAAGCTGGATAAGGATGGGGCGTGGAAGGCGCTTTTGGAAGCGGCCGAGAAGAGTGCGGCGATCAACTTCTAGCCCTCATTAGGGACTGATATTAAACCAAGATTGACGGTTGATGTGCTTGACACTGTGTTCTCTATTATAGTTGGAGCCCGGCCCTTACAATTCAATTGAGACATGTCAGCTTCAATCCCTAGTTCAGGTTCAGACGTTCAGTAAACTTCTTCCACGCCGCAATCCCCCTCTGAGCATGCTGCCTCGGCACGTCCTCTCCCTCCTCAGCCATGGTCCTCGAGAAGAGCTCCATCGAGACAAATCCCTTGTATCCTAGCCCCTCAATGAGCACCCGCGCGATATTTTCAACAGGTAAATATGCCCCCCGATCAGTCTCGTAGATGTACGCTCTGGCGTTCCTCGACCAGTTCATCCTCGGCGGGTTACCATCCACATGGTACGGGTGTCCCTTCACAAGCGGGGAGTCCATCTTTTCCGCGTCGACAACCTGGATATAAAACACCTTTTCGATATCAACGTCTCGGAGAAGCCTATCCATAGACTCCTTCAAGTCCGCGTCTGCATTGGGCGTCTTGCCCGTCGGAGACGCCGGATCTGCCCACACCCGACCGGCGATGTTGAACGTGTCGAGGCAAAGACCAAAGTTTGGCCTATCGACTTGTTTGACCACCTCCCACGACTTCTCCCACGTGTCGATATGCGTGCTCCAGCAAAGACTTTCGTAGGCAAAGCGAATGGGTGGATCCTCCTTCAGCCCCATGTCTGCGAGCTCCAGCATGTCTCCTACAATGACGTCCATGTCCCCCGTCAACTTGTCGGCGGGTAGGAAATTGGCCGGGATCTGGATGGTGTTTGTCCCGAGTGGCGCGGCGATCTTAAACCACAGCTTGGCTTTCTCGATGAGCCGGGCGTGCTGTTCGCGATCGAGCAGACCCTCGTAGAAGAGAAAGGGCTGGAGGCCGATGACTTCAAGGTTGAGGCCGTCTATGACCTTGCGCATATGCAAAGCTGCAGCAAGGAGATGGTCAATGGTTGGGGCTTCAATGTTGCTAAGCTGCTTAGCTTGATACTCGAGGTCCTCGTAGAAGATCTCGATTCCTTCAAAGCCAGCCTCGGCTGCTTGCTGGGCTTTTTTTGTGAAGTCGTGGAGCCATGCTCGGCCGAGAGAGGCGGAGAGAAGAGCGGGACGGAAGACAGTCATAGTTGGGTTGGATTCTGGGGAATCGTATGTACAAGCAAATAGAACTTTCAAATCAATAATTAGAACGCCGTCGAGGACGGTATTGTAAAAGCCATGGTACATGTGTTGACTTGCCCGCCATTAATGGCTGGCGGCAAAATCCTGTTCCGGGAAAATTGGGCCTCTGTCAGCCACCATGCTGTCCCATATCAGAGTATTTCTAGCGGGTAGACAGTAGCTGTAGCCTTGATCATGTGTTGAACGGTCGTTTTATGGCGTTCCGTGGACCGCATTTTCACCATGGGATTCTCCATCGCCGTTGCACCAACGACGACTGATCTATATACATTTCTCTGGTGCTAAGAGATCGGGACAGACAGCCGCTTCTTAACGCACAAATCGCTCCATCCTAAACTCCAATTCTATGATCATGGTTCCGTATCAAAGATACTCCCTAAATCTGACGGTGGATCCCCTAGAATCCCAAGATGCTGCATGAACTCGGGAGGGTTGGCGAGCCTAAGAAGTTAGTTGGCCATCGGGGAGGGCATCGAAAGAGAAACTCACCAATCAGCCGAGTCTAATGTGGCAAGACTATCAAACAGGCCGTCGCCATCCAGGTCTTCTAAATAGTCTGCCAGCGGTTCGAGGTTTACGCCTGGATTGAAGGTGGCAGGTTTTTCTGCTCCTTGTAATTGGTTTGCCTGGCGTGACGGTAGTTCAACGGGTGGCTGGGGATTTGGGTCATCCAAGAGCATGTCAGTAGCCTGCTCAATTAAGGTTGTTTCAGGAGGTATGGCTTCCGCTATTACAATGTTCCTATGTAAAGCTGAAGCCTGGGATGCATCGAAGGAATGGCTTTCTCGTCCATTGATGGAGCTGTGAGGGTCTGAATCGCTGCTGGGGCCGAGACTCGTGTTAGATTTGGCGTCACTCCATGTAGCTAGCCATTTGGATATTGAATCTGCTAGGCACTGGACTTCATGGTCAGCTCCATTGTTGATGCGTCGCTTGAGTGACTCCCCGAGTAATGCGACGAAGACCTCTACTATCGGGGGAATAGAGCACCGCCCCATTACTTGGGTGCGCTCTTCCAAGACGTTGACGAGACATCTCATGTTATTCCAGTAACTTCTAAGATGGTCTGGAACTGTCCCTAAGACGAACACCCGCTCGACCGCTGAAGCTTCAAAAACAGCAACATTGGCAACCAGGAGACTTAAGGCTTGCGGTGGCATGCTAACTCCTGTAGGCAAGTCTTGCAGGCTCTCTAGTTCCCGCCGCAACTTTTCAAGCGTTTCGTGCCGTCTCTCGTCTGAAGTACCCCCTTTGCGGTCGTGGATGGTTCCGGTGAGAAGGGCCATGACTTCGAGAAGAGAATTAAATGTGCTGATGACATGTCCAGGGGTATGCGGGAGGGGTCCAGTCTTGACGGACGACATACTGCCCACGAGTTGAACTTTGGGTTGCCAGGGTTCCCACTCTTCGAGGCCGTCGATTTGCAGCATACCGATGGAACTGACGTCCGAGGGCTGGAAGTGTGGTTTGGTGTTTAGGCGCGCACTGACGAGGGCTTCTAAGGTGAAACAACCTAGCATCGTGCGCTTGACTCCGTCCTCGTAGAGAGAGGGCGTCGTTGAGCTGTGCGGAATAAGGCCAATCGAGACAGCAGTATACACAGCACGGCCGATGTCATCCCATGCTCCAGCCCATAGCCCAATGTCAATCTTGAGGAGACATCGCAGCAACAAGGCTCGTAGATGACCAAGGTCGTAACCACTTGGATTATCGAACAATTTGCCTTGGGCCAAAATTTCAAACTGAGCAACGGGATCTTGGTATTCTAATGACTTTGGAGAGGTCGGGATCATGGTGGCCTGGTGTGAAGTGTAGAATAGAACAGAGTATAGAAACGCCGAGTCTCCTTGGGAGACGGAGTCCAGGCCGGCAGTGGCGTTGGAGAGAGTGTAAGCCGTACGTAAAAGTTCGTGCTTCTGGGAGATGGGAAACCAGCAGTGCGTGGTTGCGAAGTATAGATCAAGGAGATACAGCCAGTGGTTCGGCAACTGAGGTACAGGAGGCGGATCGGAGGGAACTGAAAGATCTGGGTCCAGGGGCAAACTAATCGACACCCTTGGTGATGAGTCTCCGGGCTCTGTGATGAAAGCTGGATGGGCTACGCCCCTTGGAGTGTCTGAGCTGAGAGCGACTGTGGCCATTGGAGTTGTATCGGTGTTCATCGGGCTCAGGAGAACTCCCTGGTTGGATTCAGCGAAAGACTTGTCACGTCCTCCTCTCTGGGACAAGGCCAGAGCCTCAGCCAGTTTGACGTCAAAGTGTTTCGTCGAGTCTGTGCCATCGTCGTCGCCATCGGGTGCTTCCAGAAACTGCTCAACTAGCTTCACAGCTGGGCCCTTCCGCCAAGCTTCCAGTAATGTTTCGGGGGCTCTCTCACTGGAGACGTGGGCCTCCAGAGCTTTGAGCCGGAACGTGGCATTCTTGTCATTGCCCTGCAAGAGGCCACATATCCAGCTCTCGCTCTCTTCAACCGTACTGAAGATCAGCCCTAGCAGAATCTCAAGCGCTCTGACATATCCCGTCCGCAGTCCTCGTTTCTTGGACGGTCCTCCGTAGCTGCAAGCCCTGGACCCAGCAACGCACGGCGTGCATGCTGGACGCTGGCCGTCGCAGCGGTCCTTTCGTCTCCTACACTCATTGCAGGCCCTACTGACGCGGTGACGAACTTTACCGTAGGATCCTTCGTCCGAGTCCTCGGCCTCAGTCCTGCTTCTTTTTGAGCGTCGCTGTGCGGAACGGTCGGCTGGTGTGTCCGGGCGGTTTTCTGCGCGGCGGTCCATCACTATGCTGGAGGTAGGTGACCCATTGGCAACCTGATAGATATTTCTCATGCAACAATTGCAGACAAACTTGAAGTTTGGCTGGAATTGGCATCCCAGACCGGCCTCATGCCTCGGACGAGGTTTCTCTGCCCGCGAGTCAGTCCGGGAAAGATCTTTGCCGCCTCATGCTGATTGGCCGAGACGACTGACAGTATTGTTGACCGTCTCAAAGCAAGCTGCTGAAAAAGTGAGAAAACGCCAAAGAAGAGTGTCTTGAGAGTGAAACGACTGTCAAGCGTCGGCAGGAAGCGTCTGCCCAGCTGCTCTCACGAAGAAATGTCAACCACACCCAGCAGAGCCTCGCGATTGCATGACAACTCACCGTCGGCCCCATGCCAAACCCACGTCATCGGCGAGCCGGGACCCTCAAGCGCGCCGGCTTCCAGAGCGCCAACTCGTCCTCAATCCCCGACATGTAGCGCCCCTAGATACAATGCTGGCGCATCTATCGCTCTCGTCGGCATGAGAGGAACCGGCATGTCAACGCTGGCAGTCATGGCCTCGAACGCGTTAGGGTTCCGACTCCTCGATGGCGACCAGTATTTCTACAAAGTCACGGGTCTGTCCCGAGCTGCGTATAAATCCGCTCACGGCATCTCCCAATACCGCCAGGAGGAGCTACGACTGATGCGGTCCATGCTCTTTGATAATCCGACGGGCGCGGTCATTGTCTGCGGTCCTGGTGTTGTTGAGGGGACGGGCAAAGAGTGGCTCGGAGAATACTCAAAGACACATCCTGTCATATACATCGTGCGAGACGCGGAAGAAATTCAACGGCACTTGAGAGTATGGGACGTGGAGACTATCAAGAACCTCATCCGTCGGACAGGGCCGGCTTACCGGGGCTTGTCGAGCTTCGAGTTCTACAATCTCTCGGACATGTCGCTCTCCGAATCCGAGCCGACCTCTCTCTCTGGGAACCAGTCCCCGAAGTCTCTTGCGCTAAAGAGCGTTGAGGAGGACTTCCTCCACCTTATCAACGGGGTCATGAGACGGGACTGCCAGAGTTGCAAGTACAGGGCCCACCACAGCCTTTCTTCGTTGCTACCAGAAGCAAGGGGTTTCACGTACGCCCTGACGATGCCACTATCAACGCTCGAGGCCCTGGGGCCCAAATTCCGCGGTGTAGATATGGAGGCGGATGCACTGGAACTCACAATCTCTCTGTCTGAGCTCCGCAATCAGGGGACAATCTTTGACGATGCGGTGGCAGACCGGATAAGCCGGCTGATGTGCGTTGCTCGGAGGAACATCCGGCTGCCGATGCTATACCATATACTCACTGACGCTTCCTGCTCTTGGCGAGCTGACTTCGTAGAAGCCATAGACCAGGACGCGTACTTTAGTCTCCTCCACCACGGCCTGCGACTGGCACCGGAATATCTCTGCGTCGACCTCGAGTGCGACGAAGACAAGATTCGCCACTTGGTCGCCTGCAAAGGGCGGACAAAGATACTAGCACATTATACAGAGCCCAATCCCGCTGCTCAGGGTTGGAACTCCCCAGAACGATGGAATCTGGTCCATCGCGCACAGGAGCTGGGATGCGACATGGTCCGAATCTGCCAGGAGGCCATGTCCACAGCCGACAACTTCACAGTACAATATTTCCTCCATCAAGTCAAGACCTCTCAAGAGCGCATAATCCCCGTGATAGCATACAACACAGGCCGCCTGGGGCGCATGTCCTGCTCCTTCAACTCGATCCTCAGCCCCGTCACACACCCCGTCGTCCGGAGCCTAGCTCCAGACTGTTCATCAAGCTCCCTCCTCACAGTCCAAGAGTCCCAAAAAGCGCTCTTCTCGTCGTTCCTTCTCGACCCGCAGTACTTTGGCATCTATGGAAACAACGTCTCCCAGAGTCTTTCGCCAGCCATGCACAACGCCGCATTCAAGCTGCTTGGCATGCCGCACCGCTACAAGGTCTTTTCCCACGACTCTCTAAATGAGCTTAGGGGATTGATCAGCGACCCTGACTTTGGAGGGGCGAGTATCACGGCGCCGTTCAAGAGGGAAGTGATTCCACTGGTGGCCTTTATGAGCCGTGAGGCGAGGGCCATTGGCGCCGTCAACACACTGCTGTCGATGAAGAGACCGACCATGGACTCCCTGCTGGATAGGAACAGGGCTGGGCCGACGGCGGCACTCTTTGGAGAAAATACAGATTGGATCGGTATTCACACTTGCGTTCGCCGGAATCTGTCTCCCATCAACGCTGTCAAGCGACGGACGACTGCTCTTATCGTAGGTGCAGGAGGAATGGCTCGTGCAGCGGCATACGCGCTAATTCGGCTTGGAGTCGGGACCATCTTTGTCCACAACCGCACCGTTCAGAGGGCAGAGGAACTTGCGAAGCAGTTTGATGGCAGGCCTTACCGAAGTGACGGCCAGGATGAGATGGATCACTGTGGGAGAGGCAGAAGCAGCGAGAGCCCGGAATACGGCGCAAACCCCACGTTCAAGGTTATCAGCTCAAAAGACGAGGTCTGGCCGGAAGATTCGAACCCTCCGACGATTATTGTATCATGCGTCGCTACCCGGGATCTTGACGGGTCATGCTCTGTCAACACGAGCATCCCGCCTGACTGGCTTGGAAGCCCAACTGGCGGAGTTGTGATTGAGGTAATATCTAGGGCCTCTAATTATACATGTTTGTTTAACTAACAGTGTCCTGGCAGCTTTCCTACACGCCACTGGAGACCCCGTTGCTCAGGCAAGTCCGGGGTATGAGCGATCGGGGATGGATAGCTGTAGATGGCCTTCAGGTTCTACCAGAGCAGGGCATGATGCAGTTTGAGATGTTTACAATGAGGCGGGCTCCTGAGAAGCTAATGAGGGATACAGTGTTCCGGGCGTACGATGAGAGGAGAAGTAGAGAGCTGTCCTCTAAAGCGTCATAAGACATGGATACCATAAAGCATAGCTATGAGTGTATAGGAGCATTCATATAGGCAGTATAGATCTTCAAAAGCGATGTTAAAGCAAGCTATTTTTCTACAATAGTGAAATAGTCTACGCTGCGTGAGGAGATGGGGGGCGTGGGATCGTAAAAGCATGGGTTGGACCAATTCCGGAGCGGCAAAGGTCTTTCCCACCCGATCTTGGTCCAGATTGACGCCGCGACTGACCAAATTTAACTGGAAATGGACCAATTTAACCTCCACGTCTTGGGATCTTACCTGCTTGCTTATTCTCAATCCTTTGGCTACTATCACCCTGCAACATGGGTCTCGATACTACCACGCAATCGAGCAACCTCGGTCTTTATGATGGGTCTGTGACGAACTCTGAGGCCACACCATTAGGAGTCCGGGCTGTCGAATTAGCAAAGCAGTTCTACATCTTTGGCTACAACATCTCCCACTCTTTATCCCCCGCCCTCCACAACGCCGGATTCCAAGTCCTTAGCCTTCCACATCACTACCAGATCCACGAAAGCGAACAAGTCGACGAGACTGTAAGGCAGATCATCAGCCGCCCAGACTTTGGCGGCGCCTCGGTGACTTTCCCGCACAAGCTTCAGATCGGCAGCCTTCTAGATTCAGTCTCCCGTCTAGGAGACAAGATCGGGGCCATCAACACTGTGGTTGTCAAAGAGTCGGAGGGGAAGAGGGTACTGCACGGAGATAATACAGATTGGATCGGCATCAAGAGATGTGTTGAGAAAGTAGGCGTCCAAGATCTGCAGTCGTCTGCAGCGGTGGTGCTCGGTGCAGGAGGAGCTGCCAGGGCAGCATGCTATGCTGTCCAGACCCTAGGCATACAGGAGCTCATCATCGTCAACAGGACGCTCTCAAAGGCGGAGGACCTAGCCTCTCAGTTCTCCGAGCTACGGACTCGAACGTTCTCGTCTCTAGATGAGGCCGCCGTGGTGGAGGATGCAGCTATAAGAATTATTGTAGGGTGCGTACCCGCGGATGATCTCGGAGAGGACAAGATACCTAGCGGGCTGTTCGAGGCCGAGGAGGGAGTGCTGGTAGAGATGGCGTATAGGCCGCAGGTGACGGGGTTGATGACGGTGGCGAGGGGACACCCAGGGTGGAAGATCTACAAGGGGGTCGATGTGTTGGAGGAGCAGGGGTATGCGCAGTTTGAGCTATGGACGGGGAAGCCGGCTCCAGTGGAGGTGATGAGGGCGGCGATGCAGGCTAAGCTGAGGGCGAATATTTAGAATAGTGGTTTCAGTTTGACGTTGTAGGGTTTTATTTGCAAATACGAGAATTACTTAGAGAAAGATCATGAGAACATACGAATTGTCGCTTCACACGCTGACGCAAGTCTAGGGGTAGACATTCTCAACCTCATGGCCCCTCCATCCCAGCCACTATATCGTTGCATCCCTGACAGTACGAAGTCAATTGCCGATATTCACAGGAAAGATTTAAACCAGATTACTGCAGATTAGGAACCTTATCAGGTTTCTTGACCATTCTAAATCTCAATTTGCTCCCCTTCCAGCCACTGCTTCGCCTGCCTGTATAGCAAATCATGCTTCTCCAGATTCGGCGTCCCAACATGACGTCTATGCCCCGGCATGTCCAACAACACCTTGACCCCCATCGTAGCCTCCTGCCAGTATGCAAGATACCTGTACCCAGGCGGGTACCCCTTTAACCTCTCCTCGTCTACCGCCGGGAATCTCGCCGGGTTCGCCGGAATCATCTTATCCTTCTCGTACCAGTGCCGCACGAGCTGGGCGCCCCAACGGGAGCCTACTTTCTCAAAGAAGAAACAGAAGCGGCAGTCGGCCTCAACGTCAAACTCTGCGCCGTCGACCTCGAAGCGCTGGGTAATTATCGCCTTGAGCTTGGTTACCGCTCGGGTCCCCTCGGCATTGATATCGGTGCTCGTGCCGTGGCATCGGTGCATTATAAAGGCACCCTTGTCCATACCTGCCTTGGAAGCGGTGATAAAATCCTGATAGGGGACGCGACCGGACCAGGTGGTGTAGACGTGGGCGCCGGGGTGGAAGATCGATTCAAAGTTTTCCCACTCGCAGGAGTCTCTATTGGAGCACGTCATCATTTGTGATTCTATTAGTGATGCTGTCGCCTTGCCTGTATGATGGCCAGCCCTCAGCGAGCTCTCTGAGCTTTAGCCGCTCCAGGACAAGGCGGTCTGGCCCATTATTGCGGATAGCGGCGGAGGGTCTTGAGCCGATGGGGAGGCTGTGTAAATCAACCATGATGAACAATTGAGACGCAATTAAGATGCCAAGGTGTCTTGGAAATGGGCATATGGAAAGAATAAATATGTCTTGCCTATACAGCAACAAGAAGTTATGGTTTAGAGTCCCTCGAGGATGCAAACCTCGCCTGCAGCCTCGCCTTCAGCGGAAAAGATCCCGAGGAGGTATGCAAAAAGTAATATTTAGATTCCAACCGTCCAATGATGGCATGGCGGAAGATGGAATATCCCTGTGCCTGTGATCCCGATCCCGCGGCAAACTACTGCCGTGGACCTGGTGAGGCGGAAACGGCAGAGATCTTAGCCGCTCAAGTGAGATCTCGGAGAGGGGGTACAAGGGGCAAAGCAGCCATAGGTGAAATTATGCTGTCACATTCTAGGTTCTACAAATCAGCTTAGCTTCCTCATCTCATTAATATCTAATTTGCTATCACCTGCTGTTATCTGCCCAAGCATTTGGCCACCATGGGCCACTCCGTCCTCCTAATTAACGGGCCCAACCTCAACCTCCTGGGCACCCGCGAACCCCATATCTACGGCCACACCACCCTAAAAGACCTGGAGGAAAGCTGCAAGGAGCACGCCCAGTCCCTAGGAGCTGAGTTGCAGTCCTTCCAGTCCAACGCAGAGGGCACCATCATCGACCGCATTCATGAAGCGAGGGGCAAGATCGACGTTATAATCATCAACCCTGCTGGATACACGCACACCAGCGTCGCCATCCGGGACGCTCTGGCCGGGGTAGATATTCCGTTCATTGAGTTGCACATCAGCAATACACACACAAGGGAGAAGTTTCGGCATCATAGCTACCTTAGCGACAAAGCGGCAGCGGTGATTATGGGGTTTGGGGTGGATGGATATAAATATGCCGTTGATTATGCTGTGAGAAATTTGTAACAGTTTCTAAATCACGAGGCATGGCGGTGGATAACCCTAGTTAGATACAGTCTTGGTAACGGGTGCGGCAGAGTGTCGGTAATGTTTTGGGTGGTTCATCGGGGTTATGAAGAGTCCAGGAACTCGGGTATCTCACATGGATCGTGAGTCCCATCGTACGAGCTACAGTATTGGCATTATTGATAAAATTTGCTTCCGAGCGACACACCCAATCTCCTTTCATGCACATGACTTGGAAATCATGTCTCAGTTTAACAGCTATTGAGGAAAGCAAGAGTTGGCGCCGTATGTTTAGTTGCAAGTCACAGCATGAAAATGATTTTACACTTCAAATTGGGTTGCAAAAGCTCTGATGCTCACCGATAATCTCAATGCTTATGACAAGTCTTGCGTGGTGTCTTTGCTCCACGGTATCCATCCATTCCTTTACCAACTTCCAGTCCAGCCTGTTCACTACCGTCTGCCGACACGGCCGTCAACAGAATACTTCTTATCCTTCCATTGCACTACACAGACTCCTCCAAGTCAATGGGTGCCTGCTTCTGATCATAGCCAACAAGGGCCAGCAAGGCGTTGCCCCCAACCGACATGGCAATCTTCTTGAAGCGGGAAAAAGTCATGGAAACGTTGGGGGAGTCCTTCATCCCGCGGATGCCTTCACCTAACTGAATCCAATCTCTGATGTCGTCATCAGTCATGTTGAAGTCCTCCTTGAGCTCCACCATAAGCTCAGCAGAATTCTCTGGAGGGACAACTCCCGAGACATCGACGGCATCCCATTTCTCGTTGATCTCCATCTCCAGTTTCTCAATCACCTCTTGTCGGTGCCTTTCGACTCGCTGGATCATCGAATTCATGACGGAGGCTTCCAAAATGGGGAGCTTGCTTGCTGCTTCAACCATGGCGCGTGACGCCTGCTGAACCTCGTTCTTCCATCGCTGGCTGTCAGAATTCTCAGCCTCCCGGTAGGCGAAAAGTCGATTGATCTGCTCTTTGATCGCAAGGGTATCATGAATACAGCTATCCGGAAGTTCCTTCAGAAGTTGTTCGATCCGGCGGAGAGCAGTCACGGTCGGATCGTCTGACTGGATCAAGCTTTCGACCTCGGTCTTGATCTGAACTGATGACTGAAAATCCACTTCAATCAGCTTTCGACCTTCCTTGTTGAACTCACCAAACCAAGCCCACAGTTTATCCCGGTACATCTCTGGGATTAGAGGAGCTGTTTGTGCCGTGACCTGCTGCTCGACCCTGTCTTTGAAGCTGGCACCATCCACGCGACGGTCCCCCAGTTTGTCAAGCCATTCTCGATTGATGGAGACCCAATCTTCACTGGTGAGATCCTTGCGAACAGAGATAAAGCTTGTCGAAGAAGGATAGGGAGCCAACGCGATGAGATCGGGCGTGTTGATGAGGCCTGGGCCTGGGATAACCGATCCGGGCATGGCAACATCGGCAGGGTTGAAAGGTTCGTCATCAGGTCGTCGTCCGATGAGCATGACCTGGTATTCTTTCATCGATTCCCACTTGTCAATAGAGCGTCCAAGGTAGCGAAACGTGTTGTGGCGTGCAAGAAGCTTGGCGTTGTCTCCCCTCATCTCGGTGTAGCTCTTCATGATGTAGAGCATGATGAAAGGAGGGATAGTGAACTGTGCGGCTGGCACAAAGATGTAGTTTCTCCAAGCCTTGCACATTGCACTCGCCGTCTTGATAAGCTCGAATGTCTTTCTCTGCCCAGTCCAGCGGGCGAAGGACGTTTCGAGAAAATGGGTGTTCTTCATCCGCTCGATGATCTTGTTAACCAGCTCAACATGATTGTCTGGATCTCTCCCAATCAGTTGAAACGCGATTCTGACAAGTGCATTGCACGTCTTGTTGGGCAATTCGTCCTTGGTTTTGAGGACACTCGCCACCTCCAACGCAACACTGGCAGTGTCAACCTCATCTTCGCGTCTGACGACCGTGTTGTCGCTGGAGATGCCGATTCCTTTTGCTATGAGACTTCGGGCGATCTCTTGGCGGTTAGTGTTGTTCGCAGTAGCGGTGTCTTCGGTGGTCTTGGCGACCTTGCGCGAACCCTCTGAACTCTCCGTCGAGGCTCTCTTGGGTGACATGATGAAGCTACGATGCGAGACTGTGAGAAGAAAGACGGGCGAAATGACCTTTGCTGCTAACTTTCGGGTGAGGATTAAGTGGCGTGCTTTGTGTTGGAGCTGTGAAAGCAGGGGGTGTAACTTGTGAGGATGAAAGACGGGTGAAGGAGTGCAGGCTGCAGGAGGAGATGATTTTGGTGTGTATGAGTGAAGAGACGGTGGATCACATCTTGGAAACGGAATGAAAATGGAGATATTGATTGGAGCTGTGAATCACAGACCTGAAGGCCATTCTTGGTGGAGCTGGAAAGAGGTTCTATTGCTATCATACCGCATGAAGCCGTTGTCCATGCGATGAGACTTTACTGTTGAATCTTAGGTGTAAAATTTGGCCGTCTTACTATCCTCATCATATATCAATGCCAGATACAGGTATCAAGGTGTACAGGGTATTGGTAAACATAAAATCTTGTATGCTTGGCTTTTATGGCATTGCATCTGTTGATGGGATATGGGCCTTGTGCTCTACCCTACCGTTCTAAACGACAGCCTCCCGCTTGCCTATCCGATCACTAAACCAAGTGTTAGGGGATCCCGACGCTCTGCTTGAATCTTTCTAACCATTCGGGGTTATCTGCATGCGTTTGGTTCCATGGGTCATCCCTGTGTTTAGTCAGTACAGACCACCACATGCGACATGACACCACTAGTACTTACTCCCCATATGCTATCCAGCGTGCTTGATGCCGCAATTCTTCGTCCGTTGGGATATGACATTGAGGGTTTCGTGGAGACATGGTAGAAGATACCCAGCGACGTAATTCCCTTCCCAAACGCTCGTGAAAATTGGAGTCATTGAGCATGTAGGGGCTTGTTTCAGTCCAGAATGGTTGGCCGGTCCCAGATTCGGACATGAAGGTAGATGCAATACCTTCGTTGTCAACTGTCAAAATGCATTGGTTCGACTCGCGAAGAAGGCCATCAGCAGAGAGCATCAGCGGCTGGTTCGATGATTCTGATGATTCCGCCGGTGGAAGATGCACACGTTGCCTAAAGCCATCTAACCAGTGACTGGATTCAAGTATCATCTTGACCAACCAATTAGCCACTATATCATATGACTGCTTCGAGGCCACAATCTCTGTCGTCTTGACCACTCGACAAGCCTCATGTTGCAGCTCATCATTCTTAATGGTCGTTTGGCCTAACAACTGCTTGGCTTCAACGAACTTGCGTAATTCAGCCTCGAGCGGACATCCCTCAAAGAGGTTCTTCTTTCCCTTGATTTCCAGAGATGAAAGCTTATTCTCTCGTCGTGATCGGATAGGCCCGAATAGCGCCTGCTGAGACAAGCTAGGGTTTGATGTGATGATGTCTCGTAGCCAAGATGCGGGTGGGTTCGTTTCAGGTTCTTCCATTGATGACAAGACCTCGGATGCAAATATGATGCGACAAGCCTCGAGCTGTACGTCATCATTTCCTGGCAGTGCCCCAGTTTCTTCGTAATGATTCTCCATATAGTGCATCAACTCTAAGCTCAAGAGCTCATATGCCGTCCGAGGAGAGTTGGCTGCCGTGCCACTACCCCTAAAAGGGAAGGGAGAGCTTCTTTCCGTGCTAATAAGATCTGCCGATCGGTTAATGATACGCGGCTTCGCCTTCCGGGCCACTCACAGGGTGGGATCGCGTTTTCGACCATCTCGAGAATTGAAGCATCGAAGCCCCAGTCCCCTTTCCAACTTGCCATTGTATGCCCCATTTTGAAGTGATCTGCTAGATGATTTACACGGTCTTGCCAAGTGTTAATCGAGCTGTTACATAGTCCACACCGAGATCGTATTTGCGATATCGAGACTCTCCAGGGGTTCATAGACCACGCAACAAACCCAGCGCCATGAACCAGTCTGAGATGTTGCTTCAGATGATCCTTTCGGTTAAAGGCGCGTTCTTGGCAAGCAGAGGGGTTATGGCTCTTGATATGCTCATCGTCCGGATCATCTTGGTTGCAAAATACACAGCAAAGCTTGCCACTGTCAGGATGTATGGCTCTTGGTTCTTCTGGTGAGCATATCCACCTCTCGAGCCCAAGATGGACAGAATTTTCATGACGTTGCCAGTCGTGCTTCTTATGAAATCGCTCCGTGCAAAAAGTACACTCGAATGGCGTCGGCTTGAGCGGTCCCTTTTTCCTTGGAACTCTTTTTCTCCGTCTTAGACGGCTTCTACCAAATCTCTCGTGTCTTTCGGAGTTGGCAGAGTAGGCGGATGAGCTTGAACCACCACTGGATGTACCTGCACTACTCATGGAAGATGGATAGAGCACCGGAATGTATGCATTGTCCCGCTGTTTGGATCGCTTGTCCTCGGAAAGATCTGAGGTCGGTTAGGCAAACGAGGAAACATAGTACAGAAAACCAACCTGAAGGGCTCGTTGATATTGCACGCACGATGGCCGATATAGGAGCTGGCTCTTCTTCAGGGGGCGAGTCTACCCATCTCTGCATTGGATTTAGTCCACCTTCGGAGTCTGACCGAGGTATGGGAGTTCCCGCTCTTGGAATGTCGAGTGGTTGATTGGGGACATGATCAAACGATGGCGGTGTATATTGAGCTGCGGCTGACCCCTTGTGCCGCCGGCGTGCGTTAGCCAGCCAGTTGGCGAGTTGAGTTTTGTTCAGACCTGTCAAATGCTGAAGTGCTTCCTTTGTCTGATCATCTGGATATGGATCATGGCTATGGGCATCAAACCATTGCTTCAGAATTTTCAGTGCTTCACGAGAGAACCGTGCGCCGACCTTGGGCCCGAGGGATGGGATAGTCTTCCTGCCTGAAGCCAAGGCATCCTTAATTGGGGACTGGGATCCGTTGGTCGCTGCCGCATTTCCTCTACTTTCAGCCGAATCAAGGTCTTGAGAGGCTGCCAGTTGCGAATCCTGATTGTCTGCACCGGAAAAGTTGCTGTCGTCGAGTTCGCCGCTGAAATGCTACGTAAGCCCTCCATCACACATCATAGAGCAGACGTTACAGACCTGGGGAGATTATCCGCATAAATAAAAGGATTCAAACCATCTGAATCACTAAGATGACCGAGTTGGTTTGTGAATAGCTCCAGGGACGAGATATCAGTCGTAATGTCACTGGCGCTGCCGTGACCCGGCGAATCCGATCTCAAACCTTGGAAAGCGTCTTGGGCGTGCACTCTTTGATGGGTCAAGTCTCGCTCAGTCCGGAGCTTACCGCTCCTAGTGCTTTCAGCCATCTCAGCAGCTTCCACGGCAATGCCATATAGGTTGCACGTTCCGCCTGTTTCGATTTGAAGTTGGCATTGAGTGGGTGGTTGGTGTAGCTGAGTCACGGGTGACGATGATTTGTCTCATGCAATTCAGGGATTAATCCCGGCCCGGTCAACTCTAATCCTCAATCGACCAGAATGGCACCAGTGTCTCCTGACCAGCAATCCAAGATGCTCGGCTTGGAAAGGAGATTCAATGAATATCCTAAGGCAATGTCTCGATAGTTAGATTCCGAATGTCAACTGTGCAGTGTTACTACGGTGTTCAGCATGATGGCGCTATCCTAACTTTCGGATCTTCATTCTCTGTCTGTGGCACACCCACTGCCAGCCACGACCAGCTGGAATGACCGTATGGAGACCAAGCAACTTGGATGGATGCTTTGAATGCGGGAGCGGCGCATTTTGAGGAATACATTTAACTCGTTCAAGATGATTAATGGTGAAGATTTCTCTCCAATGGCATTTTCTTGGGGGGCCGTTTTATAAAGATCACAGGAGGCCTGCGACTCTAAATGCTACGCCTTATCGTCAAACAGGGCGCTTTGAATGAGCGCGACTGTGCGGGTACCAGGGCAACGTACTCTGAGTAAGCATAGGCAGTGCCCTTCTATCAGCTAGAGCTCCATCCCCAAGCTTGTTGCAAGGCAAATCCAGCCATGCTGCTGGCTACATCGCTCCGGTTAAGACTAAGCGCTGGATTCTAGGGGAGCCATTCCAAGTACATGCTTCCCCAAAAGGCCACCATCTCACTTCTTTTATGTGTCTGTGTGAGAGCCGGCCCTGTTTTCTTTCACCCCTGTGCTGCTTTCCGCTTGGCCCAAATGGCGGGTGGGTCAGTTGCGCCCTATTGTCAATGTTGACCTGTCGACATGTTCAGGGCGCCCTATTGACATCTTTCTGACCGTCATTATTGATCACGTTTTGATTGGTCTTTTCTCTCTGTGATCCAGAGTTCTTAAGACTTGATCCGTGACAGGCCCTTGAAGAATGAGATTAGATTGTGGGACAGTTGTCCAGAATCGGATGCGACTTAATAAACCAAGCAGCCGATTTTTCCTATATCGAAGTTCACCTTGAACTTTTTTCCTTGCGGCTAAGTAGCCAATCTCACCCCAGTCTCGTAGCCTGGTCCTGGTAGCCTAAGGGGAAGAGGTGACGAGGTCCCTGACCCTCGCCTTGTCTCCGTCCATGGCAATTACGTGCAGGTTGCATCCCCCTTAGCCCCAGAACCCCATTCAACCTTAAGAATAGGTTGAGCTATGAAGATTTTTGCATCGCCCGTCTAAGCCTCAAAAATATCCCCTAAAAGTGAGTATTCAGCCACATTGCTGCGAATCCGAGGCTCGACGCACATTGTTGCATCACAACAATGCCACGCAGGCATTAATACACCTTTGAAGCATTTCATTTCACCAATTGGAGCTTCTTCTTCTAATTTCGCTAAAGCGACCTCGTGATCCATACCTTCTGATCTCAAGCACCCAGAACACACCGTCCCATCACCCTCACACGCCGTGTCACAAACAACGATGGTAACCGTCATATCAATTTATCATATCAATTTATTATTTCTCTTCTTGGTCTTCTTATTCTTCCTCTCGTCTAGCTCTCGAAAGCTGGTAGGCCTATACTTCGTTTGGAACCTCAACCTGGCAGCCCATTAGCCTGGTCGCGGATACATCTAAAGCCAACCTTGTAAAGGAACGTAGCATGCCAGCAATCTCTTTCGCGCTCACCGAGACAAGTACTAACCCAGAAAGTCCTTTACCTTTGGGTGTAACCGCCGTCAACCACCAACGCCGATCCAGTAACGAAAGAGCTTCTTCCTCCAGCCAAATAGAGAACACCATCAGCGATCTCTTCGGGAGCCCCCATGCGCTGCATTGGGACTGCAGTCGATATCCGCTCCTCCATCGCCTTCAATACCTCTGGGTTCTTTGTCGTCATCGGTGTCTCTGTATATCCTGGACAGATGGCATTGATTCGCAGTCCTTCCTTGGCGTAATCCTCAGAAGCTGATCGAGTAAGGCCGATGATAGCATGCTTGGCGGCAGTGTAAGATGTGGAAAGAGGAATACCAACAACACCCTGGATTGATGAAAAGTTGATGATGGATCCACGCTGAAGGGCTCGGCCATTGATCGAAGATCGGATGGGCTCTTGCTTCAACATGATCTTCGCGGCAGCTCTTAGCACAAAGAATGTGCCAGTAAGGTTGATGCTGACAACTCGATTCCAATCGGCCGTATGAGCGAAAGCCACTCCGCCCTGATGCTTCATGGCAATTCCCGCAGCGTTGACCACATAGTCAATTCTGCCAAACTTCTTTGCCACATCCTCAACAACTTGGTTGATCCGATCCTCATTTGTAACGTCTGAAGGGTAAATCTCAACGGGACAGGTCTTGCCCTTTGACTTGAGCTCTTCTTCAATCTCGGCCTTGACAGCCTCCAAGGCTTCCTGGTTGAGATCGATGAGGCAGAGTCCTGCTGAACCCTCCCTTGCAAAGGCCTTGGCACATGCTCGTCCAATACCAGATGCGCCTCCAGTGATCAATGCGAAGCCAGGAACGTCCATTGTGTGTTGTACTGAGAATGTCGAGATGGTGAGGAAGAGTGATAGGTGATGTAGATGAGGGAAAATGGCTATTGTTTTGCAGAATTAGAGGTGAAGTAGAGTGACTGAGATGTTGACTGATACCTGAAAAGCAACACAGCAATAGGCATATATAATAACCCCGGATTTCATGTTTAGTAGCCGATATCATCCCCCATGTCAGTATCGCGGCCGAGATCCGGGTGATCTGGAGAAGCTTGCCTACTTCGTTAGTGGCTATCGCCCCCACACACCAGATCTCTGTCAAGACTTTCCCCATCAGTCAGGAGGGGTCATGCGGCAGCATGTGGCGTCCTTTCCATAGATTGAAGAGATACGCTTAGAATCGGAGATGGAGCGGCAAGGCCGTGAGCATGGCGGGATGTCGCTGCGATTCGAGATCAAGGAGGGGTTATCGTGTATCTCCGTGTCGAGATACGCAAGTCAACGACAGTGTTTCCGCGCAGTTGCCGACTCCGATGCAACTGCACCGATTTATCGAGTTTTTAGTCCGATTTGGCATGCCTGGGTAGGTCTATCGGTAACGTAGACATCCGCGTGCCGTCGTTGGCGTCATACCGTTGTTGATGGTGATGATGCTTCTCTTCTTCGCCAGAGTATGGATCACAATTGTAGGCAAGACAATTAATTCGAACTAAAAGATACCGTGCAAAATATTTGAATCAACGCTACAATTTTTCCCTTGACTACAGCTCTAATTCTAGGCAAACACAAACCCCTTGTAGCCCAACTTTCTGACCTCGTCACACCGACGACGGAACTCGATTGCACTCCCACTGTACCTCGCGACGTTTCTGACCGTCTTGCCTTTGACGTTTTTGTTGACACCAGTCATCCAGCTGTCAATCTCATTCATGAGCGTCTGGCTCTTGCTACACTCGACAACGTGGTCCGTCCACTGATCAACAGACTCTTGCGTGGGTTCGACGTAGTTGTAGTTGTTGTCCTTGCAGTGCTGCAGCAATTTGGAGATGACCCTGACAGCAAACTCAATGCTGCGCGTGGCATTGCCAAAGGGTTGATGAGGACCAAGAACCATGAACATGTTGGGCATGTTGTGGACTGTCATTCCGAGGAAAGTGCTCGGCCTGTGATCAACCCAAATAGCCTGGTCGCCCTTGGGGCTATCGCTGGTAGCGATAAGAGGGCGATTGTCCTTGCCATGCCATTCAATAGCACTGAAAGCACCTGTGATGGCATTGAAGCCCGTCGCGCAGATCAAAATGTCCAGCTTGTGCTCTTGACCATCATTTGTCAAGATGCCAGTTGGTGTGACTCGGTCAATTGGTGTCTTTTGCAGATCGACAAGGTGCACGTTGGGCTTGTTGAAGGCCTCAAAATAGCCACTCTCCATTGGAACACGTCGGGTGCCGAAGCCATGGTTCTTGGGAATCAGACTCTCTGCCACAACGGGATCATTGACTCGCTGTCGGATCTTGTCCGCCATGAACTTGGAGTACAAGCCATTGGCGTGACGGTCTGTGTAGGTATCCGAAAAGACACCCAGCCACTTTCCAAATCCGGGTGCATTGTAGAGCTTCTCCCAGTGAGCAAGGCGCTCCTCGTCCGTCACCTCAGACGACTTTCGAGGGTCAGCTTGATGCATGAAGCCAGACGAACTCTCAGCACAGATTTTAAAAATTGCATCGTACTCTTTCTTGAGCTTGTTCATCTCCTCGAGCGAGATTGGCGAATTGCGCAGTGGAGCGGACCAGTTCGCCGTGCGCTGAAAGACGTTGACAGACGCAACGCTGGGCTGCTTGGAGAGTTCTGTAATGATCTGAATGCCGGTTGCGCCCGTGCCAATGACGCCGACGCGCTTTCCAGCAAAGTCGCGGCTGATGTCGAGATCTTTTGGCCAGCGCGAGGTATGGAAGAGCTTTCCTTGGAAGTCCTCAATACCTTCAATCGCAGGGAGCGTTGGGGCGGAGAGAAAGCCCATGCAGCTGATGAAGAAGGTCGTCACATATCGGTTGCCAGCTTCATCGATAAATGTCCATGTCTTGTCTTGGTCGCTCCACGAAGCCTCCTTGATGGTGGTGTTGGATTGGACGTCCTTGTACAGGTTGTGTTTTTCAGCAAAGTGCGCAATGTATTTGTGGGTGTCTGGCTGTGCGGAAAATGTTTCCTTCCAGTGCCACTCATCGAGAAGCTCCTTGTCGAAGGAATAACAGTAAGAGAGCGACTCGGAATCGAACCGACATCCAGGGTAAGAGTTCCAGTACCAGGTTCCTCCAACATCAGGGGCTGCGTCAAGAACCTTGACCCTCCAGTCGGGGAACTGCTTCCGGATGTGATAGAGGGAGCAGAGACCAGAAAGACCAGCACCAATGATGAGAACATCAAAGGTCTGTGTGGTTTGCGGCAGGGAACCCATGTCTTCAAGTGAACGTGATAGGAAGAACGATAAACTTTTGATTCAACTTTGAAGATTTGTTGATACAGGGACGGATGACATGAATACTAAATACAATGCGCCATCAACAGCCCTTTGCCTCATCACTTGCCATGAATATCCCATTGACCCTTTCATGGACCTTTCCGAGCTCGGCTTTCCTATCACGACAGTGTCTTGCTGGCTGCGGGGTGGGTTTGCCACAAGATATAACTTTCCTCTTTGGCCGAGACCCACAGGAAACGCCAAGGAGGGAAGCCGAGTCATGATCAGCCGACCTCCTTATCGCTCCGGCGGGTTGACCTTCCCAATGCCAGACAATGAAATGGCAGAGATATCAGTGCTATCGTGTTGATCAAGCATTTACTGGAGAATGCAGCATATGACTGCCTCGATAATGCCAAACATCTGGGGATTCGGAGTGATAGCAAACGAGTTATAGGTGGTGTACTGTAAGAAATAGGGCGTAATTAGTGCGAACCTAGACTAGCTGGGATCTCACAGATGAGAGGAAGAAAGGGCAATCGATATGCTCTTCACCTCGCAGAGCAGTCGATGTTGGAACTGGAAAAGACAGGCGAACCAAGAGAATCTCCTTATCGTCCCTTGCCAAACGGTCCCCATCACTCTCTTCTCTTACCTCCAACCGATAACCTTATCCAAGTCCGCCTCGTCATCCACAGTCAACGAGCCGCGTCCAGGGGCAGGCAAGGATCTCAGAAAGGAAGGTTTTCCCAATCACTGTTTAGCCTCCTCAAATTGCGGGGGTGGATCCGTTCCCCGGGTCTAAACCGAGACGGGCTCTTATCTCTGCGCGCTCTGACGAAAGCCCACCTGATGCACATTCCCACATGAACCCGCCGACTGCGGCATATTCATCATCTTCAACAGCAAGTTTTATCATGGAACAGATCCCATTTCGAAAATGGCAAATCGCACAAGAAAGACCATGGGACAAAGCAAAAAACGAGCATGCACGCGGAGGAGCCGATCCTTTGGCGGATGCGTAACGGTTCGTGGGCCCAGCCACCCGTTATCTTCCTCAGCTAATTCATCCATAGTGTAGAAGTCGTCGCATGAAGTGCGATGAAGGACGTCCAACTTGCTCAATGTGTCAAGTCTCTGGCCTTACATGTGGAGGCTACACAAAAGACATCTTCTTCGACTTTGAGGATGATCCCATGACTGGGGTTGGTCGATTTCGTCGCCCCTTGCTTACTGAAAGGGAGCGTGAATGCATGAGCCAGCAGATTCTCGCAGATATTCCTCCAGCATTGGCAACTTGGCATCTTTCTCAGATTGATGATGAATGCGATGGGACATATCCGACTCGAGATGTCCAAATATCGCGCGGTCCGTTTGGGGCTTTCAGAGTCACCGGCGATCCAACACGGCCGGCTTCATCAGATTTGCCATCTCTTCCAGAGGAGGTTTCAACAGTACAGCAAGACCGAGATGCGTTTCCTGGCGAGGAGGAATCCCTCCCCCAAGATGATGATAGCCATGTAGACTTTATATCACCATCGGTAGAACTCGCCACGCTATCACCAAAAATATCAGGGCGCAGAGGTCGACTCTCCGGATATCAAACCCCTCCTGGTTCCAGAGGGGACTGGCTCAAAGTGCTCGATGGAATTCCTATGGTCGACTTGCTGGATATGGCCGGACATCTGGAGATCCCCGAGTGGTGGGACACTATGGGGGTTGAAACAATAGATCCATGGGCCGGGGTCTCACAGACGACTGATAGACGGACTACTTCGACTTCTCACCATCCGCCAACACCAGCGCCTCCTTCGAGTGGACTCCAGATGTCGCGAGTGGCACCTAACGACTCTCCAAGTTGTTCTTCCTCTACGCCAAGCTCAGGGCCGGTTTCCCTTAGTCTCGAGAACAATGTTCCTCAAGATGCCGTTTTCTTGTTGAAACACTATGCTACTACTGTTCTCCGCGGTTTAACGCCTTATCGTCATAGCAAGACACCATGGCATGTCCTATTCTTACCTCATGTGAAGAGCTGCTTAGCAGCTCTGACTCTTGGGGAAGATATGGACAATGCAAGTCTATGCGCGTTCTTCGGGACATTAGCCATCAGTGCGTTTAGTCTCGGTGGTATCTATAGCTCGACCAGATGGCTGGATCAGGGCAAGACATACCACCAGCGTGCCCGTCTACATGTCCGTCTAATGCTAGAAACTGCATACAACATCCCCAAGACAGCCAAGTACAAGTCCATCCTTATGGCTCTCCTCACCATGGTTCAGATCTCTATTCTTTCTGGGAACCGAGACGATGCGGAGTACTACTTTCTGGAAACAGAGCAGTTTATCCGTCTCAGGGGTCTCAACCGAAGAAAGTCGAGAAAGGTTCGGCTACTACATCATTGTTATGTCTTTGAACGACTTTCCCATGAAAGCACTTTTACGGAGAGCAGATCCCACTTGGCTCATCGCAGCCGTGTTCGCCAGACTATTGAGTCAAGCGGTGCGGTTGCATATAGCCAGGATAGTCTCTCTTTCCGTCTCAGTGAATGGAGTAACCTTGATGCTGAGATGCTCAAAGTCAAAGGGCAGGAAGAGGGCGAAAATGACTTGCATCTAGAGTGCCCAGGCATCTGGTCTGCCACTCTTTACCCCGAAATCTTTGGTGTGCCGGAACTGCATTTGTTCATGCTGTCTCTCATCATCCGTCTTGGACGAGAGAAGAACGGTGATGACGAGCAGGCGGTAGCACCTGGAGTTGCATTGAAGCAATTCCTCGGTCGTGCAAAGGCTGTTGAGCGCTGGGTCAACCAATTGCATTTGCTCCAAAGATCCACATGGATTGTAGAAGCACCAGCAGACCCAGAGCATGAACAATCCGTCAATCTCCTCAACACATTATCCGACACGATGCAGCATGCTCTCTCAGTCTATTTTTATCGCACAGTATATGACCTAGACGCGAGCTTGCTGCAAAAACATGTGGTTGGAGTGCGTGATTGCTTGCTGCGGTTTGACGCCTCCGACGCCGGGATGGGATATGGCTCTCTGAGGTTGATATGGCCTGCTTTTATCGCAGCTTGTGAAGCAGACGATTCTGGGATTCGAAGTTCGTTCTCTCGATGGTTTGAGGATTCTGCGCGGCGAAGTGGTCTACGTATCTTTACAGACACCAAGGAGCGTATCGAGAAGGTCTGGGAGGAGAGAGGTTTCTCGAATAGCAACATTGTACTCGGGTAGAAGAATATTAGATACCGTGGTGACGAAAAAGGCATTTCCATGCATTACCTTCCTCTTTTTCATCTGGCCATATTTCTCTCCCTTTCGCAGGTGATCGTATAAGTTTTCAACTCGTGCTACACAACCGTAACGCCTCATTTCCTCTTGGAGATGCTTGCCTTTTCCAGAAGAGGATATTGGAAAGAATTCGGGCAAGTCATTTTGTGGCAGACTCGCTGACGACATGTCTCTGATGATGCAGCCACGTGAAAGAAGGTAGAAATGAGGCTCAACAAGTTTTCCTTCGGATCCCTTTCGCCAACCTCCTTTAACCTCGCTTTCTCACTTCACAAGTCCGATCAAATCTCGCAAGTGCAATGGCTTCTTTCCAGGGAAAAGTGGTGAGACTCTTGAACAAGAAGTACTTTTCTGCTGGTGCCGTGTTAACTTTGCTCTAGATTGGCATCACAGGTGCTGCCTCTGGCATGGGTTTGGCTACCGCCCAGCTACTGGCCTCTCGCGGTGCTATCATCTCACTGGCCGACATCAATGAAGATGCTGTCAAAGCGGCCAAAGCCACATTGGAAGGCAGTCACCAGCACATGTATCATGTCGTCGATGTCAGCAAGAGTGCATCCGTAAACACATGGATCGAAAAGACGGTTGAAAAGTTCGGAAAATTTGATGGTGCTGTGAACATGGCCGGCATTATCGCCCACGCAACTCCCGTTGCCGAACATAGTGATGAGGATTGGGATCGAACTTTTGCGGTCAACACGCGAGGCGCTTTCAACTGTATCAGAGCTGAGCTCAAGGCCATGACTGCCGGTGCTAGCATTGTGAGTCTCGGCGCACTCGACACAAGAGTAAGCTGATAGCCCTTTCAGGTCACCGCTGCGAGCGTCTTCGGGCAGTTTGGCGCACCAGGAAATGCTGCATACTGTGCCAGCAAAGCAGCCGTTATCGGACTCTCGAGAACGGCAGCCAAAGAGAACCAACATATCAGAGTCAACTGTGTTTCTCCAGGTAAGTCTGCATGATCCTTCAACTGCATAGCGACTAACCAACGTGCCAGGTTCTGTCAATACTCCCATGTCCAGGGGCGAGAATCCAGAGGATGTGAAACGCGGACTTCAAGTCACTGCCCAGAAGAGGAGAGCAGAACCGATCGAGATTGCACATGTCATCGCCTTCCTGCTCAACGATGAAGCATCATTCGTCACGGGGGCCGTGTATAACGCCGACGGAGGATGGGTATGCTAAGGGTAAACGTAATAGCGTACTGCTTCTCCAAATCGATGTTTTGCAAAGATGTTCGCCTTGCATTTCGTCGTTACAAGTTTTGCTCGTCGTAATCGCGGATTCGAGATCAACAGTCCGTCCGTATGTGATCCGCATATGATGCAACAAGATGAGGATTTTCCAAAAAGTCCGTCCTTGCGGAACGAGCAACATTTATCACCTGATATCAAGTTTGTCACAACAAACTCAGACCATCGAATAAGCATGTCCCTTGATGGGCACGGACGTTACCAACAAGCTTAAAGTAGCCGTGCTTTAGTTACGAGAATCCCCAAAGGCCAAGTCAGGCCATGCGCTAGACGAATGGTCGCTTCCAGAAGTGGCCGGGGTGGTCGCCTGAAAACAACTGGACCTAAGGGAGCATCCGTGCACCGGAGTCCTTACCGAAGCACCTATCGGACGGGACAGGGCTGTCCTGCGATGATCCGACACTGCCTGTAAAGATGGGGGTCCCGCTGCAAGTTTAACCAATGTTGGGTAGGCGTTTAGAATGGGTATCCATAGGGTTGGGACAGGTAAAATGCCCCTCACGACAGTTCTTCTGGGCAGTCTGGCAGTCATGAAGTTTTGGTAAGAACCAGCTGCCGGTAGATGAACCATGAGATTCAGAGTACCATGAAGATTGCAGATTATCTTGAACATCTATCTTTCCTCTCAGAGTACTTTGATCCTTCTTTTCAAGACGAAGTTTGGGCATTCAGCTTCAGCGTAATCTCTGCATTTGCTCTGCAGGTGTGTCGCTTACCCTGAACCTACGCGACAATCATCGCCGGGGGTTTCCCGTCCAGGGACTATTAGCGAGAAAATGGGCCTCACATCGCTCTCCTGTCAATCTTTACACATTGATCACTTTACCCGAGCCCTCCTTGGTCTTCTTTGCCAAGGATACCTCGGCACTTCCTCCCTTCAAGCCGGTGCATTCAGCCATCCTCGCATCAGCCACTCCCCGCGATCAGTCTCGGCATACAAGTCGGTGTTACGACAGTAGTAGAATACGGTCATGGAGTATGCTTATAGAGTACACTCATGCTAAGTAAAATGCACCAATACCAAGCTCGCCTGCTTCTGCCAGACATACAAAGGCACTCATCTACAGTAGCATCGTGACTTTCTTCTTCAGGCAGCTCAGTGTACACCAAAAACGGATGATCTGATTATCGAGAATCGCAGTCGGAACAATGGGAATGCACAAACATGTGGGCCTCCACAGAAGAGGAAATTCCTGACCCGAGTGACAGCCCAGCCAATACTGCACGGACATGTCGTGGGGTGGCCTGTCTCCAGGCTGATCATCTCAAAAGTCACTTTCCGAGAGTCTTCCGCATTCTTCGACGTCAAAACGTGGGGGTTTAGCTACCGAGAATGACTCCAGGGATACTGATCGACTAAAAGAGAAGTCAATCACGTCTCAGTTAGGTCTCAGATTCAAGGTTCAGTTTTCAGAAAGGACATGGAGGTTTGCAAAACTGTGCTTGGCGCGGATAGCCCGGCAAAAGATAACTTCTTTGTGGAAACTCCCACTCGACTGTGAACAAACGGCTCTCGTCGCGCCATGATTTTTCGTAGGTGGGATCGATGGCATGACAGCTTCCCATAAGGACAAGGTGCGTCTAAGAAAGGTTGGGGTAATGCAAATTCACTAGTGGAGACCCGTTCAGCTGCTTGATCCGTGGGGTGATGATGGACCCTTAGGGTGCACGTTCACGTTAGCATCATCCCACTGAGAGCTTTTCCAGAATCTGTATGGGACAAGGTTAAGCTTGCATCGGCTATGATTGAGTTGGTGTGCTAGTGAGGGTTGGGTGGGACGAGCTAATTAGCTGATCTTATCTGATCATAATTATCTGATCATTAGATCAAACGCTGGCAGCGCACTGGTCACATCGTCAGACGAACTGCTGTGGCTTGAACACTGGGCCCTGGTTTCTTGGCCCGAAACGGCAATTCGCCAATATGTGGCGTTTCAACATGGTCGAGATAGCAAGATGTTGCTGTAAAGATGTGGTGTTGGGTAGACAAAGGAGGAAGTTAAAATCTATATAAACCACTCGACTACTACCCCCATTTCTGTTCTTCACCTCGATCACAGAGTCCATCAATCAACACACCTTCAGCCTCTTCAGCCTTCAAAGCTTTCAGCTTTCAGCTCCAACTTTCAACCCCACCAACCATCAACATGAAGACCGTCGCCGTTGCCATCGCTGCCCTGGCCCTCCAGGTTGTCGCTGAGTCTCTCGACAAGGCCGACTACTTCCCCGAGTGCTCTCTCGACTGTCTCACTGAGGCCATTGAGAAGAGCGTCGAGTGTAAGGAGACCGACTCCATCTGCCTCTGCGATCATGAGAACTACGAGGCCATCTACGAGTACACCATGGACTGTGTCATTGATGCCTGCGGTGAAGACGTCGCCATCGGTAAGTTTTACTTGAGCCATTCACTACTTGATACTAACCAACTCCAGATGAGGTCCTCCCCGCCGCCGAGCCCTACTGCTCCGACGCCACCTCTCTGTACTCTGCCACTGCCACTTCTCCCCTTCCTTCCCACACTCACTCTCACGATGAGGAGGAAGAGGAGGAGGAAGAGGACCACACCCACGAGCACTCCCACGATACCACCGCTGCCGAGACCGCCGCCGAGACTACTGCTGCCGCTGCCACCACCAAGGAGACTGCCGAGTCCGAGGCTGCCGAGACCACCGAGGCTCCTTCCACCGCTGCCGAGACTGCTGCCGCCACCACCTCTTCTGTCGAGGCCGTCTCCACTGGTGCTGCTGGCCACCTCGCCCCCATGGGCGCTGCTGCCGTGCTCGCCATGGGTGCCCTTGCCGCCTTCTAAGTGGCTCTCGAGTATTCCATACAGGTCTGACGGGGGAATGTGTGGTAGCTGTTGCATAGGACTTCATTTCATAGACTAGGTGGTACATAGCAGCTACTACATTGGACTTCACTTCAATAGCTTATAGTTAGAAAGAAGTGGGAGGGGCGAGGGACTTTCTTTTGACTATAATTGTTAATACATTATCTTTGGTTGTTAATTTAGCTCTTCTGTGATCACCGCTATGCCTAGCATTGAGTGCATAAGTCGCTCTAATAATCCACACGAATGCCTTTATAATGACAGAGGATATCTTTTTCAATCGTAATGCGTAGCATGAGACTTCCCTTCTTCCCAGTATGTTGATTTGATCCTCTTGATCGTAGAGTTGACTCATGTGAGGTGAAAATAGACTTTGTCATCGTACTCCTCCGAAGGCACGCATGCAGGAGCCACGTGCTGCCCGCTTGAATGGGAGATTCCCCAAAACGACAAGTTTCTATTATGGCAATCATTTACGACAAGTGGAAGTGTACGAACAAATAAACGTGACATTATTTCATCAAAGCGCCCCCGACTTTGTTGAGTTGGCGGGATTGATGGTAGACAAGACCACGGGTACTAGGACGCCCAACCCCAAGAATGATTGGCACGCTATTGAGTCGATGACTTTGCAGTCTTTCGCGAGTATGAACCGGCCGAATCTACGTCACCTCATTCTTATGGGAGCGAATGATGACTCAATCGCCATGAGACAGGGCGAAGAGGTGTCTGAGTGGGCTGCCAGTCACAGTCTGCTACCAGCTGGGTAAGGCATAACGTTAACAGCCCTAACTCTCTTCAGCAACTTCTCCGTGACTTTTTAGGGCTGGCCGACTAACGGCTTATCCAGTGTCAGGGCTTCTGTCGAGGGCCTGCCAGGGCTAGGCGATAAGCTTGGATGGACTGGTGACCACTGACCAATGCCTTGATAAAGAATGACGGTGTTTTCCGCCGCCAAGTTCCATCCCTGTCGCCTCGTGATATGCCGATCCTTTATCAACTAAACACAGTCAAATCTGGTTGTTGCGGCGAAGTCGATGACCAAGGAAAGCGCATGACGTCACATCCCAACCAAAGCAAATCAGACATCGCCACTTCACCTCGTAAGGGTTTATGCTCGCTTTAACCAAGGCAACCCCTGACTTTTTGAAACAGAGCGTTGGCAGGATGACATGTTTCAACCTTGTTTTCTGGGCAGAGGTCTGAATTGACAGTACTTGAAATAGGGCTGTCGCATCGCGATACTTTGAGTTGTGTCCGTCAGACATTATTACCTTTAAGACTTTCACCAAGATGCGCCGACTCTCTACCTTCTATTTATTCCATTTCCTCAGTCTCGCCGATTGCATTGACCTAACCTCTAAACGTGGATTGGCGTTCCATGGCGACAAACATGAGTCCGATAATGAGCTACTACTGTCCAACAACTCGGAGATAGCCTGGTACTACACCTGGTCCCTCTGGCCGTCGGATGAAATTGGCCAATCTCTTCCTTTTGTACCATTGATTCACGGTCTCGACGATGCATCGGACTCCGAACTTAAATCCCGTCTCAACAAACTTCCAGACTCTTCAACCCACCTCCTCAGCTTCAACGAGCCTGATGGAGAGACGGATACGGGTGGCAGCTCAATATCAGCCAAGGATGCTGCCCGTTCCTACATGTCCAACATCGCTCCGTTGAGAAATTCGACGAATTCCCGACAGTGGAATATAAGCCACCCAAGTGTTACTGGCTCTCCACGAGGCCTTGAATGGCTCAGAGACTTTAACGAGTCTTGTTACGACATTGATGACGATGGCTGCCCGACAGATTTTGTGGCAGTACACTGGTATGGTGATACTCCGGGGCTCGAAAACTGGCTGCAAACCTTGCAAGAGTTTTACAACGAGACCGCCCCGGAAGCACAGTTCTGGATTACCGAATTGGCTTTACCGAAAGAAGACGAGGAAGCGACTTTATCCATGATGAACGAGAGCTTGCGAAAGCTCGACAGTCTTGACTCCGTGCAAGCGTATGCCTGGTTTGGAGCATTCCGTTCAGATGAAGCAAACGAGTGGACTGGCGACAGTGTTTCCCTCTTTGATGATGACGGAGGCCTAACAAAACTCGGCGTAGAGTATCTAGGTGGCGAGAGCAAGGGATTTGAGGAGGGAATGTCGGGAGGCCTCCGGCTAGCGCCCACGAGCAGTCTTGTTCTGGGTGTGTTGATGATAGCGTCGTTCCTTATCTGGTGATTCCCCTAGAATTAGATGATGTTACGGGCTGTGCCTGTATAGACAGAACTACGATATGAAACAATGACGATGTATCTCAAGTCCCTAACTCTTATTCACGTCTATACGTTTTCAAGCCGAGTCGAGGTTGATGCGCGTTCAGGTGTCAAAGAAGCCCCGACCTTCGTGTAATCGAAGGCCCAGGTCCTCCCAGAAAAATAAGTGCATCCCGTTCTCGTGACACGTCCAGAACATATCACTCCTCGATCTTCCCTCCATTGAGAGCGGCGGCAATGAAGTCGTAGCCAATGTCAAAGTTAATTCCATCTGGGTTCGTGAAGTTTTCCGCCGAGTCTAATCATACGGTCAGTATAACTAACAGAGATGTCGAAGAACCCTAGGAATGGACAATACTCACACCACTCGTCGTTGGCTTCAGGATGAGGGCCTACAAGTGCAACCCAACCTTTCCCATAGCGAGTCACGGATGCGGCTACATCGCCGTTTTGCGAATATCTTGCCAAAACTCTTCCTGAGCCGTCGGCACGCAACTTGTTCTCATCTAATCCGGTAATAACCGCACCTTCTTGAAAGTACATCCACCTCTTCTTTTCCGTTTTGCCAGAGACAAAAGTCCAGTCAATCTCAATGACTGTATCCTTGCTGGAAGTCACTTGTGCATTATCCTGAGATGTCTCGGCATCAGTATTGGAACCCCGAGGCAAGAGACCAAAGCCAGGAGAGTCACCGGCCAGGTAAGCACCGAAGCAGAAACCGAGATAATATCCCCCAGATGAGACAAAATCTCGGAGAGGTTTCTTGTACTTTTTCAGGCTTGGCCATGACTCTTCAAGATCTGCGTATTTTTGTGTTAGCTGAGAACAAACAATTTAGGAGGAGACCAACCATCACCCCCGCCAGGATGAGCATAAACCTGGACACCTTTCAAGGTATGCTCGTTAATGTCAATGTCCTCTGCAGGGCCAGCAAATGAGATTTGAAACTTTAATGGGGAAGACTCCAGTAGCTCGGCGACAGCCTCAGGGCAGCCTTCACACGAGGCCGGCCCACGGTAAACCAGGGCTTTTGGGGGAGTTGTGCATGCTTTCACTCCAGCAACAGTTGAAGCCATAGCTATCGTCGTGGTTCGCATTGTTGATCAGATTGATGAGAATGTTGAGACGAGGAGAAATCGGCCGAATGGAGATGGAGAAATTGAAGGGGAAAGAAGAGGGCAAAAAGAGTACTTAAATAAATAATCTATTATCAAGCATGATAATAATTATCGTTTTATGAGACAGTGCATGTTGTCTTGATTAAACTACGATACAACCAATCAATGCCCTCTCTTTCCAGACTACGACTGAGCCAACCAGCTACGCTTACAGTGTCTCTTCAACCTCATAGCGGCTGACACTCTACATTTTCTCCACTGTTAGTGCGCTATCGGAAAGTGCAGATAGTTGAGCGGCGCTCTGTTTGAGTCCTCTGCCGAGAGGAGCACTCACAACGATCTACGATCTTATTCAGTGGTGGAATTCATGCAAGAAATTACTCTATTTCTACGAGAAACCCAATCAATCTCTCTCCATCTAGTCTACTCTACAACCAAGTCAACAAATTCCAATCTCGATTCCTTCGCGGCGGTGCCGAAAGCGCCGATTACGGGCCCAACAAAGACATGCTCAGTCATGTCTGGACTGTCGATCTGGGCAAGCTCCTCTTTGACCCCATCCAACAAGACCCGAGTGAATCGCAGCTCATCCTTGTAATAGCAGAGACCAGCCTCCAGGGTGTCCTCGAGTGCTGACGTATCCAAGACGTTGAGAATCACTGAGGCAGTACCATCCAAAAGCCTCTGACGTTTTCCAACAAACGACACCGGTTCGCTAGACTGGTTCAAAGGGGCGTTGCTATCGATTAGCGTAGTCTTTGAGCCGTCGTATTTGTAATTCTCCTCGACGGGGTTCCGGATGTGCATGAGTTCCACGTCAAGGGTCAGAGACGAGCCGCTGGACTTCAACAGCCAAGCAGGTGCAGGCTGCTTGCCGCCCTTGACGGGCACGTCCATTTTAGCAAAGTCGATGGTAGGGAATTCTCCTTCGGGCCACTGTGTCGTAGTGATGACGGTTTCGCGACCCATGATGAAGCGACCCTCCTTTGTCTTTCTGACACCCAAGCATATAAAGTACCACTGGCCAGAAGGGTCTTGGAAAAGATCTCCATGTCCAGTGTACTGGATGTATTCATTAGGGTCAGTCTTTCTCATAACTAGGTTTTCTAGTTTGACCTCAACGGGACCCCAAATGCTCTTGGATCTTGCCATTATAGTATGGTGATCAGCGAAGCATCCTCCCTCTGCTATCAGAAGATAGTACCATCCATCCTTCTTATACATATGAGGCCCTTCTGGAAAGACTTTGGTGATGCCCTCCCAAAGGAGCTTCTCCTCCGACAGCTTCTTGCCCGTCTTGAGATCAATCTCAAACGGTCGGATCTTGGTCTCTGGAGCAGTAGCTGCAGAACCGATCAAGTATACTCGGTCGTCGTCGTCCCAGAAGAGACTCGTGTCACTATGGGCAAGGAGGAGAAGGTTTGAAGGGTAGAGTCTAAGATACACGGTGTATGCTGCATACTGGGAGGATTTGTGCGATGCCGACACTAAATTACCGGGGAGGAGAGTAGCTAGTACCGAATGAAGGCTTTGAACGACGCGACTTGGTTACCATTCTTTCCCTGCAACGTGGACGGCCGTTGGATTGATTCCCCCATGTTGTTAAACAAGAAACTTCTAAGCGCGCCAAGGGCGTTTTCATCAAAGGGTGCCACAGCATTCACGTCCTGAAAGGGTAAAGCATGTATCGGTTGGGTTGTGAGTGAGCAATGGGATAATGAACCACGCAAGTGACAGGAAATAACGGGTTGCAAAGAGTTTAGCATATTTTTCGCCAAGGTTAGCCACGGTACCAGTCTCCATTCCACTGCTAGGTCACTATCTAAGACACTCGCTAGCTTGGTGGCCATTCATTAGTCCTATATCTCGTTTCAAGTAAGGGTAGGGAGATATTGATCGTAGTTTGCTAAGATCCCTGCAATATACCTAATGGGAGCCTTCGCGCAGTCAAAGAGAAAGAGGATGTAAAATATTAATCACGATACTGTCTCCTCACATTTATTAATTGCCCGCTCAATTGGCCAGATCTGTTGACGTCATTCGTGGCGCACCCAGCTTAGCCACGTCTTTACACCGCCACAGCAACCTCGGGAGGCGCGAGCTTGGACAATTCGACTTGGAGAAATCAAGCCTCATCCTAAGCACACCAAACCCGTCCATCCGTCAAATCTCGACAACTTCAACGTTTTACGATCAAGGGAGCCCAATCCCTATCTTGAATACCTTTTGAAAGCTTTGGGCTCATCTCGCTCTTTTTAAAATTAGTTAGCTTCTGATATCGAGCCTCAACTTCATGTTAAAGTGACTCTCATAGCAAAAAGTTGGACGAGTACAGAGGTCTATCTCAAAAGTTTTGTCCTGCCAAGACACTAATCAGCGCCACCAAAAGCCACACAAAAGCAAAGAGAAGGCGGTCAAGGCCCGTACTGGCTATTTTCTATGTTGATCTTCTTCATCAGCTTCATCTTCGATTTCTGACGGTTTTCTAGGTCCCTAGCTATGGCCCCAAATACCGATATCGCGACCCGTGCTTTCGTCGTCGCCCTTAAGGCACCTTGCGGCGGCAAGACCACTGAAGAAGTCGCTGCTATAGCCGGCCTTTCACCCCGTCAGGTTAATCGAATTTATTCTCGTGCGATCGATCGAGGGTTTGACCCTAATTTGCGCCCACTGGTTATCCGCGATGAGTATCTTCGTGATGCTCCACGATCTGGCCGACCGCCGAAGCAGACGGAAGAGGCGAAGAAGGAGGTTATTGCGAAGGTTCGCCGCGATCGTTACGGAAGGGAAAAATCGTGTGCTGATATCGCTGGTGAGCTTAGCTCGCAGGGTTACGATCTCTCTGCTATGACAATTTGGAGGATACTGCGAAAAGCTGGGTTCCGCAAGACCAAGCCGACGAGGAAGCCTGGGTTGACGAAGAAGATGAGGAGAGAACGCCTTGCTTGGTGTATCGCTCATAAAGATTGGACTCTCGATGATTGGAAGAATGTTATTTGGTCTGATGAGACCTCTGTTATTTTGCTCCATCGTCGAGGAGGCTATCGTGTGTGGCGGAGAGTCGAGGAACGCTTTTCTCGCAGCTGTATTCGCGAGAGATGGAAAGGAGCCAGCGAGTTCATGTTCTGGGGCGCCTTTTCCTATGAGAAGAAGGGTCCTTATCATTGCTGGGGTCCAGAGACCGCCAAAGAGAGGAAGGAAGCGCAGTTATTGATTGAGGATCTTAACGAGGAGTTGGAGCCGATTATGAAGGAGGAGTGGGAGCTGAGTAATGGTATGAGGAGGTTAGGGCTCCGTAACCTCCGGGGCAAGAAGCCGGCGTGGAAGTGGAAGAAGGAGACCGGCAAGCTGACGAGAGGCTCGGGCAAAGGCATCGACTGGTGGCGATATCAACAGACGATCTTGCTGCCGAAGATGCTTCCTTTTGCTAAGGAATGTCTTCGTGAGAGGCCAAATACGGTTGTTCAAGAAGATAAGGCACCATCACACGCACACCACGCTCAACAACGGATATATGATCTTCATCAAGTCCGCCGGCTTCTTTGGTGTGGCAACTCGCCGGATTTGAACGCTATTGAACCCGCCTGGTCACATTTAAAGAGAGTAACTACGAAGAAAGGCGCCCCCAAGAGTCGGGCTGAAGCTATTCGCGCCTGGGAGGCGGCTTGGGAAGAGCTGCCGCAAGAGAAGATCCAGGCCTGGATAGAGAGAATACCGGTCCATGTAAAAAAAATCATCGAGCTTGAAGGAGGGAATGAGTATAAAGAGGGCCGGGAATAGCCTCATAGTAATTGGCTGTGGTTTTGCTTTTTTCAATTTGTGGCGCCCTTAGCGTCAGGACAAAACTTTTGAGATAGACCTCCGTAGGGTAGCTCTGGACCCGCTCTCGCTTCTGGTAAACCCCAGAAACAATCACGTCATGTTTATTCATATTTAATGCATGCATAATAACATACAGTGGATGCACACAATTATTCGTCTCTTATTCTCATTCCCCTTGTGCTGTCCTTGCTCTGGTATCCTCTCACTATACCCGAAGCGTTCAAGGGCAATAGCCAGGCTCTTCTGAGCTGCCGTAACAGTCGGGCTTTGCTTACCATGGCTACATGGCTGGGCCTCCCATGACTATAATTCCCTTCCCTAAGTTGAATTTGTTAATGGCTCATGGCCATCAAGCTCGGTCAATCTCTCGGCGACATTGCATGAAGCTGGGGTACCCCGCACGACGATCCCAATATCCTTGCTCGCGGAGCAACCTCAACCTCCCCAGACCTGACATTGATATCATTCTAACCAAGCGCACCAATGATCTCCACCGTGAAACCTGGGGAACGTTTGCTAGATGGGCCCTGAGGTCCCTGCAAGTTCATCGCTGCAACTCTCGGCATCGTGACCGAAAGTCAACGTGCGACAGGCGCACCACTCACCGATTATCATGATTCAAGCGGTCCAATCTGCATGAACCAGAATCCTACAATGTGGACCGCCATGTGGTTGGCGGAAGTCGAACCAGTTCTTCCGTAGTACTGGGACAGGGAGTCCGACTACAACAGTATAAAGTCCAAGATGTTCACACTTCAACTCTGTGCAACTCGGTCAGTTTCAAGCATCGATTCTCGTGACCATGCGGTTCAACAAGGTCTTCTTTCTTGCTGCAGCCCTCCCAGGGGTCCTCGCGGACAAGGGAGAAAAGGGCCCTGACAAGGATGGCAAATACTGGATCTCTGGTGACGGGATCGAGGCCGCCTTCATCCCCTACGGTGCCTCCATCACCAACCTCCTGGTCAATGATCAATACGGAGTCTCCAGAGATGTCGTTGCCGGCTTCGACAATGCAACCCACTACAGCATTGATGAAGCCCACCCTCACTTTGGTGGTGTACCAGGCAGATATGCCAACCGAATTCGGAACAGCACGTTCGAGATCGATGGCAAGAAGTACAAGGTCAAGCCAAACGATAACCCGACACCAGAGGCTCCTGAGGGTGCAGACACACTCCATGGAGGACCTGACGGTTGGGACTATCGCAACTTCACTGTCGTCTCCCACACTAAGTCTAGCATCACCTTTTCCATTGTAGACCCAGACGGAAAGGAGGGTTTCCCAGGAGAGGTGGTTTCATACGTCACCTACACACTTACTGGACGCGACTGGGATATCAAGATTGTGGCACTGGCAACAACTAAAAAGACACCGATCATGCTCACCAGCCACACTTACTGGAACCTGGACGGCTTCTCCAACAACGAGACAAGCACGGTATCCAACCACACTCTACACATGCCCTACAGTGGTCAGCGTGTGGCTGTCGACAACATCCTCATCCCTAATGGTGACATTATCCCAAACAAAAAGGGATCCGCCAACGACTTTTGGAGTGAGCCCAAGCATATTGGTGATCAAGAGAACAACTCTGAGCTGAAGGGCAACTGCGGCTTTAACTGCACTGGATATGGTATGTGATCTTGTTTAGTCTTAGGACGACCGTTAACATCGCATAGATAACTGCTACATTGTCAGCCGAGAGCAGCTTGGCAAATATGATTGGCGAACTGAGGGCCCTGTGGCAACTCTGTCTTCATCCTGGTCCGGAATTCAGCTTGACATTTACACCGACCAAGACGCCTTTCAGTTTTACAGCTGCACACAGCAAAACGGTGCCATTCCTCTCAAGAAGACCCAGGGACTTCATGACTCGTCCGACTTTCCCCGTACGATTCCCAAGTATGGGTGCGTCGTGATGGAAGTGCAGGATTGGATCGATGGTATCAACCATCCAGAGTGGATGAGAGACCGCAAGCAACTGTTTGAGCCTGGTGGTGATCCATATGTTCTGCAGGCTCGATACTCTTTCAGCCTCAAGGGCAAGGCTTGATTGGCTCTGGACTACTAGAGACAACCTTTTAGAACTCTGAATGGAAGATGAAAGTAAATGGTTCTTGAATGTTCCTGACAACGTATTCTGCAAGTCACTTGATGTAATCAATTCACACTGCTGGTGCAGAGAAGTATCTTAAGTGTTCAATTCGTTCATTAGTTGCCATGTACAATGTACAACGACCGTTATCTACATCTATTTACATGCATGCCATTAATGAGTGGCTGGTATCTATTACCCGTCTAATATCCGATCCAATCCGTTCCTGTACCTGTCCCATCGTATAGTCATCCAGTAGTCGTCGTTTAATAAGTGTAAACGGGCTCAGGGCCAAGGTTGCCGTACTGTCCCGAGCCAAAGGGGTTGGAGGGGGTAACCTTCTGGCCGTTGACATCAGAGACACCGAACCAAGCCAGCTCCTTGCCCTTGACAACGGTGATGACAGCAAAGGCGGGAGCGGGCTCAGTGACATAGCCCCAAGAGATCTTGTACTCGGAGCCATCGGTGCAGGGCTGTTCAGACCAGCTCTCGGTGGCAGCATCAGCACCAGGCATGCGGATGACTGTGCATCGCTGAGTCTTGCCGTCGGCCTCAATGGCAAAGTTGTAGTCGCATCCAGAGTTGTCCTCGCCACAGTATCGGGTCAGGTCCTTAATGGACCAAGACTCGCCGTCGACGGGCTTGGGGCTGGGGTAGGTGACATCGCCAGAGCCACCAGTGGGAGCGGGAGCGGGAGGGGCCGGAGCCGCAGTTGAGGAGGCGACAGGGTAGGTAAAGTAGGAAGAAGGGCAAGATCCGGGGTGAGCAGGGTTGCAGCCTCCGGGAATGCCGGGGATAGGAGTAAAGGTTTCCTTGACTGTGGAAGTCTCCTCAACAGTTACTGTAGCCTTGGAGTAGGTAAAGTAAGAGGAGGGGCAGGATCCAGGGTGGGCAGGGTTGCAACCACCAGGGATACCAGGGATAGAGGTGAAGGTCTCAACTGGAGCAGTCTGAGTGTAGGTGAAGTAGGATGAGGGGCATGAGCCAGGATGCGCAGGGTTGCAGCCACCTGGGATCTCAGTCTTGGAAGGCTGAGCCAGAGATGCAGTGGCACTGGCGCAGTACTCGCGGTTGCGAGCGTTGTCCTCGCCTACACAAGCGGTAAGGGTGCAGCTGCAAGCAACCTCGGGGGTTCCAGCGGCGATGCAAGCCTTGTAAGCATCCTGGCACTCATCGCGGCGAGCGAGAGGAGCAGCAGAGGCAGCAGAGGCCAAAGCCAAAGCGACAACGATGTTGTTGATCATGTTGATGAGTAGAGTTGAGTGTTGAGTGTGTGAGTTGATGATGAGATGGAATTGCAACTGAAGGAAACAGCTGCATTATATATACCTTTACTTGCCACAAGAAGCGGAACAGTACCGTAGCTTGAAGCCAAACCTCGTATCAGAGATAGTGTCAAGTCTCCATCGAGTGATTAGCTTACCAGCCATCCATCAAGCACGCGAACAGGGCTGCATGTTTGACAGGTTGATGGGTCTCATGATATCATGGCCTGGACTGTGGGGAACCCTTCAGCTCAATTTACCGAGGGCAAAGGGAGCTACAAGATGTTGGTCGTGAGAAAGTGTAAAGACCCTCAACGGGACGGCCCATTTGACGTCAGGATCATGCTGAAATAGCCTCAACTTGGGCACCGCCCCATGGCCCTAATCAGGATTCTTCAACCTTAACCGTTGCTGGGTTAGCCACGCTGCCGAGGTCCCGATCATTCCGGACCCGCCGCCCTGCCAACCTCTTTGATCGGCGGCGATGCTCCACTAATACGAGGTCGGGATGTCTAACTTTTGCAGGACTTGACGAGAAGAGGTGACTGAGAAGCTGTTGGGCTCCAACCACCGGGATTGAGATCATGTTTCTTTGATTCTGGATATACTGATCGAATCAACGTGTCACTACTCGGTGATAAATCGGTTCCAATTGAGAACAAGCACACAGCATCGTGGAGAGGTCTCTGGGGCAATTGGGTCGGTTGACGAGAGGCTAGCGTCTAGATTTCAAGGGACCCGTCTTGATCGCTATCCCTTACATGAAGTAGCTGCATCAAAAGTCTTGACTGAAGGCTCGTATCAACATTCACCGCATGATGTTTTGGCACTAAGACCAATGCTACCGCCACCAAGCTATACGAGCATCACATACCAAAGACAATAATGAAAAGTAGTCGGTAGAATGTCGATACGAAAATTAGTGATCTCGCACTGATCTTCCCCGAGAGCCCGGCATGTTCCGAGGTAGGCAAGCGGATACATATCGCTTAAGAGGTTGGGCAATAGGGACCAGTGTGTGTCATTGAGGCATCTGAATACAAACTCAGCAGTCATGGCGTTTGGCCGTATTTGTGTCAGGGACGCCATATCATAACTGTCTCGAAAGAACACAAGACACACAGGTGTCGCTGTAGCTGAACCCCTTAAATACCAATCCCGTGGCACATTATCCTTGAAGACACAGCGATCTTGCACCTTGGTTTGAACCAACATCAAGGTTCTTTGTTCGTACAGGATGGGGTTGCAGAATGATGCATGCAATTAGGCACTGTCGTTTCTGTGTGTTTCTTGAACCCTTGTAGATAGCAACAGCAAGGGACTCTAGCGCGAATCGGATTTGACTTGCCCCTGTCAGTTGACGCAATGGTACGAGTAGAAAGCAGCCCATGTCTGTAGACGATGTATTATATACCAAGTTGAGGGATTATTGTTATTGAACGTCACTTATCTTATCGCCCTACAGAGTAGCCCAGGGGATTAAGCGAAGAACTGCGGAGGATTTGATTCAAAGCCAAGTGCGAAGCTTCACGCTCTGTAGGTATATACTAGGTAGTTTAGCAAGAATTAGATTTTACTTGTCCAAAGATATGCGCAGCGATGGCAAGGATGCTGGAGAAGAATTACAGACAGCGACAACAAGACTCGCCGCCTCGTTCATTGGTGCGTAAGCCGTTAACCTTTTGCAGCAGCGGCAGAAGGTTACTATAGGTTATGGCCTTTTCGGTTGGATTTTCATGCTGGCATGTGTCAATTACTGCGTTCTTTGCTATTGTGGCCGATGGCTTCTTTTGGAAACATCAACAAGTCTGCCAAAGTGTGTAAACCGTTACTGAGTGGAAATGAAAACTTGGATTGACTATCGGCCAGTCACTTCTCGTTAACTTTGTTTCCATCTGGGTAGACCGTGTCTTTTGCTCCCAGTTTCCAACAGGGAAAAATAGCAAGAGATCTTGGTTGCGTACTCTAATACCTAGTACACGTAGGAAATCCCTGAGCGTTTTGGAATTCTTTTTCATCTGATTCTTTTGTTCAACCCTTGTATCAACTCGAGTCTCATCTCGGCTCGGGATCCTTATCTAGGTCGGATCTTGTTTTCTCAGTTTATTGGTCGGCTAGCCATTGATTGATGCTATCGGAACCTCTTTTGATGTGCGGGGTACGGATAGTTATGCCGACTCGGATCTGTTACCGATTCTCTATATGAAGCCACACCTCACTTTATCATCACTCGCCTTTCATCTTTCTGCATCTAAACGGAAATTATGGCTCAAGTCCACAAGTACCATCTCTTCCCGACGGACCTCGTCCCAAACTCACCACGGCCTCTCCTGCAATACAAGAATGTTCTGACCAAGCGACCTGATACTTCCCACTGCGACCCGACAGAGGTCTGGGACATGTTTACTAAGAACGAATGGAAGGTCTCGTGGATATTCCGCTACGGAGCAACTCAGCTGTCGCACTTTCACTCTCAGGCACACGAGTGCATGGCAGTTCTTTCCGGTACTGCCACAATTCGATTCGGAGTTGCCGATACGTCAGAGGATATGAAGGAGAATACGTACGGATCTGCGTGGGAAGAGGGTGGTATTGAGTTGCAGGCAGAAGCTGGTGATGTGTTTGTTATACCTGCCGGCGTGGCCCACAAGACATACAATGTCAAGCCTGACGACGGATTCAAGCTGTTGAGTCCTGGTGGTGCACACGGCATCGAAGCCGACGACGACGACCCTAGAAAGGCCTTGTCAGAGATTAAGCTGTCTGGCTATACTATGATGGGAGCATACACCGGTGGCGATTGGGACTTTGTTCAGCGTGGAGGAGATTTTGAAAAGGCTTGGTCGGTTCCGAAGCCGAAGTATGACCCCGTGTTTGGACAATCGGACCAGGGACTATTTAAAACATGGAAGGGAACTGGAAAGACTCCCGAAGGTCTCAAAATCGCCTTTAAAGATGGTATCGCTATTGAGAGTCCACTAATTGCGTAATAAGAGTTACCATTTGCAATCTCACAATTGATCATTAACCATTGCTCATGTCACGATCTACACACTGATCAATTTATCGCTCAAGCTTTCTCATCCGCCCTCTCAATCCTCTCCTCAGCCTTCTCGTACTGGTCCATGACCTTCTCTTCCACGACCTCGTGGAACACATCAACCTCGGTTGAGGCAAACTTTCTGGCGCTGATACGCTTCTCAAACAGCACATCCAGCTCGGCGAATGACCGGCCATTGGGCTCAGGCAGACGGAAGAAGGTGTAAACAATGCAGAGGAAGCAAATTCCGGCCTGATCTGTTAGTAAAGAAATGTAGCAGAGGGCATAAACTTACCCAGAAGAAACCAGCAAAGTTACCCCAGTCCCAAGCAGTGGGATTGAGCATATAGGGAACCAGGACGGCGTTGATGATGCTGACGATATTGCTGAACCGGTTAGCACGGGTTTTAGGAGAAGAACAGGCAACTTACTAAAGGATTCGACCGAGCGCAACAGTCTTCATCTGAAGTCGTCGCGATGACAACTCGCCGACCAAAGAATAACAAACGGTACCAACAGACAGCTGGTAACAAAGAGCCCACACAATCATGATGCTTCCAGTCGCCAATGAAGCCTTATCTCTGTTAGATTCGGGCACAACACCCAAGAAGCCAAGGATGAGGAGCATCGAGAACAGGCCACAAAGACCATACAGGTAAAGAGTTCTCCGGCCGACTCCGGCAGTCATCAACGCCCAGGCACCAAAAACACCAACCATATTGATGGCATATTGACCAAGGGCAAAGGAGTAAGCATGTCTAGTCGACAGGCCAGCCTGTTCCAAGAAGTAGGTCGAGTAGTTGGAGAACGAGTTACCGCTAAGGTTTTGCATCGCCCAGCACATACAGACAATCTCGGTGCGGCGAAGGTCAACACCCTTGAAGCAGTCGACATAGGATGAACCGGCCGTGACCTTTTCCTCCAGAGCCGTGGTGTGAACCATCATGGCAACGGTTTCATCTGCATCGAAATCCGTCTCTCGATCAAGACTTGTGAGTCTCAACAAGGACTTTTTGGCATCTTGCACACGGCCTCTGCGTACAAGCCACCAAGGAGACTCAGGAGCAAACCAAATACCGATAAAGAGAGGCAGGGGCCACATCCATTGGAGGCCATAGGGAATTCTGTAAGCCCATTGATCATCTCGGTCAATCATGGAATGAATGACTCCGATACCGATCTCTTGACCAAGTCCCCAGCAAAAGTTGACATATGTCGTGAGATATCCTCGAAGGGCAACAGGACACACTTCGGAGGCATATGTAATGCAGATGGTTTGGAAAATGCCCCATGGAATACCACAGAGGATTTCGGCAGCCAACAGGGTTTGCACGTTCTGCGCCATGAAGAACAGGGTGATGAATCCTGACAGCCAGACGAGACACGCCATAATGGTGAAGCGGTAGCCAAACCTTTCAGACGCCCAACCGTTGATGAGCAGACCGATGATTGAACCACAGTTGGCACCCTGAACATGTTAGCTACAGCCATTGACGGCAGTTTAAGATACATACGTTGCTAAGACCGGCCTGCCATGCGGCAGACACTTGGTAATCGCCATTCTCGGTGAGATGACCGTACTTTCTGTTGAACTGAGGGAAGGCATCTACAATTGTGAGCAACAGAACATCAACCAGTCGACATCTACTTACAAAAGTTGTTCACGAGACTAACATCGTAGCCTTCCATAACAATGCAGGTAGAAATAAACAAACTCCAAAAAACAGCCTTGGGATACAGCTTGATGCCCTGCATGAGGGTCATCTTCTGTTCCTTTTGAGCAGCAGAACGCGCATGGTCAATTACAGAAGCATGCGTCTTGCTTGGATCAGAGTCAAGGCCAACCACAGGGTCAGGCGTCGACGAGACCGTCTCTTTGTTGTCTGCCATGGTGGACATGTGCGTACAGGAACACTACGGAGTATGCAACCTGGGGAGGAGGGGAAACACGGGGCCCCAGGTTTATTAACATGTTGGGGAAAGCTGGAGAAGATGTGCGTCGGGCTCAGGGATCAAAAGGACCAACTTCCTTTGTAGGACAAACCTCCTTTGCGAGGTGGGGATGCCGACGGTGGGCCAATATGCCGGTTTCTGGCCGAGAAGGGGGAGAGATGTAACATGGGAAGGGCTCTTGAGTGGATGGAGCGAGCAGGCATCATGAGTCTTGTGTGTCTTGACGAGAGTCGAGTTCATGCCGTGTCACTGTCCTACCCATTTGTGAGCCGATGATGACCTCGTCACCATCCTTCCTTGGGTCCTTGTCTGAACTCGTCGGTCTTCTCTGCGAAAAACACAAGGATTCTCCGCTGGAGATGGTACGAGTCAAGGGGTGGGTTCTAGAGGATTCTGGAGAAATGAGGAGGTTAGGAGAAGCTTGGCGGATCTTGTCCGCTCTACCGAGCCCAGCGATGAGCAATTCGTCTGCGAGCGGGGTCGGTTCCCCTCACTTGACTCGGTGATGCCTGATAAAAGTGTGCCAGCCATCCTGTTATCTTTGGTCAAAATGTGAGCATCTCGCCATATCTGCTCGGCTAGTTTCGTCTCTCGCCGCCAAGATCTAACGCCAAGTCTCCTAGCAATCAAATTTTAGAAAAACCCATTCGCTCATTTGATCATGAGGGGGCTTCTCCACCTCGACTGAGTCGTCACATGGCTCTCTGACGAACCATGTCCCCCGTCGAGCACGGATAATGCTCCGCTGCGATAACACACTCATTTCGTCGGTCAGGACCAGCGGACAAAGTTTAAGCGTAAATTTCATCTGCCGATCGTGTTTCCGACTGCCTTAGTACACGTACTTGAAGTACTTGTTCTCCAAATCTGTTTCATCGAGCAAGCCCCTTCGCCATGCCTGCTCTTCATTCCCTGGCGCGTGCTCCGCCTTTCTGGACCTGTTCCTCGTCCAGAGCAATGTCCAGATACCCACAAGAGAAATGACTTGGGCCGCGATGCAGAAAAACATCATGCCAACCCCAAGCGGATACCATGGCTCTTGCTCAGTCCTGAAAAAAAACGGACCAACAAAGTTGCCAAGACAGTAGCCAATCAGAAGCATGGCAATTGTTGTAATCTTTTTCGTATGACCTGCTGTGTTGGCTGTAGCGACCGACATGTTGAGAGTTCCGCTTGCAGTGTAGAAAAAGGTGACCCAGAGACAAGCCAGTCGGCCGTAGGAGTTATCTTGAGAGAGGAGGCGAAGACCCAAGACGCCTGCAAGGAAGGGCATGAGGAAAAGGATCATGATCAAAATGCGGCAGTTTTGGAATCGTGTAGCACAGTAACTGCGACAGTTAGAATGACCAGACAGGGAGCTGCGCACTTACCAGGCAACTAGACACGCGACCAGTTGAACAGCACCAGACGGCATCTGGTATAGAGTGGTGTGGAGGGTACTAAAGCCCGCTCCTTTGATGATGAGACCTTGGAACTGCAGGGGTCAGTAAATATCCGCGACTTGAAGATTCTACTTACAGCGCTTAAACCTCCATTTGGCGAGTTACTCGTCAGTGCAAAGGTGAACAACAACCACGTCTTCAAGTCGAGCATCGCCTCTCGAAATTGCTTCATCTTGAATCGCTTATTCTCGATGCCTGTCGCGTTATCCTTGACTCGCGCGACTGCATATCCCTTTTGTTCTTCAGTGAGAAACTTGGCACGCATTGGGGGCCCAGGGAGCATGAACCAGAGGAGAATGCCCCAAGCAAAAGTGATTGCTCCCCAGAAGATGAACAGCAGCCTCCAAGACGAGAGAGAAGACTCGATGTGCCCTATACCAAAGCTAGTGATTCCAGCGATAATGTAGCCCACACCAGATGAGCCGATCCAGATACCCATGCGCAGGGGCTGCTCCTCTCGGGTATAGTACATGCTAAAGAGGAGCATGGTTCCTAGTTGGATAGCAGCCTCGAAAGCGCCGAGTAGAGTTCGAACAACAGCCAAGCTTGCAAAGCTATGAACTGCTCCGTGACACATCAGGATGGTACCCCATGTGACGACCTATCATGTTAGATGTTGTGATGGAAGAAGAGAGGGTACGTACTGTGGCCGACATGAAATGGTTGATCGGTAAGCGCTGCAGCAGCATGCTGGTAGGAAACTCCCAAAACATGTATCCTAGGTAGAAAATCGCACTGGCCCATGAGAATTCAGTGCCCTTGAGACCAATCTCTTGTCGGAGACCGAAGACAGCCGCATAGCTGATGGTGTTCTTGTCAATCGCCTGAAGGGTATAGGTCAAACACAGCAGCGGCATCAACCGCATATCAATCTTCCATCGTATTGCCTTTGCAATTTCAGGATCGACTTGACCCTCGACCTCTTGACAGAGGTTCAAGGCTTCTGCCGTTGAAGCATCAGTGATGCTTTCCGGCTTGGTGAACGCGCTGGCGCCAGTCTTTTCTTGCGACATGTTGGATTGGGGTGCATCTGACAGGATCAAGCAGCCGACTGAGTTCATATACGTCGAGATTGCGGGAATTATGTCGTCGGGTTTCAGTGACTAATGCCATGGGGTTCATCCCGCGTTGAAGATCGACAGACTCCCCGGTCTCGTTCCAACTTCTTACTGGGTGAGATGCAGGATTCACTGAAATAGGCCTTTATCAATCACCCGTCCATCGTTTATCAATCAGCTAAGTGTGACTAGACTCCACCATCGCCGATTACGGACTATAAAGTGGTAGGGCCTGCTATCTCTCTATGGTAGCATCCACATACACCCTTGCTGCAAACGCGGGATACTTGCAGATTTGGCTTGAATGCCCGTAGGAATCGTCCCACGATCAACGTGGAAACACCCGTGGAGTAGTATTGAGCATGAAGAGCCAATGAGATTGATAACGAGATGATAATGTAGCCGACATGACTCCGTAAGATAGGTCGAGGGCATTAATGCAAGGTATGCCTGCATGTGGGTAGCAGTAACATATCGCCATGCAACCGGCTTGGTAGAGGTGTACTAGTAGGGAAGGACTGTGTAGTAGGGAGGCGGATAAATTCTACACTTCTGTAAGGCTGACGGGTCTGCAACCTCCTTTCGCGTGGCTTTAAAGATGTGCCTGTCGCATATGATGACGACTGTAAAAAACGCCGCATGTACATGAGATGGCGGCATAAGGAGACACCGTTGCCTCCTCCCTTCTCACTATTTTTAACAGAGCAAGTGAAACCGCACTGGAGGACAAGAACTCTGTAACAAAAAGCTAACTTTTAAACCCAGAAAATGAGCCGGGTGACAAATTGACGACTGGCAGTGACAACGCAGGGGATCGTTGTCATCTCGTCAATTGCCTGGATTCTGTGTCTGACTGGTGTGACCCGAGTCAAGATGATGAGCCCAAGAGGTACAGGAGCCGTTAATGCATCAGCAAATGAAGACATCCGAAGTTGAGAAGAATGTTTAGGTGAACTGGATAAAACACAATCAATGATCTAATGATACAATCCGTGTTCCCTATGTATCCGATCCTCATGCGCTATCAAGACTGCATGAAAGAAATAGAGCCGTTTAAGAAATTTGATCCGTCTTTGTTTCTATAAGTACAATGCCTCCAACATCGTATTCGCCGTTATAAGAAATACACTGATGGCATGCGACTGGCCAACTCAGTCCTGGACACCAGAGGGTGTGTTGCAGAGAACGCCTTGATCCAGCTGAAACGTATTAGCACATGGTCCAGGGACACACGAGAGTACTTGCAATGGGCAAAACGCAGCAACGAGCTCGTTGGCCGATCTCGGCGCAGATGGCACTGAAGTTGTCGGCATCAGAGGGAGTTGAGGGAGCTAAAGGTCAGCTGAAATTCTTAAAGGAGAAGAGGTGTCTTACGATTGCCGCAGTCAAGATTGGCAAGTCCGAGAATATCAGTAGCGCAGCACTGAGAAGTACCGTACAAGCCAGTGCATGGAACATAAGTTTGACGCTTCTCAGAAGCTGGAAGGGCACAGACGATGCTGGCCAGAGCGAGAACGACGGGGAACTTCATGTTGATGGTGTAAGTGTGAGAAGTGATGAACTCTTGTTTGAATATGGTGGTTTACTGAGTCCAACACTCGATATTTATAACCTTTCAATCTCGCCACGCAGGCCAGCAACATCAATGTCGTCGGCGCTTGGCTTGAATCTAAACGTCATTATCTCTTGACCTATATCCGATTCACCCATTAACAATTAAGAAGACGTAGATAATAACTGGTTGTTATACCTACCACAAAAGAACCATGTCAATAGCAGCAATAAAGTTGAACCGAAACCTGTTGTAGCGTTGCAGCGGCGAGGTACAGAGGGGCGGCCACAGCTGGACAGGGGTTGTGCACCACGCTTGCATTGATGATCGCCGCTGAAATCCAAGTTTTAAGGCACATAATTACTGATGGAACACCCAGAGAATCAACTGTCATTGGCGGGTCCTCGGGGCGATCAGAGGGAGCGAGTTCCAGCATCGGGACGATCAACGGTTTTGCAACGCCCAGCCACAAGCGAGATGCAGCCGGGGCATCAGTCACTTATAGCACTTGGTCTTAATCCTACACCAAATGGAGGAAACAGCTCGGATGACGTCTATGAAATTTGTATGTAGATATTGACAAGTTCAAGGCTTGCCAGGAATGACGTCTATATACGCAGGCACTGTCTGTAGCGAAATGAACTCATGCCCGCAATAAACATTCCCAAGCTGGAAGTTTTCATCCGTACCAGAAGGTGACAACACCTCGGTCCCTACGACGGGAACTTTTGTTAGAAACTTGAGAAAAGGAAAGAATATCATTGTCTCCTATGCGTCCCTGCTAGCACATTAGGTCGCCTCAAGCATATAGAAGAATCCACAGCAACTTACTCTACAGCCTCCATCCTCAGCACGGCCAAACTCCCTCGGACATAGTTATGCAATTTGCAGTAGCTTCACGATCGCCTCATTGCCGTTCTTTACCATCAATGATAGCAGCGTCCGTCCATACCTATCTTTGGCGTTTAGGTTGACTTTGCCGGTGTCAAGTAATAGTTTGACGATCCCCTTGTGCCCCGACGCTACAGCCTGCCGTAATAGAGTCTCTCCGTGGGTACTTAGGTCGACTCTGCCGGTGTCGAGCAACAGCTTTACGATCGCCTCGCGCCCACCCCTCACCGCCCAAAGTATCGGCGTCTCTCCAAAGAGACTATCCGCTGCGCCGGGGTTGACTCTGCCGGTGCCGAGCAGCAACTTGACGATTGCCTCGTGTCCGTTCTCTGATGCTAATGATAATGGGGTTCGTACATGCCCATTTTTGGCGTTCGGGTCGACTTGGTTGGTGCCGAGCAACAGCTTGACGATTGCTTCGTGTCCGTTCTCTGATGCTAATGATAACGGCGTTCGTTCATGCCCATCTTTGGCGTTCGGGTCGACCTGGTTGGTGCCGAGTAGTAGCTTGACGATCGCCTCGCGCCCGTTCTTTGCTCCTAACCACAGCGGCATCCATCCGCCCTTGTTCTTGATAAGCAGACCTACCATTCCTTCTAGCCTCTTTACATCTTCTTTTCTCCAACGGCCGTGACCTGAGCAAGCTGTTTCTAGACGGCCCATGCTTGTCAATGCACTCTCCAAAATCTCTGTTGCTTTGCGGAAAGCTTTCTCTGCCGCATCAAATCTCCTCATGTATTCCAATACCACTCCGGTGTCCCGCAGCCTAATCGCTGTGTCCAGGCGATCCTCTAACTCCGTCCTTGGATACTTTGACACAGATGTGCCCATGAAATGTTCGTAGTCTTTTCTATCCAGCGACTCGTCTGGATACACATTCCAGTCCCAGACAAGTAGGAGGTCATGTGGGAATGCTGTTGTCACTCGTAAAAGTTCTGACTTGGTGTCTCTGCTCGCAGATTGCGGATGGTCTGGGAGAGGAACTGCAATCATTACAACGGCCCAATAATGGTTGCATGGCCTGATGATTGTAGCCGTTGAGGCTCCTTGCAAAAGGCAGATAGCATCCCCTTTCTGAACTGATTTTGCTGAGGCCTGGAGGGTCCAGCGAGAATCTGGCGCTCCATAGATAGACTCCTTTTCCCAAGTAATGGCCACATGCTGTTGGTCTTCTCGGTCAACATCTCTTTCGACTGAAGACACTTGGCCCAGAGCGCAGCCCTTGCCCCTGATCACTGCTATCTCCTTACCGCCCCAAGTCTCCACAGACACCCTTTCAGGGAAGAAGAAGTTGACGAGTTGCTTGAAGACTTCTCCCCATGATATCTCATAATTGACCGATAACCCTGCGATGCTAGGATCATCAGAGCTCATGCCGAGCAAGGCATAAACCTTGTCGCGGGGCTCAGTAGCTTTCCGAGTGTGGTACATGTCCACCAGTTCGCCCAGAGAGCATATATCTAGGGAAAACCTGCCTGACCGATTGGTTGCACATCTAGGCCGGAAGGCCGCACCCCTGATGAGGTAGGCGACCGAGCGAATCAGAGGCTGTAGACTTGGGTGGGCTTCATAGGACAGGTTCAATACACTTAGGCCCGAACAGAACGCATATCCGTCAATCTCGATGGGACCACATTTGATCAGCACATGTCGGGCTGCAGCAACCTCCTGAAGTACCTAAATCGACCTTGTTAGTAATTCTTGTCTATATTGGTGGACGCCTATCTCTTTACCCAGATGCGTTGAAACCAAGGCCTCTCGAGCAGTCTAAAGATTGCGCTTTCGTTGATTGAGAGCTTCGTACGCTGCGCTGCTGCGATGCGTATGTCTTCGAGTGCTTGACCGCCGTCGGGTGTCGCTTCTCCAAGCCAAACAATTACGCCACTTGCTTTGGCATAGATCTTCGCCATAGATTGGACCTGCTTTCCCTTTTCCTTGGGTCTCGTTGGTTGATGCAAACAGCATCTGCCCATATGGTTCGTTCGATGGAGGAATCCCGAAGATGTAACAGCGCGGTGTAAAGGTTTTCCCCGACGGGCAAGTCGCAGTTGTCTATAGAGAGAGATTGAGGCTTGATCTCAGAACCCCACACGTAGGATAGAGCCTCGTACGGACGGGTGCTTCCGGAGTCTAGTAGGGCGCAGTCGAAGAGCTGGCATTGTATGGGGGCATGCTCGTCTTGATGCGGCAATAGCCGAAGCAAGCGAATACTGTCCTCCGGCAAAGAAGAGTAACGGTACAAGGACGGTGGAAGAGACATGGCGTACCGGAGTTGAACCTCGAACTGTGGGTGTTGAGATTTCCGAAGGTGTGATTGTTGATGGGGACAGCAACGTTTGCGGGATTTATATGTGGGAGGCCTCAGCACATGTAGCAAGGCGCATCTTGTGAGGCCAATAGGACGTGCAACGGAGCCAGGCCAATCCCAGGGCTCAGCCGGGTTGGAAGTGCAAAGTGTAAAGCAAAGTGGGCGACGGTGGGAAGAGCAGGCTGGCACAATTTGACTTTGTTATGCACAGCCGGTGGGTAGCTTATAATTCTCGAGCTGCTTTTGATGAAATAGACTTCTGTCCACAACGAAGATGCTGAAATTCGTAAGAAAAGCGCGTGTATTCCCTAGTGTGCAATATCGCAGATGCAATCAAGAGCCTCCTAGGGGCCAATCCATGCTGTTGGTAACCCTGGGACAAAGGTCAATTGTAGAGAGAAATCATTCTGCAAATATTCGAGCACATACGTGACTCAACGTTAATCAAAGTGAAGACTTATCAACAAGTTCAAGACGTACAACTTATATATCAAGGTGCCTAAAAGCATAACAAAAGGAAACACTAGAGGTCTAGCTGGAGAAGTATAGTATCTACTTAGGTAGTAAAGTAGGTAGGGAATAACACTTGGCGGAACGGCCATAAGGATCAGCTCATCGGCGGGCCGTTTTACCTTGCAGGTGAGTACCTATCGCTTGGTAGAGCTCCGAGTGAGGCAGACAAGCCTTAAACATCCCAGGTACTGTAGACAATCTCAACAAGCCCATACCCTTGCACCGGCTTGGAATGAACATTGCCACTGAAAGTGATGAATCCCTCATATGCAGTCTGAAGAGCGTCCTCGCCGACAAGTTCCTGATCCTCAGTATAGCTACTCAGCTTGAAGTCACCGAAACCACTGATCTTGAGCTTCCAGTCCAGAGGATACGTGACGCGACCAGTAGCAGACTCGTATGTCCTCTTGTAAATGGGCGTAAACTCGAGTGGCAGTACCAGAGTTTCGTCATTCGCGCCTCGGATGGTTGCAAACCGCGTCTCCGTGTTTCTGAAGGGATCCGAGAAGATCCATGCACTGATCTTGTACTCTGTCGAGGGGATATGAAGCTGGAACCAGGTCCAGTTGGACGGAATGGCTGCGGTATTTCCCCATTGACGGTCATACCATGTATGCGACTTGGCAGGATCAATGGCAAGCTTCTCGCCGTGGACAGTCAGGGATCCTTCTGTCTTGGCGCTTGGGAGGCCGAATTCCCATGTGAGACCCTCACCGAACTGGAAAGTCCCAGCACCTCCATTGGCGACGGCACCAGTGGTGGCATCATAGGTGATGTCGAATGTGACATTATCGTGGTTGCTGTATGAGCGCAGCTTGGACAGGTTGTCTTCACTCTCACTCTTGATCCCGTTGTTGCCCACGCTGACGTCGAGGGTGGTGATATTTGGAGTGCTGCTGCCCACCGTGACGTATTGGTGGTATTCATTGGTTTCAAGGTTCAAAGTCGAGGCACGGAAGTAGGTGTACACCGGATTGTCGAGATAGTGGGCGAGGACAACGTACTGCTCGTTGTTGGTGGTGGTGATATACGAGCTTGACCACCAGGATCCGCCAACAGAGTTCGGCTGGGATTCACTCAGCCCATAAACTATTGGGATAGCATTCTATTATAAGTCGCCAGTTAGACTTGATCAATATTAGGAGATTGGCGCCAACAAACAGTCCCTGTCGTCTTGGAATTCTCGGGCTTGAACGGAAACTTCTTTGGCACGCTCTTGGCTCGACCAACTGCTGCCGTGGCGAGGCCAGCAGTAAGAAGAAAGGAGGCTCGCATGATGAAGTTGGTAGTATGGAAAGAAAGTTGAATTGAGATGAGTGGTTGATGAGATGAGCTAAAAGAACGAACGCCGAGTATCCTTCTTATACTCCACCGATGAGCCAACATGACGGCATTTCCCCTTCATCACTTCGCTCAGATTGGATACTCAGCCCCAATGGTATGTTAGCTATTCATGAAAAAGCCGTGATTCCGTTCGTTCAACAATCCCGTATTCCGCTTATCTAACCCTCCTCCGCAAGTTTATGATCTTCCGAGCATTGAGTAATTTGAGTGTATAACGCCTAAAGTCTAAGTCTCGGCACTTTATTATTTGAAAGCCCGTAATTGTCTACTCGGCTTTCTCTCGACGGGGAGACGGGTCGTGTTTCTTTTAGCCCCTGCCCATCTGTGGGCCCCCTTGACTTCTTTCACAAGTGACCGCTCAGTCAGCACTGCCGGACATGAACTCGACGACCATGGTCAGGCCACTGATTGTTCACTGAGCAATGCAAAGCAGGATTTTAATATAACATGCCGCAACTAACTTTCTGCTGTCATCGTTAGTGGAATTGCGCAATCAGTGGTCCCTCAGAAGGTTGCATTGAGTATCAACGGAGAAATGTCAAGTTATGTCTCTCGAACCTCGGCCACGGGCGTTGTCCAAGAGAATTGTCACGCCATCTCTGGGAAACCTTATTTACACTCCATACTGCACAAGCTGCCAAAAGTTCAACCCGGCCTCCGAATGCCGAAGCTCGGAATCGATTTCCCATTCCCCACCTTTGTTGCAGGCCCCGATGGCCAATAAACCGTAGATGATGGCTTGTTTTCCAATCTACAGGAGTGAACAGAACCGTTCGCTTATACCTGTGCTTCGACTACCGTTCTCAGAGGCAGTTGGCTATTTCATGAGGCTGGTTGTGGTGCAACACTCACACTGACCTTGACGATAGCCACAAAGGTTGCCCTCGATAGCGTTGAATCAAGGGTCTCTTGAAACGCCAAGTTGGGGAGAATTTAAGCTGCCCTACATGCAGACAGTCGCCAGTGATATTCTCTATAAAATCAGTAGTCCATGCACTATGTCCTCCAGGGATGAAGTCTACTGCCACCCATCCATTGCCCGGTCTTTTCACTCTCAACTCACAGCATCACCCATATGTCTCTTCCGACCGAAATCCAGAATTTATCAGTATTAAGCACTGCCCAAGCCCTAGCTACCCTCTTCTATATCCGCCGCAGCGACACGCAGATGATAAAAGGCCAAGGCACCTCACAATGGCAATTCGTATGTGAGCTTCTCCTAAGGATAGTAAATAAAACGTAAGGGAAGTAACAAACAATGAAGAAAGGCCTATAAAGTATTGTCTTTTATTAGCATAGGTCTTGTACAATGTTTATCATAAGAGTCAGTGGTGGCTTACTTCAAGGTCATTCTATCGATCTTCGGGCTCAGTTAACCCATCAAGGGCCGGGCTGCAACTATAATAAAGAACAGATCTTCAACATATTATAACATCATGACCCGATGTTAACACAGTGGGTCATTCTATCAATCGAATATATTGAGCGTCAAAGGACCTCTCAGCTGCGGCCCCCGTGGCCTCACCTGCCTCAGCCAGCCGGAGATAGTTGATTCCGTTGACAGGGGCAGGTGTCGGATAGCGGCCTTGGGGCGGGCTCTGGATGAATGGCGACGGGCCCTGTCAATAAAGCAAGCCCAGTTTAGGGGGTAGACGGCCCAATAAATAGCAGCTTGGAACTACGAAGGCAACTGGATAGAGGCCAACATTTAGGAGGCCGCTGAGACTAGGGTCCCGCTCCTGAGGACACAGGATCCGTCGAAGCAGAACCTTCAACAAGCCCCGACCTTGCCCAGTGGAATTGCAGATGGATCCAACCGATCGCCCAAGGAGAGTGTAGCTAAGGTTCCCGGCCAGCCACATGGCTCGGCTTGACGGCGAGCAGATCGCTCAAAGCGCTAATGGCCTGGTTTAGGGCATTGTGAGCTTCGACGCACATCCCAGAACCTCGACATCCACGTGGATCCGAGGGGGTTTCTAAAGCAATTAAACCATAGCTGAGTGATAAACGGCGTTCTGGGCAGTTCCCTCCATTGGAAGCCCAACTCGAGCTGTCAAAAAAGACAACATCGCACAAAATACCCAAATCAAGTCCCAGACGAGGGAGAACCAGCAGTTAAGCAAGGAAGTTAAGGCAGAACGAGAGCGATTTAGCACTCCTAATACTAATATTAATAGAGATAAAAGGTATAGTTTATTCATCTTTATTATAGCTAGTAATCTAATATAGGCTTAATATTAAATATAATTAAATATATTAAAATATATTAAAATATATTAAAATAATATATAGATATATTTAAAAAAGTATATAATAAACTATTTAAATATATATTTAGAAAACTATATAATAAATTATTTAAAAATATATTAATATAAAACATAAATATTAAAAAATATATAAATATAAAAAAGTATATATTTAAATACATAATCTTTAAAATAATAAGTATTTAAATAAATAATAATATAAGTAATAAATATTTAAATATATAAAATAATAATAAAATAAAAAATAAAGGTTTAAATATATAAAATAATAAGTAATAAAAACTATATATATAAGTATATTATATAATAATAACTTAGGCATTATTAAAAAATAATATCTTTCCTTACCTCTAATATAAAAACAAGGCTTTATAAAGCACTTAAGTACTTTAATATAAGTATTTAGAGCTAGAAGGAATAAGAAATAAATAGCTAGATAAGCTATTAATATAATATTCTAAGTATACGCGCCGGTATCTATAAGTACATAAGAGAGATCATAGAACTAACTCCCCAGAGGATCTTATTCCCACAGTGTCATATACCCGTCCATCTAAACTGCACTTAACACTCCAACACCTCGGACGCTTAGCGATCCTCACCCTCATGTCCGGCAGATCATGTTTCGAACTTGCTTCTGAGGCGCATTTCGCTTCTTACTGACACAATCTTTCTCATGTAGCAATGGGGGCTTGATACATAGTCCTTTATGCACATCTTCAAGGCGATGATGTTCCGATTCTCATGCCTCTCACGCGCAACGCCTGACCTTGGAGTTACATGACCACTTCAACCATCCCAACTTGTACTATCAGATACTCATTATACCGCAGGTACAATGTATGAGTCAATCATCGATGTGCCCGACGAAACTGGTTCCACAGGACTCACTAGTCTCCAAAGTAAGCTGGTACTAATAATCCAACTCATTCACTGTCACCGAGCACAATCAATCTTCAGTCTCAATGTTTAACCTTCGGTATTGAAGATTGACCTGAATTGCCTCGTCTACCGGCACTACTCTCCCTCGCCTTCCTCTCCTCTCTCACCTTCCTCTCCTCCTTCGCCTTCCTCCTCCAGCAGCCCGTTCACCAATGGCACCTTTCGTCCGGCCCGGATCGCAAGGATGTTGTTGAGGAGTTCCATCTGTTGGTTCTCCCGTCTCACCTGGTCAATCCGATCTCTGAGCTTCTGCTTCTTCTCGGCCATGATCTGTTTGACCTCCTCGTAGGTCCGCCCGCCAAAGAATTCTTCTTTAGGGGTTGCCTCCCTCACTGCCTTATTCAAGGTCTTGAGCCTATCAGTGATGCGGTCGACGTCGTCCAGGAACTTGCGTCGTTGCGCAATGTTAGCCAGCGTTGCTCGGAGATTCTGCTCCATGGTGTTTGAATGCGCCATGAGGAGCTCGGCGCTCTGCCTCAGACCTGCCGACGTAGGGTCCACTGTAAATGATCTGGTGCCTCCACATTCGGTAGTATTGAAGCCAGACTGGTGTACGAAGGAGAATGCGATGGTTGTAATCAGTTGCTCGGCAAGATTCAACTGGTCCGCCTCCCAGATTCGTATGGCGACCTGCACACTCAAGTCAACGGGAAGGTTCAGGGCCTCAAGAATGCTGACGACCAGGCACAAGGGTTCGTTGACATCTGCCAGGTCCTTTCGTGCCGAGCGCTCGTAGGCACCTGTCCAAGTTCGCAGATCTTTCGAGCAACCCACGTAAAGCGGGCTCTGGATCTGTCGGACCTTGCCGCTGGGATCAAGGGCCCTGTTGCATCGCCGCTTGAACATCTCAGTGACGCGTTCCATGCCGAGAAACTCGTTGTCGCGTTGGATGAATCGAGGTGTGGGCAAGGCGTCGGGCGCGACGACTGATCCGACCAAGGAATCGACGGTACGGACCCATTCCACCAAGACTTCGTCTTCAGCGGTCATGGAAGTGCTGCCGGTAACTCTGCGATGCTCGATGCAGATGCGCGCACCCTTGGCGTACCTCTCCAGGCCATCAACCAGCTTCTCGGTCTCATCGATGTCCAAGAACTGTCCTTGCTGCCCTTGACGGCTCATGCCGACCACGTACACTCCGGGAATCTTGCCCTCCGTCTCGGTGGGTATGGCAAGCCAAGTGGCCTCGCCCTTGAGCGTGTCATATGCCACAGTGCCAGCGACTACGGCTCGTATGGCCGTCTTGTCCATGCTATGCAGGAGGTGCACCATCCTCTAGCCGGTGCTCCCGTCCCGATCGATAGCCTCCGCGATCCGATTAACAGAAGAGTCGAGATGCTCAAGCACAAAATCCTTTCTGAGAGCTTCCGCAAGCCGGGGCAACCCCAGGCAGAACTCGTACAGAGAAGCGTGTCCGTCAAGAGCATCAAGCAGCTCCGTCTGCAGGGCACCACCTGGCATCGGCATCGCAGCTGTCGGCACAGCTGGGGCAACGGGGGCGGTAGAGTTCATCGTGTCAGGAACGGCGGCACCCGGCGACTGAGACATGGCTGGGCTTTTGCAGGATCTCTGAATATGGATGAAGCTGATGATGGAGAAACGCTGATGAGATGCAAGCCTTCAAGCTTCTGCATATCGCTGTATCGCGATTCCGAATTTTCGCCAGCCAATGAAATTTAAGATAGGTTTGATTGGCCCGATAAGCCCGGACCCATAAATAATGCAATCCGCCATCACAGCCCTCCACGCAACCGTAAAAAACCATGAGACACGGAGTAAAAATTTCTGCTTTTTAACATAAGAAAAGGCCCCTAAGTATAATAAATAAAATATTAAGGATTATAATATTATTTCTTCTTACTATCTCTTATTTAGGTTATAATTAAGCTATAGAGTAAAGACTCTTTATTAACTTAACTAAGCGCAGCTATTATATCTCTAGTTTTTATATATCCGTATGCCCTCTTAATTTGCAAGCTTAAGTTAATATTAGCAGGATGAATAACTACTAGCGGTGTAGCTGTGTTTCTAGCTGCATAGAAGTTTAGAGACCCTAAATCCTAAAGCTACCAGCTGCACATAATCACCAAATGGGCAAACATTCATTCCTATCACTATATGACTCATTCTTTATCGATCAAACATCTACCTTTACCCTATGAATGATTTTATTATTTTTTTTGTCAATCCCACATCTTAACAGCGGCCACGTCGAGCCGAGAATGATCTAATCACTAAGCCCACGACATGTAGAGATGGGGATCTAAAAAGGCAGTCTCAATTGACACAAATACAGATTGCAAATGCCTATCGCCAGATCAACCGTTCCTCATTGACCACCCATCTGCATACCCTACGGCTCAAAGACGAGTTTCCCAGTGCCATCTCCAGGGTTTCTCACAACAGAGACCTTGTAGCAGGTCGAGCGATGATGTATAGGGCACCTCCCATCCACCAGATGCCTCATAATATTGCCATTGTCGCACACATCCTGGAGGCATCGGGGTGTCGAGTCCGTAGGGCTTTGCGCCAAGGCCTTGAGGTTCCGGACCGATACCGGGTCCGCAAGCAAAGAGGCGAGATAACACAAGCCTCCATATCCCTCAATGGGCGCGACAGGTTGCGTGATAAGGCCATCACAGTCCTGAGCCAACTTAGCATAAAACGCGGAGAGCTCATTGGACCCTCCCGGCCACACTGGCGTCTCCTGGAGACGCTCCAGCTCCGCGACTCTTGCGAGGGCAAGATCACGCGCCTGCTCCGTTTCCACAAGCTTGTCACGAACTGCGACGTGCGCCTCAGCGTCCGTTTCCAGGTCCTGGATCTGTTCCCTGGCAAATTCGGCGGCAACAACGGCTTCGCGCCTCAGCTTGCACTGCTTCTGGACCTCGGCCTGTAGAGCGCTGAGCCTCTCGTCTTGCAATTGCTGAGTGGCTTGACGCTTCAACGAGCGAGCACCAAGCTCCCGGCGTGGACCATGCGCCTCATTCCTGCGTCTCTGAATGGACTGAATTGTCTGCGACTGGGTCCGTACCAAAGAGAGGAGATCTCTGTTATCCTGCCCCAGGCGATCCCGTGCTTCCGTCAACTCCCGGACCTTGTCGTTCAGCCATCGAATCTCTTCATCTTTGGCCTCCAGGGCATCCCGCTGGGCTTCGGGCGTCTCCTAGACGCTTCGCTCGGGGCCGTGCGCTTGACTGGTGGCGGACTGGCTCATGGTGCCGGAGATTCTCCAAAGTTTTTGACGGACTGGTACCGGCGGTCTTGATCTAAAAGTCAGTAACTGCTGAGACCCAACATAAACGCGCTGATACTAACGTTATCTTGAGGAGCCTCATTGTCAATCAGAACAGGTCATTTCGGAACCTCAGTTCAATTTTTGTAACGGTGCCTTTTGCGCTCTGCCCAAGAGCATATTAATATATCTTCCCCAACCTGGAGGCTGTACTTATCGAGTCTTCAGCCCAATACCGCTCGTTGCCTCAAAATGCCCCCTTCCACACTTGATGCCCAGCTTACCCACACAGTCTCCTTCAGAATCCCATCAACACCTCAAACGGTCCTCGAATCTCGATCAAAAAGCTAGAAGCTGCCCTCAATATCTTCTTCATCGTCGTACTCCTCCAAAATGGCAGGAGGGATCCAAGTGCAGTCTCTCGCGCCGACTTGCTGTTCTTCGCGAAAAAGCCCAGTGTAGATGCCCTAGACAAAATCTGTGCTTTGACGATTGACACCGCGGAATTCGTTAGGATCTAAAAACGAGTGAGCCCATCTTTCGAACCCATGAACGACTCCTTTCCCCGACACATCCTGCCAGCGAAGTATGCCTTGTGTAGGGACACCGGCAACGAGTTGACCGTGAAAGGCGTAGAACAAATGCCTTTGCAATTCAAGGCGCTCGACTTCGCTCAGCTCTCCGACTTCATTCTCGAGAATAGTAGGGGCTAGACCGAAGCCCAGTCTGCACAAGACATGATCGAGCTTGTTTGAGGTCTCCATGATGTAGCACGACTTGGATCGATCGACGGAAATCGTAGTGCCAGGCACTACTATGTCTAGGTGATTAGTGAGTGAATACTCAGGTATCAGAATAGCCCGCTTCCACAACCCAAGCGCCATCCACATAATACCTTGCTGGGAGAGTGGTCGACTATATCCCCAGCAATTTGCAGCGAGGGCGTCTCGGTCCTCATCCAACTGACTTGTCGGGTTCGGATTAAATGAAATAGATTAGTAATTCCGATAGCAAGTAAAGAGGCGAGTTGTTTCTTTGTCTGAAGAACCATTTGACTATCGGTGCGCTGGGCTAGAAAGTAGGCAAGCCGGTGGTCATAGCCCAGAATCGGCAGGGCATCCTTGAAGACGCCAACCTCTTTGTCGCGTAGCCGCAATCCTAGGCGGCCTGTTTCATGAGTCTTTAAGAGCGATTGGTTGGTGAGACGTTCCACCGTGGTCATCAACACGTCTCGCTCTGCGGCTGGCACAAAGCACCGTGCCGCTCGAGGCGGGTCGATTCCCCAGTCGTCGAGCGAGGCCAGGGCCGAGACAAAGCCGGACAGTTGCTCATTGTTGACACGCAGGGGCCGATGGGGATGCACAGCATCCAGGAACTCGTGGAGGGTCGGATGGTCGATGTACACCGAGACTGTTGAGGGGGTTCCCTGCCAGCGATAGGCCCATGCTAACTGCTCTTGCTTCTCCTGCTTGCTCAAAGACAACATGGCCTGGGTTATCTGACGAGTATTCGAGTCAAAAACTTTCTTTGAGCTGGCGGAGCTCAAGACAACATGTATGTGGTCAAAGCCAACAAGGTGAAACGGCGAACGGAACTCCTCCACCTCACGCAAGGCACGACTGGGCAGGGTACCGGCTGTCATTACTCGAGAGATTTGATCGGGGAGCGCCAAAGGATCAACTGTGGCAGCGAGCCAGCCTTTTTCCTTCAAATCGCGTAATAATTCGAGCAGGGCTCCCGTTGGGTGAAAGTAGATGATGATTTGCTGGCCGTTGTTGCGCATAATCTTCGAATTGACCCTCTCGGCAAGGTCAGACTCGTTACCAGACACGACCTGCACCATTTCCTTTCCTTGGGCCTGCGGTAGACCTGGGACGAGGAACCGTTGGGGCTCGGGTATGGCTCGGGACTCCAGGAGCGCAACCACCTCGGGGTAGTATTCCTCAGTCGAGACCGTGAGGATACGCGTTCCAAGGGTGGAAGGCCTAGTATTTGCCCAGTGCGTCACCATGGTCAACGCAAGGGCGCAATCGACTGGCATATGGGGCTCAACAGCCACTATCACAGTCAAGTGATCTGACTGCCAGGCCTCGAACCACGTCTGCGAATCCCATCCAACGCCATCACGACGCCCCTCCTCGAGGAAATCCAGGAATTGTTGGTAGGTGAAAGCCATGAGACGTTCTTGCGAATCCAGATCTTCGGCGGCGGAATTTATGGCTATGAGCTCGCATGATGAGGCAACGACGACGGCCGGTTTCGTGTAGGCGACGCTTGACAGGAGATATTTCCACACGGCGGCATTCTCGAGAGTATGAGGATGGTATTGCGCATGACCGAATCGGACATCCGGGCGCGTGCCGCTTCGGGCCAACCAGGTAGAGATGTCGTTGGCCATGTCGGAATCGGGAGTGGGAGAGCGGGATAGTGAGAAAGCGAGAGGGAGCAGTTTGGCGATCTTGGCTCGAGTAGTCCGCGTTTTGAACTGCCGAAGGCCTGGGAGGAAGTCTTAGAACTTGCTTGATAGCACCTGCCCGTTTCATGAGCGAAACACGGACACTATCAGGGCACTCCAGCTGTCGAGCGTTTGCTTGGGGACCTGATTTTGGATGGGCAAACGAAATACCTCTAAGCAGTCTTTACGGTTCGGATACAATTGATTGAGAGGCGCTGGATTCCATCATGATCCGGCGATCTAATAAACTCTCCGTACCCCTCATGTGGTTCCACGTTCCCCATGTACAGATAGAATAGCATGAACTCTTCAGGTTTGCCCGTCTCCAGGGTCCACTCCTTACTATCGAGAACCGGGTTGGAGGGCATGGGAATCAGATGATGGGCCATGGGACTGTAGGTTCGTACAAAGTCGTGCGGAGCATAGCCTTGGCAGTCTCGCAAGGCTACGATAGCAACAAGGGTGTAGTAGGGGCGGCCCGCAACCTCAGTGTAGGTATGTTGCACCATCGAAGTCTGAAACTGGAACGCGTATGTTCTTGATGGCCGAAAATAGGAAGATGGGACCTCGAGGCTCCCTCATGTACTTGACTCAAATGATGGCCGGTTCATTGCACATGTGCCGGATCGTGGAGCCGCCTTCCAACTCGAAGCTCCCAAAGTGTTCATCCACGTGCTCTTGGAATGTCGGCTCGGGAAAATCTCGAATGGTGGCTATATCGATCTCCATAGGCTCCAGATTGAGGGGCGGCGTATCTGATAGGTACTTCATGACCCAGCCGGATCCATCCTTGAGAAGAGGTTGCTGGTAGAGCCGGTACTCGGGTCGGCACCAAAAAGTCTCCTCCATCAGCTTGGACCCAGCGAGTCTCTCAGAGCTGGTATCGAAGGAGTGGGGTTCACTGGCGTCAAACATGTCGGGCTCATAGGAGATGAAGGCGTCGAGAACCTTCTTCTTAGCCATCGCCCACTGGATCCGGCTCGCTCCAGATGCGTAGGTGTAATGCTGCCAGGCCAGTCGAAGAGCAGGGTTCCGTGCCTCGGCGGCTTCAAGCCGGTTATCAGTCGACGTGTAGATGGAGAGTTTGACACTATAAAGCATCCGAATGACGATTAGAAGGCAGTCCAAGCCAGAAGTGTCGTACCCAACGTCCTCCTCTGAGGAGCTGGGCGGTGGTCGGTTCTGTAGGAGCCAAGTGACGGCCGCTGGGGCCTTCGCCACGTCGTGTAACTTGCAAATATCGTTCTTTGGATCCATACTGGGAGGGTGCGAGAGTAGTAGAGGGATTTGAGATGATGGGCTGGTCTCGTATTGTTTTGACACTTCGTGAGGGGATGATTTATGACCAAGTTGCATCGGTGGACAGAGTCCCTCCGGATCGCGCTGCAACACTGGCAAATAGTGACAGTGAATCACGCACAACATAAGTAATTATATTAACAAAGAAATCAATGGAACCCGGAATTTATTTTTCCATTTGCGGATCACGTCGAAGGAAATATTCCCTTCGAAAGAACTAGGCAAGTTGACGCTGTCCTCTGGATCACCCATGCTTCTGTCTAATGTTGTAAGCCCAACGTGCCATGCCAGCTCTGTAGTTCCCTCCAAAGTCGCTTCCACGCCCGGACCAAATAAACTCACTCAAAAACCTCATCAGCATTCTAGAGAGGCCTCGCCTGACTGATAAGGTGAGTGAAGAGGCTCACTTCCGTCCCCCGCCGGTCCCAGTACTCTGCCACGGTCGAACTAGGGATCTAGGTCCAGTCGCCGACCGAGATTCGACGGCCCTGGCGCGAAAGTTTGTTGAAAACACCCCAGACAACAGTTTCACCATTTGCCTCGTACACCTCGTCAATCTTCACGAACCAGTGAACCCAGTCCTTGAAGTCGACAACACCTATGCCGCTCGCAACAACTTGCCAACCCCATTCGCCATCCATGGGGGAACCCACAATCAATTGGCCGAGAAAGGCCGTGAACAAATGGGTCTGCAGCTCTACACAGCCAGCCCTGTCGAGTTCACCGGTCTCATCCGCGGTGGGAACGTCGATCAACCCAATGTGTAGTTTTGCCAAGGCCCTGGTGAGTCTCTTGATGGTGTTGGCGACCTTGGTGGACTCCATCAATGAGACATGAACTGAGGTCCCAAACACTGGCACATGTGTCAGGTTAGTAATCATTCCCTCGTGGAAGTCATTGAGATGCTTCGCGGCCAGCTTCCATAGCCCCAGTACCATCCACATGGTACCTTGCTTTGCGAGCGGTCGTGTGTATCCCCAGCATTTCGCAGCCAAGGCGTCAAAGTCGTCACCCATATCCGCAGGCAATTTCATCAACTCTAAAGCTTCGACGGTGAGGATTGATGCGAGTTGGAGCTTTGACTGTCGAAGAATCACGTTGTCGGTATGCTGAGCGACGAAGTAGGCAAGCCGGTGGTCGTAGTCTAGAATGGGGAGGACGGCCTTGAAAACCTCAGCCTCTTTGTCGTGTATTTGCAAGCCCAGGCAACCTGTCCCTTGGACCCGTCTTAGGAGGCCTTGATCGATGAGACGCTTCACCGTGGTCATCAGTGCGTATTCCTCCATGTGCGGTACAAAGCACCCTGCAACCTCGAGCGCGTCGATTCCCCAAGCCTCAACCCCGGCTAGGGCTGCGATGAAGCCTCCCAAATGCTCATTGCTGATCTGTAGACGCCGTAGACGAGTTCCTGCCTCCAGAAACCTGGTAACTGGGCGGTCGATATATGGGCGGTCGATATAGACCGTGACGCTCGAGGCTCCCTGCGAGCGATGCGCATACGCCAACTGTTCCTTTCTCTCCTGCTTGCTCCTCTGGGCCAGGGTCGAGGTCAGCTGGCCAGTCACTGCGTCAAAAACTACCTTTGTAGAGGTAGAGTTCGCAACGACATGGACATGATTGAATCCTGTCAGGGGAAATAGGGAGCGGATCGGGTCTTCCACGTGCAAGACACGACACATAGCTTCCTCAAAAGCCGTTGATACCAGCTCCATGGAATTAGTGTGTGTCCGGCGATGAATGGCCGTAACGGGCCACCCCTGTACCTTCAAAGAAATTGCAAGGTCCTTCAAAGAGCCATCCGAGGCGAACAAGACGACAATCTGACTGCCGTCTTGACCCGCAACATTTGACTTGACCCTCTCCACAACGTCTGAATGCTCTCCGGTGTCTGTTTTCACCCTTGGGGCACCCCGTTGCCGCGCAATGTCGAGGGTGAATCATCTGTTCTTTATTATAGTTGCAGCCCGGCCCTTGATGGGTTAACTGAGCCCGAAGATCGTCGAGGGTGAATCGTTCCGGCTCAGGCATGGACTTCGACCTGACGAGCGCAGCCATCTCGGGATGGTCGTGGGAAGTAGAGACAGTGAGGACACGCATCGAGAAGCCAGAAGGTCTACCAGAGGCCCAGTTAACAACCATGGTTAACGAAAGAGCGCAATCCGCCGGCATGTGAGGCTCCACAGCCACCATCACGATCAAGCGATCCCTTTCGGAGATCTTTGGCCAGACTTCGGGACCTCTTCCAGCACCACGGCGCTCCCTCTTCACGAAATCCAGGAACTCTTCGTAGCTCAAAGCCATCATCTCCTCAAGACTCAAAGACTTGCCACTGGCTCGAATAACCGGAATCTCGTAGGGTGGGGCGACGATAAGGATGGGTTCTGTCGGGTCGATTGTGTCGAGGAGATGGTTCCAGACGGTAGCATTCGAGGGAACGTTGGCCAAGTACTGAGCATGACCGAATGCGTTATCAGGCCCTGTGTCGCTCTGGGTGAGCCAGTTGGACATATCTTCAGCCATCTTGGGGGCGATCTTGTGGGGGGGTGATGCGCGCGGTGAGGATGGTGAAGATGGTGAAGATGGTGAAGCTGAGTTACAAGTCACTCAAGGTAAACAAACAAAAGTGCTACTCGGAATCTCAAGTGGAACAAGTAAATTCCGGACACGGCCGTTCTTTGTGGTTCCACGTTGTTCGTTATTCACCCTTAGCTGTTTGCCAGTGATGAGCGGCTGTCAATAAAGACCAGCCTTAGGCAATCGAAAACACAAACAAAAGCGCTCACCTTCTAAATTTCCTTCCTTTATTTGAATCCTCAATCTTGCCTTGCTACATCGCGATTGAGAGCCTGCCTGCTACCCTCACCTCGTATGCTCCCCTTTCTACTTGAATAGCTTCTCACTAACCCCGGAGACAGGCGCCTTCTATACGCCATACGACCATGGCCGACCGCCATGAGAAGCCGTCCGCCCAGGAACCAACGAACGAGACCCCCCAAGCCTCCCCCAGCCTCCGCCATCGACCGAGAAACCCGCTGAGAAGGCTACCGCGCCTGGCGAGGGCACCCACCCAGAGCAGAAAGACTGAAGGATATGGACAAGGGTGCTTGGAGGAATGATACCGAGGACAGTTGTGTTGAGGTTAGATGAGGGGTCCAGAGGAACGCGTCAACTTGCCTAGCTCTTTCGAATGGAATCTTTCCTTTGACATGATCCGCAAGTAACCATCATAAACCACTCTACCTGTTTTTCGCGCTCTGTTTGCTTCACCCAGGCTCTCACGACGTTGCTTATACAGCGACAAGGCCAGAGTCATCATCGTTACTAGTCTAGTCTTGAGACTTCTTTAACTCCAGTCAAGCCCTCAGGTTGGTTGCGGTGTCTTGTGGCTATTGGGGTTTGATGGTATCATGTGTTAGTAACCATGTGTTCTTTGATGTTGTACTAGATGCATCCCTTTGAGGAGGTTAATGATGCCTACCAACCACTAACCTTTACGACATGTCACGACAGATTAACTCAGGTATCACGGTCAAGACCAGACAGCATGAGTCTCACACACTTCCATTCCATTCATTGTCCTACACAAATTGCCAATTCTTGATGCCATGACTTCCCCACGCACTTGCCACCCAAATATCATTCCAAGCTCCAGTCAACCTTATCATCACCCAGGTTGCTCCCTGCATCCGACTCCTCCAGCCCATCCTCTTCACCCCCAGACTTTTCATCCCCAGACCCATCCTCAGTGTCGGTGGTCTCACCACTCTTGGTCTCCTCAGGCTTGGTCCCCTCAGCCGCGGGCGCGTCTTCCATCTGGACATCCTTGGTCCCTCCCTGGGTGGAGCCTGCCTCCACAGCTGGACTGTCCTCGTCCTCGTCGAAGATTTCGTCAAGGAGGTCGTCGATCTCGACCTCAGTAGACGGCCCCTTGTTGACTGCGGCGGCGGCAGCAGCACCTGGTACCCGGGCTGCAGGATTGTCTTTGATAATATCCTGGGCCAGGGCGCGAACGGCTTGGATCTGCTGGGCCTGGACCTGCTGGGCCTGGACTGGTTGGGCCTGGGATCTTGGGAGGCGGGTGGGGTAGGTCTTGCTGGCAGAATCCCAGTCCCTGGTGGCTGGGTCCGCAGGCAGACGAGCACCCGTGAAGCCATCCTCATCCAGCTTTCGCTGGTACTCCTGGATCTTGGCCTCGCCTTGTTGCAGAGTAAACTCCGGTGTCCAGGGAAGTCTGGGGTCTCTCCTGCGTCGCCGGCCCAAAGAGTCTTGCTTGGCCCTCCACTCACAGAAAACAGCAGCCCAGTGGAACTCCATCTTCTTCGTCGCAAAAGCTGGCATGTGGCCACGACCCGTAACCAGGAACCGGAATCTGTTGTTGATGTCCGTCAGCTTGGGGCAACCATCAATGTCGTGCTCGATGGTGTTGCACTTTGGGCAACCTTTCATCAAGCCATTGGGTGCCGTCTTGAGACAATTGAAGAGCTCGTGAGTCTTGGAGCCACAGCCACCACACTTGACCTCGGGCTTTGGGGGCTTGACGCGCTCATCCGCAGCCTCCTCCTGCTCTCTGGCCAGGGCCTCCGAAGTCTCTCTCATCTCAATGTATTTCCCCTCTCGAGGAACCCTCACCCCGGATCCGCCGCTGACAACCGTGAGGCCAGACTTCTCGGGCTGCCTCGGGTTCCGAGAGATGAAATCTGTCCTGGCCTTGAAAATAAAGCCAGCTATCTGGTCAGTCTCATTCTCGCCAATGCTCGCCTGTACGAGAAGCCCAGCGGAGTAGAGCGTCTCCATGGTGCCCTGGAACGAGAGGGAGTCGGGGACCAGCTCATCGGTGGCCGAGATGACGTTTCTGACTGGGCCACCTCTCTTGTTGTGAAACCCAGAGCCCAGCGTCTGACCCACATTGTTCGTCAAGGAGCGAAGCTCCAAGCTGTTCGGCGGAAGAATGGTAGGGCCAAGAGCATCACCACCTGGCCTGGCTTGGACCTGGGAGTGGGAGCTACTAGAGCCTCCCAGCGTAGATGAGTTTCGGCCGGCCTCGCCCGAACCGCTCACTACATCTCGCATGTCCTCCTTGTCCTTGCCAGCCTGGGATTTGTTCTCTCCTTTACCAGGCATCGTGCGCGCGCGTGTGTGTGTGCGTGTGTGTCGTTCGTGTGTGTGTGCGCGCGCGGGCGGACGGGTTTGTATTTGAGAGAGAGAGAAAGAGAGAGAGAGAGACTGCGTGCGAAAAAGGACAGGTTCGCGTTGTTGATGCCTTGAAGAAGCCCGAGCTTGACAGTGCTTCGCAGTGTTCGCAGTGCTTCGCAGTGTCAGCTAAGCTTGGGTCCGCCCTGGCCCGTAAAAGACACAACACACCCGACCCTGAGCGCAAACTTAGGCTCCTAAACCTTATATTCAATTTATCTTGCTTGCATTTAGTCTCTCAGAGCCGTGGGCGCGTCAGCGCGCACAAAATTGCCTTGTTCCATTGGAGGCTGTATGCCATGGATCGATCAAAGGATGGTTTTAAGTATCCTTAAAGCATACTCACAGAACGTCATAGCCTCAACAAAACACAATCACGCATATTCAGAACCAAGTCCAAGTATAACAAATTCTTAGTTTAGTTATAGGGCTTCTCATAATCTAGCTGCTATCACTGGTGGTTAAACATGTTTATTTCTCCACGGACCTTTCTCAAAGTGCCCTCCCTAATATTAGCATCCCATCCCCTCTGGTGCTCTCATAGTCGCACAAGATCTAGCATGCCCATTTCTATTCTGTTGATGGGTCTTTAGCATTTAATAGCAATTGTGTACCTATAAACCAGCTTTGGAGCGGGTCCGCAGGTGTCAACTTGTGTTGTCGTCCCCCCACGATTCCCTCCACATGTCACTCACCTTGGTACCTACTTACGGAGATGGAACCTGTGGTCTTACAACATTGTGAGTTTCTAATATTGACAAAATCATTACTCGCTCTATTGCTCCTCGTCGCCCTCCTCCAATGGCCCCCCTTTGTTAGCCTCCGCTGCCATTCCATTAACGATCTTGCACAACACCTTCGGACAAGACCCGCCATGAACGAGTCGATCCTCCTCATGATGTAAGAATACTGAGATGACAGTGTTGGAGAGAACATATTCTTCACTTGATCCCAGGCGCTGGGCGGAGAGGGTAACAGTCGCAATGCTGAGTCCTCTGCCCAGCGGTGCTAGAGGAAGACGAGGGAGTAAAGGGAGATGTATTTGGCAATATCGCGAATCTGAAATGACGCTTCCAGCTAATTCGGGTCTCTTAATTGGCTTCCATCGGTGTCCGCTCCTTTGTCTGCTCGCTCAGAAGTTATCATTCTCATCCTTTGGTGGTTGGGCCTAAGTGCCTCAAGTTGCAACAGCCCCATCATCGCCTCTGGACCCATGCTGAAAGCTGAATCCATATTCAACCAGCAAATAACGATGGCGACAAATGAGAGGACTCTAAGATGATTAAAAGGTGCGTTTGTCTTAGTTAGTTATGGATCATCTGAGATACCATCAGCGGCCAGCCTGCCGCCCCCTGGTGCACATCGGGAAACACCTCGCAGAGTCTAGCCTCACCAGACCATCATACCGATCCATAGCGACACGAAAGACAACCTCCGCCACCACTCTTCCACCAAACCAGTCGCCCCTATTGACTTGCGGAGACCCTTTTAATGGTTCCCCGTCTTAGTTGTATGCCAGGCCACGATCCACGATCAGGCGGCGCTCCGTTTCGCTCCGTTTCGCTCCTTCGTGCCCTTACATACACAGGTACCATCTCGCCTGTCCTCTTTCTGTCACTTCCACTCCCTTGCCCTCCATGACGGGTCCATCCCATCTGGCCTGCTAAGACAGGTTGGTCAGTTGGGATATGTCGTGGTATCGACGACGTCCTCCTCCGAGGCCGGGGATCCCTTGGAGCTCTGGTCATCCGAATCGTAGGGGTCGTCGGTGATCATTTGAGTGTTTTGGTTCAATGCCGCACTCCAACGTTCCTAGGCTTCCCATACAGAGTCATCCTGCATTCCTTCCCAAGTCCAGGCCAGTTCTTCTCGGTCAAAGACGAAGCCCTCCACCTGTCCTCGCTGAATCCGCTCAATCATCATGCTCAGCCGTGCCTCATTCAGCCTCGCAATGGACTCCCGGGCACGCAGGCTGAGAAAAAAGGCGAGCGGCTGCGGTAGCATGTGTTGGGGCAACAAGGGTTCCCGAGAAGGCACATTGTGTCCTGAGATTGACTCCCCTAGAGTCGCCGAGGCATCCTCTCCGTCACGCTGATGAAATGGAAGGTGAGGGCGGATGGCTTCTGGGTTTCCGTTGGAGTAAGTCGAGCAAGATGGCTGGTCCAAAGGGTTCAGATTTCGGGGTTGGACGATGTTGTCCAAGTCGTGGAGGTTTTCTTGGGAACCAGAGAGTGTTGCTGCTTCGTCGCGGAGGGCGGTCCGGGGTCTCTTGGGGTCTGGTTCGGGCGGAGAGGGCGTTTCCGGTCGCTTTCCGTTCGGGCGACGATCGAGGACTCGCCTCCTGAGTCAGCCATGAGTACCAGTCGGTCGGGTAAATGGTTTGATGCTGGGTGTGGTTGATCAGAAGATGCGAAAAGAAGGGCGAGGTCAGGGTAAGGGTGGTAAAGCAAGGTTCGGCGGATCGAGGGAGAGAGACAGGAACGGTCGTGAAGCTTCACGGAGTGAGAAATGAGAGAGGGCGGGCGGTGCAAGGGAGAGATGTTTTATTTATTCCTTCGTCAACAGGCTCAAAAGCCGAGCGAGGCAACAAAGCCAGTGCAGTGTCAAACAACACCAAGGTGCAAACTAATGCTCGCCCCTCCAAAAAACCCTCCACCAGTAGTGTTTTCTTGTGGCAGGCAAGATCCCACCGGGAATCATAGTGTCTCAGGGACGAGAAAAAGGAGTATGCCTCCTCAGGAACCTCGAAGGGTCAATTAATCGTCTTCTATAGCTCTCAGGTACCCGGTCTATAGTAAAAATACTTTCAAGTAATCGATATGGATCATCAAGTTCCGAGACTCGGCCTCGAAGTCATAAAGCGCAGGTTGTGACGGGAGCACGCGTTTGGAAACCCAACAGACCACGTGTGGATGAGAACGAGCTCAGCAGCTGGACCCAGGCGGCGAGCTACAGTCTCTCGTTCAAGTGGACGACTACTCATCGTAGGTAACTTGCTCAAGACGGAGCCGGAGAGGATCCAAACACGCCCATCGGAGGCCTCCGATCGATGTGCTAAGCTCGACAAACGGAGATGTGGTAATCGGGCTCATCTACCTACCAGCTGCCAAGCGATGGATCCCATGCAGCGGAGCAAGGGGTCAGCTCACGATGGAACAATGGATTCATCCGATTATCAAACAAGGCGCTCAAAGAGCCGCACCAGCATGTTCTGGACCCGTGCTAAACCATCAATGTATCCAATCAGTGATTGCTAATACTGGGGGCACTGTCATGGATCCAAGTGAAGCTGTTGGTCCCAGAAGCCACTGCCGACCTGGTCACACTTTAAGACCGGTCCGTACGGTCGGCATTTTGACACCCTTCGGCCGAAACCTCATCCCGGGCATTTTCTATTGTTCCGATTGGTGAAAATACTCATTTCATGCCGACTGAGGCAATCCTTTGAACACAAGATGTACAGCCAGGATCTCCATGGTCTGAGAACCAACAGTCAACAGCACATGCATCATCATCTAAAGCCTTGGTGATGATGCAGAATTCACCGACATGAAATCACCGATACGCAGGTAGAATTCGCAATTGACCGGCTATGGCCCTGCTTTTAAAGAATAATTACCTTCCACTGAATTGACCTGTTCGAGGATGCATTCCAACATTCACCTCACTCCCAGCAGTCATCACCAATCACCAATCCCATCATGGCGCAACCAAGAGTCCTCATCTGCGGCGCTGGCATCGCCGGCCAAGCCCTTGCATTCTGGCTCTCAAAATCACATTTCAACGTCACAGTCATCGAGTGCTTCTCCGGCCTACGCTCCACAGGCCTTCAGCTTGACCTACGCGGACTTGGCATCGAAGTCATGAGGCGCATGGGTCTAGAGGAGGCATTCCGGGCAAAATCCGTCAGAGAACAAGGCTTGGAAATTGTTGACACTTACGACAAACGATGGGCATATTTCCCAGCGAACAAGAGTGGCAAAGGCCTTCAGGGATTTACCACCGACTTCGAGATTATGCGAAAAGACCTCTGCGAGATCTTGCATGAATCGACTAAGCCCCGGGTCAAGTACGCATTTGGCACTACTATCGAAAGCTTCACGCAACATGACAATGTTGTTGATGTCATCTTTTCAGACGGAAACAAGGATCAATTCGATCTCATCGTCGGCGCTGACGGCCAGGCATCGCGCACTCGAAAGGCCATGCTCGGGGCTGATGCTGAGGATCCTACTCACTACCTGGGTGCCTATATCGCCTACTTTACCATTCCTCAGCCAGTCGAAAAGGGAAAAGACTACAATGCTCGGTTCTATCTTGCCACCGGAAAGCGCTTCATCTTCACCAGGCGCAACGAAGATTTCAGGGTCCAGATTTACATGGCTTACAAGACCGACACAGAGTGGATGAAGGATATCCGCAAGGGTGATACTGGGAGGGAGAAACATGCGTTTTTGGACATGTTCAAGGGGGCAGGATGGAAAACAGATACCATACTGAAGGAGATGATGGCCACAGATGACTTCTACTGCGAGCGCCTCGGCGTTGTTGAGCTCGATGCCTGGTCTGACGGTCGTGTAGCTCTTGTCGGCGACGCTGCTTTTTGCCCTTCAGCATCTACAGGCATGGGAACAACATCAAGCATGGTGGGAGCCTATGTCCTGGCTGGAGAACTCGACAAGCACTGCCGCGAATCTGGAAAGCGTGGTATTCCAACGGCACTCAAGGCTTACGATGAAACGTTCCGACCCTTCATGAATCAGGTCCAGCGAGGCTTGACCCAAGGCGATTCTTTCTGGGGGAGACTGCCGACCTCCTCGTTTGGTGTCACTGTTGCCAACGTCTTCATGTGGTTGGCCATGTTGTTGAGGTTGGATGTCATTGGCAAAAGAGTTCTCCGAGAGGATGTCGGGACATGGAAACTTCCAGACTATGAGACGATGGTAAAGGGGACTGAGTAGATGTGATTCAAACTTTAGACACAGGCACAACCTAATGGGAGATAGTCATATAGCATACACCGTTCAATTCCACCAATATGGGAAATATCTACATAAACCGTCACTCTTCTTCCCATTCTCCGCAAGAATACAAGGACCAGATCCTAATATATCCAAACGGGAGTCCAAGTACTCGACAGAGCGTGAATCAGACAGTCTCCTTGGTAGGCTGCTCAACACCGTGGGTGATGACACCAAGCTTCTTCTGCTTTCGCCACTCCTCAGCGTAGCGAACACCAAACCCGTGCTCAAAGACAACCCGAATCTCCTCGAGAGTCATTCCTGCGGCTTCGGGGTAGCAGAGATAAACAAAGATGAATCCAACGGTCGAGAGAGCCGCGTAAAATCCAAAGGTTCCAGAAGGCGAGATTCCACGCATCATGGATAGGAAAGTCGAGGAGACGATGATGTTAGGACCCCAGTTGCAGATGTTGATCATCATGGTTCCTATAGCACGCACTTCCATGGGCAAGAATTCGTTGGCCTGCCATGGCACACATCCGAGACCAGCCGCGTAACAGGCCACGAAGAGAATCATAGAGACCAATACGACAATAGCAGGCCATCCAATGGTATCATCTGTGAGTTCGAGCGTGTCTCGGTCGATCGGAATTTTAACGAAAACGCCGGCGGCGAGAACGAGGAAGACGGGCATTCCCCACATGGTCCAGAGCAAGAGTCTGCGTCGTCCAACCCTGTCGATGAGGAAGATGGAAAGGAACGTAAAGATCCAGTTGGTGGCTGTGACGATGGTTCCAACGGCGATTGGGTTATTGAAGCCGACGATCTGGAAGAGGGTGCTCGAGTAATACATCAGCGTGTTGAAGCCGCAGAGCTGCTGAGTAGCCATGAGACCGCATGCCACGATGGCCGCTCGTCGATTCGCCGGAACCTTGACAAGACTCTTGAGAGACTGTCGGACTGAAACCTCTTCGTTAAGAGCCTTTGCTTGTGTAACGCCCTGCTGAATATGGGCCACCATCTGTGAAACCTGGGTTTCATCGGCCGCAGGATACATGCGTCGCAGAACGCTGACACATTCTTCGGTCTGGTTGTGGAAGAGCAGCTGACGAGGCGATTCGGGGCACCAGAAGAGGAGGGTACCGAGCAGAATCGATGGGATTCCTCCGAGACCGACCATGTATCGCCATCCATGAGGCACCTTGTAAAAGGCTGCGTCGAAGCCATATGCGAGGAGGGAACCGGTTCCAAGAAAGACCATGTCGATGGAAATCATTCGACCTCGATATTTGGCGGGAGAGATTTCTGCAATGTACAACGGAATGATCTATTCTGTTAGGGACGAAGAGACAATGGGTAAAAGACATACCATGGAGGCTGAACCAACACCAAGGCCAACGAGGATTCGACCAACGCACATCTGAGCAAGAGAGTACGAAGTTGCTTGGACAAGGGCTCCTACGGTGAAGAGCACCGAAGAGAACCAAATGGCAGGCTTTCGTCCATACTTGTCAGCTGTGACACCAGCGATAATGGCACCGAACAAAGCCCCAGCAGCGCAAAGCGCCGTGATGAGCTCCTTTTCCCAATGGTCAAGCAACCGTCCATTGAGGTCTGTTCCAAGGACAACGAGAACACCAGAGATGACTCCAGTGTCGTATCCAAAGAGCATACCACCTATGGCGGTTGCGACGACGCAGAGGTTTAAAAAGAGTCCAGGGGTGGAGTCTTCAATAAAGTCCTCCCCTCCCTTCGGGTCGTTGTCTTCGACATGGGAGTGAGCGGCAGCAGCCACAACTTCGTCTTTTCCTGCCATATTGAACGAATAAGGAAGTATTGTGCGGGATGTGTTTGCGGGGATGGTGAGCAAATCTCCAACGTGATACCGTCGTCGGGGTTTTATACCCAAAGCGGTGCTCTTCACTGTGAGGCGATAAACGGCTGCATCAGCTCACATTACATGAACTCCAAGGACTACCTAGCCAGAAATTCTAATAGTTCGGATATTGTCCCGGCCAATGGACAGAGACGTGATTCAAGACGGCCCACCCGTAGAGTCTGGGGTTGAGCGGAGAACTGGAGCACTTCGTCTCCCCATGGGGTTCCGTGTTAGCGTGACTAGCACTTGAGAGTGTGGAGGTGAGCGATTATGGCTGGGTTTGGGAAGTGTATCCGAAGATGAAGCAAGTGTATCCAGGGGTTTGAGACTTCATGACTCGTTGGGCTGAGATTGAGTCAGGCAAGTCTGTCCTTAACAATAGCAAGTCTTTCCGATCCCCCATGACCCACTCACGGCCGCAGGGACCATGTCAAACCCCGCACGAGGCGTCTTAGCAGAGTAATTCTATCCCCCCTCTCAGCAAGTCTTTCCGGACTTGGGGCAAGTCCTCCACCATCGTCGCGAACTGTCAACTCGCAAACTCCAGTGGCGCTCAAGATTCACGATCACTTCGGTAAAGATGGAGACCAATTCTGCAGAACTGCCGCTCAAGATGCAGATCCGACCCGAGGAATTGACATAAAGGCACCAGGCCTTCGCATCGTTTGACACACTACAATCAACAACAAACTCATCGACAATCATCAACAATGGCTCCTCAGAAACTCAAGATTGCTGCTGCTGGCCTCGGCCGCATGGGCAAGCGACATGCCATCAACTTTCTCAACCGCACTCCCCGCGCTGAGCTCGTCGCTGCCTTTACTCCTGACCCTGAGGAGATGGCTTGGGCCAAGGTCAACCTTGAGCCCCATGGAGTCACTTTGTACGATGACTACCAGAAGATGATTGAGCAGCCTGGTCTTCAGGCTGTCGTCATTGGTACTGCTACGTCTGTGCACGCAGAGGAGGCTATCCAGGCCATGCAGAAGGACCTCCACGTCCTGTGCGAGAAGCCTCTCTCGACCAGCATTGAGATTGTAAGTACCATCTACCTCTACCTTAACTAAGCTAACCTGTCAGTGTCGCGATGTTGTGAACGAGGCCAAGAAGCGCCCTCACCTCAAGGTCATGTGTGGCTTTTCCCGACGATTCGATCAGTCCTACCGCGATGCCCACGAGAAGATGGAGCAGGGTGCCATCGGCCGGCCTACAATCATCCGAAGCCAGACTTGTGATAAGCACGACCCTTCAGGCTTCTTTGTCGCCTATGCTGCCTGGTCTGGTGGTGTCTTTGTCGACATGTCTGTTCACGATATCGACCTGACGCTCTGGTTCTTTGGCGACGATGTCATTCCCAAGAGTGTCTCCGCCCATGGTGTCCGTGCTGTTCAGCCCGACCTCGGAAAGTACAACGATTACGATAACGCCGTCGGCATCGTCGAGTTCTGGGGTGGCAAGATCGCCTATTACTATTGCTCCCGAATGATGGCCCACGGACAAGAAGATACCACCGAAATCATCGGCACTGAGGGCAAGCTGACGGTCAACGGAAACCCCCAGTCCAACCTGGTCAACTACTACCACTCGGGCGGCATCACCCGCGAGGTGCCTGCCCACTACTATGGCCGTTTCGAGATGGCCTTTGTGCAAGAGTCCAACGAATTTGCCGAGGCTTGCCTCGACAACAAGACTCTTCCCCTGAAGCTCACCAACGCTGTGCGGGCTGTTGAGATCGGTGCTGCTCTGCAGGAGGCCCTGGTCAGCGGAAAGCAGATTCGGTTCGATGAGGTTGGCCGTCGCATTGAGGAGACCAAGCTGTGATAGACATGAGACACTTAATAGCAAAAGCGTGAATGAGAAAACATTTTATTCTCTAGTATCTTGTATCCATTGTTCTTGCAGTGATGAACGTAATGGGGATGTGTTCCAACCTGTCCTTTGTTGTACGTGGTCCAGAAAGCTGAGCACCATATCTTGATCGTCTTTTTCGGCAAAGACGCCGCCCCCTGTGACTGTTAAGTATGATTTAATCAACAAGCGATATCAACTTACAAACTGAAAGCGAGTGTCGTGCCGTAAAGAGGGCGTTTTCTGCTCTTGCGTGGGAGTTGGCCAACGCTATTACCTGAAGCAGGTGGTTTCGTACGATTTGCTACCACCGTCAGATTCTATCATTTTTATGCCCATTTGAACTAACCTCAACCCGTTTTCCTTGCCGAATATGCTCAAGCACGGAAGATGCTACAATCGGCGTAGACATGGCGAGGATGATATTTGCAATATGGTAATATTGCAACCCGACAGCTTAATGGTCAGCCAAAGTAACAATATTTGAAGGGTACCAACCGTGGAAGGGTGAAAGAACCCATATTTCTGGCAGCAGCCGCCCTTCCTCTCTGTTCCTCTTTGCTTCGTGGATGGGGTTGAACGCTGGTGACTTCAATTCGAACCAGCTATCCACCTCCCGGCGAATCTCTTCCAGGCTATCCGCCGAGCAAGGCTTGTCTGATGAAAAGGCGCAAGCAAGTGCTTTTGCTAGCAGAAAGACCATCTTGTTGGAGTAAGCCGCGTCGTCCATGCGTTTGAACACGTCTGACTGTAGATACGTGTCCAAGTCTGATCGTAGCGGCCTTTGCTTCGTCAATGAGATGTAAATATCTTGTCGAAGACATAACCAGGCGGCGGCTTCACCGAGGCCTCCATTAAAGTCAAACACAGACATGGAGTTGACGATTCTTGAGGTGCCATTGAGGTGTAGCTCCTTGTCATCCGCTGCAAGAGTCAGTCTTGTTCTGGTCTTGATCTAAAGCACTAACCGTCCATCTCCTCGTACTGCCGCAGAATTGCAATAGCGGCGAGCGTCTCTTCATCAACAGGTCCATTCTGCTCAGCCACTGCCTCGATCAGGAGGCTCAAGCATCTATCATAATACTCCAGTGCCTCTGTGGTAGTGTCCGACATGTTTCGGTTCAGGTGTCTTGAGGAGAAGGCAAAGACCGCGTATCGTAGCACAGGAAAGTACATGGATCGCCGAGGAACCTCGATTTCAAAGTGTCGACGCAAGTCAGTTGCATCGGCCCACAGAGCCATGTTCTCGGTGAAATTCCGAATAAGAATAGCTTCTCTAGGAGTAAAGGGCATAGCAGGACGTGATGACGGTGAACATGGAGAAAGGTCGAGTGAGGAGCTGTCTCGGAGATGTCGGGTTCTGTATCTTGATTCTGAAATATCCGAGCCATTCGTTTCAGGCGACACCATCATGTGTGGGGATGTGTGAAAGGCAGGTGACCTCTCAACCGGTGCGTCCATGATTGGAAGATCGAAGCTGTACTGAGCAGAATCTGCTGCTGGGGGCTCGACTCTGGGAGATCTTAATACCTGAGCCATGGCATCGGGAGACTTACATACGGTTCACGGTCCTCGGTTTCGTAGATCTGGGACAACTGAGCGGTCTCATCACAGTATTCCACTTGAAAAGTCAGCTCGTCCACCAAGAGAAATTCTCACGTACAATTGCTCTCTGGTTGAACCCAGACCTGGTTGTCCGAGAAGGCAAATTCATCGGTAGAATCAAGGCCGCTCCGGAACCGAACCTGCAAAGTACGAATACACTGAATCCCTGCTTTCACACATGAAGTGCATGCAGGCATGTTCTTGTCGCCTAATATGGTCACCCCTGGTCTTGGTCGAGTGATCGGAGAACTCACACCTAACATGACGAGCTGGGAGAGTCAGTCGCGTCTCGAGAAGGGAGGGGCATCCATACCTCGACAAGCAGTGCTAGTCACGTCAGCATAGCACACAATTCTTGAACCGATGCTTACCATCCTACCGCGACTCGACTCGTCCTCCTGGGCGCGCGATCCCCAGGCTCCATTGTTGTTGAGCTCAAGCCTATGACAAGAGTAGTGGCAAGAAACTGCGGGGAGTTTGATGAAGCATCACGTGCGGAGTTGAACAAATTACCCCGCACTTTGCGGGGAACGGGAAGCCCGAATTACTTGCTTTTTAAGTCAAGGCATGGAAGAACCCTGACAAAAGGACAGAGGCATCATTGGATCCTCTTCTAAGAATAGCAATTAAGATATGACAAGAACAATAAAAGAATAAGTAAATACTATGTATATATGGTCTCTTACTAGGATGTATTTTAGTAGATTTTATGTAAATATCTTTATACTATTCCAGAGGAGCTAGCACGTGCCCGTCTGCTCATCGCTCACTCCCTACTTGCCTACCTACCTTATCTGACTGTCCTGATCCGAACGTACAAGCTCAAGGTTGCTCATAATAAAAATCATATCATATTCAACTCTCTGATAAGTTCTTGAACTAAATTTGAAAAGTCTCCTCCTGAAAACGCGCATTCGATCGTAGAAATGTCAATGACGTAGGCCTCAAGGACCATTTTCAATTCGACTTTCTGGTCCAAGCCAATATCAAGAAATTTCAAAGTTTGGCTACCGGTTCTTCAGTTAAGTGAGGCCATATGAGACAGACTACTCTTGGTGCAAGGCTGGGTTATCGCCCTCCTTTGGCATTGGAACGAACAACCAGGTGACAGCCGTGGCGGTCAGCAGCCCGCACAAAACGGGCTGCAAGACGGCAACACCAGCGCTGGCTGCAAAGAGACCCGTGATGATGGGAAATAGGCAACCTCCGAGTTGTGCAAAGACAAAGACAAATGACAGAGCCGTTGACCGGATCCGAGGAGCAAAGAGCTTTGAACCAACCGAGATGCCCTGGTGCTATCAGCAACAGTAATCGCGTAAGGTGTATTGAAACAACTCACCGTAGCGAAGTAGGGGCCCATGAAGAAGCCCAGCAAACTGATAGCAATTGAAGCCGCGATGATGTTGGGGACACTGCATGGTTAGCCGCAGTCATACGTCAGACGAGAAACTTACAGCCAAAACAAAATCTGAAGACCAATGCTGATGATAGTGAAGCCGAAAATCATCCTCCGGACCCCAAAGCGGTGCGTTGGTTCAGCCAGAAACAATCTTCCAAGTAGAGATCCTCCACTGAAACCCGCAGGAACAAAACCCATCTGGTTGATGTTTCCATCGCGAACGGCAACGAGATACTCAACAATCCATCCGCTAGCCGTGAGAGTAGCGCCAAGGAAGAAGAAGAAGAAGAGGCTAATCAGCCAGACACTCTTAGTCCTCAGCGCCTCCTTCATCAGGAGGAAGGCATCCTCACTTCTTGAAGCAGGGGTCTCGTCATCAGCTTCCAGTGTCCTTTCTGTGACGGGCTGCTTTCTCTTGATTCCCATCGTGTCCCAGAAAGCCACTGCAACAAGGGCCATGTTGAGAACTCCAATTCCTAGAGGGAAAATGTAGAAGAGATACCATCGCGATACACTTCCGGCTGAAGCAACACCGGTCGCCACGAATGGTCCGACAAGGCAACCAGCCATGTACATTGCATGGATGAACGCGAGCCATCGATGCGATCCTTTTACGCCCGCAACAAAGGTGTTTCCATGTGTATCCTGGTAAGCCTGGCCAAGACTAGCCAGCATAAAAGTGATAGTGAACAGGGCAAAGGGTGGTCGCCAGGCCCGTAGAGCATGAGCCAGCACCTGCAATCCAGCACCCAGAGCGAGCATAGCACCTAGATCAAGGATTTGGCACAGATGCGTATTTGAAAAGGCGGCGAGAAACCAACCCATAAAGTTAGCTCCGTAGCTGCAACAGTTAGCTTTGTCATGGCACACAATCGCTCAACTCACACAGATGATACAATGGCCGTGGTAACATTGTAATCTCGGATCACATGGGGGACAAGGGCTCCAACGCTGCCATCATTCACTCCGGCGACAAAGAAGGAGAATGCAACGCTCATGATCCTAAGCAGATCCGCTTTGCTAGGTTTGTCCGACACATGCTCGGGTTCAGGGTCGTGGAGCGAGTTCCTGGGGCTCTCGTGTTGGCTCTGCAGCTCAAAGGTCGCAGGGACGCTGCTGGTCTCTGTCTGCGTCACGGTCGCCATTTTGACAGAACCTAAGGTGCAGCAAAAGAGTTCGGAAGTCAGACAAGTCCATGATCATGTTATATTTATTACTTTAAACGGGAAATACTCGGTTACACGTCGGTTACGTCTCCATTTAGTGCAGATCGAGCGTTCACGCGGCATCACGAAATCCACAACACCATGACCAAATTGGGGAACGTCGGGCCGCAATGGCTGAACCACGGTTAACAGCGTGTCCTGGATGTAAAGACAAGAGGACAAAATAAGGTAATGGAAAACGGGCCGTTCCCCGGTTCAAGTATCCGCCTGACCTCGTTCCATCTGGCATGACGGTAGGGATGATAAGATCAGAACCCCTATTGTGGGGTGATTCCATCTCCATTTGCGGGCCATGTCAGGGCAAGGCCTTATTTCCTAACCTGGTAGTAAGGGAATCCCAATTTTTGTGGCTACCCTATACTGACGCGTTTTTCGTATTCAACGTGATTAACGCGCTTTAAACTCAATCGATCTTGGAGTAAATGCATGCAATACCGTTTCTATAGATCCGGGGAAATAAGGCTACTTCATTTGCAGTTCAAATATATTTTATTGTCTGTGCAATAACGAGAATGGTTCTGTATTCGTATTCGACTCGGTTTCAATGCCGATGAACTATGGTATGCTTAACCTCTGCCGTGCCGCCATTCTCAATTCTCCCTAGTGGCACAGTAAAATCTCCATTCTAGTGACGGCCTTTTCTTGATCTACTCTCCACTTTTGACCAAGTCTCGATCCAATGAATGGGTGCCTCCAAGACTCGATCGCGCCATCAATCAGAGGGTCGTGATTTGAGTCCGACACTCAGGCGTTCACGTGTCATATGCGCGTAAACCGCCCGCAGCAACGCTTTGCTTGGCTTTATGATCGTAAAGTATCGAATCAGTGAGACGCTTGAGACAGCTTGTAAGGATTGAGGCGAGAATCAAGTGCCCAGTTACCTCCCTAATCTCAAAACTTGCCGAGTGCTGAGAGCAAAGCTGTTAAACTTGGACTGCCTTTGAGGACGAACCAGATCCTTGAGTTGATGCTCGATCAGACGTTGGGGATCCTCGTCATCCACGTTTGCGTTCGCCCGAGATTGCAGCCACGAAAGCAAGACGCGTGATTTGATCGGCAATGTCCAACGCACTAGAAGCCTAGAAGGACACAAGACTTGATCCCGGCGCGAGATACGACGAAGGATCTACAACAACACATGGAACACTAGACGAAAGAATGCGGGGTCAAGCCGCTCCTGAGGCTAGTAACCCCATCTCACTGGAGGCCAGCCGTGTGGTGCGGATGGTTCCTTGGAGGAGGACTAGAGCACGTTCCCCTCCTTCGGCGCATCAATAAAGCGAATGCGGCACAGCCAACGAGGCGATATTGGAGAAGCCAAGGAACAGGCCGGGCTCCGGGGTAATTGGCGCCGGTTGGGATGTAACGTTTGCATGGAGGCCGGGGAATTGGCCGGAGTGACGCCGTCCATACCTGCTATTCCGGGGTAGCTCCCATGCGGGGTGCCCACGGGGTGGCCAGGATCCCCCCAAGCATCTGATAGGCGGGCGTATAAACTGTGAACCCTCTTGGAGGGCTTGGCCTGTAATAGGCGCGTCTAAAGGAAAACGAGACGAACCCCAGATGGCTAAATGACATGGTGCTGATAATAGTTCCACGACTAACAGGACGGGCCATCCATGCATTAGCCCGACACTTCACCCGCCAGGCATCATGGGAAGCTTATAAGTTGGCTGTAACCTGCACTGTTGCACTGACTCGTCTCTTGGTAACCCGTCCATCCTTACACATTGTCATTGTCATTGTTCACTCAGCAAGACACCATCCAACATGGGCAACCCCGTCGAGACAAAGGCCGAGGGCGGCCAAGAGGTCGAGCACGCCTACGATGTTGAAGACAAGACGTTCGCTGCCGAGGACAAGGCTGCGAATGCCCAGAAGCAGGATGCTATCGAGGCAGAGAATGCGGAGCACAACATGGGTGTGCTCGAGGCCGTTCGAGCTTACCCCATGGCTTCGCTCTGGGCCTTTATCATGTCTTGCACCATTGTAAGCTATACACTCCCCCACTCACCATGACTTGCGCTAACATCACCTACAGATCATGGAGTCCTACTGCGTCTTCCTCATCGGCAGTTTCATCGCCCTCCCTCGATTCGCCAAGGACTACGGTATCCAAAATAACGGCAAATGGGTCATCGAGACCGAGTGGCAGTCTGCTCTCCAGGCTATTGGTCCCATTGGTGCCTTGCTAGGCGTCTTCCTCGCTGGTCCCCTCACCAGCAAGATCGGATACCGCTGGGCCACCATCAGCGGTCTTATGGCCCTGAACGCCTTCATCTTTGTCTTCTACTTTGCCAACTCGCTCCCTGTGATGCTGGTGTCCCAGATCCTCGAGGGTATTCCTTGGGGCATCTTCATCGCCAACTCCCCCGCATACTGTTCCGAGATTGTGCCCATGAAGCTGCGAGCTCCTGCTACTCAGATGCTTCAGATGTTCTGGGCCATTGGAGCTATCATCGTTGGTGGCATCACCTACCATTATAACACTTTGGACCACCCCAACGCTTATCGGTACGTGCCCTTTCGCATCACAAGTGATTCCTCTGCTAACGAGAGAATAGCATCCCCATTGCCCTTCAATGGATGTTCCCCACCCCTCTTGCCATCCTCATCTTCTTGGCGCCCGAGTCACCTTGGTGGTTGGTTCGAAAGGGCAAAATGGAGGAGGCAGCACACGCTGTGGAGCGCCTCGGACGCAAGTCGTTGATTAACAAGTCGAACGAGACCGTCGCTATGATGAAGCGTACCATCGACCTCGAGAAGAGCGAGAAGGAGCCCAGCTTGATCGAACTGTGGAAGGGTACCGACCGCTACCGTACCCTCATCGTATGCGGTGTCTACGCCGCCCAGAACCTTACTGGTAACCTGATTGCCAACCAGGCCGTCTACTTCTTTGAGCAGGCTGGCATGAAGACTGACACTGCTTTCGCCATGGGTCTCATCACCTCTGCCCTCCAGACCGTCATGGTCATGCTGTCTTGGATTCTTACAACCTACCTTGGCCGACGTACCATCTACCTCTGGGGTTCCGCCATGAACATGGTCGTCCTCGTCGCTATCGGTATCGCAGCCTCTTTCGGACAGTCAACCTCGGCATCCCTCGCGCAGGCGTCCCTGGGTCTCATCGTCTCCGTCCTTTTCACCCTCGGCCCTGCTCCCGCTTCTTGGGTCATTATCGGAGAGACGTCTGCTATTCGCCTTAGGCCTCTTACCACTGGTGTCGGACGTGGTTGCTACTACCTCGTCAACATTCCTTGCATCTTCCTGTCCAGTTACATGCTCAACCCCACGGTAAGATATCCTCACCCGCATTTCAAGGCACAATTGCTAACATTCCGTAGGGCGGAAACCTTGGCGGCAAGTGTGGTTACGTCTGGGCTGGTACTGCCCTCGTCTGCTTGGTCATGTCATACATCTGGGTGCCTGAGATGAAGGGTCGATCCTACCGTGAGATTGACATTCTGTTCCGACGTCGTGTTCCTGCTCGCAAGTGGACCAAGACGATCGTCGACATTCAAGATGATGAGTAGATTCAGATTCAGTTAGGGATCTCACCGCTACCCCAAAAGGGAAGCTATTCCGGTCTCCCCTTGTTACTGTACAAGCGACGGCCTGGCGGGACGCACCCGTTGCATGTTGCCATTACGTCAACTGCTGGGCATAGGGAAGCCAACACGCTCCGTCATTGGCTGCTTAGGTTACAATGAGATATAAATAAATGTGGTTCTCGTTCCTCGTTCAAGTATTTGCCTGACTTCTCCACTCGTGTGATTGACAAGGGTCAACTATCCCCATGGGGACATAATCTCCGGTTGGCAATATCACGGGGTAATATGGGAGCGCTCTGTTACTACGTAGTATGGAATGGGTGTCCTCTTGATAATTGGTTGATCCTTGTTGCATTTTCAGGCATGTAGGGCATGTTTTTGATGTTTCGTAAGCTGGTAGTCAGCAACCACTCCTACGCTTTCGGCCCTATAAGAACTTTCGTATATCTAGGGTTTCAAAACCAGTAGTATAAGCTTAGCAAGCTATGAAAAAAAATTGACTAAGGGCTAGTGGCTCTTCTACGGATTGTGATACACAGCTACTTCCTTGATATCGGAGTTATGGCTCAACACTGTAAGTTTACGCACTAGTCGCCTACTTGTATGTCCACGCCTATCTGATAAGCACCCCTGGCGCCTACGCTGCATCCTTCCATTTAAATAGTACCTTTAGTACTGTTCAAAATTTCAACAGCCTATGGTTTCATCATTGTCCTTCATTCAGAAACGCTGTGCACTCCATTTCTACATCCGTGCCCAGTGGTAGTTGATGTACCGCAACACAAGTGCGAGCCTATGATGCCATTAGATCTGTGCTCGTAGAAGAGAGTACAATACTGGTAGCATTGACAGAGAGAGAGATGAGACATACGGGCTTAGGACTCCATGTAAAGAACTCATCGTAGGCCTCGTTGATGAGGTCAAAGTTCTGCATGTCGGTGATGTAAATGTTCACCTTGACAACGTTGTGTAGACTGCTTCCAGCTGCAGTAAGAATTGCTTCAAGATTCTTCAAGGTTTGCATCTTTGCAGTCTGTTAGCAAGGTCTTGTTCATCCAGCTGCGGGCTCTTGTTGCCGATGCGAAGATACCTACCGCGCGATCCTTGACGGTGCCCTCAACGAGCTGCAGATCAGTGCCTGGAATAAGCCCCACGTTTCCAGAGCAAAAGACAAGTCCATTGTATTTAATGGCTTGGGAGAACTGGGGAAATGGGCTGGGAGCCTCTTCTGTTGAGACAGCTTGCATCTTTGTCGTCATTGCTGGCGTAGTAAGGGCGGTGAGGTTGATGTCAAAGAGGCTGATTCGAATCTTGGTTTTATCTCAAATAGTATTGAACAATGCCATATCATACTTTACTTATAATAGGCAAACATGGTCTAGGCCTATCTTATTATTAAATAATCATAAGAAACATGCTTGAAGAGCTTGTAAAAAACGCCCTAGAGTGGGTTTCTACTCGGTTATCCAGTCAGTGGCACCCTTATCGAGTCATGCCTGGTACCCCAAGAATTCTCGAGTTTGTAAGCATCCATCTTGCGCCCTTGCTTTGACCAATGGGTCTTTGAGCTATCATGGATTAATAACTTGTTATTTGCGCCTTTGGCTTTATCTGCCTTTTGCCGTCCCCAGCCGCTATACCGGCGCTGAACGGGGGTGCATTCTGAGATAAACCATTGAAGGAGCATTCTCACTGCCCATCATTATTGCTGGATCAACCATGTTGCCGATAAGAGTATTATCTTCTAAATTCCAATGTCGCGTTCAATCTGACTGTCGCCGTATGTTGTGTTCCTACACTAAGCTTTCGAATCGCGCGTCTACACTGGCGTCGCAATCTTCCACGAGAAGATCGCTACGCCGATATTCCTCCCATCTCGGTTCTCAAACAATGGGCAGCTCACAGCACCATGTGGTTGCTCTTGAATAATGCCACTTTTCAATCCCCAACTTGCCCTTTCCCATCGCCATACAGGCTATTCGTCAACGACTCCCGACGAAATCGCCCAGAGATTACGAGATGCCACCATGGCCATCATCACCATGATGCCCATCTCGGTACAAGACTTGGACCAATGCCCCAGCCTTAAGTGCATCTTGGCCACATCTACCGGTGTCGACTGGATCGATAGAGACGCTTTCCTGAAGCGAGGCATCAGAGTCCTCAATACTCCCCATACCAACATCGCTGCCTTTGCGGAACACGCAATCGCATTGTACTTTGCGGTGAGAAGAAGGATTATCGAGTTACACGGTGTTATGACGACGACAAAAGAATATTACGAGCGACGAACACTCAAACATCGTTTCCCTGAGCTGCCCCTTAGCTGCTCTCAAGAAACCCTGGGTGTATTTGGTTATGGGCATTTGGGGAAGTGCATCGAGTCGATAGCTACGGCCCTGGGAATGCGAGTGCTGATAGCTGAAAGAAAAGGCCAGCCCCCTCGGGACGGCCGCGTCGCATTCGAAGACGTTCTCCGTGAGGCAACGGTCCTTGTCATTGCAGCACCCAAGAATCGTGATACAGTAGACATGATCAGCGAAGGCGAGCTGAAGACAATGAGACGTGATGCAATATTGATCAACGTGGCTCGTGGTGGGATCGCCAACGAAGAGGCTCTCGTCAAATGCCTTCGTAGTGGATGGATCGGGGCGGCCGCGGTGGACGTATATGACGGCGAACCCCCACAGCGAGGTGTTTCTCCCTTGTTAGAAGACAACATACCGAATCTGATTCTGTCGCCGCATCTGGCTTGGCTTTCGGCGCAGATAATCTCGAATCGGCAAGACGGAATTGTCAAGGAGCTCGTCGCGTATGTTGCTGGCGAGTCGGCCAATGTCATTCTCTAGGCGCATTCCCGACCATTTTGTAGGCCAATTAAGACCGATTTGCAGTAAATATGTGCTTGAAGTAAAGAAACTACTTTGCATCGCCATACTGTCGACGATGGCGCCCTTTGTCTTCCCTCTGAAGAATCTGGACACCAGTCACTTTCACACTGTCTCCCCGCCGCTTAAGCCGAGCTGTTCTATATAAAGCAATACCTGTCCCTGCCAAATAATCACAATTTTGGAACTTTTATCCAACCTCATCTCCAAAAGCTACCCAAAATGTCGATCCGAAAAGCTTCTTATGGTAAACACACGTTGTATGCATACACACAAAGCCTCTCTCTCTAACAATTCCTAGTTACAGTTGATGTTTTCACCGCTACTCGGTACGGTAGCAACACGATTTCATGTTTCAATAACTTTTTGTTGACCCCGAGCACTAATTCTGTGTTCCCAGGTTCAAGGGAAATCCCCTGGCAGTTGTCAAAGTCGACGGCGAAGCTCTCTCCCATGAGCATATGCTGACGATTACACGAGAGTTCAAGTACTCTGAGACGGTGTTTCTTCGTCAGGCCCAAAATGACCAGCTCAGTATGAACATCTTTACGCCGGCAGGTGACCTGGACTTTGCTGGACATCCCGTAATCGGTACGGGCTACGTGCTATTCCACCAGCTGCTGCCAGGCATCTCTCTTCCAGATCCTCTGCCTGAGGCTATCTCTGTCTCGATCAAAGCCGGAACGGTTGTACTTCGGTATGTTCCCGAGAGCGATACTGTTCTCGCTGAGGTGCCTCACAATGTGCATATTCATTCCTGTGGCACGCCCAAGCAAAATATCCTCGATACGCAGCCCAACTTGGTTGATCGGGCATTTAGGCTAAGCCAAGATTACCCCGCTGTTTCGATCGTCAAGGGAGTAACATATACCCTCGTCGACATGTCGGATCAGGAGGACCTCTTTGCTCGTGTTGCCGCGGGTAGGAGTCAAGACACACCCCTGGATGATGAATGGGCTCCTTCACACACTGGCACCATGTACTACCGACGCCAAGAGGTGTCCGATGACAACGGAACCACTGTTGAGCATCTGCATGTGCGCATGATTGCTATCGACTTGGGGGATCCAGCCACCGGGAGTGCATGCTGTTCGCTGGCGGCGTATCTGGCTCTCATGCGGGGAGGAGCGGGCAACTCTCACCGCTTTTACATGAATCAAGGGCGTGAGATTGGTCGTGAGAGTGACATAATTGTCGACGTGGTCTTGGATGAGTCTGGAAAAGGCGTGTTATCCATGTTTCTGTCGGGGTTGGCAGCGTTGGTGGCTGAGGCAACCATTCGATTGCCTTGAAATGAGTCATTCTGCTAGTGGAATAGCGAGGAATCTAGTCGGCCTGATGCTTCAAACCAGTGGAAGAACTGTGTCTAGGTAGAGTGAGTAAACATGGTTACAAGTGGCTTTCTTCGGCTTATCATAATGTCATGGTGTGACTGTAACTCTTGTGGCCTTATCATTCATGTATGCTCGAGTCAAGTGTGGGTATGAGGAGTGCAGTCTTGGGCTTGTCAATTTCACCCTTCCTATTTTGAGGGGCCAATTGTGTCCTCGACAACGTGCAATGCGTTCCACAGATATCACATGGGCTTCTTGAATTTGGATATAGCCGTTTTGAGGGCGTGAATTGCCACTCCGATTCCGGGAGTGTTTCAAGAGAGATCGATGGGTTGAAATAGCAAGTCTTGAGCGTGAGTGTTGGTTTATCCTGACACCAATTCAACAAAATGAAGAACGTACAAGGATTCAAGATTGATGACTGGGGTATGTGCTTCCTGTCGCCATCCTTCACTGAGGATCTAAAAAGCTGACACTGGTTTTATAGTTCGGGTTCATGGTGTGAGTCTGGCACAGAGGTCTTTGAGATGAGAGATTGCCAACTTTCCTCGAGGCCAACAGTCGCTTTGGACTTGAAGGTAAGAATATTTCCCTCATCGTTGAAGAATACTGACAATTGCAAGGGTCCTATGTATCGGCACTATCAATGAATGACCTTCAGCAACTGTCTACGGATCCCACCCTCGAGGTCGTGAACCGAGACATGGAGGTCAGCTATGGCTCTTTCGAGGGTTCTCTTGAGCTCCGCGAGGGCATAGCCGCATTGAACTCATCAGAAGGGTCAAAGCTGACTGCCGAGAATGTCATCATCACACCTTTATCCATCATGGCCAACTACCTGGTCCTGGATACCATCTGCCAGAGCCGAGCTTGCAAGAAGAGCGTCGCCGGACCTAACCCGTCTAATGGGCCGGGGCTTTCCATGAGGCCGCGGGCAAACACGATCAGCCATGTTGACAGCAGCACGATGAAGATGATTGCTGCTGCGAATGCCTCTGTCCAAGGAGGCATCCCCCCTACCTATACCCATAGCAGACGCCTGAGTCTAGCCGGTTTGCCTATCCCTAGCTTGGACCGTGGCATACTAGCAACCATGGGACAGCGAGGGTTGCAGCACGGGTTGCCTAAGCTGGAGACGAGCACCTTGGGAAGCCTCGACTTTAGCAACGGCCTGAGGACAGCGCCGCCGGTCGCCGCCGCCTTCAACACCGAATTCGACTTTGAGGGCCTCTTCGGGTCGGGCTCGACGATAAACCCCGATGCCCTCCATTACAATCGTTCGCCGCAATTAACGGCCTTGGAACAGGCCTCGCCGTTCGCGCCGCCCATGAATGAGACGCCCTCGAGGCAAACCCTCGACGATAGTTTTGACGGGCTGACTGGTTTCGAGCATTAGATGCCTTTTCGCACGAACGAAAATGTGGTGGACGGGATATAGTCCGTCCGCCATCTGCAAGACGAGCCAGAGCGGGATAAGCGATGTTATGCTGGATAGTTCCAACTACCTGGCGCTGGCCGGGACAAGTACCATATGGTGTTGAATATGTGGTAAAAAAAGAAGCTATTGGAAGGTGCTGGAAAGGAAAGGATTTGTCCTAGGCTGACGACGCAGCTATTCTAGTTGATTCTACCAAAAGGCATATATAACCTGCCTTGTACCCTCCAGGGAGGGGGGAGGCACAAGAACAACGAGAACACATAATTCACCTCCATATTTGACATATGGCAACTCTCCGTAATGAGCCTTCCATAGATGCCGAAGCCGTTTGCGATTGTTCTAAATGGCTCCGTCTTCCCGGATCTCTTGAATGGGACCCCTCTGTCACCTCAGTCTTCTCAATAGGTCAATGACCCTTACTTCTCTACGCCTCCACCTGAGCCGAGCCCGTTGGGGCCGTCCGTCGTAACGAGACCCTACTCAGTCAACTTGATTTGCGCATCGACCCGGATGCAAAAGTCTTAATTTGCTGCCGGCCAGCGTGCCGATAAGGTAACCGCCCCGCTAACATTAATCGGACACCCAGGGAAGTCGGCCAGTTTTTTTCCCAACTCCAACACCATAACCTAACACATCACGACCGGGTTTTTCTCGTGCTATTTACTTCTAACACAAAAAATAATACATGCATCTTATTTCCCATACCTGATTATACTGAAAACGACCTCCAGAATGCCGTCAAAGACGTTGAATCCGGCTCGTCTTTGCGGAAAGCTTCCATTCAGTATGGTGGGCCTCGTTCGGCCATAGGGTGACCGGATGCAAGGCCGCACAACGCGAAAAGAGAGCCATGAGAGTCAGCAGAGGCTCTCTAATAAGCAGGAAAAGCGTCTTCGTAAATGGATCCTCATTCAGCAAGAGCTAGGCGTGCCTGCAACCCACCATCAACTTCGCGATTTCGCGTGTCGGATCCTTGCCAATGCCCGCGACACTCAACCACTCGGGAAGCGCTTGGTTGAGGGCTTCTTCAACCACAATGCTGAGGTCCAGACCGTCAAAGGCAAGATGATTGAACGTACGTTTCAACGGAGCCTTGGCTGAGATTCTGGAAGGAATTCTTCAGACTTCTTGCCCTCCTCGCGATGAAGGAGATCCTCCAAGAGAACCGGCGCAAGGGGCCCAATAGGCGCACGGGTACCCGTGCGCCTATTGGGCCCCTAATAATGCGATGGTCTGACTAACAGCTATTTTACACCAACCGAGCATACGAAAGAGGATAATAAAGAGCCTTGTTCTTCTACAAAGGAAAGTGGCTGAAGAGCCGGTTTTATCAGCCACCGAGCACCCCACAATAGGGGCTCTGCTTGACCAATCAGAGGGCGAGGCGTCACGCAACAATAACTCTTTCAGGATCAGGACAGCGACCGCTACCAAGGCCGAAATAGCTAAAGATAGTAGCCATGGTGTAGCTAGTGAGTGGGCTGTTTAGACACGTCTGCCAGAGCAGAAGGACTGCTGAAGTTACGAGCGACGTGATTGCTTCCATGGTTTTACTAGCGGACATATGCGAGTTGGATGTTAACGATGGCGTAGTTATGTCGGAGTCTGCGACGGGAGCCTTGTCACGACCACCAAATTAGGGTTAGCTCTTGCCTTATCAGGTTAGACCATTGGGGCTCCAGGAGCTGGTTGCCAATCAATCCAATCCAGTCCAAATCTTCGAGAAACCCAAATCCAGTCGAGTCATTTTCCGACAAATCCAGTCCAATCCAATAACATCACTGAACGTAACCCCAATGCACCCACACGAGGCGAGATCCACTGAAGACCTCTTGCAAGATTGAGATTCAACAAAGGGATCAAGTATTAAGAAAGTATCTGCGCATCCACGCTATCTCGCCGTGGACTTGGCGATTGTGTGATGATACAACTCATCAGTGCTCCTATCATCTCTCGGATCCACATTCAGACTCTCATCATCAACTCTAGTAACGACGCGGATCTCGTCCCCTGAACCATCGCCAAGAGGTGATCCCTTAGACGCTACAATCACCGTGTTGGACTCCAAGTCGTCTCGGGTAGGGTCTGTCATGGTCGCAGTCTTCTTATCCTTTCCTGGCTTATGCGCAGAAAGTTCGACAAATGCACCCGTATTGCGGTAATCTCGATTCGATCCCGACTGAGTTCCTCCACGGTGCCGGATGAAGTCGATGAGTTCGCCGAGTACCGCAAATTCGAGCTTAAGCTTAATGGAGTATATCACCACCTTGATTCCCTGCTGCCAGACAAAGTAATTTTTATACTCGATGGCGAGGAGGGCAATGTCCATGATGACGATGACGATATTGATGGCAAAGAGCTGCCAAAGGACACGTCGTGTGTTGCCAAAGGCCGTCTTGAGGATACCGATCGTCTTCCAGATATAGAGGCCGGAGATTATAAATTCCTGGATGCAGAAACAGGTCATCTGCACCTTTTCGAGGACGTTAAAGACGGCGTTGAAGCCTCGCTTGCTTTTGTTTGGAGAGTATGTCGATCCAAATAAGAGGACGGTGATACTAGTATGCTGCACTGCTGTCAGTGCTGATGCATCCAGAGCAAGGATCGACATACCCAGACAACACCGTTGATAACGATCATACATAGAACACCCCGTAGGATCCTAGCGTCTGTCACGACAAGATGGAGCCGCGAGTACAACACCACAGACTGGCCAGAGACCAACAGAACCCAGCCAACGCTGTCAATGATCATGCCCACATAGTCGTGGGTGAAGTCAAAGTAGACAATCAACCATCCGACACAATAGGGAATGACACCAAACGACGCAAGCAGGATACTCCAAAAGTAGAGACCCGAGCGACGCTTGAAGGTCATGAAGATGAGACACAACAGCTCAAAGGCATTGCACATCGCCAACGTAGCACAGACCTAAGCACATCAGCATACTGAAACATACCGCAATAATCACAAGCCGTACAATGACGAGAACCGCCTCTGGGGTGTAGACAGCGCCCTCGAGAGCCCGTTTGGCCGTGTAGGGATGATCGCTCAATCGCAACGACATGGTGTTGCTGCCGACCGCGGAAGGATCAGCACTACGGAGGTCTATCTCAAAAGTTTTGTCCAGGAGCTAGTAGCGCCAAGGCCGCTTATCCCTGTCGGTACCTGAGGTACTTTGGAGCAAATCTTTTCAGTTACTTACTCCCTAAAGCTATAGGGAGGGCTATTGGAGCCCAGGGGGAAATCTAGTGAAGCTTAGAGAGCTATATCCTTAGAAGATAGGGGCTTCAAAAGTAAAGAAAGAGGACCATAAGTACCGATGTAACTGTGCTTGGAAAATGGCCTCTGATTGGCTCGTGTATTTGTGTGGCTTGAGGGCCAGGACAAAACTTTTGAGATAGACCTCCGTACTAGATCGGAGAAAGTGACGAGCGTCATGAAGGGTCGCATTTCCAACGACGCGGATGTCTAGCGACATAAATGGACTCCTGATCTGCAGTCCTGGTCCCTGGCAAGTGGAACATCCCGGCTGGAGCGGATCCGGGGAGACCTGGGGAAGCGGGGGAATGACTCGACCCAGGCGCGTTATTCGTGACGGCATCTCGTTGGGCTACGCCATGGCGCGCTATGGCCTCGTTAGGATCGAGTCAACATCCCGGTCAAGCCTCGTGGGTCCACCATTCAACTGCCAGAGGCGTCATTTAGAATGTTCCAGCTAGCAAGGTTTTGGGGGCGGGGAGACGGAACGCTGTGTCCAGCTGAGGGGCGCCCTTGAACATTCCTTGGTTAGCTCGCCTTGGATCTTTGGCTGGAAACTCACTGGAGCCAGTCCCTATTTGCTACCACGGCATGGCAACGAACGCGTGACTTTGAGTTGGCGACGAGAAGGTCTTGGAACCCGCGCAGAAGCCTGCGGTAGTCTGGCCAGCCCTATCACTGGTTATGCAACGATTTTCTCTGTTGTTACAAGTTTAAACCCCCACATCCAGAATCTCAAGTACTTGAACCAAATTCGGTACCTCGTGTATCTCCAGGACTTGGCAATTCTCCCTTTGCCGACTTTCCGCGCGCACTTGTCGATAGGGCGCAACATGCCAAGACCGTCAAATCGGTAGTCCCTCTCGTTGGCGCCTTTGGGACAAAGGCATCGACTACTCCTGGACAAGGCATCATTATGTAACCTTTCTTGCCCCTGGTTTCACAACTAAACCTTCAGCTGATGATTCATCTCCAGCCCTCGCTTAGCCTTGTCGACGATTAATTTGCGGCTTGCAGTAGACTCTACGACCAATGGCTATGCCGTTGACGGAGTACGGATTGTCGTTTAAGGTTTTTCCTGTTGCATCTAATCTGTCACTTGCTGGTTCATGTCGCCAACCCTTTCCAGCAACAATGGCGTTCAGTAAAATGAAGCCCCTGTTCCATCATTGGCCGGTAACAGCTCTAACAATGCTCCAGCCCGATTTCCCCCGGGGTATTATCTAGATGCTTTCCGTGTTGAATTCCGGCACCGAACTGCTGGGCATAAGAGATTGCCTCTGCTCATACACCCAAGAGTGCCCACAGTGGCCCTGCACTTATCATCGTCCCGAGCGATGGGGTGCCCACATCTGCACAAAACTCCGCGGAACTTGGGCCGGGGGAGTAGGTGCACCAAACCAGGAGCCGTTCATAACCCCTGAAATGATCGGGTCCGATCTGTCTGAACTCATTTCAGTTGATGGTGTTGTCTTGAATCGCAAATTTGGGTGTGATAACCGAGCGCATAAACAGAATCTTACCACTTTTCGGGGCATGATACCTCATGTTTTTCTAACCTCTCTGCTGTACGATGGAATTCCGAAATTCCGACTCGCTGAAGCGGATGTTGCCAAGGGTCGCCATTAGTTCTGGGAGACCCAAACGGGCCTGGGTAGTGAATGAGAAAATTTATATGGTGATTTTGAAGTCATGGACGTCAGTAGGAAGCTTCTTTGTCTTGAAGAATGCCACGCTTGGCTCCAGGCCAGCAGTGAAAAGTCACCCGACAGAGCCCCCAAGAGGAAACTCCGAGTACTCAGCTATCTAATAATCAGGGTTAAAAGCCACTCCACTTAATCCACTAGCTACTTAAGTAAAGTAAGTAGATCATAATCTACTAAATATCTTAGTATAATAGATCTACTAAAAGCTATTATAGATTAAGTAGATTAGGTAGATTAGTAAATACCTCTATTTTTAATGCTATAATAATAAAGCTATTCCCGAAGCCCTTATTTATATATATCCCTTATTCTAACTTCTAAGTTAGACTTATTTCTAATTAGCTTTTATCTTATCTTAAATACCTATTATTTAAGTAAGCTATTTTATTACTTATTCTTTAAGCTATTAATCTAATATCTAAGCTAATTTAAGGTTAACTTTTTCTTTATCTACCGAGATAAAAAAGAGATCTAATTTATAAATAATACCTGCCCTTAGCTATAAACATAATACCTAGTATATCCTAATAATCTAGGCTTTAAGCTAATAGCGCAAAGGGTTTACTATCTAACCTATTGCTAAGAAAAGATACTTATACTTAGCAGATATTAGTTATATTATAAGAAAATTAAGTGCTATTCGCGATAAATTTAGATACTTAAATCGCTTCTTATACTAATAAGTAAGAGGATTATTAATAGAGCTATTATTACTTTCGTAATATATAATCTAATAGAGGTATTTATCTTCGCCTAGTATAAGGCTATTATAACTTACTTTTAGCGCTATATAGCGGTTTTATTTAAGGTATTCTTAGAATAAATTATCTAAAGTCTTCTATTACTTAGGAACTAGCTTAATGGCTAATAGCTCTTCTCTAGGTAATATAGCCTTTTAATACTTAAAATACTAAATATTATAAACTATATTTTTTACCTTATTAATCCACTTAGGGCAATTAATCTAGTTATATTTAAACTATTTCTATTAATATATTAGATAGAGCGCTAGGCTAATATAATAGATAGGCATCTTACTTAATATCTTATAATACTTATTTAACTTTTACTAGCCTAAATTAATATTAATCCTAAAGTATTTAGGATTAGGGAAATCCTTTAAAATATCCTTAAAGTATTTAAGCTACTTAAGAAGGAATTTAAAGCCTTAAATAACGTCCTAAATATTATTATATAACCTAGTCTACCTATGCTTTCGCTTATAGATCTAGCTATTACCTTTAAGTATTTTAATTATAGCTTTATAGTAATTAAGAATTTATATAAATAATTTAGCTACCTCCTAGTCCTTATCGGATAGCTAGTTCTCTAGCTAATAAATAAAGGGCAATATAAGTAATTTCTTAGGGCTGCCCCTCTTAGTCTTATTCTATTATTTAAAGTCGATTTAATAGTAGGCAATAAGTCGCTCGATATAGTCGCGGAGTAGTAGAGCTCATCGTATTATATATAACTATAATAACTATTTAGTATTATTATCTAAAATAATATCTAATAGCTTTCTAGCTTTAAGTTTAGGGTTAGTTGACTTATTAAAGGCAGCGCTTATTATAAATTAATTAAATTAACTTTAAGGTAAAAGTTAATTTATTTAATAGGCCTTTAGTCTAAAGTTAATTTATTTAATTTAATTAGCTCGTCTTAATTAATTATATAGGAGGCCTATATATTAGGTATATAAAGGTATTACGCTAGATCTAAAGCCTTAATTACTAACCTAACTACCTAGCTTTACCCCGCCGTATTAGACCTAGTTCCTTAGATAATAAACTCGCTCTAGTATATCTATGCCTATTACGAGCCTTTGCGATATTAGTATTAGCTTAGCTAGGCTAAATTGCCTCTTATAGTTAATTATTATAGCTAGAATAGCAAATATATCTAAGGTAAAGCTACTTAGTACCGGGAATAAAGGCTTATAGTCCCTCTACTATTAGATTAGCTCTTATATATCTTATAGCTTAAGATAGAGGTATTTATCTATCTCGCTAATACTACTACTTATTATAAATGCCTTTTTTATTTTGCTATTAATTTATTATATATAGTAATTGTCCTCTTTACCTCTATTTATTAATAATAAAGTAGACTTTGACTATAAGTTATCTATCTACTAGTTTAATTAATACTACTACGCGAAGTAGTCTTTTATACTTACCTTTGTATTGCGAACCTAGGCTAATTACTCCTTAGTGGCCTAAGTAGCCTCTAATTAGCTAATACTAAATCTTAGATAAAGGATAATTACTACCGCAAATAAGAGAAATTCTCTAAGCTTACTATAATACTTATCTAGCTTCTTCTAGCTATTATTAATTAATGCCTAAATATATGCTTAGTAGTCTATTAGTAATAAGCCCTTCTAGGAAATCTTAGATACTAGTAGCTTATTAAATGCTATATACTTAGCCTAAGAATACTCTAGTAAGGTAGCTACTATGAAAGTTAGCGCTTAACTTTGCTATTAGGATATATAGACCTTTTCCCTATTAAAGCGAGTAAAGCGACGGTAAGAATAGGCCGACTAGATATTAGTCCCCCTTAGAGGTATAAATACTCTCCTAATTAGTTTGGGATTATTTAGATTTATCGCCCTAATTATTTTAATTATAAACTTATTATAAAAGCCTTTCTAGTCTTTAAAATACTTAAGTAGGTATTTTATTCCTATTAGAACTTCCTATAGGCACCTATAGCTATTGCCTTTACCCTAGCCTTAGGTTTATACTGTTTAATAATATAGAGGCATAAGTATCTTATTAACCTTACTAAGTATATATTAATCCTTATTAAATAAGATATTATTAATAGGGATATATTTTTCTTTATCTTACTTTGTTAGAGAAACAGAATACACCAACCATAGCTAAAACTTCTTATGTGACTTTCTTCTGATGACTTTCGAAAAAAGAGATTTCATATACTTTCTCGTGAATTAAATACCATATGAAATAATAAGGGCAAATAATTAATTGATAGTAATGAAGATCTTCTTAAGAAAAGAGCCCTTAAGCTCCCCGTTCTTGATCCGATCCTTAAAGGAGATGATGATGTTGGTGGTCAGGGCCGCAGCCTTGGT